CAGTCAAAGCTCTCACAGCGGGATTGACTTCACGCGTTTCGATGTTCCTTGCAGTGTCTGCCTGATGCATACCTTAACGCCGTGTATATTGGCTGTTACTCGGCGTCCGAGCACAACATTGCGCTCATGAGTTGACTCGTCTCTTTCGGAGCTGTCTTGCGACTGCCGCGGAGTAGGTTCGGGCGATGCAGCATCTGGCCTGACCAGAACAAACGGCACCTCAGTGTCAGCGTTGGACTTGTTCACTCTTTCCTCCTTGACACTCACCCTCACCTCAACAGGCAACAGACCCCACTGACATTCATATCGCCGACTCGGGGAATGCGAGCAGCGCGGTCGTTGAGCGCCTCCGCTGCCTCTGACTCTAGGCCTACATCCAATCGTCAATCAATCTTGCTCTCTCCAGCACGCCTTATATCGGACTCTGAAGCCGGCAATCGAACACACTGAGGAGGAGCTGCCCGGGCATGCTTCTCTCCCGCCATCATGGACATCTTCGTGCGCAACATTCCCCCGCACATGACCATCAAAGAACTCAATTACTTCTTCACTGGTCCGCTGAAAGACTGTGGCATCGACATCTTCTATGCCGAAAAGCATCGTGACAAGCCGACCGCCACCATTACCGTGCTCGACGTCAACTGCGGCCAAGTCTTCCTCAACCAGTATGGCCTTCCTCCCAACGCACCCCGGCACATCAAACCTCTGCGACGGCTCCACTACGCCGACAAGCTGATCATCTGCCAAAAAAGCAACCACGAGCCCAGTGACTTCTCTCTAAAATCCTTACACTACGAAGCTACCCAGCGCGCAAAAGCCGTCGTGGCAAACACAGCACCTCAACATCAGAACCGAAACAAGCAGCTAAATCGCTTCGATGTCCGGGAGCTGCAGTGCGGCATGTGGGACTATGAGGGCTCAAGGCTCGCCTTCACATCGCACTTCACTGACAATCGCTCCGGCAAAGTCATCTTCGGACGCAAAGAAGCGATCGTACTCATCGGCCCGCCTGGCGCCAATCAGTCTCGTATCGACATCAATTACCAAGACTGCTTCGACATCAACCTAGGCACATACGAGGAGCCCTCGGTCACTTTTAACCTGGGTACAGCTCCCCGAATGTATGAGATCTCCGCCCAGGAAACACTTGCTGCAGCCATGGCTGCCCTCACGATGGGTTCACGTAAAGCGCAAGCGCCAAAGAAGCTCCGGCTGTCGGCGATAAATGATTTCCACGCGCGGGTTGCCGGTACTTGCTTTGTCTACCGAGTGACTCTACAGGACAACAGGGTTCTTGCCAATATCAAGGCTCTTTTAAGGAACGCCAAAACCTCTGTACTCTCCTACAAAACACACTTCCGCTATCCGCTTGAACCTCTGGAGAACAGTTTCACGAGGCTTGCCACTGAGCTCACGACGCAGTCGGCGGGCCGATTTGGTCGCAAGCCTTTCAAGCTGCGATATCAAGTCGAGAGACTTGCCAAGAATGGTTTGCTGTCCCCGCAGAAAGTCATGCTCTTGCTCCCCGCCATCTCTAAGCTCTATGATGCTTATAAGCTCGATGCGACGGTTGCAGCACTCAGGCGCTTTGCACGAGACGTGAAGGCCGAGCCTCCTGGTCCCAGTACGCAAGCTCACGAGTACTCCCTCGAGTCACTGAAAGCGCTTCTCGAGGAATACGCGATCAGCTATGACACCAGCGCTCCAGAAAACCCTTACGAACTGGCCAAGCGTCACAAGCACATCAATCTGGTGCACAAAGTTGTGGTCACACCTTGCGGTACCTACCTCGAAGGACCTGAGCCCGAACCGACGAACCGGGTGTTACGTCGTTACGCGCGACCAGACTACTTTATACGAGTGGTCTTTCAAGACGAGGACGGCGGCCCAGTCCGCCACGATGGCAGGACGAATCAGGAGCTTGTCTATCACAAACGATTCCAATCGATCCTTGACGGCAGTATGCTCTTCTGTGGTCTTGGCTTCTCCTTCCTCGGCTTTTCAAACTCATCGCTACGTGCGCAGTCCTGCTGGTTCATGGCGACAATGTTCAGTAGAGAAGGTAAAATGATCTTCACCGATCATGTTATCAAGGAGCTGGGAGATTTCAGTCACATCCGCGTTCCAGCCAAATGCGCAGCTCGCATCGGCCAGAACTTCACCGATACCAATTCGACGGTCAGAGTGCAAGAGCACGAGGTTTATGACCTGCCAATGGTCGTGCGTAACGGACGTGACTTCAGTGACGGGGTAGGCACCATATCACTCGAGCTTTTGCAGGCGGTCTGGGAAGTGTACGGTACACGGAAGCTTCTGAAGCCCACGGCGCTGCAGATTAGATTCCAGGGAGCCAAAGGGATGGTGAGTCACTCGATACAGGCGAAATGATCGCACTTGAATTGACATTTTGTCCCCACAGGTCTCTTTAGATACTCGACTTCCTGGCCGTCGCCTCATGCTTCGAGATAACATGCGCAAATACAACACGGCAGTTAATTGGGACCTGGAGATATGTGGAGCTGCGTTCCGCCCGCTGCCGATGGTGTTGAATCGGCCATTCATCAAGATTTTTGAGGACCTAGGCATTGGGATGCAAGTGTTTTTGGATCTGCAGAGAGACGCAATGGACCATCTCCGCAAGATGACACAGTCTTCCATCAACACGGCCCTGTTCCTCGAAGAAGCTGAAGGCATCAAAGCAACCAGATTACCTTCTCTGATCAGGCATTTGGGACAGATTGGTCACGACTACCACCAGGACGAATTTCTCTACCAAGTTGTCGAGATGGCGGTGGTGTCGAAGCTGCGGGATTTTAAATACCGCGGCCGATACCCTGTTCCTGACGGAGTCACCTTGTACGGAATTATGGATGAGACGGGGTATCTCAAGGAGGGGCAGATCTACGTTGTCACAGAAAAGGAAGGCGGAAAAGAGGTGCTTGTTCAGAATCAAGTCGTTGTCACTCGCTCACCAGCGCTGCATCCAGGCGATATCCAAGTTGTGCAGGCAATCGACGTCCCCCCAAACTCGCCCTTGAAGAAGCTTTCCAACGTCGTCGCGTTCAGCAAGTATGGCGACCGCGATCTCCCAAGCCAGCTTGGTGGCGGTGATCTAGACGGAGATCTTTACAACATTATATGGGATCAGCGCCTAATTCCGAGGTCGACATACATGGCAGCTGACTATCCTCGCGTTGAAGCTGTCCAACTCGATCGCGAGGTCACGAGGAAAGACATGAGCGATTTCTTCGTCACGTTCATGGAATCTGACCTGCTTGGCAAAATTTGCACGGAGCATCTTCAACTTGCCGACCAACGTGCTGCGGGTACACTGGATCCTGACTGCATTTCCCTCGCTCAGAAGGCGTCTACAGCCGTGGACTTCTCCAAGACTGGCATACCGGTGGACATGAGGAGTGCTCCCAAGATGGCTCGCTGCAAGCCGGACTTCATGGCGCCTGATCCTAGAGTCGTCATCTCAGAGTCAGGCTACCTAGATTTCGAAGAAGACGAAGTCGAAGACGATGATGCTTTCGAAGGTCTTGACATTGAGCGTCGACCCATGCGATATTACTTCAGCCAGAAGACGCTTGGACACTTGTATCGCAACATCGATGAGCGAATGTTTCTCGCGAAGATGCAGCAACAGCACCGGACCCTTGCACCCAGTTTGAAACCGCAGGATCTGTTGCCACGCGTGCTCAAGTACGTTAAACATTGGGCTTCGCAGTACGGTCTCATTTATTCTCACCACAAGGCTTTGGCGAAGGACATCCAAGCCCAGTATGAAGACAGTCTAATCAACATTCTCTACGACTACGAGCCTACTCCGCGCTCCCCTCTCTCAGAAATAGAAGTCTTTGCTGGACAAATCTTGGGGAGGAAGGGTGGTCCTCAGAACAAGCCGCTCCGTGAACTAGCTCAGACGATGCGAGAGCGCTTCGAAGTTGTTGTTGATTATACAGTGATGCGCATCACGAAGGGCGATAAGGCAATGCGCGAGGCAAACGATCTCGACGACCTCTATGAGGAAACGGCACGCTATACCGAACGTGAATTCGAAGCTCTACCTAGAGCTGTAGCTTGTTTGGACGTTGCTGTCAACGGGCGTGGTCTGACGGACCGCAAGCTGGGCGAGCTCAAGAGTTTCAGGTATGTAGCGGCAGGCGTGTGCTTGAGAGAGCTGGAGCGATATCGTATTACCACCTTTGGGAGTCTGTCGGGCCTGCCGAGCGCGTGGGACGTTTCGAGGTAGAGAGCAGGGCGAGAGACTGGGCAAGGGAAACAATCATTCCATGTACCGATTGTTCGAGGCCCGGAAGGTGAGGGCGGGAGATCACATGAGCAGAAGAAATGGCTTAAGGCCATAGAGAGAAATATCCGGTCTCTGAAGCAATGTGACACGACGCAAACCACGACGGAAATGACCATACCATAGTGCCTTCACTTCACCCTTCTTTTCCTACCGATGGAGGTTTCGGTTGCCTTGACTAGGTAATCCGTATCTTCCCATCTCCAGCAAGGCTCTCCACAACGCCCTCGGACTCTCAGGTGCCGACATCGTCGTCTTGCGCCATTGCATCGAATTAGAGGAGAGACGAGAAATGGTGTCGAGGAGACAAGTTATGACAGAAGGAAGGTAGTAGCATTTGGAGGAAACCTTGGTAAAGTACGCCGGATGTCAGATTTACGGATTTCGCGCTGGAACGATGACAGAGCCGAGACCATGCTACAAACAAGCTCGCCAGAGAGAACGTAAGACAGCCGTCGAGCAGTGCTTACTTCCCTACACGCAACTGCTTCTCTTCGGGCCCTTCAGCTCGGACAACACTCTACACCGTCTGCTCGGGGCACATACGCGATCAAGCACGCTAATCGATAGCCGGTGAAAAGGTTTCTGGTGTTGTTACACCAACAAGCTCGAGCCGTATTCGGACTCGCACACGACTCAGCCCGACCTCCTTCAGCTGGGCCAGCTCATACTGACTCACCTGCTCTTCGACATATAACCGCCCGCAACCATCTTCAAATCGAACGCTTCACTGACCACACAGCATGAATCATCAGAGGCAAAGTGAATCGTCCGATCCCACAGCACGGAACGTCGGAATCGCCCTTGGCGTTGTGGGCGGCTGCGCAATCCTCGTGGCCATCTTCCTCGTGCTGAGAAGGAAGCGACTGTTCATCAGTATGATCCCAGGCATCCATGGGCGAGATACGGCGGAACGATTCCAGGGCGGATCCGCAGGAGCTCCGGGGAATGCAAATACTCATCGACTGGAAGCTATGTTGGCTAATCAAGATCTCAATGGACGTCCTCTACGGCAATGACGGACATATCCGCGGCGGACTCGCGCTCGAGAATTTGAATGTGGATGAATGGAAGTGTACTGCGTTCCATCTACACATGCAGCGTTCGCAGTCCAGTTCTCTCCAGTGATCGAGCCAAAATCTCAGAGTAGGGGGCAAAGTTTGGATCGGAGATATTCGGGGTATTATGGGCGATGAAGAGGAGGTCTATTGAGATTCGTCACTTCCCGTACTTGGAAGCTCGTTCGAATGGAAAAGTGCCACGGTAGCGAGGGATGCGCCCAGAGTTAGTTCAATGTCTCAATTTTGCTGCATCACAATTTTCTCATGCGATCCTCTTATCGTTCGGTCGTACGCCCAGAATGCTCGCTCGTGGATATCATCGTAGAAAGAAGAAACGCCTCGAATGTAAACACGTTCTAGAACAGCAACGCATCGCCAAGCAGCATACCACCGAGCAAACCACCTCCGATAGCAAGCGGCAAGCCGTAGCCTCCACCGAAGCCGGAGCCGTATGGCCTGCCGTATGGAGCAGCAGGCCGGATGTATCGGGCGTTCGGTGTGGTGTAGATGCCTGGCTGATATGAATTGCCGCCATAGGGATTGTATCCATAGCCATTCCGACCGTAGGGACCGTATCCTGCCTGAGGCGGTGGAGGCGGTGGCTCAATATAAATGTCTTTGCCATCTCTATCCTTGCCCAGATGTTGCGGCTGTCCTGTCTCCATTGCTCTTGCCATTGCCTGCCGCATGCGCATGTGTTGCTCGTACGCCCGCTGCTCCTCTTCTGCTCGCCGCTTGCGCTCTTCCACTCTCTGCTCATGTGTCATGCCAGTAACCTTGTCCTTGAACTTGCGCCCAAACGAGCGATTGTCCGGCTGCTTGCCTTTGCCATCGGGTCGTGGTGGGAGATCCGGTTTCGTGCCTGACGAAGACGATGCGCTCGCTGCAGCTGCTGTGGCATGTTGGTGATCGTCCTCATCCTCTGAGTGCGCACCAACAATGTCGTCATGACTGGGATGGTGCTTACCCCGATTCATGCTATCCTGTTCGATACGCTCGCGCTCTTCGCCCGAAAGAGTCGCGAGATACTCATCATCATCGTATGGGTGATGCCATATGCTTCTCGGCGGATCTTTGGTGGTATCGACGAAGAATTGGTGGTGGTTATTGGGATCGAAGGTCCTCACCCAGCCTTCTGGCAGTGGACGCATCTCGTCCTCCATGCTCCTCCGATATTCTGCTGGAATGCCGCCATTCTTTCCTTGTGATGGTGATGCACCCGGGACATTGAGGTGAGAGCTGGCCACATTGCCAGAGCTGGGCCCGGCGGAGGATGAGGGTGGCCCTGGAGCTGCTGATGACCCGGTGGCCTGCGAGTAACTTGGTGGCGGTTCTTCGGGAACTTGTGCGCCTGACATTTTGGATATCGTGTCTTAGGATCAGTGGGTATCGCTGGACCACATCGTAGACTGAAGAAGAAGGGTGAAGGGCGAGGGGCGGCGTTGTGGCTATGGCGGGCTTGTGATCAAGCGATGACGTCGATTGGGGCTGATATGCCGATCGCCGAAGATTATACGCTATCTTCGCTCGACTAATCATACACAGTGCATATATTACAGCTTTTAGGGCATGCGCCTTAAATGCTCTACTCTATCTTCGCTTTGTAGCTACTGAACTATCTCTTTAACTTCTCAGTTCCATGTGCTGATTCCTACAAGGAAGGGAACCGCCAAGTGCGGACGAATCTGGAAGGGGACAATTGGGGCATGAATGCCAAGACTCACATGATCGCTTCCTTCGAAAATCCCAGACCTCACCTCTTCCAACCTTGCATCTTTGGCAACCCTTTCCAGGAATATTGGAAACACAAGATCTGCGGACAAACATCCAAATCTACCTGAAGCCGCACGCGGCCGCACATCGCGATAGCTGGCTTTTAGGCGACCTCTTATCTCATCTCTCTGCGACGTACCAACGATTCGAAACAGAAAACGTTTCGTAGACCTTACGGCCTCATAGGCCGACGGCAATCCATCCATTTTGCAGCAATTTGTTCGGGTTTGGTCCATGTCTCAGTCACCCATCCCCGAAAGTTGGCGCTGGGAAGCGCAGTTTTGCCGCCCAATCAATTACCCATTCCGAAATTAGCACGCCTTCCAAATACCTGGCCAACGCATGCCATCCGGTTGATCTCACGTGCTGCGCAAGGGCAAGTTTCCTTCATATTGTCAGATTGGCTCGATATGCGGTGACAAATACTGAGCTAGCTGGGCGTGGCGTCTTGGAAATAGCATTTACCAAGGAAGACTGGCACATCAGTAGCTTGCCCAGAAACAACTCATGCTGTCTTACTCACTCAAATAAGACGTCTCCTAGGTCTGGAACAGCCATTTGGAAGATAGAGATGGGCGCTTCTTGATTGTATGGGTAGGAGGTGGATGGTGTCCTAGTTCGCGGTGTTCACTGATGCTATTGGTGTTGTGCGATGTGCGTGGCGTGCGCATGCAGTGATGTTTGTTCGGGTTGGGAAGAAGTGGAACGTAAAGAGCGTCTTTTATAAAGCCCTGTAGTTGAGAGTTGTATCATGTACGTGCATGCGGATACTTGCGTAATACTAAGACCGGGCATGTGAAGACGGAGCCGCCTAAACCTTAATTAGCTATCGTGTGCGCAGAGCCAATGAGCTTGGGTACAGAATAGTGTGCGACATCCGGCAGTCGTAGAAATTTAAAGAGCTCGAGGTAATACATGGAGAGGGAGAAAATTGCTTTATCTGAACGAAGTGTCATTTCTCCTCATTCTTCTCGTAATAAGATGCTCAAGACGTTACCTGCCAGAAGACTTAACTCGCTCATTGGTGAAGTGCAGGCATAAAGCAAACATAATGCTGTGCACTGATACGGGCTCCGGCTTGTGCTCAAATTTATGATCGTAGCGAACTTGCTCGATTCAATCGGTCTTCCCATCCTGTCCCGGAGCGGGACTCTTCTCAGGAGGCTGCATCGACGAAACTCCCCGGAAGTCTGTTGACTGAGCAGCAGAGGCATGAGAAGGAGCTTGAATTCTCAGGGGTATGGTGTAGTTCTGCTGATGTGGAACGTAGTTTAAAGGGTGGTAGCTTTGCACTGGTACCGGAAAGTTGGCCTGGTAGTTCAGCTGTGGCGTCGTGTAGTTTGGAGAATAGCTCTGCGGCGGTATCGCGTAGCCCGCGTAGTTGAATTGCTGCGGCGCTGTGTAATCTGTGGCAGGATTCTGTCGGGCCACCGGATAGTAGATAGGATAGAACCCGTCCAGTGGTGCGTAAGGATTTGAAGGATAGCCCGGGTGCGGTGTGTGACGTCTTGCTGGCGGCAGTGGTGGTGGCGCGGTGAGTGCATGCCACAGTGCACTTGATTTTCCACCTTGTGCGTCTCCTTGCGAGGATGTCCTCTCGCCATGGACGAGGCACGAAGTTGAGCAGACATCCGACGACGCCCGGTCATTCGGTACTTGGCGCTGACTCAATGAGCCCGTAGAAACCCCGATCTGCAGTGAATTGTCGTAACCGTTTGGGTAGGGGGAAGACGTGGCGAGAGGCGGTGAAGGTGCGGTCACCGTTATCACTGGCTGACATGGTTGGCCATGGCTAGCAGATACCAAAATCGTGGCGGCACCCTGAGAGAAGGAATCCTGATTTGCTTTTCGACGCGATGATCGGATCGTTTGGCCAGAATTACGAGCAACTGAGAACCCGTGGATGACCCGTGATGGAGATTGGCCAGTGTTAAGTGAAGGTCTCTGTGCATCCGTTTCCCCTGACCTACGACGAGCAGGATTTTGCTGCTGTTGTTCCCCCTCTTGCTCATCCTGCTTCCGCTTAGCGCCTCCCAAGCTTCCGACATGGTAATTTTGTTCAGTGATACCCTGAGGAATGCCGATGACACCCCGACTTCTCTCCCGGATGTCCATCAAAGTTGCAACAGCTTCCAGGATACCCGCAGGATCACTGTTATTGATGATAGCAGTCTTGAGCGCGAGAGCGGGTTCGTTCTTGGACATGGCATCCTCGATAGCATCCATTCCCGCAGGAGCCTTCAGAACTAGCTCCTTAAGAGAGACCATCACCGCAAATCTCACCTCTTCACTACCGGCGTCAATCAAGACTCGAGTGAGCTCCCTAGCCATGTCCTTGATGAATTCTTTGGGGAAGACCTTTGCGGTAGCCTTCAATGATTTATGATCCTCGTCATTCCATCCAAAGCGCTCGGCATCACCCGCCCAAATCATAAGATCTACGCAGAATCTACGCAGCGGTGAGCCGCGTGGGACGCTGTCGTAGGCAAAGTGAACCGTATTATCACTGGGCAAAGGATGCCGTGCTGTTCCCCTGTATTCCTGAACCACGCGAACCAGAAAATCCATGACATCGTTCTGGAGCTGCACATCTCTAACAATAGTGCCCAGCGCGAAGAGGTAGAACAGATAGGCGTAGCGGGCCACATTTGGGTCGGTGATATAGAGCGGCGACGAGCAGGTGTCGGGTATCGAGCCGGTCTTGAGATACGCGATATATTCGCGGAAAACGGCGCGGAGATGGCCCGCGAAGCGGCGTGTGATGGTAACGGTATGCTGGCTGCGCAACTCTTCTTCAATCCACGCAGATCGACTTCCAAGCAGAGCTCGTGGAACTCGGAAGGACGCGCCAGTGACTTCTTCCGGCTTGCGAATGTTGATGGTCACTTCGACTGAAGTATCGGCGTGTGATGTCATGGTGTTTGCGGTCGCACGGAAGAAGGTCTCGCGGATTGAAAGCATCGAGGAAATGGAGGTTGATGGATTTGAGCGTGCATCAAGCTTGGCTGGCGCAGAGTCGATGATGGGGTTACTGGACGCCTACGCACGGATGGTTTTTGGTGGTCCAAGTAGGTTCGATGATGCTGTGTAAGGGCAAAGTTGCGTCGTAGCCTGCTGTTACGGAGTGCGCTGTTGTAAGTGGCGAATAAAATTTAGAATTAAGCTTCCTCTAGCCTCGGAGCGCTTTTGGGTCCGAGCGTTCACATGTGATGCTGCCAGGCTCTTCTCCATCAAACGCCCAAGCTCTTCTATTGCCGAATATGAATAAACTAACGGACACTCAATCGCAAGTCCACGATCTCGAATTGTGGTTGAGCAATGTGTGGCACCTCAGTTGGCTCGCGGACCGCCTGTATCTTACTCGCCAGACCGTCGATTCCGACTGCCCCGACGCAGGAAGTCTGTCCCGATGCCCCAAGGCAGACCGTCACGAAAGACTCCCTTGATAGACCATCTCTTGTTCCTTGTGTCCTGCATCTCTTCAAGAACCACCTCGCGATACGTCCCCTGCACCAGCGCCTTCGCGACATCATATTTCGGCCTCATAAGCCCTCCCATCAATTTCTGACAGAGATCCTTCATGAACTCGGGATGTAAATCCTCCACGTTTGTATTGTCCAAGCTTGACGGAAGCCCAGACATTGCAAACATATCCACCATCAGCCTTCGCCCTTGAGACGTAGGCAGAGTGCCGTTGTATATTATGTTCACAACGTCCATATGCGGTAACCATTCTATGCCATCTATCGCGTGGGGTGTGAAGCCTTTGATGAAGTTGTCAAGAATTTCGTTCTTGAAATCCAAATCTTGGAGGCGTTCGCCCAGGACGTACAACTCCGCGAGTGCATAGAAGTCGTGTGCTAGAAATTCGGATAGCGCGGGAAGTTGGAAGGGTGGGTGAAGGTATTGCAGGTATATTCTCACTGCGTCAGGATCTTCGTCCGCCAAGACTATGCTGCGATTTTGCGATTCAAGCCAGGCTCCGCTAAGGGCAGCTGTGAGAAATTTGGAGCGATTGTGGAGAAGGAATTCGGAGACTTGAAAGCGAGCTCGATTGGGGCCAACCTGAGAGAGAAATTAGTAGATATTCCGAGATGCGTTGCTGATCGCTTGTCTAGGCAATTTCGCACCAGAATTTGGACCTTCTCATCGCCCGGAAGCGGTCCACGCATAGGGAGGACATGCACATAGGTCCTTGCGACAGCTACAGCCGGTCCATAGGTGCTCGTTTGCACCCGCATGTGCACTGGGAAAGGCGGTGCCATGGTCTCTGACTGTGGTGTCAAAATTTTCAATGTCGAGAATGAATTGGCCAAAGGGGTTGTGAGTCCATCTGCCAAGAGACGTGTTTGGCTCATGCGGAGAAGCTCCGTAGGTAATCTGTGTTGTGAGGAGTACCTATTGTTTGCAATCGAACACGCTTCGAACGAGGGAGACTGGGATGCAAAGGTCATGTGTGGTCCGCTGAAAGCTAGCCGTTGAAGCGTGGTATCCAGAAATGACGTCTGCCATTGAATATTTTGCCCGCCAGACGTCTGAAGGGGTGACTCTCGCACTCAAGTCGCTTACCTGTTGAACGCTGAGAGCTAAGATGCTCCACGCGGCGGAAACTGGCTCTCTTTTACCTCACCGTCCTTCGCGACCCGAATGAACCTCAGAACGGCCAGACTCATCCACTCGCCAGCCCAACCATCCAGCTTCACCAGCGTCTCTTCATCCTGTAGATTCGGAAACCACAGCCCGCTCTCATACTCCTGCGCTTCTGCTTTGACCTGCTGTTCGAGCAGCGTCTGTCTGTTGGATGGCGGCCGTCCCGGTCTTCGCTCCGCCTTCAGCTGAGCCAGCTCTTCGTCGTGGCGGGCGAGAAACTGTTGAACGAGATCCCTCATCTGGGCCACATCCATGGGGTGCAAGGTGGCAGGAAGATGGTCCTGGAAGAAAGCGATGCGGTCCAGCCACGGCCGATTTGCTTGCTGCCTTGTCGCCGTGATCCGGGCGACTCTCTCGTCTCTTGCTCCGGCTTTGCGTAGACGCTGCGCATCTCGACTGTTCTCGTGCAGCGCATTGATCCTGGCGCCCTTCTTCTTCGACACGTGCTTCTGCACTTTGTTCAATTTCGAAGGCATTTTGATTGGCTTCTCGAGGTAGAGAATGCAAGAGAGATGTAGGTTCTTCTTTCCTTGCGCAGACGGAAAATAAAATTCATGAAGTGCTCTGGCCGAGCGGCCGCAGAGTCCGGTCCGTGTGCGCGCTAGCGGCCGCGGCCGCCGGCCCTTCCCGCTCCGAAGCCAGACGCGTGCTGCGGCGCGTAACATTATGCATCTTCCTTCCACGACTTCCTTCCCACTTGCTTCTGCTCTCGACCAAGATCTTTCCTCCACCATTCAACGTGTATGATCTGCTTGACGGCCGTGTACGATATGATGAGCCGCTTTTGACGAGATCGCCCACTACTAATTCACCACGGGTAAAATGGGCATCCAAGGTATGCGAGATGGGACCCGTGACGGCTGTGAGTTGGATATCGAGGTCTAACACCGCATCAAGGACTCTTGCCGCTGCTCAAGAGCATACACAAGCCCACACACCTCCGTAACTTCTCGGGACAGACACTCGGCGTCGATGCTTATGGCTGGCTGCACCGCGGCACGATATCCTGTGCTATCGAGCTGGCCGAGGGCAAACCAACGAGGAAACACATCGACTTCGCCCTGCATCGAGTACGCATGCTCATTCACTTTGGCGTCAAGCCGTATTTGGTCTTTGATGGCGACTACCTACCCAGCAAAGCACATACGGAGAAGGAGCGTGCTGCTCGGCGGAAAGAGAGCAAGAGAGTGGGTCTGGAGTTGCTCCGGATGGGCAGGCCATCTCAGGCACATCAAGAACTTCAAAAAGCCGTCGATGTGACGCCTGCCATGGCGCGCGAGCTCATTGAAGAGCTCAAGCACCTTGACGTGCCCTATGTTGTTGCTCCCTACGAAGCAGACAGCCAGCTTGCGTATCTCGAGAAACAAGGCGTGATCCAAGGCGTTGTGAGCGAGGACTCGGATTTGCTCGTTTTCGGTGTCAACTGCCTTCTCACCAAGCTGGACCAATATGGAGAATGTGTCATGATCAATCGCGCTGACTTCACCGCTTGTAAAGACATCAGTCTCGTCGGTTGGACCGACAAAGACTTTCGCATCATGGCTATGCTGAGTGGATGTGATTACCTTCCGGGGATTGACAAGATGGGTCTCAAAACGGCTTATCGTCTTGTCAGAAAACACAAGACTGTCGAGCGAGTGGTGCGAACAGTGCAATTCGATGGCAAGATGAAGGTCCCCGCTGGATACCTCGAGGCTTTTCAGAACGCCGAGCGGACTTTCTTGCACCAGTGGGTGTTCTGTTCAGAGAGCCAATCTTTGTTGCATCTCACACCGCTTCCGACCGGGACTACTGCCAGTAGCCTGCCTTATATCGGGAAGCATGTAGAACCAGAAGTGGCTGCAGGCGTTGCGAGCGGTGATCTTGATCCAAACACCAAGCGACCGATCCCAATGCCAAATCGATTTCAGAATCGGGCTACTCGTCATCAGGTAGTACACACGCCGAGTGAGAAGGCTGGCAAGCCCATCACTGAGTTCTTCAAGAAGCGCACGCCCCTTGCAGAGCTGGATCCTAACTCTTTCACACCCTCTCCATCTCAACAACGCCTCTTGCAGACGCAAGAAACCTTGTCCTGGTCAGCTTCTCAAGTGCCCACTTCTCGTGTATTTGGGCAGACGCGTGCTGCAAACTCCTCTGCACCTTCTACAGCGCCTGCTGCGTTTAGGAGGACTGCAACCAACCCCTTGCCATTTACTCGTCGAGCATCGCCCAAGAGACAGCGCTTATGCTCTGAGAACTCTGCTCTTGCGACTGCTATGAATGGGACCGAAGACGTGCGAGGGCCAGCCACCAGTCGCTTCTTCGCTCCAACTCCCTCAGCTCGCAAGAAGTCAAATCGAAACGAGCATGACGAATTTGAGTTATGGTCCGACGACTCTACTGCAGAAGCTGTGGTCGCTGCAGCCGCTGCTCCGGATGCTACCCCATCATTAGGAGCTTCATTGGCAAGGAAGCGAAAGAAACTCAATGTGTTTGTTGACACGACAGTTGCAGAGATGGACGATAGCGTGGGCGATATCTCCCAAGAAAGTATCCCAACCACTGCCACTACAGCATCCCGGGAACCCGCCATCATTGATACACCAGATATGTCTCTCGCCAGCGTAGAATCGTCAGAAGTGGAGGGCGCATCTAGCGAAAGGATCAGAGCAAAGATTTCTGCATTTCGACATGGCTCTGGGACACCTGTACGTACATCGCCACCACGGACGAAGTCTGCACCTGTACTTGCCACTACACCATTGCAGAATGTCAAGCCCCTAGAAGGGACTGCCGACGAGCAAGACATTGGGAGATCTGGTGCAGATGTGGTTCCTTGCTCGTCACCCTTGCTTGCTCAAATCTCATCGGAGGGAGTAGGAGAAGGCGCCGACGAAGAGCTTGACGACATAATCGATGATGCCGAGTGGCAGGAAATTGGAAGAAAGACTGTCCGCCGTCGAGAAAGCATCATCATTCAAGGCAGCGAAGACTTTTTGGTACCTGAGAGCCCCGAAAACACAGTCGAGGATGAAGGCTCCGTTACAAAGCTGAGTTTGCGCAAGTTCGCATACGCTGTGTGATCTTTGCTCGACGTGACCTGCCCGTGGTCGAACGCGAGATGAATGTGCAAGAGAGGGATTATTACTGCGGTGGAACGATGGATTGCCATGTAATGCTGTTGCCTTAAACAAAAGCATCGAGATCAAATTCGTGCTTATGTGCAAAACGCAATTACCCCATCAAGTGAACATGACTTTCCATTCCCCGTGCATGGGGAGTTCTAGACGAACGAGTCAGTCGTGTGCGACCGTGCAATGGCTTCTCTCAGAACTCACCGAGTCGCAAGGATACGAGAAGCCAGAAGGGCCGTGGCATGTACCAAAGGTACCTCCCGAGGGAGGGCTACATGTCTGCAACGCTTTAATTAGAGAAGTAAGTTAACAAGAGTAGGGGAACTGTACATAGGCGGCGGCGAAAGGCGCAAGAAGGGCGAAGAGAGCCGCAACTGTAGAAGTGAATTGCATCTTGACTGTTTCTTGTGGGGTAGGTCTTGTTCGATGGTAGTTGTCAATGGTTTCTCTCAGAATTCGAAGCACGATAGCAAGGAGAAAGAAACGTCCTTTATAAACTTGCTAGAGGTAAGTACCTACCTACTAAGGGGCTGCGCAGTTGCTCCGGAAGCTCCGGATAGGTCTCAGACCGCGTTCGTACCTATTCGTTTAGCGTGGAACATCTCACCAGGGTCAAGCTAAAGGCTTAGCAAGGCTATGCGCGTCATATTCCTTCGTATCTTTAATGACGAACGTAACAGGATATAGCTTAATCCTAGGAGATACTAGATGAATTGCGTCACGATTGTTGGCGTATATCACTATCCTCAGTAACCGCTGACGAATAGACGTGGGACGCTGATGCTGGTTAAGACTTATAGCTAGGTATCCTTAGGTATGGCACCCACAGCACGCCAGCCGTCTGTGCCCGCGTCGCAGGCTCTCGCAGATGAAGATTCAGCCTCTGTCCAGAAACACGGATTACAGGGCATAGACCCAGGAAGATCTTGATCTCCCTGACGGTCTAGCATCGTATCGATACATATGTACTAGCAGGCCCTGTCAGCATACGAGTCATTGGTACGCGATATCCACTCAGCCTCGGAGTGAGACATCCCTCTAGGCTAAGGCTTAGGCGATCGTCTCCGGACTTATTAAGCAAAGCCTTGTTAATCATTGGTTGCATATGGTTGTGTGTGTGCGCGTCCTCATTTGGAGAATCCCAGGACGTTGTTCGGTATCAGTCCGTCCATGTACAGGGTCCGCCGGCAGTATACAATCTTTTTGAGGGCTTGCTGAACTTCGGATGGCAAGAGTCTTGCTATTTCCAGCGAAAGCAACTGAGGTTGTAGCCAGAGGGAACTTCCGGGAAATCGTACGAATTCGGAGAGAAATCATTGTTCGAAATGCAAAAGACACCCTCGCGTCTCCAGATTGTTGTATTGGTCGTCGTAAGGAGAGACGTGGATTTCCGGACTCTGAGGGTCCATCAGTCAAGATCAGTAGGAGAAGTTCGCATACGTACCATTGGATGTCTGTGCGCTGCTCTCAGTCGTTGCTTAGACTTGAGAGGCCACCGAGTTTCTCTTATGTCTTTCACTCCTTTCACTCGGTTTCGAGCCAAAGTCGGGATGTTGAAGCAAGCAGACTTTCGCCTCTCCTTGCTTCCGGTAGCTCGATTCCTCTCTACGCCAAAGCAAGAAAATATCCACCTGAAGCGTGCCACGGAAACAAACGCGATACTCGTGGTGTATGGCACCAATAGCCCCTCCCGGCGTCTAGGATACGGGCTCTGGCCAACGGCAATTGCTCTTCAATCCGTCGCATCCTTCAAACAAGCCTGGTATCTAGGCTTTGACACTGTGTCCGAGCATGTCGGGTACCGCCTCCACCTTCGGAAGGAACAACTTAAGCTTCATAGACCGGGACATCCCTTCACCAACCATCGACTCTGCTCCGTGGACAACAAAACACCCGCGACCGACTTCTAAAAGCAGGCTTCGAATAGTACAAACGCGGGTTGTTTGCAGCATAGAGAGCTTTGTACCTGCAGCGCCCCACGTGCACGGCGCACGAGGCTTCAATCCGAACTGATAGTCACTTAGATAACGAGGTTATCCTTCCTTATACACGAGTTCGGAGACTTCGAAGGTGCGTCGTCACTACGACTCGTATGACGGGTCTACAAAGGCCACGTCTACCTCCAAACTACGCATTTACAGAATGGAACGCTCCTCTTACACATCCTCCAGGCCAGTCGAGAAAGATGCGACGAGGAACAGGGCAAGGATCATGAGAAAACCAAAAACACTTTTATGAACCTCTTTTCACGACCGCAATAATCGGCAGCACTGCATAAAAATCAAAAGATCAAGCGGCGCACCCCCAAGTAGAGCAGCAAATCCTCCAACTTTCTCTCAGCCCTGTGGTCACCCGACCGCCACGTGTGGTTCGTCATGTGCTCCCCGAAAGCTTTCATCCCCAACAAGGCCATGATGGCAGCTTTCACTTCATCTTCCGCCTCTTCAACCATAACATCAACAGGAAGTCTCCTCCCAAGCATCGGTCCCACCAGCTCTTCTCCCTGCAAAACCATCGCCATCCTACCCCTAAGCGGCACAACGGTAAGCGCCACCGCCGTCCCCTCGACAACATTCCTAGCCGCCGTCGACGGAACCACAATTTCCTTCCGAGCACAGGGAATCACTCTCTCCGACGGCCAGGCCTTCTCCCTCGGGTATGACGGTCTAGTAGATTCCACTGCTACGGGGACATATATGCCCGTGAGTCTGACCTTTTTTTCCTCTCTCTTCTCTTCTCAATCCCAGAAAACGAGAAAACACTGCTGTTGCTGTTTTCCATCACGGCCAGTTCCGTGACGCGGAAATATGATCCTACGCCCCCATCCTACTGCTTCGATTGTTCTGACGCATGGTCGGAGCGGAGAGTTCTTGGGTGGTTTCGGTCTCGATGGAGGGGCCCTACGGGGATTGTTGTTCCTCCGACCTCGTATGGGCTGACTTCTTCGGGTGGGATGCAGGTTGCGGGGCCGGCGGGGACGACTGCTACGGATAGTGTTAGTACGATTACGGGTATGGGGAATGCGAGTACGACTGCGGGGGCTTCTGCGGCGACGAATGCGACGAATTCGGCGCCGGTGTCGACGATGGGTAACAGTGGTGCGCCGGGGAGGTATGAAGGCGGTGTAGGATTGGGAAAGTGTGTTGTGCTGGCTTTGGGTGTGTTGGGTGTTTTTGGCCTTTGATGATGGGGCAGGTGCCTGAGGAGGTCATATGAGTGATGGTGTACGTTAAGATTGTACTTTGACCCGTAAGTCAGAAGAGCAAATGAGAATGGGAAGGAGAGTCGGACGTATTGAATGAGCAGCACTTAGAGAGCCATAACATCTCACAGTGCATTGGAAGTTGGCTTAATGGCTCCATGATCCTCATCAATCCCTCTCGCTGACAAGACAGGTTTCTTCTGGAGTTTCATTCTGGTACACCATCATCGCCTTAACATGACCTGGTCCCTGACGATGCTGTTCCAGTCTCTCGAGAGTTTATTTGATATTGTATGTTTCTTTAGGCTGCGGCCAGACTCCAATGTCGAAACTATATCCGCGACTTTTCAATTCCACGGCGCAAGCAATCATTTTTGACGCATTTCACAGAGCTCCGTGCTTTCGTGTGACTTGACTGTGACGATATGAACTCGCGCAGTTGTCGGTAGCTCTCCAATTATATCAACTCATACCACTTCGGCCCCTGACCCCTTGATTCAGACATCTCGCAGGCTTGACGTGGTGTGACGCCGTGTATGTAGCACTCTCCAACAAGTCGGTACTGCTCGCCGTATTGACGAAGGACAAAGAGCTGGCGGCTTGCGTTGAATGCCACGATCTGATCTCCCTTCTCCGTAATCCTTGCACCAACACCGACCCAGCCCCGGGCAGTCGAGAAGAAGCGACGGTTTCGGCAGTACTTATACATAGAGTCTTGGTACATGTAGGCGAGAGTATCTTCGTCGTCGTCGTCGGTATCAGGCTGTTCGGATCGAGGCCGATGTGGTAATCGCCGATTGTGAGCGAGGAAGTTGCAAAATTGGTCGAATCGACTGTCGCTCTCGCCTTGTTCTCCTTCATCCTCGGACGGCTGGGTGCAGAGCAATGCCCCGTCCAGAACAAGGCCTGGAGTTGGAACGTATCTCGCGCCTTTCGTTGCTACAGCAACATTGTGGACGTCTCGAAGCCAATCGAGAATGTATTGATATCCTTTTAATTCGACGAACCATTGCGGATTGATCCATCCACTTGTGCGCAGCGCGACTTGATCGAGACAGCAACCAAGCACGCGAATATTTCCGCGCCGCGTCGATTGCACTTCGGCTTCACTTCGCGGCGGCTCTGGTGCCTCAGAACGAGGAAGATACAAAGGCTCGGCTTCCGCGTCGAATCCTAGGTCCCAATGAGGCAACCACGACCGCCAGCTGGAGTCCTCGAGTTCTTGGGTCGTGCGATGCCAAACTTCAGCGAAGATTCGATCGACATGACGCGCTTCCTGGAGCGCGTACCGCGTTGCATCTCGCAAGACAGCTTCTATGGGCTTCGCATAGTCCGGGCGCAGATCGGCAGGTACACCGTTCCAAGTGCAGGACATCATTCCTAGAACTCCGTACACATGATCGCGTGGCTCTTCAGATTCCAAATCCCGAGCAAATGATAAGGCGTCTCCAACGTACATATCGCGAGGTCTTTCGCGAGAAACGTGGATTTCAGCCATTAGGTCGATAGGGTCGATGAATTCCACCCACATCCGCATCATGCCGATTAAAGCATTCCAGACTTCGACAGGGATGGAGGAGCCATTTCTGCAATTGAACCATACAGCAGCCCTGCATACGTCTAGTAGGCTTATGGACAACTCCCCGTAGAAGCAGCAATTTCGAGGTGCAAGTATCGCCTCTTGCCTTACCCATAGCCTCCTGATAATGTCTCTCGTTAGCAACATAATTTTTCATAGCAAATGACGTACCTGAACCAAGGTACACTCCAAAACCTATTCCAAGCGTTTTCATGCTGAGGTGGTGTATGGGAAGAGAATTCGTATCGACATTGGCCATTTTCCTCCAAGACACTACTTCTCAGGTCCTCGAAATTATTGGTCTCCCTCGCCGCTTCTTCTAGGACATTATGTATGCATTCAAGTGCTTCGGGGGCACTGTCGCTTTCTCCAAGGTAAATGAGATTTCCTTGACTCTGGCCATAGACCTTGTTCATTATCGCGACTTGCTGTTGCCTTTCGTCCCGGTTGGCCTGATTGATACAGACAGCATCAATCCAGAGCATGCGGTTCGAGTCCTCCAGTCGCATGCGTTTGAGTGCCATGTATGAACTCATAGGCACATCGAAAGCATGGCCATCAAGCTCAATGGTATGACGCTGAGTCGCGTCTCCCCAGCAGTAGGAGATGGTTTCATATTTCGTCTCTGGCTCTCCTAACCGGCGGTGGTGTGTCTTACAACGCAAAGGATCGGAGTACTGTCCAGCGTACACCTCGAGAACGCGGATCTGTTTGGCTCTCGATTTCAAGGGTCGATAGATGGTTTCGGTATGGTTTTTTCGAAAGCGTTCGAGAAAGTTCCTCAATGAGTCCATGGTGTCCAAGAGGAACAGTTAAACAGAGAGAAGAGAATACAGCTGTAGCCCCATCTTTATAAAGGCAGTGTGGGTCTCACAGCCTTACTGTCGCTGCGCCAGCTCCCCTGTAAGCGATACGATATTAGATTACGCAGGCCACCCACATGCAAGTCGCTCACTACGCGCCAAAATGATTGGCTGCGTAAGCATCTCGCCGCCCAAAACATGCAGCAAGAAGAAACCATATGGGAGGATTGATGATGTAAGAAGTTTGAAGCAGGAAAGCAGAACAAAGAGCAAGACGTGAAGTTATATGGAAGCTTCATGCCTGAGGCTTTAGGTAGCGCTAGACCGTAATGGCCGAGGTCACGTGTAAGCTCGGTTGGCAGTGGAGTGCCAGCAGTCATGGACGGGATGCTTCCAAAAACTTCATCTCATCATTCCAAGTCCCATCATGGTCTACATACAAATCTCATTACCCTTCTCTCTCAAATGGAAACAGTGAGATAATATGCTACTCTACATCCACCTCAAAAGCACCGATTCCGTTCCAGAAAGGCAACGACCCCAGGGGGATATCTCTCCCATGCCCATCCCCATTCCCATTCCCATTCCCATACTATTCCAACTCAAACTCTCCCACTCAGAAAGCATAAAGAACAAAAACACCAACCGAAACCCCTTCGAATTCTTTTCCTTGGTCCCATCATGCATCCCATTCCAGCTAGCACTATGCTGTGAACTCCCCCAACTCAAAAAAAGTGTTGACGATGCAAACACACCCATGTCAAAAGCATGTTTGCCAGAAAGAACACAGCCCCCTGTGTCGTGAGTCGCAGCTTTTCTTGTTCATCATCCCATTTCATCTACAACCGTCCATGCCTCGCCTTGAAAATAGCAACCTTGTCATCATAAAACAGAATCTCCCTCAACCGCAGTCTCCCCACAATCTTCTCCGCCAAGGCCTCTCCTTCCCCTTCGGAATCGGTCTCGTCATCGGCATCATCGTCGTCGCTTTCTGTGTCGTCTTCTTCGACTTCGTCTTCCGCTTCGTCCACTTCTTCGTCGTCTTCTCCATCTTCATCATCGTCTCCGTCGTCACTAGCCGGGATCTCCACAGGAACGCTATGGCCAAGAGCGGATTCGCTGCGTTCGCTGAAGCTCTGACGACCGTTCTCGAGGATTTCGAAGCATTTGTTGGCGATGCCCATATAGCAGAGTTCGACTTCGGGTCGTAAGGCAACGATGTCGACGATCTGGAGTGCTAGTTCGCGCGGGTCCACGTTGGCACCATGTACGTGGTCGGCCAAGAATGGTAGAAAGAGGGAGCGTAGTTGGGGTACCGACGGCAGACGCTGGAGGAAGAAGTGCTACGGCGAGAGTTAGTATGGCCGAAGGAATGACTAGTACGAAGACAACTTACCCAGTCTCGATAGTCGATGGCCATGCCCAACTCGCGTAAAGATGCCATCTTGCCACTGCAAATGAATGCCAAGACCTCACGGTTAAGCATCCACCTTCGCCATCTACTCGAATTTGAATGCAGACCATCCGGATTCTTGTCCGAACTATCGATCATGAGCTTTTTCAAGCTACCACGATGTCTCCGTATCGGACCACGAAAGATAGCGTCCACCTGGACGTTCGAGGTATAGCTGCGAGCTTCTTGGAGAAAGAGTACTTCAAGGCTGTTGGGTGCCAAGGTTTCCTTCAAGAACGTGATCAGTGCGGGTGACACCGTGTTAGTGTGAATTTTCTTTAAATTCAGCTTGTACTCCAGCTCGATGTCGGCAGCCGCGTGTTTGCCTTTCTTGGGAGTGTTGGTCGAGCGTCTTGGTGAAGGATAGGTGGGCGATTTTGGCGTTGGCGCAAATTGCTTCCGAAGAGTCTTCCAGAGCTGCTCGTGGTTCGGACAATGCAGCAGTGTGATCGAGGTAAGTCGGCCCCAATCAATTACTTTCTGGAGGACGGGCACAGACAGTGGTATCCGCTCAAGCTCCAAGCTCTCCAGACCCAAAACGTTGCTCAGAGGCGGCGTTTCGTCATCCAGAAAATCTCGTGGTATAGCCTCGCCTTCGGTGGGAGATGGTGGAAAGACTTCGTGCGGCTCAGGCCCGGAGATGATGCTTGTTGCGGTGCCATCCATGACGGCAAGAGCGTTGTTGATGTAGGGTAAGTTTCCAACAATGGGAGAGAAACCCGGTGATTCCGGCTCATTTCCAGGCGCTTCGGATATCACGTCCGGAAAGCTCGTGAGGCCGGTAGTGTGGGGAGCGAGTGGCTCGGGTGAGGCTGCCTGTGATTGAGGTACACTGCTGTGACTCGAATTCAGATCGACAACCTGTGCCCTGCTGGAAAGCCTTCGATGGCGCGTCCGGTCGGGCAGTGAAGTTCGCGGTCTCCGCATGTCGTAGACGAAGCCTGTCAGTGTGCCCAAGACGCCTCCTAAGCGCTTCTCTCCAATGGTCAGAGATCCTGCAACAGGATGCTCTGGGTCTACCTGTTGAACGCTTTCGCCTTCCCAAACTCTGACCCAATCTCTTGTCAATGTGTGCCTCGCAAGACCCACGCGCAGCTCTCTCAACTTCTCCACAGACTTGCCAATCAGCACTGCCATTTCGTCAAGATAGGTCAGCTCATCGATGTCCAGTACGCTGAGGCTCTTCAAAGGTGGCAAGACAGAGAAGGACGGGTGTTCTACACGTGTCAAAGCAGCCGCGTAGTATTGGGGCAATGCGGTTGGCAGACCTATAGGCTGGAGATGAAGGGGCCCAGGGGTGATGTTGAGTGGTAGCGGAGGTGGGACAGGGTTGACAGCCTCTGCCGAAGTGTTGTCATGCCATCGCACCCAGACCTTTTCGAGCTTGCAGGGCTTCCCACCATCCCGGTCACCAAGGGAAGACAGAGCCAGCCAAACGTCCCGTAAGATTCCAGTTGGCATGTCCCAAATGAACGTCTCCAAAGATCGCATGCGCGCCACGGCTATCGCAACCAGCGTTCCCAGCATCTTTCCGCCTTCTTTCGTGATAAGATACTCCTGTACCCAATCCGCAGGCCCGTTCCCCAGCGAAAACTTCTTTGTGAACTGAGCGTAGTGGTTTCCTCTTCTTCTCCGAATTGAAGTCTCAGTAGCTCTTCCGTGCCCTGTCTTGCTAAACCGATTTGTTGGCTGATCTTGCTGTTGTCGCTGGCTCGGTGCTTCCCCAAATATCTCCTCGGCCATTACCAGGGTCGCGAGTCCATATGTCAGCGCGTCCACGCCAGATCTGGGCTCTGCATGCGTGCTGCTGTCCGGCCACACAATGTCAAATCGCGAGTAGATGTGGGGCGTGGTGAGACGATGCAGCGCGCTGTGGCAGAGCGCGAGCGAAGTCAAGTCATTGGTATGCGTGACCTCCTTGACGATGTCCTTGAGAATGTCCACAGGGAGGTCCAGCAGCCGCAGCGGCTTCTTCTTCTCCCGCTCCACTGTCACCGGCTCCTTGCCCTTGAACATGCGACTTGACCTCAACCGTGGACCCGGCAGCTCGTTGTCGTGGCAGTCCTCGTGGAATCGCGCGCCAGAACTCTTCAAGTCCTTGACGCTCATCTCGGGCGAGTGGTTTGGTGTTGGCATGGGCGGCATGCTGACGGTGGGTTTGGGGACCTGAGAAGCTGTGATTGCGAAGTGGGCGTGTCCATGCCGCACATCTTCTTCATATGGGGTGGAGACCTCGTTGGAGGGCCCCGCCACGGTTGCAGCGGAGACCGCGGCAGCCTCCATTCACGCGCTGAAGCTCGCCCGCGGGCCCCGTGCGTGGTTGGATTATTCACTCTCTGGGTCTGTGCTGTCTGTCGCTATGCCCGCGCTCCTCCCAGACTCACTCAGTTCAACGCTGCATCGATGTCGGAGTCGCTCGCGGCGGCGTGAACCTGCTGGCCGTGGGTATGTGTCGCTGAAGATGAAACGCCAGTCATCTACCAGACATACGCCTTAGGTATGGATGTGGGGTTGGTGGTGGCGTCGGTGGTGGTGGTGGTGGTGGTAGGCTCGTCAACTGATCTCGGCCGTCGTGAACAGGGATTCCTGTTGTTCGCTTCCCCGACCGGACCCGAGCTCCGGCCCTAGCGTCAAACTCTAATCGCACATTCTAGTCCCTGTAAGGCAACTACATCTCCATTGCCTGTACCACTGCATGAAGCCTTTCACACACACACACACCACATGTCGATCATCACTCTCTTCTTAGCCTCAATCACAGAGTCATGTCTGGTACAATGCCATACCGCGCAGTCCGTATGACCTGACGAAGCGTCTAGTCCCGTCCTTGGGCGCTTCACATGAAAGATGGAAGTGAAGTGAGCAAGCCATGTCTACGTGCTCTCTCTCCTCCATCAGCAGTATTTGTTCTGGAGAGCACTGACTACTGCAGTTTAAAATGACAAACCCATTGCAGGCCCAGATAAATACAACAATGCAGGTTGCCATCTGTCCTGCATCGCCAACATGACAGCAGATCTACGCCGTGCGGGAAAAGAAGCCATTGAGTATACCTGACAAGATCAAAGTCCCCGCCTCACATGCTAGCGCTTTGACGTGGTACGTGCTTTGCATACTTGGTTCCGCACCTGCGAAGCGGCTCTGCTCTCTTAGCTTCCAACACACGACGAGATTACAATGTCCTACAGCCTTTCGTCGAGCCGCATCAGAATTTGGCAACGCCCATGCCAGCGTTTGAGTCCACCTTACACCAGTCTCAAATCTGCAACCTCTAAACCAAAGCTCGTGGTCAAGCTGAAAGTATCGCGGGACAGCCTCCGTCGTCTTCAGCGCCTCGGGTGCCCTCCAACGCACGGCCGAGATAGGTCATCTACATACTGGCCACGCGTACCAATGGTTTGGGGCGAGGGAAAGTAAGATCAGCTCAAACCAACAGGCATTTTCCACTTTCTGACAAAACCAACAGCTACCGTACGGACGGCGTTTTGGTCGTCGTGGGTCCTGACAATCAAGTAACAACATTCCTGATGAGACAGGAGCTTCTGGCCAAAGCGGGGGCAATCATTCCGTCCGCTGCCCAGGAAGACCTCCTGGCACGCACCGGGAAGTTCAGTGTCCTCAAGAATGTCGAACCCGACCATTTCAACCTCTACATGAACTGGCTCAATGTCTCCATCATCCCGCCGCGCAACCGTGCCGACGAGTACGCTGTCCTCTCTAAGCTGTGCATTCTCGGTACACAAATCCAAGATTGGAGATTCCAGGATGCGGTCATTGATGCTCTGATCGACAAGTTCAAGAACAGCATCGTCCCTCTACCTGATGCCACCACTATCAACGAGATCTTCAACGGGCCCATTCAGTCACAAGCACTTCAGAGGCTGGTGGTCGGGATGTACGCCCGTCGGCCCGCGAAGATCGCCTCCTTGACTGACAGCCTTGTTGCGGAGTTCTGGCAAGCGCTAGCGCAATCTCTCGCGGCGAAAGCGGGTCCTCCCAGTGAGGAATTCAGCGAAGAGGAGGTTGCAACCATCAAGCGTAGTGGCGATCCGCTAGAGTCGGATACGAAGAGGCGAAAAACTGAACGCTCAAGCGTTGGGGACGAATACACGACAAGTACCAGGACAGCAACAGACCGCAAAACCGGCCGGGAAATGCATGAGGCTAGAAGACACGCAGAAGATGTCTTACAGTCTCCTGCCCTAGCCAAAGCCCAACTCAGGAGAACATATCTTCGACGTCGGCCTATCACATTCTCATTGGCCCGGTTTCCTCTTCTCACTTGCTTACTCAGCGCGGCCGAACAACCTAGCCCCTTCCAAATTCCCAGGAAATCCCAACAGCAAACCAACCAGGCGAAATTTCTCAGGATTCATCTTCGGACCCGCTCACATCCACTTGGCACTCACCGTGCCAATACTCCAACGAAGCGAAAGGAAAACGATCCGGAGTATCAAAGTATGCAGGAACGCAGAGGAATGAAGGAGGCGGCATACCCAACATCTCCATCACGGTAAAAAGGCCTGAGGCCCGCGTTGACATGACACGCATGCGAAAGTGATAGGCGTTGCAACTTCGAGATTCGTGGGCGCGAAAGCCCAAGAGCAACAACCAAAAACCAAGGGAATCGATCGATATCCTATACTGCAGTCTACCTGTTTAGCAAGCTCTCCACGTTTCATTCGTGGCCAATACCCCTCCCAACACTTTCCTGTATTGCTGCAAAACTCCTCGCGGAGCAGCAGCTTCATCGAAATAATTTCGGTTCTCCCATTCATTGAAAGGACCTCGTCTTCTGGACCGAGAAGTGAGAAGGTTCAGATCGTAAGAATCATCGTTGTCGTCGTCGTCGTTCCGTCTGCGTCTCCCTTGGCGTTGTCTGGTAGTGATTCTTGGCGACAGCTGGCTGTGAAGCTCGGTGAAGACTTGTCTTCCTGTTCTTCGGGAGCTTCGAGCTCTCTGCGGTCTGCTTTGCCTTCTCTCACTTCCCCTCATAATCCTGGTATGATAAGACATTACTCATCGCATCCTTAAAAAGAAAAAAGAAAAATATCTCTTGACTTTCCAGCTTCTTCCTCTCATTCAAGGCGCAAACAACGCAGTCGCATTCATCATGCCTCCCAAACTCGCCATCGCCTCTGCACCCGAGCTCTGCATCACCCCGGCACTAGCGACATCCAAGCGATGCATCCTGTGACTCCCGGTAATGTAGTACGCCAATCGCTGCAAGCCGGTAATCGTAGTCTTGGGCAGATAGTAGTAGACGGCGCTGAAAAGCAATGCCAACAGAGACATGACGACGATATTGTAGGCGAGTTTCTCCCCGGGGGACATTACGTAGAGGGCGGTGTTGATCTCGTAGCGGTAGTAGGCGAGTTGGAATTGGTAGCGGGTTTCGGTGAGGAGGTTGGCGTTTTTGGGTCGTCGCGGGAAAGGAGGGGGATTGTAGGTCGCCATGTGTATTGATAGATATTCGAGATGCGATTATGGGTCCTGGCGGTGGAGGATATGTCTTTTTCCCAATGAATGGATGGATGGATGGATGGATGAATCACGACTTCTTCGCTCTGTTGCACGAAACAAACGCCAGAGCGTCGCGTGAGAGTGGAATCGTGTCGTCGAGCTTTCCAGAAAATTCAAGGGGAGGAGAAAGTTGCGGTGAGTGACTTCCAAGGCACAAAGAAGTGACCAAGTTCAGGACATCTAGCAACAGCCAAGGTTTCAAACAACGAGCAGCGTTCAAGGAAGAAAGCGAGCCGCGCAGGTTGTTGCCGGCCAGGCGAATGCCCTTTTCATTGCGGCGGATGGACCGGGAATGCCGGGCCGCCATCACATCATCGCGTTGCTACTACATCAACGTTCTGCGTCATTGTACGGAAGCAATGAGGATGCTGACATCAACACACCAATCCAGGAAGATGGGAAAAGAAGATGCGGCTCTGCGGTAGACATGCATGGGAGACATCCTTGTTTGTCCGTTGCGGGTATGTGTTTCGATTCACAATGAATTCTTTGGTTTTCCTGCGAGATTCGAAGATCTTCAGCATGAGGTTGAGCGGGAAGGAAACAAGCAATTTCACCCTCGCCGATCACAAAGTCGGCAGCAAATCCTTGGCATAACGTCGGGCTCCGAGACATCGGAGAATTCGCGGAGATGCGGCGGAGATGGAGCGGCAAGTCACGTTTCTTCGTGATCGGAGAATCATGCAACCCAAACGCGACATCAACCACACCGCGTCTATACCACCACCACCACCACCACCACCACCATCACCACCACCACTCTCCCGCTCCTACAAACCAAGAATGGCCACCTCAACAACCCCAGCCACCGACCCTCCCCACCACCACAGCACCTCTCACTCGCACTCCCGCTCCCGCTCCGGCGCCATCCCCTCCCGCCCAACAACCCCGCTCCGCCCCCCCTCGCGCACATCCCTCCGCGCCTCGCAAACCACCCCAACAACAACAGCCGCAGCAGGCGTCAAACTCGGCCGAGACGACCTTCCCCCCCTCGCCACACTCGAGCCGGCATTCGGCGAATTCAGCGACGCCATGGCCGATCTCGAAGCGAACATGATGCACCTCCAACTACTCCACGAATCCCTCGGCCGCTTCAACGAGAATTTCGGCGCTTTCCTCTACGGCATGAATATGTCTGCTTTTTGTGTGGATTTTCCGGAAGTAATACCACCCCTCCTCCCATATCTCCCTCCCCCTTACTTTATATCTCCTCAACTAACTCGTGCAAAAATCCCCCAGGCTCCGATCCCCCAATCCTTCACCCGCCCCATCATCAACAACAACCCTTCCCAACATCTCTTCCCCTCCCCTTTCCCCCCAAGATCCCAAGAACCAGAAGCCACCTTCCTCACAAACGACACCTCCTTCGTCGAGAACCCCCCACCCACGAGCGCCAAACCCGCGAGCAGATACACTTCGGTGCCCTCTTCTTCGACGGCGAGACCCCCAAGAGGCAGTGGTAGCAGTACTTCGAGGGGAGCCGGTGGGAGAAGTGGAATTGCGAGGGGGGGTAGTACGAGAGGGGGGAGGGCAGGGAGGGGTGGAAGTGGAAGTGGAAGTGGAATCGCGAGAGGGATGGGCAGAGGGAGGGGTGGGATACGTTGAAGAAGAAGAGGATGATGAAGGGTATTATTATCATTGCAGCAAGGGGAAATTGAGAATCTTTGGCTGGCACAATGTGGTTTTGGAGATCTGCATGCAGGCAGGCAGGCAGGTGGATTCGCCGGCAAAGATCCAGAAAGGAAAGGACATCTATCATACAGGAATGAGTGAATCGCCCCAAGCAGTCGGGCAGTCTAAAGGTATATCTCCAAGCAGACAAGCACTGCCAATCTTGAAGACACTGCGCAGGTCTCCCGTGAGCATCTCTACAACCGAGACATACCTACCCAGAGAAATTTGTGGCGAAAAAACCGGCTTCCCATCTACTTCCTTTACGGTATGCGGTAGGTACACCAATACTGTCATATTACATTAGACACTCAAAAAAAAAAAACCAAGCTGGCTGTGTAAAGATCCATGTATGATATACGCTCCACAAAAAATGCAAGATCCAATCAATGCCGCTCAATGCTGCTCTTTTATGCCGAATGGAAGACCGCAGACCCCACTGTCGTATCCAAAATCTTATTTAAAAAAAAAAAAAAGAAGAGAGGGGGGTATAAACTCTCTCTTGTGCTGCTGTACTGTCGAATCCCAAAAAAACAAAAAGAAAGTCCATGTTTTTGCTGCCAATTCCCGGTCCCCATCTCTTTTTTGAACTCGTCCGCTATCCACGCTTGGGATACTCCCCGGGGACGTGCAACTTACTGACACTGATGTCCGTATCATGTCTCACAACCCGGGGAAAGAACGCCCCCGTCTCGTGCGCTCCGGCGACTTCGTTGCCGCCGAGTGGCAGGGCGGCAACGTCGCCGACCGTGGCAGGTTCATCACCAGTGACAGTCGTAGGACCTCCTGCGCTACCGACGGGACTCACGGTAGAAGCTGGTTGCCGGTTCGGTCCAGAAGGTGTCATGTCGTTCGCAGGCTGTGCATCTCCGGGCTGATGTTTCCTGACAGCCTCCGCTCCAAGAGCACCCGCTCCGAGACCAGCGACACCCGCAGCAGCAGCAGTAGGAGCCATCCAATCTCCATACGAGCTGTTATGCCTGATCGGGTTGGAAGCAGGAGCGCCAGCCAGCCATTCGGATTCCGGTGCGGCTGCTGGCTCACTCCCTAAAAAAGAAGACGGCTGTTGCTGATTGACGGGCTGCTGAGGGCCATTCGGAAGGGCAAAAGTCTGCGTCTGCACGGGAGCGATATGGGCAGCAGAAGGAAGTAGAGCGCGGTCGTCATCCGGGTGGTGGCTCAGAGCAGATCCAGATCGGACACCTTCCATATGGTACGGATCTTTATCGCCAAAGTCGCGTTGGGAAAAGCCGGGGATCGCGCCTGCAGCAGCAATGACATTCGGCTCGTCGTCCTCCGAGGACACGGTGCCCTCGTTGGTCGAACTCGTGGTGCCAGCCTTGCGCAGAACCAAATCAGACGGGAATCGGCCGCCTGAAATACGGCGAAAAGGGCCAAGTCAGCCACCATCCGGTGCTCCTAGGGAGCCGCAACGCAACGAAAGGGGCAGCACTCACTCACCTGGCTGCGGCCGTTGTGGCTTTTGCTCCGGTGGATTTTGCTCGGCCAGGCTATTGACGTCCGCAGAGTAAGGGGTTTGGTCAGCCTCGTCATCCTCAATGCCGTCGCTGCTCACAGTGCCACGCTCGCTGTTGCCGCTTACGCTCCTAGCGTGCTTGCGAACAAAAGCTTGACGCTCCTCCCCAGTCTTCTCGGTCAGCATTCGGATGTCCTCAAACCAAGCCATCATGGTGTCGTACGACTCGGCACGGAATACCCAATTGTGTCCCTTGTGCATGCCACCAGACTGTTTACCTTTGAGCATGAACTTGTGGCTCGACGACGATCGCTCGGAGTGGGAGCCGAGTTTCTGATCCGGCAGGTAGAGAGACATCACCGGCGGCTGCGAATAGATCTTATCCGCAGACTTGAACTCGTGCAGGTGCGTCGGTGAAAGCACATACCACCCGGGAGTGTAGGACTTGAGATACTTGCTCTTGCGCTCGAGCATTCCAGCACGGATTTCCGTCGCGGCAGGGTCATGCTTGCCAGGGTACTCAATGTCTTCAATGCGTCGGAGGGGCAGACTCGGGTCGACAAAGTGGGGATCATGCGTGACGAACTCGTACCATTCATGGTCCTTTGGCATCGAAATCGGTCCCGTGCGCAGGGCCTCGACCGCGTGGTACGCATCGTCGCCCTCGCGCTTCAGGATGCCGGCAAGAGCATTGTACGCCTTCTGAATCTCACCCACCACGATAGACTCCAGCTCACGCCCCGAACTCTCCAGATTCAGGTATGCCTGTCACCCGTCAGTCACGGTTCTCCCCCTCTGCCATCGCCTTCCTGATTTCTTACCCGGTGAAGGTAGTTCTCCTCATCAATCTGCTTCTCAATTGCCCTATCAACACCAAGCCTGACAACATAAGGGTCACTCTTCCCGTGGGCCCCTGCATCCTCGTGGTCCGCATGCTGCAAGGCTTCCTGCAGCTTCTCCACTTCCCTGCGCGTGTTCTCCTTCTCCCTCTCCACCGAGTTCTTAAAGTCTCCATTCAAGCTCTTGATCTCCTTGATCTTCTGCCCGAGGTCACTGCGCAGGCCGGTCAGAGCACCAATCACGTCGTTCTCAATCTCCTTGGACTTGTTGGCCTCCTGAATCGACCTCTTGTGGTAGTCCTCGAGGATGCGCGAGGCATCGCCGAGTCCCTCCTCGCTCATGAAGATGGACGGATGCGTGATGTTGGACAGCGTGTTCTGCACCTTGTGCAGCGCCTTGGCTCGGGTGTCGTAGGAATTCTGAATCTCGCGAAAGTAGGTGATGAGCGACTTGAGCAGCTGTCTCCATGCCTGGAAGCGATTCGCGAGCACCTCGGTGGGGCTTCCACTGGTCGGTACGGGCGTGAAGAATGCGCTGTGGAAGTCCTCGCTGTCGCCGGTATGCCCCGCGAACCCCTTCAGACTGCCGGCTTTGAGGCTGCGTTTGCTGGAGCTGCGCTTCAAGCTGGCGGTCCGTCGCACGCTGCTCTTCTTCCTGAGCGTGTTGTTGCGCGAAACGCCTCCTCCGCCTCCGCCTATCGCCGTGGAAGTCTGCGAAGCGCGAGAAGCGGATCGGTTGAGGCCGGCGGCAGTCGTGTTGAGGCTCTCGTCGTGGTCGTCGTTGAAGCCAGCGTGATGCTGCACGGCGGATTGGCCCAGCGGCGAGCTCATGGTCGGATTGCCGTGCGCGAAGTCTGAGTTGGAGACGCCGTAGCCTTTGCTCTGCTGCGACGCGTCCAAGGCCGGCACGGAGCCGTACGGCGTGGACATGGCCGCTCAGACGCGGCCGTTTCCGGAGAGAGTGATATCGCTGGAGGAATACACCAGCAGCAGCAATGTCGCCGGGTCGAGATTGGTGAGGGCGAGCAGGAGGAAGAGGTCAGTGTTCGGTGTGCGGGAAAGTCGGATAGGCGAGGCGCAGTGGCAGTGGCAGTGGCAGTGGCAGTGGCAGTCGCATGCAGGCGGCGGCGGGCTAGGGCGGAGAGCACCAGCACAAGCGCATGTGCATGTGCAAGGGTGGTGGTGGTGGTGGTGGTAGGTAGTGAGGAGATCACGTCGTTTCCTCGCTATGATGGTGATGATGATGATGATGATGATGATCTGTGTGATGATGATGATGATGATGATGATGATGATGATGATGATGATGATGATGATGATGATGATGACGATGATGCTTGCGGATGGAGCGCGCTGGAAGCTTCACGCTTCACACCAACTGGAACGTGACCAGCGCTTGCTTCGCAGTGGAAGAAATGACCGGTCGTCTCTCTTGTCGCTCACTCTCTCCTCTCTCTCCCGCCGGCAGCACACGGATGCATGCAGTGATACGGTACATGTAGGGAAAGGTGATATCTGCGGAGTGGTCGTGGTCGTGGTCGTGGTCGTCGTGATGATGATATGCAGGTGTATCCTGTGTATCTAGTCTCCTCGGGGGTGTGGAGGGACCAACCAATGCCTGTTTCCCAAAGCTGTCTGTGTGTCTTTCAATTTCATTTGACGCCCAACTTGATTAAGGTAAGCGGCCGGAGTTTGATGAGCCTGACGTCACACCCTCCTCCCATCAAATGTCGCTTGTGCATTCATCGTGTGTGGTAGTTGGTAGTACCAGCTCGAAGAATCTTGTTCTCATAACTATCTTCTGCACTGCACTGCCATCAACAACACAACCAATGCGCTTGGGGTATCTCTCCTTCGTTTGCATACACATTTCCATCATTTCCATTGCCGTCATCGTCATCGTCATCGTCATCGTCATCGTCATCGTCATCGTCACACAGGTCATGTCTTTCGTTTCTCATCTCACAATCCATCGTCCAAATCCACCGTTACCAACATGGCCAACCGCTCCGGAGCTCTGCCAAGCGGAAAATCTAATTCATCGACACCGAACCACCACTGAACGTCAGCGTCGCGGTATCCATCACCCGGCCCTGGTTGATATCGTTATTGACCAACGAGTGAAAGACCATCTGCCCGCCCGTGGGGGTAACATCGGCGCCTCCGGGGCCATACAGCCCGTCGCTGCCCTGCTGCAGGAGCGTCTGCGGGTTGCCGTACGGTCCATTGACGTTGCTGCTGGTGACGTACTTGGTCGTGTAGCTGTTGTCGCTATAGCAGCCCGTGGAGAAGAAGAGGAAGTATGTGTCGCCGTTCTTGACGAGCGAGGGCGCTTCCGTCTGGTAGTGGTCCGACACGCCCTGGTTGTTCCAGATGGACACCGGGCTGCCGATCTTGGTGTATCCATCCGATTGCGTCCGCTGGAGCATGATGGAAGTGTTGGTGACAATGTTGTTCGTGCTGGCGCAGTAGCCTCCGTTGTGGGCTGCGGGCCCGTCGATCTTGTACAGCACGTAGCGGCTGTTGTCGCTGTCCAGGAACCCGGAAGCATCAATCGCTCCCCCGTCCGCCTCCGGGCACACCCACGGCTCCGTGGACGAATCGTTGTATGGCCCCTCAATCGTCGAGCTGCGAGCAAGTCCAATGCAGTGGATGTTGTTGTTCGACTTGAGAGCCGGGGAGTAGTACATCGCAAACGAGCCATCAAAGTCGGTCAACTGGTTGACGTCGGGCGCCCACACAGTGTTCGCAGCGGCCCAGTTGTCGAATGCGGGAACGTTGGCGCTGGGGAATGCGTCCGAGAGACCCGACCATCCGCCGACGTCGTTGAAGTCCGGGTTGCTGGCCATCGGGACCTCCATGCCTGATGAAACGGTGCCGAATGCATAGCTCTTGCCGTTCACGTTGATAATGCTGGGGTCGGGGAAGTTGGACCCTCTCAGCACATCGTATGCTGGTGCTCTTTTGAAGATCTTGGAGTGTTGAGTAGGTGCCGCTGTCACGAGAGAAGAAGCTAACAGCGCAAGGGCCAATGCACACAGCGAAGAAGAAGAAGAAGACATGATCTTGTCCGAGAAGAATACAAGTGGAATGATACCCTTACTCTTTCTCTCACAAGAAGAATATGGTCAAGAGGAATGTGCTTACCAGAGAGATTCGCATACCGGGAGAGGCCATCGCCAGTTTATACTCGTTCGCTCCACGAGCTCCATTCTCACGCACGATGTCGACGATCCTACCGCAGGTCATCCTGTAGGCCGTGGCGATGCTATTATGACGGTGCATGGCATATGATGCCCTTCCCGAAGATGTCCATGACCCGATACTGGTACATTGGCGGCAGCCTCGTCGTCCGTCTGCCAGTCGAAAGATCGTCGGGCGAGTAAGAAGTCTCCTTTCATGGCTCTGTTCCAGTCGGGCTCCCCTTAGCTGACAACTATAGGCCGCATGCCCGCGACCCCAAAGGAAGTGGCAGCGCCTGTCCCCCAAGCCATGACGAGATCCCGAACTGCGGCGCTGTACAGTAGCCGTGGAGGATGCGCTGTGGAGCCGAGTGGACGCTGTTGGCTCTAAAGGCTGTGGTCGGGGAAGAGAAGTCTTGCATAAGGTCAGCAGGGCTAACTAAGAAGTTCTTTTTGGGGAGGTGTAGCAAATCGGCTGTGTGGTTAGAAAAAATAGGCGTGAAGGAAAGGATCGGCAGAACTCCACTCCCGTGCTCCTTGGGTCGGAGAATTTTGCAGGGCCAAGAAGTCGTCCTTCGACTTCACCTCTCCACCTGGTGACTTTCTGTATACCATCCAAGCTTGGCGGCTCTCGCTTCGGTATATAAGCTGACACCCTTCTCGCTTCGTTCTGGTGTCGCGGAATTGTCAGGAAGCAACCGTCGTGATTGAGGCGCCTCTCATGCCTTTCGGCCTTGCAGTGCCAGCGAAGTCGCTGATTCGGACGGCAGATGTAGATCGTAGTGGGATCGTGGCGCCGAGACAGGCGCCGTTGCCATCCTCTCGCTATGTTAGACCAGTTGCACACTCTTCTAGCCTATAAGCGAAGAGCCGATGGCATGTATGCAAAGCAACGCGTGAATGTCGCTCTCTACCGCATCCTCCCCCTCTGCTGCCGTTCATCGTCATTGCTGTAAGTCACCAGCTCATACACGCGGTATACTTGGCGACGTCTCTTTTTGCCATTCGCCTGATGAGCGAGCTGAGCATAAGCTGACGACATTCCATGTTCAGAACAACACATGACTGTTCTGCTGTTGGCAGCAGCACGGCAGGCTGTGCAAGTACAGGTACCGAGAATAGAGCGCTGAGCCAACAAGGAGGAAGGGTTTCCTCCATTTGCTAGGGCTGCGAAATTCCCCATGTTGTGCGAAGGCCGTCAGTGCATGTGCCTGCCGGAGATGTTCGAACCATCTACCATGAAAGATAATCCCCGTGCGCGTGAAGATGTGTACCGTGTATTTGCACAGTCCGAATTCGTGATGGCTCAAAATCTTCGTGTGTCGTCCCGGCCCCGGTGCTTGCTCTTGTGACCAGCTATCTCGCCCGAGAGATCTTCATCGTGCATGAAAAGGATCCGCATGAGTAAGTTCTCTCGGCAGCAGCTTCGGGCCACGGTTCCTTCTTCATCCAACAACAAAGAGCTCTTGCAAGTGTCACTATAACACGAGCAAATTTCCACAACATTACCGAGCTTTTGGCCGACGTGATACACCGCTGGGGTCCCGGGATACTGTATAGGCTCACTGCAGTCAGCCAAGAGCCGCCGTACCCATATCCCAAATTCGCCAGAACGCCATCCGCAGAGACAGAGTCAGGACATCTGCTGGCCGAAAGAGACAAATCTTTCGAGACCTCAGGTGACCATACGGCCGCTTGATGAATGTGACCTTCCGCAATTGCGCAAGATCGCTGCCGAAGATCCAGAGGAAGATTCAAAATGCGCTTCTCGGGTGCCCTCCGTTTCGCAACAGCATAGCAGCATCCCCGCAGCAGTGGAAGCGACAGCTCCCTGTTGGACAGCTTCCCTAACAGGTAAGTTCAAAACGAACAAATACGAACCTTATACATGATCCGGCATGCGAGGAGTTCCTGATTGGCCAGCTTGCTACTTGTTAAGCGGCTACGGTATTTGTATTCAAGCTTGATCCGGCACTCGGGTGAGTAATCCCACATCCCAAGGGTTGATCGAGTGCAGAGCAGAGCAACTGCACCCCTCACGGTAGCAATGCTGTGTCCTCCGGAGCGATTGTATGCGCTCTCGGGTACTTCCAGGTATTGCACTCCTGAAGCCTGGGTATGATGCGTTCATTTGTGGGTGTCGGGACAGAAGGACGAGGCTTGGAGCAGCCGTTGGGGAATAGAGCGGCGTTCTCGTTCCTGCCTCTTGCACGTCTGGTTTGCGTCTCTTCGAAGGCTGCCAATATGTGCTCATCGACCGGATCAGTGTATCAGGAAGAAGGCTCCCGCGTGTCTTGACGTGTGAGGAGACGGATTTGGCGAGCAGCCGAGGTCGACGCGATGCTGTATACTAGGGCGGGCGAATTGATGGTAGTTTCCGGAATATCTCGTTGACGACAGCGAGCTCGTGGTCATTGCAATGCGACGGCGTTGCTTTTTAATCGAAGTTGAGGTCGAGGAAAGAATCGAGAGCAGTTGCTCCCCCCGAAAACCCATTGGACCCCACGCGCCTGATCTCATCCAGATTGTCATCAACAAGCAAGACACTAGATGTCCGGACGACTATATTCGTAGAACTTCATTCAGCGGTTGTCGTACTTCGGAGAGTCTGCAGGTCGAGTGGGTAGAAACGTCCATTTAGAGGTCGTCCATGGCGGGGGGCTTCACCCTCTCCACGTGAATCGCCCAAATTCTGGTTCTCTCTATTCGATAGAAGGCTCGAGCAGAGGGAGCAAGAGGTTTGCGTTGGTCGATCAATTCAAACGCGGCGGTACTCGTGCCAAGCCAAGCTGCTCGTTAGCCCAGAAGAGACGGGTCGAAAAGCATGGTCAAGAATCACGGAATGCGAAGGACATCGTGAATCAGAAAACACAAGGGACCAAAGACGCAGCCAGTGCTTCTTAACACATGGCGAGAGCAGAACACGCAACGCTCTTTGTGTCCTTGTACGCGTAAGCCGTGGCGGAAGAAATGTGTACAAGTCAACTTGTATCGAACCTTAACGAGAGGTTTCATGTAATATGCAACATGAACAACAAGCCCAATTCGTCAAAATATGGGTAGCTCAATCAACCTTGTAAGCTTTGGAACGGCCGACTGACCAATCTACGGAGGCCACTTCCCCGGCGCCTTGACGACGTTTCTTGAAAATGTAGCACTCAGCTTCCCTTCTTTCTCCATTGCGCGCTTTCTCTGGGCTGCAGTAATGCCAGCTCGATCGGTCACGGGCGCTGCGTTCATGATGTTGTCGAATTCGTCGTCTTCGTTTTCGATGTCAGAGCCCGACTCCGCGTCGGAGTCTTCTGGAAGCTGAGGTTTTGAAGATTCAGAAGGTCGCTGTATCCGCTCTGGTGCTTGGCGCTCGTCTTCGGTCTTCTTTGATGGGTTGGAGAACGGCTTCGAGGCTAGAACACGTCTGCGGAGCTCCGCCATTTCCTCTTCATCGTCGTCGTCGGGAGGTAGATCAAAAGGATCTCGGTCTTCCTCTTCTTCATCTTGATCGCTTGTATTGCCGTGTACCTTGGGCTGCTCTCCAGGCTTCGGTCCGCCTAGATCGATCCCACCCATGCTGCTTGCATCGCTGCCGTCCTCATCATCCTCGTCGCCACTGTTCTCCTCATCATCGTCCAAATCATTGCCCTCAACACCCCTAGTTGGCCGCGTCTTCCTGTTGAGATTGCCGCCTCTCCACGCGTCGTCTCTGTTCTCTTCTCTGGCTTCTCTGTCCTCCCGCCACTCGTTTTCAATTTGTGCCAGATACGCTTCTTCTGCCTTCTTGACTTCCTCTTCATCCTTGCAAGCAGCATATCGATCCAACACTTCCTCATTGATCTCCAAGAAGCTTTCGCCGTACGAGAATGTGCTCAATATCTCTTCAGCCCACTCTTTCCTTCCGCAGATGTAGAAGCACGCAGCGAGAGCTTCGACGCAGTTTAATCTCCAAGGTTTGCCGTAATTGGTGGGGTTCGCTGCAACGAGATACGGAAGTAGGCGCGGGTTGGGCCCGCCAATGCGATTGAATGGAACTTCGTCTATTCTCTTCCAGCTCGCTTCGACCACAGCTGCGCCGTATTGCTCGAGAACATCCTTGTCCGCAGGACTGAGAATGGTTTTCGCCTTTGGAGAGACAACAACTCCTGCGTGCTTCTGTCCCACGTGCAACTCCCTCATGAGACCAAGTCGCATCAGCCGCTTTCCGGAGCATCGCTTTGCGTCGCAGTGATTGAGGTCCCATGCTGCTGCTTTGAAGGGAGGGCGTTTGTTGCCTCCCAGACCATTTTCGCGATCCGGATGTGTGTGCTGGGCGTAGGTTCTAGGGCCATTGCTGCCCTTCTTGCCTTTGTTCCCAAAATCCTTCTTATGACGGACCATCTTGTCGGCACTCAGGGAGAGTGTGCAGGGTGCAAGGTGGAGGTAGAAGTCAGGAAATGGTGATGTCTTTGAAATATGGAATTCTGGTCACACCTCGGAGCTTCGGCAGCCGACGTCACCGTCTCTGGCCGCGGATCATCCCGCCAGCTGTCCCACCACGTCGTCGTTGGCCAAGTACAGCTCACTCTATAACTTCTTGTCTTTCACCTGTCGCCCAATTCCGCTCGAATTCCTGATCACTGGATACCCATTCACGGCTTCTCGTAATACTCGAAAGGCTCAATTTACTGCATATCGGGGGCAGGAAGACCCATCAATCTCCCCGTCTACCGCCAATCCCAGCTGATTGATTCATCATGGAAGCAGCCTCCGCGCGCTACGCCTCCCGCGACCGCTTCGCATACCCCCATGAACCCGCTACTACCCCTCTCCAACGATATATCCAAAATGCCTGTTCTCCCGAGAACTTTGAGCCCAATCTTGCTTTGTGCCTGGAGATCGCGGATCTGATCAATGCCAAGAAGGGCGGAGCGCCGCGCGAGGCAGCAGTCGCAATTGTCGGCTATGTCAATCATCGGAATCCTAATGTCGCTCTCCTGGCATTGAGCCTGCTGGACATATGTGTGAAGAATTGTGGTTATCCTTTTCACCTCCAAATTTCTACGAAGGAGTTTCTCAATGAGCTTGTCAGGCGCTTCCCGGAACGGCCGCCTCTACGGACTACCCGCGTTCAGAATAGGATCTTGGAGCTTATCGCCGAATGGAAGCAGACAATATGCACAACGAGCAAGTACAAGGAGGATCTAGGATTCATCCGGGATATGCATAGGCTGCTGCATTTCAAGGGTTACCAGTTTCCGCAGATCCGGAAGGAAGATGCCGCTGTGCTCAACCCGAGCGACGGCTTGAAGAGTGCTGAAGAAATGGAGGAGGAGGAGAGGGCGGCTCAAAGTGCAAAGCTGCAGGAGCTGATTCGAAGAGGCACACCGCATGACCTGCAGGAAGCCAACAAGTTGATGAAGGTCATGGCAGGATACGATACCCGGCACAAAACAGATTACAGGGCGAAGGCCGCGGAGGAAGTGGGCAGGGTGCAGCAAAAAGCAAGGTTGCTGGAGGAGATGATGCAGGATCACAAAACCGGCGATCAGCTCCAAGAAGGAGATGTTTTTGAAGAGCTGGCCAGTGCTCTTGCAAGTGCGCATCCCAAGATTCAGAGGATGTGTGAAGAAGAGAGTGAGGATCACGAAGCTGTCGCGAAGCTCTTCGAGATCAACGATTCGATACATCGAACCCTGGAGCGATACAAGCTTATGAAGAAGGGTGACATTGACGGCGCAAATGCGATTCCGAAGGGTACATTGGGAGTCAGCGGTGCTGGCGTGAAGACGGGACCTGACAACGAGCTTTCACTCATCGACTTTGGAGGACCTGAAGACAGTGCACCAGCAGAGCAACCTTCAACAGGCGCGCAAACGGCAGCACCCGAAGCATCCAAGGCGAAGGGCAATGCGCTAGAGGATGACTTGCTTGGCCTTAACATGGGAGACGGAAATTATGGCCAAGGCGGCGGTATCTCGCTGGGTCCTTCAAACGGTACCATGGACATCATGGCACAATTTAACCAGCCTCAGACCGCGTCCAATTCGATTTTCAATACCCAGCCAAAATCGATGGCCCCTCAAACAGCTTCTGCGCCTCAGGCGCCAACGCCCGCGAACTTTGGTATGTTCGCCTCTGGCTCGCAGCCACCTTCGAAGCCTGCGACACCTTTACCGCAGGCCGTCCAACATCAAGCGAAGAAGTCTGACCCGTTTGCCTCGCTTGCAACACCACCACGACAATCGTCTCCCTTCCAACATGCTCCGTCCAAGTCTCCGGTACCGCCAACATCTCAGCCGGTTGACTTGCTCGGAATGGGAAGCAGCAATGGGATTTCCGCTCCACCAGCTGCGGCGCCTGCTGCTTCTCACGATGATGAATGGGAATTTAGTTCAGCCCTTCCCGACCAGCCTACAGAGATCACGGTGACAAATAGCTCCATCAAGACGCAATTCACCGTTAACAGACAAAACGACACCGAGTTGGTCATCCAGAGTCGGATATCCAACAATACTCCCTCACAAATCAACGATCTGACGTTTCAGTTGGCAGTAACGAAGGTATGCAGTTCTGTTCTTTGCTTAGATCAATACTAATCACCCTCATGCAGGGCTACACACTCAAGCTCGAGCCGCAATCCAGTCGCGATCTTTCGCCACACCAACAGAATGGCATCACACAGACGATCAGATTACAAGGCGCAGAACGTGGGAAAGGCACAATGATCAAAATGCGTTGGCGAGCCAGCTACAATGAGGGAGGCAAGGCAAAGAACGAGCAGGGAGAAATCAATGGACTGGGATTGTCTTGAGGTCAGCTCTAGAATCACGACAACCTCAGTGCATTGATGTGCCCTTGCTAGTTCTTCGCCTAAGCAGTAAATAAGCAGTCAACGGGAGAGCCAGTTGAGCAGGGAAATTCGTTAGCATCGGGAGGTACCAATGAAAGGAGGATTTCTGTCAGGCCTTTCGAGGCATACTCATCTGCGCTTGGCCCTACATATGCTCGAACATGTTCGAGAGCTCTCTCGAGGTGCTGACTGCATGTGGTAGGCATACCGACTCAAAAATCTGGCGGATTCACTTCGTTCCTTCCTCAGACGCTAATGCACAATCTCAACGCCGACTGACAGCCAGCAAAGCGGTGATTGGCGCAAAACAACTTCAGCTACAGAAGGAGTATTGCGCTGTCGTATAACTGACTATGAGCGGAGAACGTAATGAAGGTCTTAAGAGTAACGTACCGGACAAAGTTCCTCGCAAGCCGCAATGTTCTCTGGCCCTTGACCAGAGAGACACAGCCAGGTCTCTCCTCACAGCTCTACTAACTTACTTCTCCCTCTTCATCCTCTCCTGCGAACCCTTCATATTTTTCATGATTTGTACTTGGATCCCCTCGCACACTTCCTCGGTCCCAGAATTTACGCCATCTCCCGTCTCTACGAATTCTACTAGGATTCCATCCACTATGGTCGTCTCTGGATCCGTCTCCGGCTGCTCCATCAATAAGATGGACCTGTCATCCGCCTCACACCCGATGAGCTCCAAATCCAAGACTCTGAACATTTCAAGGAAGTATTTGGTCCCGAACGCTAGATACGGGGACTATTAGTGCGAGGCAGTTTGCGCTGGACAAGGCGATGTTTAGAACGGAAGAATATGAGTTGTATGTGGAAAGGAGGAAAGGAGGAAAATTTTGGGGGTGAAGGTTACAGATACAGATTCAGATATCTTGCCTTACCATGATGGCCACACAGCTGGGCCGAAAAAAATTTGATGCAGAGACTGTCTCTCTTACTTATTAGGTAGATGAAGAGGAAATGAACATTCAGATCTCTTCTTAAAATAATTATTGGCCCGCTGTACAGCCACCGGTCAGAAGAAGACTATTTGCCAGTGGGAATAATTAGTGCTCTTTTGGAGTACAACGGAGCAGATAGAGACATATCCCCAGTGGTAGACTAAAAAGGATCACGGTCAAGGAAATGTCGAATGGGAAGAAGGTAGGACGGCTGCCAGCAGTATCACGATGCTTAACGTTGCGATCAAAATAAATATCACTTTCACTCGGCATTTCGATCGGCCCTCCAGCGGCAGGACGCGCCAGGGAGCCACGATTAATTGCTATATCCGGCCAGCAAGTACTGTGAGTACGCGGCGTTGTCAGGTGAGTATGACTTCATGTCCAAGGATTGGCGCTTGTCACGAGAAAACGGCAACGAGATCGCGTTAGCTGGAATGCATTAATCTTCATTGGACTGATGTTGCAGGTTGCATTGGCCATGGCGGTCGTTGAAGAAATGCATGAGGTGCCCGGCTATTTCATCTGAACGCTTGACCCTATCTGGTTAGTGCTATCACTAGCGCTGATACTTTTTCTCAACCTCAGCAACCTCACTGCCATCTCGAAAGGTTCAAAAAGCTGCACTTCTGCATATACAAAGCCGCTGGCATGGCTTCTCGACTTCATATACGCCGCTCAGGGCGCGTCGACGGTTTTGATGGCGCGTATCGATGCACTTCTTCCGGCTGAACACCTGAACTCAAGCAGGAGCAACTGTGTACGCGGTGGCGGGCTCACCATCAAACTTGGCCCAATGTAAAAGAGGCAAAAAGTGCATATCGTGGACAAGCGTCCCAGAGAAAGCGAAGGACGGGAGTCATGCTATGTGCTTTTCGTTCAGTATGCCTTGCGCTTCACTCTGTTCCTTGCTCGACACCTCGAGAGGGCTGGACCCTGACGTTCGCTTTCTGGATCTCCTTTATTTTATCTCCACTCTCATATCTACTTCATTTATGCCACAATTCTTTCAGATCATTGATCTCTCGAATTCTACAGGTGTGTCCAACGAAGATCGCGACGTTCAGCCTCTCATCTCGCGCGACGTAACCTTTCATGAGCAAAACGAAATAGAGAGGTGGGATGATTGTTTGACCCCAACTACCTTGGTTATTACTTCGATGGTCACTGCATCGCAAGAACACCACGATCAGACTGCTCCAACAGTAGTCGTCACCAGGACACGCGAGAAATCCTCTAATTCTACTTTCTTTAAACTTCCATCCATTGAGCCGCACCCACCGGCAACCCTGGCTCCGACGACTTCCAGCCTGACGACATCAAAGTCTACCTCATTGATGTCTGCATCGCTCTCCAGCATACCTTCGAGCTTACTTGAATCATCTTCTTCTCTGCGTTGGACAGCCGGTCGCAAAAGGAGTCTCTGCTGCGATCCCCCAGGCAGTGTGACCCCAAATTCTCCAGTCCCTTTAGAAAACGTCTTCCCGACGTTGCCTGCCGCAGATGGCGTTAAAAGAGGGGACTTGCAGCTCCTTGGCTCCGATCAACTTGGAGGCTTGGAAGCGTCCAGTGATCCCAATCTTCAAGCCTTCGGCCTGGTCTTTCATAATCGGGCCTCGAGGTGTGGTATCTTCATTCCACCAGAAGCGTGACAACTCTCACATCCAAGTAATAGATTGCCTGGCGATCAATTCGACTGGAAGACAAGTGACACGTATTCTCTGTACCGATGAGAGTGCGGCCAGCAACTGTGAGGATGTCCTGCACGGTGGCCTCGAGGGCACAGTCGTTCGAATGCCTGATAAGTGCGGACCTGGACAATATGTTGTGACCCACTCTGTGTCCTTTTCACGAGACCAGACCTTACCGGAGCATCTGGAATCTTTCCGCGTAGCTTCGCGACCTATCATGGATCTCGAGTTCTCCTACGAGTTCGCCAGGTCACATACGCTATAGGAGCCTATGCCCTTTCCAAACTAGTCTGGAGCAGTAAGAACATCAGTGTCAATGTTGAGCCGGTCCCAGGAACGATAGTCAACAGTGTCGATCGATAACTCGACAAGCCAGATGATCCCACCGAGGTTCTGATAGATCGTATTGTGGCAAGCATGGGGAACGAGTACAACTGGGAACACTTTCTGTTCCTGGAAGTGTAAATCAATGCTTATAAAGCCACCAAGGTGAGCAAATCTCGGCCTAAAAACGCTCATCCAGATCCTTCTGAACTGACCAGTTCATACACGCTTTAGCAGGGCGAGAATCCAACTTCGTTGGAAAAGCTGAAAGAAATCAACACGGATCGTTGGGCTATTTTTGCTCTGCATGTTCTTGATCATTCGCAAGGGAAAAAAGCTTGCGTGAGCCCATTCCGCCCGTTATCACTGATGAAGACTGACCACTTTGCAGGTGATCAACGTCTACACTTTTTACCTCAATGTCCCGATCGTTTCCGACAACATGATCGCAATCTACAACGGCACTGGGTCGCACAAGGAATGCCTTGAACAGATATAGTGCCATACTAGGATGCATGGATCCGGTCCCCCTTCGTTTTGGCTTCACCTGACATGGCAGTATCGATACGCCCAAAAAGACCTGTCACTGCTATCAAAAGCTTTTTGGGGAGGCTCAAAGAAGACGATGATTTGGAAAGCGGATATGAGATGCGAACATCGCGAAGTCTCACGAGACAAAAATGCCGCTCTATCACCGTCAACGCTGCTGGGCTCACAAAGGACGGTCAAAAGTGACGAGGAGAGTACTACTGGGAATGCCTCGGGACGGCGAGGAGCAGTAGAACAGTTCCTCTTCTGGTTCCAGACTATCTTCTAACTCCACGAACCTATATCTCATCCTCTCCCGAGAATAGACATTTGAAAAGAGGGGTTTCATGCTCTCCAAAGGAAGAGCAATCAGACTTCACGTTACAAATGCGTTGGTCATGGACTCAGATAGAGTAATGTTACGAAAGCAATCCTATCACACCAGTGGTCGCCAGGCCTGTAACAGAGCTAGGGTAGACAAATCATTATAAACGTGATCCATCCTCGATAGCTAGCTAGCTACTGCGCGACCTCTCCGGTCGTTGCCAGCCAGCCAGCCGCTGTCCACAAACAAACATAACCCGTGCTTTCGCTCGCAAGGTTCGGTATTCTCGTCTCTGAGATTCGTTCAATAAGCTTGGAATTTCGAGATCTTGTGGGGAGAAAAACGCTTCATGGTCCAGCAGGGGGAGTGACTGCGCGTGCAGAGGCTTGTCGTTGTTCACGCCCGGTCGTTGTAGTATATGTTTGTTGTGGGTGGAAAGTGGTGGCCGGCAGAGAGCAGACAGAGAGACAGAGAGTGAGGTGGATGAAAGCCAGGGGGCGCTTGAAAAAGATACCTTCCAGAGGATGCTTCTGACGTTGATTATTGAACGAGACAGATGGCGCCTACTCGACTAACTTCACTGTGGCATAGCAAGCAGAGGTAGAAAGTGAACCGTCAGAACCGGGCGCTTAGAAACTCAAGCCCAAGGCGTGCTCAAGTCGCATTTCGTAATGGAGATATGAAGAGGAAGACGGGGCTGGCAAACACGACACGAGCGGTCTGGACAGCGAAAGGAAAGGAAAGGCCTCAAGTCTTCACGCACCAACCACTCAATCTCGTTCATCGTCCATTACGTAGGTCGTCTATGGCTTCACGCCCTTCCACATCCTCCACCTCTCTCTCTCATGGGGGTCAGACCTCCTGCCTATCCACAAGCCTCTCTTCAACTCTTCAATCCATCCAGCCGTTGCCTATTACCAGAGAAACCATCTCAGATCCTCCAAAGCTCCACCCAGTCCTGGCGAAGGAGAAGCAAGAAACAAGCCCCGATTCCGTTTCCGATTCTTCAAACCTTTCCACTGCCCAATTACGTTACCAAGGACCAAACTCGCGCGCTCGCTCGCTCGCTTGTGTTACTGATTGAAAGAACAACATCTATGCGCGCCGTCTCTGTCGTCTTCCCGGATGCAATGCGATCCGGTGCCCAGGTCGCCTGTTTCCATGTCCTACCATGCGGATTAAGTTTACTGTCCGTGTATGCAGTTGCTGCGCTGTCCGGCGCAGCGATGCGTGTTGATGCGAGTATGACAGAGATCCACCCTGCCGTACGAGAGTTTATGTGCATGCAATGTACGTCTCCTTCCGTGTCCGCGGTCGCCTCGGTCTTCATCGAGTGATGATGAGTCCGAAGCCGTCCAGCCAAGGTCCGCAGCTGCCGTAAACGCCTGCGATACTATAGCCGCGAGGTGGGATGAGTGTGTACCTATTACGGTGTCAGTCAAAACCTTCAACTCATAGCAACGTGTGTTTGTAATTACCCAGAACCACCATCCGCCTTTCCAAAAATCTCACTGCGTCGTCCAGTGGTGGTCAGGATTTGGATGCCGTCAATCCAAAAGCCGGCACGAACGTAGAATCCGAGGAGAAGCTCGCCCTTTCGGAAATCCAAAGCGAACTCGCTCCCACCCCCCTTTCCTCCGCGCTTTCCAAACAGCTCTGTCGAGCCGTCTTCATATACAAATTCCATTCCATCCATACAATCTCCATGGTATATCCGCATGCTGAGGAGCAGCTTCGACTTCTTATGGCACATGCCAAGAACCACGTCTTGCGGCTGGGAGCCTTCCATCTGGCTGAAGCCCAGCTTGGAGCTCTTGAATCCAGGCCGACCATCAGGCAGCTTGATCTTGCTGTCCAAAGAGCATAATTGCGCAAAGTCGTTCACTTCATGTTCGCCGCCACCGCAGCTGAAGATCTTCAGGCTGACCTTCTTCTTTTTTCGCTTCTCGGGTGGAAGCTGCTCTTTTATGACCTGCTCGCTGAGAGTGACTTGTCGTGGCGCACCGGCAATTGACGAATTCTGATCCAAATATTCAATCCAGTGATGGCACACATCGTCGCCTTCCACGTAGAGTTCAATCCAAGCAATCCCAGTTGTAGCATTGACAAGCACGTTGCCATTCTCCACCGTCCAAACCTGCACGCTCTTGTCAGCGTTAGGTGTTGGGTCAGTCGGTAACTGGAAAGTTGGATGGAAGCGGAATCGCAGTGCGTCCAGTCTGTGCCATGCGCACTCGTCCTTCGGTAGACACAAACGCTGACCCGCCGCTTTGGTTCGAGTGGAATATGGCTCCCTGCAAGTAAACGTTCTGTTGAGCCGCGTATAATCTCGCAGCATGATGCCAGACTCCTGATGCGGGCAGCCCAGCAAATGACCAGTCTCGTGGAGATGTGCGCCAATACCGATGTTCGCAGCCTCCCAGTTACTGCCTGCTTCATTGCAATCATTAGCCACGTGATTCGTGTCGGTCCTCGTACAGTCGCTGAAAGCAGGCACGACCTCCTCTATGTGAGCAGGATACGACTGCAGGCAGTGGCTTCCGAAAATGGCGAGCTTGATGTCCTCTGATCCTCCTCCGAGTGCCGCATGACCTCGGACGGTACCAACTTGCTTGTCCCAATGAGCGTCAAGGAACATGCAAGACACATATTGCGTTTGGTTGGGTCGAGGCGCGAAATAGGCCCGCACTGCATTGGTCGCAATCTCGAACAAGCCATCCTTATTCTTCGCCGGCTCGTACTGTTGGGCCAGCTCAATGTCCCGTATCTCTTGCACAGTCTTGTCCATCCGGACAATGTGGATCTTGGCTTCGTTGCGCATTACGCCCGCCTGCTGATCTCTCCAGGTCAGCGTGCCCGGCTGCCACTCTTCCTCATATCTGTAACATCTCCTGCCGAATGTATTTCTGTTCATTTGTTCTGCCGTGAAAGCCTGCCAAAGATATGCAGCCATTCTAAACTTCTTGATCGCTGTTGCCAAGCCATTGCCCTCTTTGCTCACTCTTTCTGGAACAGCGTCGTATGTTTCTGGGGAGTCTTTTGCGACCAATATGCACAATTGAAGAGGCGGAGAGGAGTTGAGAGGTAGGTAGTTGATGTTGATCCAGGACGAATGTGCCGAATCGGGTATGGGTAGTTTAGGTGAGGTGAAGTCGAGACGGAGACGGTTGGGACCTGGCTGGAGGTAAACGAGCGCTTTGAAGTGCGAATCACATACGGGCCACGAGGTGGGAGGGAAGGTGTCTTGGTGGTGGCAGACAGTGAGGTGGCCGTCGATTGGTCGGGTTGGCTCCGCACATTGGCCAGAGATGAGTAGCACCTTCTGGTGGACCTACGAGACATGTCAATACGGATGTTCGCTTGCTCATCTACTTGTAGCACATACCCAAGAGCCGTCCGAGACAGATAGCACACGAGGCGCAAGCGGCGACGTAGCGGGGGCAGGCCGATCGCCATTCTGCAGTGACATGCCCTGTGAAATGTGGGTTATTATCCGTAAAGATCAAATGCTTTTTCTGTTGCGGCGTACATTGATGCTGTATCTGTTGCTCTGGTTACTCGGCATGCGCGGGCGTGTGTCTCGACCAGGAATCGGCGGCGGCGTCTTACTGCTGGTGCCGTTCATGTTGGATAGATTGGTGTTGGAGCGTGAGCTCGACAGTGTGGTTGGCGGGGACTGTTTGTCCAGAAATGAGTTCAGGGTGGAGGACGACTTGCTCTGCTGCTGCTCGAGGCTGCCATTCTCGCTGCTGTTGTTGGAGCTGGCGTTATCGCTGGGGTGGATGGATGCTTTGGAGCGCCTTCTAATGCTGAGATGTTTGAAGGAGGGCATTGCCGCGTAAGCTGGTCGCGCGGGCGAGTGTGCGCGGAGCTGGCGTCTGGTATCGCCTCGGCGAGGAGAGGTGTGCGCGGTGTGGTTGGAAATGAGGAGGATCTGGAAGAATATCGGAGGTGGTGGTGGAGTTGTAGCGGAGCTGGATGTCGGATCGTCGCCGTTGGGGCCTCGTTTGGAGCTGGTCGATCTCGGTGCGTCACCGCTATCTGCTCCACCCCTCCAACAGCGAATTGAGGGTCAGTCAAGGACGGCGGATCCAGCGAGCGAGCGGCAGTCGGCGACAGACAGGTGGCAGCGGTAGTGGATGCCGTGAGGTGGTGTGCGGGAGTAGCGAGCGGCGGCGGCGGCGGCGGCGGCGGAGGTTTGCGAGGTTGGGTGAAGGTTTCCCTGTTCAAGACACGCAAGCAGCGATGTGCCAGAGGGAAAGGACGGGATGTGGGAGGAGGAGGAGGAGAAGGGAAAGCAGCACGACAACCTGTGCCAAGGCTAGCGAGTGGCACTCCGACGCCCTAGCGTTCGCTGCGGCGACTTGTTGGTCAGAGCAGGCAGGCGGGTGCGGGTGCGGGTGGTTGGAGTGGAGGTGGGAAGGAGAGAGAGAGAGAGTACAGTACGTAAGGCAACTAATAACGTAGGGGCTGTTTCCATCTACAATCTGCATCTAGATACCATGCTGAGGAGCATCGTCCGTACGCTAGCAGGTACCACACACCTCTTGGCCGTCTCAACCCGCCGGCCGTGCAGTAGCCTCACACTTGCTCTTTATCTGGACTCTGGGGCTCCATACATCTACTAGCTCTGCATCAATGTTCGAGATAGCTTGCTCGGCCGCGCAAACTTCATCCGGTGTCGCCATCGCAGACAGTCTTGACTCCGGCCTACGAAGAGATGGATATTTGCGCCCGGCTACAGCGCTACATTGCCACAGTATTGCTAGTATTTGCTACAGCAAGTCGGATGGATGCAGCGCCCATGTGACACGGCGACCAATCTGCGACAGCTAATCATTCGGGGCTTGGAAGCGCTTATCAGTCTCAGCGCATCCCGGTATCTTATTGCATTCTCATCTCTGGAATGGACCATTGTGTGATTGTTCTCTCGACGGTGTCGGGTGGGGTGCCGAGGCTGCTGCAGGCCGGAATGCATGCAGCATGATACGAGTGGCGGTGCTTGATGAAGGTGCTTGATGTGCCATTCGCAACACCTCTCCCCCAATCATCAGGTCGTCAAGCCGGCCGTTCGTTCGTTCGTTCGTTCGTTCGTTCACCAAGCAACGGAAGAAGACCGCCCAAAACTTGATGAATGAGACAGTGTGAGCAATCTCGGACCGAGATCTCCTTCCAATGTATCCATCAAGTATTGACTACCTCATCATCAAATATTGACTGACGACTGCCCAGATTGATACTAAATATTGACTGCGTATTGACTGGATATTGATGGAGGACGCTGTGTCTGGAACAAGAGCGGGAGCTAATGCGGGTAACCGTCTGCACCAATCCACTCGTTCTGGGACCTGTCACTCTCTTTCATCATCGCTGCGACTTGTGTCGTACAGCATTGCTGCGTGCAACCGACTTTTGCTTCTGCCTTCTGCCTCTCTCCAAGCGCCAATCTCGACACTTCCTCCGGGCGCCTTTTGAACCCATTCTTCAAGAAATCTCACGGCACCGCCGTTGTTCTCTTCGTGCCTCGGAAGGCTTGGCGGACGAGCTGGCTCCTCCAGTCAAATCGCCGATCTCACAAACCTTCAGCGGAAAGCCTAAACGTCCACGGAATGCGAAGGAGCACCTTCTGTGCAACCATCGTCTTCCAGCCTTCCACTTACATTGAACCACCACTCTTGTCTACCGCCCGACACACTCTCCACCACAGTCTTCACCTCTCCCGAATTCGAGCCCTTTCAAGTCCGCTTCTGCACTTCACTTCCGAGGCCTCAGCTGAGGAGTCCTGCGTGGCTTGCGTCGAGATTGCCATCTGCCCCTCGGTGAGCCCTTCAGCCAACATGGCGGCTACAGCTCAGATGGAGAACCCCGAGGATGTCGCCAACCGGGTCATGAGGAGGGTGCAGGTCTCGAAGGTGAGGACAACGTAGACACATATGCACTGGACCCGGAGATCGCTAATGTACCTCGTGCAGATGACCCGAGCGCTACAGGACCGACTCGCACTTGCCAACGTCAAGATACAGAATGGATGGGAGAATCTCAGCATGGATGCCATTGAGCCGCAAGTTCGAGATAGGCTGAGGAGAAAGAGACCGGCTTCCAGCAATGATACCATCTCCGATACCGCCTCCACCACCTCAAGCCGGCTGCATTCCAGCAACGGCCTGGCCTCCTCCCCCATTACCGAGCCCATGTTCTCCGACGACCTTTCACGATCGGGCCGCAGCCTCAGACATAAAAGATCAAAGCCTTCAGGCGTGCAGGAAATCAATCCGTCCGGTGCTGCCACTGGCAGGCGGACGAGAGGAGCTGTAGCCCGGCAGAACACCTGGAAGAAGAACTACTCCTTGCCGGAATCTTCTCCAATCAAGCCGACAAAGCATGCTCGCTTTCCCTCGAACCAGGTATCGCACCTGTCATTCATCTCGGAGGCAGAAACCATTGCCGACGACCCTCCATCACCAGAGTTCAGCGAAGAGGATGACGCCGATCTGCCCGTCACCAGCTTCAGCATCAACGCCTCGACCCGAATCACATCCTCACCACCGCAGACACCTCCACCAGACCGCCGCATGCGAAAGACTATTCACCAAGTCTCTTGGTCGCGCACACCCAAGCACGAAGACGACGGTGCGGATCTGCTGATGTACCTGGCGACCTCACCCTCGCCGGCCAACGTTCGAAACGATGCCAAGACCGTGGTCCAGCCTCCCTCAACCCCACCCTGCAAGTCTACACCGCTGCCATCTTCACACATGACGCCGGGCACGACTGGCAATGGCTTCTTCGGCTTTGGCGGACCGAATACGCCAAGCACCAGCTTCAACTTCAACGATTTCATCAACGTCACTCCCAGTCCCGCGCAGGGAGCCTGGCAAGCCCGCACACCGATTGCGGGCAGAACGCCAGGCGCTTCCGCAAGGCGCCGACTGGACTTTGACAAACTCATGCCACCTACTTCGACCAGCCCCACCATGACGCGCAACAGCCGCGGCAGTGGCCTGGGTATGGATCTGGGAGGAGAGTTGGTCTCTTCTTGAGGTATGTCCCTCCTCCACGGTGGTTTACGACACGACTTTTTACGACGCTCGATTCGACCCATGACATGGACCTTTCCTACTCTTCCGATACGAGCCGGTTGGCTACCAGGCTAGCTTTACACGATTTTGTTTTTTTTTGCACGAGCGTGTGCATTCGATGCCTTCTTTCCTTGGGTTGGATGGCGAAATGGCACGACTGGAAATGGATACATATACCCCCGACGTCCCCGCGACTCTCCTCCTCGACACGATGGGAAGGGCGCATGGTGGATTCTGTTGCAGCGTTATGGGTTTCGCGGGAGAATCCGCCCTGTGTGGACTGCGCGGCGGCATTTTTCGTTTTCTGCTTTGAGTTTGACGAAATTGTGACGCGGGTACGCGACACCCCTGTCACGGGGGAGATACCCGGTCATGAGGGCGAGAGTGGATGACTTTGCGGTAATTGAGTGTCCGAGTGTGAGAGAGACGGGTATGGAGTTGGTGTAATACATTCGCACTTGACCTGTCGTCTCGGTGGGGTGTAGGTTGTCTCGGGGTTGCAATGCGGGAGGATGTGTTTGACGCGACCGCGTAAAGCGGAAGGACGCGCTAAGGGTGCGTGCTGGGGCAAAATGGTCGTGGGACTAGCATGGAAGTCGGATATACTGTCTGGCGGAATTCTTGTGTTGGCAGAGTAGTATGGGAACGTGTATGAAGATGAGAGGAAAGTGTATGAGAAATCTCGGGTGGCATAGAAGAGACGGTATGGAGTGAAGGGGAAGGAATGTGCGTGATGGTGCGTGGAGATTTCGCGTTTTGAGGGGATGCGAGTTTTGGCAGGGAGGGTTTACCTACACACTATACAAGAGCAGATGTCCAAGACAAGAAACAAGGCGATGGAAAGTGCAGCCGGCCGGAGATGGCATACTGCTACTACTATTGTTCGTGCTTCGCGCCCATCAATCTGTCGTCTCATCATCCTCTTCTTTGTCCGACGCCCAGAAACACCAGGTCACAACCAGAACGGCCTTGAACCCGACTGCCGTCCATAACGCTCCCTGTAATCCAATCGGACTCTGAGCCCACAGACCACCTATCATGGCCCCGAGAAGTAAAAGCACAATCGCCGCAGCGCGTTGATTGCGCAGCGGATCCGCCTCGGCCCAAAGCAGGAGTTTCTCATCCGAAAACAAATCACAGTAGATCGAAGTCAGCACGACGCTCGTCAGCCCGCCATAACCCAAGACCCTCGAGATGACCGCCTGCCCCGCGGCCTGGAAAGCGAGGAAGACCAACGGCAGCGCGGTCCAGAGATCCAGAGCGCGGAGTTTCGGATCCGAATCTTGGGGGTCGTACTGGATGACGAGGGCGGCGGCGAGGACGAAGAGGAACTGGGCGAGGTAGGAGGCGACGATGACCCAGCGGGTGCGGCCGCCGCAGGCACGGTGGAATCTGCCGAAGGCGAAGGCGCCGAGACAGAAGGCGCAGATGGAGAGGAGGGCGCGCAGCCAGCGGTCGGATTCGCGGGGCGCGACGAGGCCGGAGCCGAGATAGATGCTGTTGCCGGTCTGCATGGAGACGAAGGAGCCCCAGGTGGCGACGCTGCTGCTGTCGAGGAGGCCGGTGATGGTGTAGCAGAAGAGGAGGGCGAGGTAGCCTTTGTTGGGGGAGACGGGGGAGGTGAAATGGGTCTTGAGACGGGTTGTGGGTGAGTGGTTTGGGGGTTTGGTGGTGGTGGTGTTGTCGAGGAGGGTTGTTCGTTCGTTGGTCCTGCCATGGTTGGTGTGGTTGTGTGCCATTGTTCAATTCTTTGCACGGCTGTAAATCTCGCACCAACAAGTGATGTCAATGGGATACCGAAGAGGAAGGTATGGTATGGATTGGAACAGGCAGCTCAGTGAGATGTTGAACGACGACTCCCCAGCCTCCTCCACGACTTCACCGGCTCCTTCTCGAAATCCAATCCAGAAATGTCGGATATCGACGTCGGATATCGACCAATGCGTGGCAACAGCTGCGAAAGGACGCGCGAGACACGTGAGGAGGAAGGAAGAGCGAGGATGGATGGCGTAAAGAGAAGCACATCCCGTCATGACGTCGGACGTTGCAAGGAACGACTTCACTTGCCGGAGCCGAGAGTTTGAATGGGAAATAATATCTCATCCCTCCTCTTCCTCCTCATCCCTCTCATCACTCTCATCAGTACGCTTCCGATGAGGCGCGAATAGGCGGACATCCTTTCCCTGATCAAGATGCGCTCTTCCACATGGATCTCCGGCTTGTTGCTCACGGCTTCATCCTTCGCCGCGCCCGTGAAGCAACACGCTCTTATACATGCTCAGAGTCCGTATAGGAAGGACTTTCATGATCCGTATGATCACAAGGTCGATGCTATTGGGAGGAGGATTCAGCCGGAGCCCATCGTATGTCACTCCCGCGATATACCGGCATACCATTGTCTCATGCGAGTCCCAGAGAAATGGCGATGGGGCAGATGTATTGGGCCCGCGGAATCGAGATCGAGAACGACAGAATCCGGATATGATCCGTCCTCCTTCGACCGATCATGGCGATTTCAAGAACATGCGATGGTGACCGACAACTTACCGTTCCACCATCCTCACTTCCTTCCACTGACCCTCACCCTAGGAGCTTCGCAGACTCCCATACCCGCATCGAAGAAGGCGGCTGGGCTCGCCAAACCACCAGCCGCGAAATGCAAACCTCCCAAGAACTCGCCGGCGTCAACATGCGTCTGGACGAAGGCGTCATCCGCGAACTCCACTGGCACAAGGAAGCCGAATGGGCCTACGTCCTCTCCGGGAGAGTCCGCGTGACGGCTCTCGACACGGAAGGCGGCAGCTTCATCGACGACGTAGAAGCGGGCGACCTCTGGTATTTCCCCGCCGGTTTCCCACACAGCTTACAGGGCCTCTCCCCCAACGGGACGGAATTCCTCCTCATCTTCGACGACGGAGGCTTCTCCGAAGAATCCACTTTCCTCCTCACCGACTGGCTCGCCCACACCCCCAAATCCGTCCTCTCGGAGAATTTCCGCCTCCCGCCCAACACGTTCACCTCCCTCCCGGAGAGCGAAAAGTACATCTTCCAGGGCACCCTCCCCGGCCCCATCGACCAGGAAACACCCAAGACCTTCAAGAAATCCAAACTCCAGTTCACGCATCACATGCTCGCGCAGGAACCGCAGAACAAAACCGGCGGCAGCGTGCGCATCACGGATTCCCGAAACTTCCCCATCTCCCAGACCGTCGCCGCGGCGCACCTGGACATCGCCCCCGGCGCCCTGCGCGAGATGCACTGGCATCCCAACGCCGACGAATGGTCCTTCTTCCTCCGCGGCCGCGCGCGCGTCACCATCTTCAGCGCGCAAGGCAACGCCCGCACATTCGACTACACCGCCGGGGACGTGGGCATCGTGCCGAAGAATAACGGCCATTTCATTGAGAATCTCAGCGATGAGGAACCGCTGGAGGTTCTGGAAATTTTTCGTGCTGAGGAGTTTCAGGATTTCAGTCTGTTGCAGTGGCTGGGCGAGACGCCGCGGCGGAATGTCTTGGAGCATCTGTTCCAGGGGGATCGCGAGGGCGCGGAGAGGTTTGCGGGCGCTATTGAGGGGGCGGAGAAGGATGAGATTAAGAGTCAGTACCGTGGACATGCAGAGGAGGAGGAGGAAGAGCACGAAGCACCTGAGCGTCAGAGAGGGTTTCAATCTGTTCTTGGGTTGTAGTGTAGACCTCTTAAAACCCAACCGAAGGTAACCGAACTTCGTTCTTTTCGAAAGATTTTGCAAACCCTTCATTCCAAATCACTGTATATCTTTCCTTCCTTTTTTCCTTTCACAGCTCGTATCCCTCTCCTCTCCCCTCCTCTCCTCTCCCCCTCCTAGCGCCCGACCGCAAACCTCAAACTTTCCCCTCTGATGAGAATCTCCCCACTCTCGCTCCCCCTTAGCTCTCACGCCTCCCCCCAAAACCACCGACGACTCCCATATCCACCACCCGCTCCGTACACCGCATACGTCTTCGGGCCGTCGTACGAAGTCGTCGGATACGCCACGGGCGTCTTGCTTCCGGAAACCGGTCCGCTGGGAGCAGTAGAGAAACCGGAAGAAGAAGGGGCAGTGCCGTAAGGAGCAGGATCGGTCGGGGACATGGAGTAGTTGCCCGTAGCAGTCGCAGTGAGGTAGAAAGTCGAAGTGAGAGGGGAAAGGACGGTACGATTCGTGGGGAGAGTAGTACTGCTAGCAGGGAGAGGGTAGGAGCCGGTTCCAAGGGTGGAATTCCCCGTCCGAGGGAGGCTGGTGAAAGACGCAGTCCCGGTGCCAGTGCCTCCGATAGAGAGGGCGCTGCTGGTGGGAAAGACGGAACGGGAAGGCGAAGACGAAGACGGAGAAGCGGCAGTGATGGGACTTCCGAGCGTGCTGCTCGCTGCCGTGCCCGTGCCCGTGCCCGTGGGTGCGGGATCTGGGTAGCTGGAATTGCCGTACGAGTACGGCGCGTGAGTGCCTGGGAATGGGAAGCCAGAAGAAGCGACGGGAGGAGAAGAGGGATTCAGCGTGACCAGGACGGTCGAAGTGAGGGTGAGGGTCGTGGTGCTATTGAAGCGCGTCGTGATCGTGCCGCCGGTGGGGAGCGGGAGCGAGGAAGTGTTGGTGAAGCCGCCGCCGAAGGGGGAGCCTGGAGTCGAGGGAGAGGTTGTGGGCGGCTGACCGGACGTTGGCTGGCTCGTGAAGGCAAGAGAACTAGACGAGATGGAGGCCGTGATGGGTGAGTCCTCTGTGCTGCTGGGAGAGGCGGTGGACAGTGGGATGCTTGGGTCGATCGTGCCGTAGCCGCTCGGAGATGCGTATCCTGGAGGACCATAGGCTGGTGGACCGTACCGGTGCGGACGGTAGGGTCCCCTCTTGATCTCGCCGGCTACGAGCTGTTAGCTGCCGTCATCAACGCGAGTGTTGAGTGGACAACATACCGATCGCCGGCGAAGCCTTCGCCGCACCAAGGACGGCCGCTGCTGGCAGAAGGATTGACAGCTTCATCTTGTGATGCTCTGATGCTTGTCCGGAACAGATAGAAAGAACGAATGGACTGTCAGTTGACGGAAGACAAGCCAGAGAGTGAGTGTAGTGAACGAAGGACAGCTCGGCGAACGGGAGCGTACAACGACAAATCTCAAGACACAAGGTCAAACGGACAAGCTCTTATATCGTTTGCACCCCGAAGCAAGATTGTCATCACCTCCACACCTTGCGGCATTCTATCCGTACCGCAGACGCACAAACAATGCAGTCATCGCGATCTAGCACGTCTCGAATCACGGAAGAGTGCTCCTGATAGCACAAGGGATGGTGAGGAAGAAAGAAAATGTAAGCCGTGGCGTTTGAAATCGGGATAGGTGCATAGGCGATTCTTCAGGAGCAGACGTCCGTCCGGATGGCACATCAACGCAGGTCTAGAGCCTCAGTCGCTCGCGTCTTATTTGCTTCGAGAGCGGATATGAGGAGACGGAGGCGTGCGGGCCGACGATAGTCTAGAGGCACCTGTCCGATAGGATCGTGAAACGTCGACTTCGCGTATGATCTCCCAATTTTTGGTGTGGAAGCCGCGCCTGACCGGGTGGTAGGAGATGACCAGAAGTATCCCATCGCACTTTCTCTCACTGAGACAACCAACGTGAACCAGTAGAGGTCAATAGTTGCCAGAGTGTTGTCGAGCTGAAACCACGCAGCCGCTGTTGTGCCACGTACACAACATGACGGCTGCATCGGCAAAGGCAAACGTCTTCCGACTGGTAATTTTTGCATCTTGCAGCAGCAAAGCTGCAGAGACAAATGTCAATATCCGCTCAGATTCGACTGTCAAATTTTGGAGAGAGCTTAATGAGCTGGTGGTCTTTCCTTGTCTTCTTTCCAAATGCAATTCAACAGTCTATCCTGAGACCGCCACAAGCCACAGACACGCGACATGTGTTCATGGCTGCCACACCAAGGCTGTATACGGAGACTGAGATGCGTTTGCGGCGTATGCAAGGTGGTCAATTAGACCCAGTACGTGTTTGTTCACAGAAAAGCATCCTGCAGGTACACGACGCACCATAAGCTCAGCTGTTGTGACATGAGCGCAGCTTGCAATTGACCTTAACCGATGGAAAAGTGCCCGGCCGTACTGCAAGCTGCCTAGTTGCGCATGTAGGTAACATGACGAAGTCTTGACAGCTATCAAGGCTGAATACGGTGGTCACGACATGGTCTGAGGAGCGCTTGCTGGTGAGTGTTACATGATCCTGAAGCTCGGCCATGGAATAGAGGTCTCGATGTGAATAGGTAAGGAGGTCTCAATTGGGTCTGTCGCTAAAGCTTGGACTGCCAGGCTCAGCTAGAGATTCTTTGCCCTTGCTGAGATTGTAATCTGCCGAACTCTTGATGTATGTCCAGGACTGCGGGCTTCAAGTGTGCTTTCCAGTGTACAGCGATAAGGAACTCAGGGTTCGGCGTTCTCGTCAGCAAAGGGGCTTTGAGTGTCGTCGCGCGATATGCCATCTCCAGAATTTATTGTATTGTCGGGCAGAGGATTGAGGTGATCATCACCGTTCGAACCGTTGGCCTGGACAAACTTGCCACTTCCGTGAGCCTTGGCAGCTTTGCGCATGCGGCGTGGCGCGGGTGCAACGGGCTTCTCTTTCGTGACCTTTGCAGAAACATCGACCACACTCAGACTGCTCACCCCAGCTTCTGCTACTGACATTCCAAGTAGCTTTTTGGCAACCGTGGACTCGCTCGGCGCAACCTCTGCTAGCTTTTCCTCGAGTTTCTCTTTCAATGCATGACCCTGCTCGTCGCCTTCCTCTTGGAGCCAATCGATCTGCTTGCACCTCATAACAAGCCGGATTACTGTCTCGTCTACTGGTGCAAAATGAGCAGAGGATCTGTTGACCATGAGGTAGAAGAGTTTGAGGACCTCTTCGCGCTTGTAATGGGTGCCTTCGTGAGCCAGCTGGGTGTTCTTCAAAAGAGGGTATAAAACTCGCAGGTAAGTGTGTATGAGTGCGCGCTGGCCGTTTATGTCAGAGCCCTCTGGGGAGAGACCCAGGTCCGTGTTTCCCGGATCCAAATCCAATAGATTTCGAATGATGACGTCGACCAGGACGTGTAAGTCATTCGTGTAGAAGTATTCGTACGTGGGAGGAGTCGTGAAGAGCAAGTAAAGTAGTTTCAGGATCATTAGTTGGGGTCCTAGCTCGGATTCCCGATTCAGTAGTAGGATGAGGTTCTCTCCAAAAGTCCGATACGAAGGCCCATGCTGAGAAAGAAGCTTCAAGATCCTATTCGTGAGGGCGCCGCTCTCCTTGTCTGGTGAAGGGGGCGCATTGGCATGGCACATGTACTGCTCGTTGAGTGCCAGCAGCACCCTGATGACCGGATAGTGATATGGATCCTCGGCGTCGTCAGAGAGCTCCTCAATGAACTGAAACAGGTAAAGAATGAAAGAGTCGTCCACGATCGTTAAGTCGTCTCTGGATAGCTTCTGTATCCGGCTCATCTCGAAAAGAAGCTTCAGCAAGAGTCGGTGTAGGCCAAAATCGTCGTCTTTCCTGTCGCGAATCAATTCAACCAAGCGTGAAAACGCGCCTTCTTCCGTCATCATCTCGAAAGCAGCCTCGTTGGAGCGTCCATCGAACAGCAGCACAGCTGCCGTGAGGTGTATGGTGTCCACATCGTCTTCTTGGAGCAAGCAATACAATATCTGCCTTCGCACGTAGTCCTGGTTCTGCTGGAACAGCGAGGAGTCCTGCAGCTTATAACAGCACCGCGCAATGTCATACTCTGACTGTAGGTATTCCTCTGCCCAAAATCAGCCTTTTCAGCCCATGCCTGCCACCTCACCCCAAGTCTGCTCTTGCCCAGTAACGTACGCTTGAAGTTGGTGGTGAAGCCGAGGAAGCTCCTCAGAGCATTATCAATCTCTTCGTGATCGCTCGAAGGACTCGCGACGATGCTGTCGAGCTCTGCCAATGCCATAGTCAGTATAGTAGCCGTATGATGCTCCATTGGAGGATCAACTGACCGGCCCAGAACTGAGATTCATTCTCGACCTCGTACTGCACCTCATCGCTGTCCATTCTTCTGCGACAGTGACGCCTGCATCTAGCAATGGCACGCTGTCGCGCATGCAGGCTGCCGTAGAATTGGCGCACAGTGCTTTACAGCAGCGAGGTTGTGTTCGAATCCAAGTCGATGGCAGCAGCGAAGCCAACCTGTCAAACCGCGCTAGCTCGGAATTCGGATCGCTGACGAAAGCAAGTGGAGCCGGAGAATGATCCGAGCGTCTTCTATAGTAGCATAAAACTCTCGCAGACAGTCACGCGGCAATACCACACGACCATCCGCATAGAGGCCAGTCAGGTGCAGCAGCAATATTAATCATGATTAGGAGCAATCCAACATACGCAGCTAATACTCCTATGAGAGACAAGCGCGACGTGAGAGAAGTTACTGTTCAGGAAGCGACGTGAAGTAGTCTCTTTAAATCATTCACTTGATGCGTGAATGGTCTTCGCTTCATCCCAATGGTCCTTCCCCAAAGCGCCAAGCAATGCACATGCCGCGACGGCAGCTAGCCGAAACTCTATTCTACGCAATCAACCAATATCCACCAGCAGCCGTTCCAAGACAGAGAAACACCGTGACAATTCCAGCACCAGCTCGATCCGCTGTCGTGATCTTGCTCGTAGGCGCGGCCGCATTACTCGTGTCACCTGAGGTTCCAGCACTTGGATCTCCCTGCGAAGTACCGCCTGTACTACTCGACACGGGTGCCGTGGCCTTTTTGATCAAGGTTGATTGAACCACTTCCAGTGCCGCCATCTGTTCTCCTACGCCGTAATTGCCATCGTACGTCGAGTTCTTTGTCCATGCCATTCCGCAGGTCACACCATCCGTTCCGCCGTCGCATTGTGCTGCGGCTGCAACGGCGGAAGCATCGAGGTATTCGATCACTTGATCGTATAGGAAGGGTGCCGATTTGGTCGACGCAGCCATGAAACGAGCAAGGTAGGCTTTGAAAGATTGCTCGTCCAAATTGCAGTTGTCTGAAGCTTCGCAGACTTCCCTCATGACTTTCTGCTCGTTGAAGAAGTAAGCGGTTGCATTGAACAGTCCTTCCGTGCGAGTCTTCCATTCGGTGGTGTTGGTCATGTTCCACATGACCGCAGCACCGTTGAGCATCATACCCTGTGTATACGACCAGCGAGTATGATCTAACGAAGTACAATTATTGCTGATCTGGGTTCCGTCGTAGATCTCATAGGCATCTCCAATCAAGCCGACGGTATCTTCCATCCAGTTCCAGACTTTATTGGCCCAGTGTGCGTAGGTCTCGTTGCCGGTGTAAGCATACAGTCGAGCAGCCATGTTGAACAGGCCGCCGTTCGAGGGACTGTTCTTGTAGTTGTAACCATTGTTCCATGTAAAGATTTGCCATCTCAGACCGCCGCCGCAGTGGTCGGAATCCCAGCGTGCAGCCTGACTGTTAAATACACCTTGGGCCAGGGCCAGCCATCCAGGTTCATTGTCTCCAGGGTCTGTGAATTTGTACTCTGCTGCTGACATAACGGCAAAGCCCCAGAAGACTTGGTCGTCGTTTCCCTCGTTCTTCGTTTCATTTATAGGCTGTATCGAGTTAGCCACATGAGGGCATTATGCATTGATGAGGGTGGAAGATCGGTTCTTCGTACCATGTAGTTGTTGTCAGTGCCTGTCTGAAACAGCAGACCTTGCTTTACAATCTCGTTATATGTTGAGTCGCCAGTGTAATACCAGTAGTTGATGAGCGAGTTGAACATGGCTGATAAGGTTCACGAAGTTAGAGTTTGATATTCGATTCAGCTTGTGATCGCAGGTCACTCACCACCGCACTCCCACCAGTAATACGGATCTCCTAGAAGACCCGGTACACCTCCAGATTCATTGCCATGGTAATATTTGACCATGCCATATGCGATCGTTTTCGCCGCGCTGTGTACCGATTCCGTGTCGTTGATTGTGAGGTCTATACCGGCCACTAGAGGAGCCAACGCCAGCGTGCCAGCCGCGACGTGTGAGGAAAAGCGCATGCTGGCGCGACTGGCGGAGATCCTGCCGCTGATTTCCAAGCGAATGCACTGATGGAAGAGAGATATGAGGCAGGTCTATGCGCCAAGATCCAAGTCGCTTGTGAAGGAAAATCGGTGTTCTCGAAAAGGTTGTTGTCGGGAAGAGGAGACTCGTCCTCCTCCGCCGGGTGGACTCCATGGTGATGACAGGATTGACGAGCTGGGCGAATTGTGGGACGTCGTTGCTGCGTGGCTATTTGCGCGGACAGTGGAGCTAGTATTCGTAATCGGCCTATCCCTTGTCAACTTTTCATTACCCATGGCCATCAAATCTCAATCAAACTGTGGCTGCTAGCGTGATACACGAAGGCGAAGCCGAACGGGCCGTGAAAATAGAATGCTTGTTTTCACGCCGACATTCCACCGCTCTCCTTAATCGCCCCAATCTCCCAGCCCTCCGTTGCTTGTCAGGTCTTGTCCGATCTTGTGGCTTCTATACCTAGACGAATTGCCCACCGATCCATCTGTGCATCATGCCCCGGGCCTCTGAGCATGGCCAAGTGGGCCTGAGATCATTCACTCAACTTCATCTGTCTCTTTCCCATTGGCTGGCAAATGAATTAAGCATGTGGCAAGCATAGAAGCTTCGCGCTTCCCCCGAGAGCAATCTATACGCGGCTGTCGTGCGGCTTGTTGATCGCACCAGTGAGCAGCATGCATCACAATAGAGTCGACAAGCTAAAGGAGAATATAGCAAGAGCTCTCGATCTTCTAGATGACACCTTATCAAGAGCCATCTATACCTATCTGATAGCTCAGCCTTGAACATTTGCGAGATCTGAGGCCCAGCTCTCCTTTTACACATGCTTGCTAATCACAACTTAGACAGTTTCCTCTTCACATGCTCGAATGCTACGCGATCTGGAAGCATGGTGCACTATTTGGCTATTTGGCCTTCTACTTATACCTCTCGCTCGCTCGACTTTCGACAAAGACTGCCACACTTGAAAACCAACACGATTGGTCACACCTGCAAAAGATCACCAACCTCGTCGATCATCAACACCTTCGGCAACAGCTCAGTATACTTCCGCAATAGCTCGCTCACGCCTTCAACGCCTCACGCACTCCCAGCACCGCCGCCCTCCTTCTACTCAAACACCATGCCTTTAGTCGTGCCGTCCGCAAGAAGGAAACAGGTAAGGCTGAAGAGCCGCAACTGACATCCTTCACAGCTTCTCTGTCGAAAACTTTCACCAATCCTGCACGTCGTACGGGAGTTTCGAAAATGACCCACTGATCGTCAATACTGTCGCATCTGGCAAGTACAGCAAGCAGTTCATTGCTCATCGCCATCGGCTGCAAGCCTCGCCTTTCTTCCGTGACGCCCTCTCAGAACAAGGCAGTGACCTCCAAATGAGCGATTGAAGCCCAGAGACGATGCATTACTATCTCCACTACCTCTACACTGGCCCGATCTTCTTCATGGACGGACATGCCATGGGAGACTTGCACGTCATCGGCGCGGATGCGTATTCCCTGGACAATGTCATTTTGCGTTTCTTTTTTTGAAGTCGATGTACAAAGACAGTAGCTACGTAGTATCCTGACCTCGATGTCGTCGAGACAATCTACAGCGCCACTGGTCCTGCCTCCTCAGGCCGCAGACTCATGGTAGGAATCTACATCCGACTCGTACCGTCCGAGCGGATCAACGGTCAGCATATGCTCCGTGAGTTCAAGGAGGATCTGCTCGGGCAGCTGATGGTGGCATCGGCGGCGAGGCGTGGTCTGAGGTATGAGGAGGTGTTCCCTCCCCTTGAGACCACCGACTATTATCAAGAAGAGGAGGAGGAGGACTAGGAGAATGCGAATGTCACCGAGAACCAGGAAACGGGAGAGACTGCCGAGATCGTAGAAGATGAAGAGACAGGGGCGGTCATGGCCATACATACATCGGGACTCGTAAAATGTATGAAGTCGCCGGACGATGAAGGCATCGAGACGCCCGCCGCAGAAGATGAGGAGACCATGCGGCAGGAGGAACTTTCAGAGGGCATGTCCACGTCAGAAATTGCGGAACCATCGGAGCTGCGGAACGACCGCAGCGTCGTGGCTACCCCATCCCAGCACGACGTAGAATATAGCTCTGACTTCGAGGGATGAATGCGGGCACGCCAAAAAAGCGACTCCGACACGAGAAAGAAACGTCCCAGAAAGAAAGCTGCTGAAGAACCCTTTCCCCACCACAAACGACATCTTTCCCTTCCCCGTCCGAGCCCTCCAAGTCGCAAACGGAAACGACACCACACCACTGGAGAAAGAATGGAGCAAGACCAACGAGCCAGAGAGGTGCGATCCACGCGAGCATTCCCGCCGCGAAAAAAAAAAAAGTCTCCTGCTTCCAGAGCGGCGGCGGCGACGAAGAAGTCCTCCAGGACAGATAATGGTAATCGTGTCGCGAATCATACATACACCAAGAAGACCTCGAAAATGATGCTTGCACACAACACAACACAAACACAACACATGCACGAGCCAGATAGATGACGACGGCACACAAGTCAAATCGAGTCGAGTCGTTTTTAGTGGAACACAACATCCTCATCTCATCTCATCTCATCCCACTCAACCTCGAGGACCCCCAACACCACCCACCACTAAGACCACAGCGCCGGCCCATGCCAGGTCTCAAATAATGCTTTTCATATTTCCTCTTACTCCGGATGGATACCATGATCAGTCAGCCACCACACCAATGTTCAAGTCCAGAAGACCGGCTCGGCTCTCTTTGCCAGCCTACTCGCCACCATTAAACACGAGTAGACTCTCAGAAGGAGGTAGCGAAGGAGAGAGAGAGAGAGGGCGAACCAAGAGTGAAATGTACATCATTTCTTCAATTCACTGAACTTCTATAAGAAAAGCTCTCTCTTCTGCAAGAATGCTAAACAGAAGATCACCAAAAAAACTCCATCCATTCCCCCCCTCTCAAAGTTTTTCCCCAAGTTCGTGCGTGTGATAGAAACGCCCAGTTATGATTGTATGAATGCATGCGTGTCTTTCCATGCCACAGATTACAACTCTTCTCATTACCGCCTGATAGCTTTCTCTCTTCTCCTTCAGAAGCCCTATTTCTGAAAAGTGTGTGAAGCCGACTGACGCTCCATGATGCTATTGATACACAGTGGTGAAGAGGTCGTTCACAGGTGTGCGGTATTCTTTGATCGAAAGGAATGGCTTGCCTTCCAGTGGGCATTGGGTGGTTCCATCTATGGGCGCAAGCGGAGTTATGAGTCAAACGAGAACATCTTCCTAACAAGTCTCGACGAGCCTGCGCTTGCTGTTGATGACGCGACTGCCACTCCGGCAAGTGCGGTACCGGTTTCCGAGGCGGTCGTGTCGTTGTTGTTCCAGTTCGATGGCTGCTGAAGCTGCATGATGTCGATCGTTGGGTTGATTCCAAGTTTGCTTGCAATGATAGGCCCGATGATGAGAATGATGAACAGCACAAACATGGAGAAGTAGAGGATCGCGTAGCGGACGACTCGTCGCTTGCGAAGCTTCGACTGCTTGAGGGAATAGATGGGAGGTCGGATCTGGCGACTGTGAAAAGAGTCAGTGAGAAGCAGCATAAAGACGTGAATGCGTGTACGTACCTTGGGCGAAGCCAGAAGAGCATGACAGAGTGGAACTTGTCAATGTATGGGATCAAGAGTGGTGGCAGGAGGAAGAACAGGAGAATGTGGCCGAGGATGAAGTCCGCAGCGAAGAAACCCATTTCCGTGATCTTGCAGAGGAACTCACGTCCAGGCTGCGAAATCGAGTGCCAGCCGAGGGAGTACCACTTTCCGGTCCACCATGCTATGTTGGAAGTGTCGGCGCGGAATTCTCTGGTCAGGGCAAGAGCAATGATCAACTTGTAGACGAATCGCTGAATGGCGACCGAAGCAATCATGCCCAGGAGAGCTTTGGTAAAGCTCCAGCCTTCCAGGAAGAACATGACCTCAAAGAATGCCAGCATCGCAATGACAGCGATGGCGTGGGCGATGGCAGCAAGGACAGCTCCGAACTTCTTGCAGCACATACTAAAGAGTGGACCCATACAGCAGGCCATGCCGAAGAATCCGGCGGCGACACCGGCGTTGACACCAACGGGACCGAAAGCCACAATTGCGACACGGATCAGAGAGTTCGTGGCCTTGACGGTCTTGCCTTGGTTGTTCGACTGAATGACACCAGTACCAGCGTTGATGTACAGATACGGGATCAGGGTAACAGCAACGAGGACGAGTGGACCAATAATTTCGCTAAAAAAGACGTTGGTGAACTTCGCCCGCGGCGTGTCTCCCGACAGCTTGGCGGATGGCTCTCCAAGTGTCTTGCGCTTGAATCCAGTGAGACGCGTACGCGAGAGACGCACGAAACCAATCCAGGATGCCGAGTGAGCCTTGCTGTTGCCGCGAGACAGCCAGCGGAGGAACTCACGGTAGTCGATGAAGAAATCGGACCAAGCGAATTGGTGGGGATTGAACAAGAATGGAGAGATGCACAGCGCCAGGAGGGAGACCCAGAACCAAAGCAGCCAGTAACCCCAGACGGTGAGCGTGCCGAAAAGCAACATCATGAGGAGACGAGCACCAAGGTAGATCGATGGGCTGGCGAAACGCGAGTAGAGGACTCCGAAAGGCATGCGGGCAGTAGCGAAGCCACGCCCAGTACCGATGTAACGAGCGCCTCCGAAAGACAGATCCTGCTGCAGAGAGTAGGCGTAGATCTGAGTGACGAACACCTCGAAAAGTGGCGAAAGTGAAGAAAAGTGCTTCGCCAGACGAGTCGCCGCGCGCCAGAAACCACGTTCAGTCAACTCTTGAATCGTCAGGGGGACGAAAGAGATGAAGAACACGATGAAGATGGAGACAATACAACGCTGAACCCAGTCCATGATAGGGACAATGTTGGCGCAGCCAGTCGGGAAGAGCGGGTCCGTGATGGGCACGTTCTTGTTGTATCGGCAAGTGATGGTCTCGTGGCGAAGCGCACCCAAATTGAGCAGGCACCACATGAACAGCTGCACCGACAACATGACGAACAAGTTGTTGATGTGGAAACCGGGATGAGCGTAGTAGAACGACAGGAAGCGGTCCAGAGGAAGTTGAGTTCCGAGATAGTAGTACTCGCGGGACAACATCTGTTCTCCCATACCGGTACCGATCTTGGTTGTGAAGTTCAGGATAGAGCCGAAACCCAAGTCACGACCTTTACCACACTGGTAGTACTCGCAGTGCTTGATGCGACCACCACGGAGGATGGCATTCATACCAGCGTAGATATCCTCGTTCAAGTGCAGACCCTTCTGAGCCTTGGAGACACCACCACGAGTGGTCATGAAGATGCCGTTGAGGAAATCAGGGTGACCGTAGTGGAGCTTGCCACCAATCTGAGCGAGAGTACGAGCGAAGAGGGTACCGAATGTCTGTTCCTTTCCGGCAGCAACGTCACCAAGAATACCAATGTTCTCGGAGAAAATGTATTCACGGGCACCGAGAATGGCAACTGGGTTGTACTTGGTTGGTGGCAGACCTGGAGTATATGGCGAGACATTATCGGTCGTCATCTCTTCGAATTCGGCGAGAACGGATCGAATCTTCAAGCACTCCTCAAGATAGTTGTCCTGGTTGGCGTCGATGAGCTGGATGTACTCTCCGCGGTAGAAGATCAAGCAGTGGTTCTGGTTGTCGGACTTTCCGTCACCGAGAATTGGGTTGCCAGAAAGCATGATGCGGAACTTGGGGCGACGCATGCCGTTCTCCATGATCTCCGAGTGGCCGTCGATGAGGGCAGAGAAAAGTCTCGGGTCTTCGCCATCGTTCGCAGGAGGTTCTTCGTCCAGGTAGGCAATCTGCAGATCAGGATAGGCACGGAGCAAGAACTCAGCGTTCTCGCGCTCCTCCTTGGAGAACTTGGCGTAACGCTGCATGGAGACAACGATCTTGAACTTGCGGCGAGCCATGCGTTCAAGCTCGCGCTCAAGCTTGTCAGAATTGCCACCGAACATCTGGACAACCTCTGGGTTCTCGACACGGTAGAGGAGCTTGATGGCACGGCTGTAGTTCATGAAACCAGAGATTGTGCGGTACAGAGTCTGCGAGCGCAGGGAGGCCCAGATACGCGTGCGGAGGGTGTATTCGGGAGCAGCAGATTTGAAACCAATGCAGTAGAACGGCAGGTCGTCGATCTTACTCTTCTGTGCATCCTTCTCGCTCTTCTCGTAGTCCCCGTTGAACTGGGAGGTCTCGTCGGCCAGAATCTTTGTGTCCTTGACGAAGCAGTCCCACTCGTGAGGGTGAAGCTGCTTCAGGTACTCCAACATGGTGACGCGAGAGTATGGCTCGTCTTCGCGAATGATCTCACGGAGAGACAGCAGAATCTTCTCGCTGTAGTGAGGAATCATGACCGTGAAGGTGGGCATGTTGTCAACCGGCAGTGGCTCTGGAATTGGTGTCGACAGCGACTGAGCGAAGAAAGAGATGCGGCGCTCGGCCTCCGAGTACGATGGGAAGAACTCCGTCTTGAAAGAATGATCTTCCTGAGACACGAAGAACGTCGGGGCACGGAGAGTACGCTTTCCCTCCTGCTCAGACGGGACCTGGTGGTAGAGCAGCTTCTGAACGTGGTCGATGGCGAGAAGGTGCTCACGGTACATGGAGATGACAATGGCGTTCCAGATCTGGGAGATGAGTACCTTTGGCTTGTACTTGATCTCCATGTCCGTGGTAGCCAGGATCTTGGAGTAGACACGCTTTGGGAGGCGGGAGAAGATGTTTCTCCATGGCGTCCAGATAGAAACACCAAGGTAGAACGACCTGGCCACGGAGAAGACGCAGTTCCAGATGACGTACCATAGATAGGTATCCAAAAAGAACAGAATCAGGTCCGTGAAGTACATCAAGATGAGCAGGACAGTCGGCTGGTGGTAGCAGAGCGCAGTCTTCAGAATCGCGTCTCCCAAGCAGTTTTCGATCTTCATTGTCGACAGGATACGGATAGGATCACGGAGCGACAGAGTCAAGAAGAAGTAGGATTCAGCAAGCTTTGCAGCAAAGACAAGGACCCAGAGACCGTATGACATCCACATATCGTTGCCTCGGAGGCGCGGGTAGCTGGCGGTAAAGGTCTGGCTGGCAACGTACTGTCTTCGCTTGCCGTTGAGGTAGCTTCCGAAGAGACCACCAAGGGGCATGATGGCGAAGAAGAACACAGAGGCCAAGGCAATGAGGAACTGAACAACACCCAAGATGAGTCCAACCTTGGTTGTCTGAGCGCCAGAGATTCCGAAGATGTAGACCGAGGGTGCGATGTTGAGGACGAACAGACCAAGCAGCGCGAAAAGGCGCTTGGTCAAGTGCTGGGCGCCAGCCCATCGTCGAGGAACATACAACCATTCAGCCAGAGTGGCGAGGATTTGGATCAAGCAACCGAGCGTTCCACCAAGAGCCACTGCGGACCAGTGGGCGGATCCATGCGGCTGATTGTTAAGCTGCTGCTGGTAGTTCTTGGTGTAGAGCGTCGGGGAGTTGAAGGCAGTGTAGAACCAGAAGACACAGACGTGGATGATCCAGATGCGGTTGAAGTTCGTCAACATATGGAACCAAGAACGCGTCTCCTTGTACGTCTTGAAGAAGGCCTTCTTCCAGACAACGTCCTTCAAGCGCTCGTATCGCTCGGCGGGTGGCAGGTCCACCAGTCGGGTCTTATCCTCGAAAGCGATGCGCTCGATACCCTCAGGATACCAGAAAAGCTGGTTCATGTCGTCGTATCCGATGATCTTTTGGTGATCGCGCTCTTTGCGGACATATTTGCCCTCGAAGATCTCGTAACCCTGATCTCTGCAGTAATTGTAGATGGGCGTGACGCAGTCGTTCAGGTATGTGAACTCCTCGACCGGCTCAACGCGGTTCTGGCAAGCGGGCGAGTGGTAGTAGTCGTCTGCGCACTTGAAGAGGAAGCACAGAATCTCGGGCATGTAACGGACCTGGTTGGCCTCACCCCAGCAGAGTAGGTAGAGCGCAATCTGGCGCACTCGGTCGTGCTGGGACATGCGGTTCATGCGCGTCTTCCATCGGTATTCCGCGGCCTCAAGACTGTTGTCGCCTTCCAGGCTCTCCAGGGTCTGCTCTTCATTCTGTGGGTTGGTATCTGCCTGCTTCTTCTTGGCCGCCTTACGAGCCTTTCTGGTGGCTCGATTCGCCTTTCCGAGCTTCATGTTGGCGAATCCAACAGCGTCGTCGAGATCGAGATGTGCCGCAAAGTACCATCTCCTGTAGTTGGCGTTCTCGCCACCAATGTAATCGGCGTGCAAGGAGAGAAGAGCTTGATTTGGCGACATACGCGAGGCACGGGAGTCGAGGAGGGTCATCAGATGATCGAACATGTTGCGCATGCTGTCACGCTGGAATCCGAACTTGGCCGTCAGATCGAGGAAGATGTCTTCGATCTCCTCCTTGGAGAGAGGAATCTGTGCATCCGAAGTCCAAGCTGGGTATGGCTCCCTAGACCTTTGCCCAGCTGGCAAAGCACTTGTGTAGTCCATGCCGTAGACTGGAGTAGACGCACCCGACGAGCGATTGCCACCGTAGGAGACCTGCGATGAAGGAGGTCGGTATCCGCGGCCTTGACCTTCGCCATATGAGTTGTATCGTTCATCGCCACGGCCGTAGTAGTCCATCTCAGCAGCGCGGGCCATGTCGGACCTCATTGTAAAGTCGCTGAAGGTCTCCGAGTCCTCTTCGGAGTCGTGACCCCGGCGACGGCCCTTTGGTTGGGCGTAGCCGCGACCTTGTTGCTGGTACTGGCCCGCAGCGGGAGCTCCTTGGTCGTAATACTGGTCATTGTAATATTCGTCTTGGTAGCCGTGAGCTCCAGCGTCGTAGTAGCCGTCTTGGTAACCATCCTGGCCGGCCTGATAGTATCCATTGTCATCGTAAAAACCATCTTGCTGGCCGTGACCGTAGCCTGCCTGGTCGTAGTAGGCCTGATCGTCGTGATAGTAGCCATCCGCGGCATGTTCGGCGCCGGGATGGCCGTAGCCATCCTCGTAGCCGCCCGGGTGCGGGTTGGCCATGGTGGGCGAGTGCGAGAATTAGATATTACTGCAGGCAGCGCGTCAGCAGAGGGCAATTGAAGCGCAATGGGTTCTGGTGATGGGTGGAAGATGGTGGTGATGGCGGGCGCAAACAACACAAGCCAGGGGCGCCTGGGATGGCGAAACGCAGGTTCCGAGTCTGAATGGGGGCGGAGAGGACGTACCGTTCAAGCGTAGACCATGAGCGGTGCAGATGTTCCTTGCGGGCGCTGCAGGTGGTGGGCGTCGAGGGCGGCAGCGGAGTGCTGCAGCGGTGGATTATTGTGGGTTGTACGGGAGTCGAGCGAGCGTTGGCGGATGTTGTCGCGAGAAAGCGAGCGAGGAGCGCCGGCCGAGGGCAGAGTGCCAGGCGGAAGCAGCAGCAGCAGCAGCAGCAGCAGCAGCAGCAGCAGCAGCAGCAGCAGCACGCCTTCCTTGCGGTGGTGGTGAAGCGAGTGTTTGCACCCAGCGCCTGCCAAGCTCGTGGAGAGACGTTTGATGCGGAAGGCGCAGGGCCAGAGGAAACAAGGCGGGAGAGAGGTGGTGTGTAGGTAGTGGTGGTGGTGGTGACAAGAGGAGGCTTGTTGCCCTAGTGAGAGGTGAGTACGCGCGGAAGGAGGCAGGCTTGTGCTATGCCAATGCGAGCGAGCGACCTCCTCAACCGCGGCCGCTGATTCGCCCTGCAAGCGAGCGCTGTGTCCGAAACTTTCCCCGCCGCGACCTTATTCTCCCTGATCGCTGCACAGCCGCAGCGCTGGCCAAACGAGTGTGTGTAATAAGGTATACAGCGGCGTCGTCGTCGTCGCCGTTCGCGAGGGGAGGCTGAGAAGGAGGTGTTGTCGTGGATAGGAGCGAGTGGAGGAAAGGGAAAGGCGTTCGGCGAGGAAGTCGACTTTCCAGCATGCTCCAAGAAGCTCGCTTGGCGGGAGGGCACGGCAGGGTTGCAGTGTGCAGGGGTGCGAAAAGGGGGAGGCGGCCCCCGATGTCAGCCACGACTTTTGCGCTCCGTCCCAGTAGATGTAGTGGTGAAGCGGCGCACCGTCCACTCAACGCGACGCAGCAGGCTCCGAGGTCGTCCAAGCAACTTCCAAGACCACTCTGCTGTCCGGCCTGTGAGATTTCCTGAACCCACCTCGGAGTCAATACAAGTTCGCCAGCATCGTCCCCCAACAGTTGCACTCGATACACAGTGGTGAACAGATGCAGCTCATGCACCGCGATGTCTGCCAGGTGGCAAAATACGCAGCCGCTGTTCCACTGCTTCTATTTTGGTCGCCATCAATATTGCTTATCTGCCGCACACCCACGCACACACGCATACCCAGTCCGGACGCGGCATACCAGTCGCCACTCTGGCCTCACACTGCACCGGTGCGGAGACCGTGATACCTTAATACATGTGCCTACGAATTCCCTATCGAATTTCTATCCTGTGATGAGCTCGTCAGCTCCATGCGAGACGCCGAATGCATCTCCATATCATGATACCCCTTCGCTCGAGGCACAGTAGTAGCTCCCGCGGCCAGTCAGCCTCTGCCAGGGACCCCCTGCAGAACATCGAATACACAAACTCTGCGACACTTAGGCTGCCGTAGCGACATGACTGCGGAGGGACAGACATATCCCGCAAGCTTGTAAGCTGTTTGCCAGTGAAATATGTCATCGATGCGCGGCGCAGCGACATATAGTGACGGTAACGCGCCCCAAACATTGCCTGGCGACGAAATTGTCTTCGTGAAGGGGAAACGTTATCTCTGCTTGACTTCCATTGTAGACGGGGGCGGGATGGCCCCGCTTGCAGCTCGCATGTGTACCTGCGTTAGCATGCTGTCCATGACGAGCCGAGAGGCGAAAACTCACCAGTCCAAAGCTGATGCTCAGCACCATCTCGCACAAGTCGACTTCATATCAGGTTTGTATCAGCTCTCGTCCCAGCTACTGCCAATGTAGTTGCATGAAGGTGTTGTCTCTTGGTTGGGAAGTATCTATATCCTGCTGCAAACTCGCAATTGATGCAGCATTCGCACAACGATTCCAATTCCATACGCATCCTATCAATTCTGCTCTGAATGTCAGAGCATTGATGATGAGGATGACATCTTCTCCGTCTTGTCCCAACCGTATCTGTCCCTCACGACCCACGGCACCACTCATTCGCCACACCCAAGTCTGACCTGTGAGATGAAGTCGATGATGTCCCAAAGCGTTGAGCCAACGAACTGCCGAGCGCGGCCGAGCGGCAGAGGCCGCAGAAGGACGATCAGGACGATGCACAACAATGGGCTCGGGGACAGAAGTGGTGGCTGTGAAGCTGGCGAGTGGACGATGTGTTGGTGAGGTGGCATCAGGACCTTGCAAGTTGCCGCAGAGTGAAGCGGCTCCGCTGGCGCCCCTGAAGCGCTGATGTGAGTGTCACCAAGAGTAAGAGCGAGCCAATCAAGGTGGCGGGAGCGAGTCGGCGCGGTGGCGGAAGAGAGACGGAGACGCGTGTGCGCAAGCTTTTGGCTGTCTGCGCTCCCCTGAGACGTTGGCGCGCGAAAAACACCACCACCAACCATCTCACTGTCAAGCGACCCTCTTTCCTGCTGCTGCTGCTGCTCGGCGTACTCGCGAACGGAGTGCTCATCGTTATTATTGTCTCTTCTGTTTGCCCTTCTCTCGCTCTTTCCTTGGCACCCTTCGCCCACCTACTACCGCATCTTCCACACGCTCGTTCAACCACGCAAACCGACCTTCGCCGCGCGGACAGGAGGAGTGACCGGCTCACATTCCATCCACGCACCTTTCCAACCAACCCATCCCTGCCCAGAGCCCGCCAGCCGATCCACCTTTAAAGAGGAGCAGACGTGTACACCCATATCCAATTGTAATCACACCTCCATAATGAGAGGCTTCGGCATTGCGTCCGCGGCCATCGCGGCCACCAGCTTCTTCGCCAACAGCGCTCTCGCCGCCGACCTGCCTTCCATCGTTATCAAGGGTTCCAAGTTCTTCTACGAGAACAACGGCACGCAGTTGTAAGTTCCGGCCCAGCCAGTGTCAGCACGCCCGTCGTCTCGTCTGACACAATAGTCACAGTTTCATCCGAGGTGTTGCCTACCAGCAGGACTACTCGGGGGGTGGAAGCAATGGAAACGGCTCCGACACAAGCACACAGACATACAAAGACCCTCTGACCGACGCCGACCAGTGCAAGCGCGACATTCCATACCTTCAGCAGCTCCAGACCAACACTATCCGCGTCTACGCCATCAACCCAGACGAGAACCACGATGACTGCATGCAGCAGCTTGCCGCCGCCGGCATCTACGTCGTTGCCGATCTGTCTGCCCCGGTAGACGGCGAATCCATCAACCGCGACTCCCCAACATGGGACGACTCTCTCTACGAGCGCTACACCTCTGTCATTGACTCCATGGCCAACTACACCAACGTTCTCGGCTTCTTCGCCGGTAACGAGGTCTCCAACGCACCGAACAACACCGACGCGAGTGCCTTCGTGAAGGCGGCAGTCCGTGACAGCAAGGCATACATCAAGGCTAGAAACTACAGGACCATTGGTGTGGGTTATGCCACCAACGATGATGCCGACATCCGTGTCAACATGGCCGACTACTTCAACTGCGGCGACACTGCAAGCGCAATCGATTTCTGGGGTTACAACGTCTACTCATGGTGCGGCAAGTCTAGCTTCCAGCAGTCGGGATACGAAGACCGCACCAAGGAGTTCTCCACCTACTCTGTTCCCGTCTTCTTTGCTGAGTACGGTTGTAACGAAGTCCAGCCACGTCTCTTCACCGAGGTTGGTGCGCTCTTCGGAGACGAGATGACTGGTGTGTGGTCCGGCGGTATTGTCTACATGTACTTCCAGGAAGCCAACGACTACGGTCTCGTCTCTATCGATGGCAGCTCGGTCAGCACTCTCACCGACTTCAACAACCTCAAGACCGAGATGGCCAAGGCTTCTCCCACTGGCGTCAACTCTGCCTCTTACACCCCAAGCAACTCTGCTGCGGCCTGCCCTACCACCTCTGACTGGGCCGCCAAGGCATCCCCTCTCCCACCATCGCCAAACAAGGAGCTCTGCAACTGCATGTACAACTCGCTGAGCTGCACCATCAAGTCCTCCGTCAGCTCTGATGACTACGAAGACCTCTTCGGAACGGTCTGTGGCTACGGCTCCACTTGCGCTGGTATCGCCCACAACGCCACCACTGGCAAGTACGGTGCCTACGGCATGTGCAACTCCACGGAGCAGCTCGCCTTCGCTTTCAACCAGTACTACATCGCTCAGAACAAGGCCTCCACCGCCTGTGACTTCAACGGCGCGGCTCAGGTCAAGAACGCCCAGTCTGCTTCTGGCTCTTGCAGCTCGCTTATGGCGCAAGCTGGAACCGCCGGTACTGGAACTGTCACCGCTTCTCCCACTGCCAATGCTGCTCAACAGAGTGGCTCCAGCGGCTCCAGCGGCTCCAGCAGCTCTTCCTCGGGTGCTGCTGGTCCTATCGCTGCCATTCCCAGCACCCATGTCAGCATGCTGCCAGTCGCATTCATGGTCGCCCTCGCCGTGACGTCGGGCATGGGCATGATTCTGTTGTAAACTTCATTAATCACTCTGACTTTCGTCAATGCATGGAACGGTTGGGTGCACAGGAAGCGTTTTTGTTTTTCCCCATCTGCCAGGCAAGGCAAGGCAAGGCAAGGCAAGGCTTCAAGAGGAAAGCTGGACGGTTCCGCTCCCGTTTTTGGATACCATTGTTTCCCTGGGTTATGAACGCGAGAAAGAGATACCTTGCTCTTGAGACACTTCGGAGACCTTTTCGATAGCGTTCACATCAGGTTGTTTTTATCGAAGAGCGTTTCTGGAGGCGTTTTCTTGTCATCGGATGACTGCATGGTCTTGTCAGGATAGACGAGTGCTCTATCTAGCTAATTGAGGGCGTGTAGTGTATAGCTACTATTGAAAATTGAAAAAAAATTATTAAATGTATCTTCTTGAAGATTCAACTGTGAGAAACGAGCTGAGGCGAAGGGTGCTGGTTTACTTGTGTCACCTGTCACGTGTCTAGGTGCTGAGGTGAGTGTTGAGTATCGCTTCTTCGAGCAACTTCGTCACCTCATCCCTCATATCCACCTCTCTGAAAGCACACGAACTTTTGGAGCTTCATGGTCACTCGCGATCTCTGTGCTTTACACGCATCTATCGACGCATACTACGAGCAGACTTAAGACGTAAAACGCAGAACGATCAGAAAGCAGCATACCTTGATCAAACAGACGGGTTCGTGCTCTTGTCCCTTCAACAGCCGTTTTCCCCAGCAGCGGGTTATATCGCCGTCGTCCCGAAAATCTTATTAGCGAGACTTGTTGATGGCCACGGCGAGTTTGATGGCGCAGAATCGAAATCGAAATCGAAATTTGTGGTGGTTGCCATGGCCGATCGAGATGACGGTGCGATGTGCGAGAACGCCTTTTGAACGGCCATGCAAAAGGCCAATTTGGTAGTGATATCGTACGGATCCGCGAGGACGCCCGACAATTTACTTCCTTCCTCCAGGGCAGGGGGGGGGTCTGTCCTTCTTCTTGACACAGAGTTCGTCGGTGATGATTACATGGCCGAGGAAGTCGAAGACTACCGTATGTCTGCCTTGCGGAGCATTGCTTCGATATAAGGTAGCGTGCCGCTTTAGTCTTGGTTTTCGCGACCTCGTGCAGAATGGGATGGGTCTGCGTCGATTTGCTGGATTTCTCTATGCTGGTCGTTAGGCGCGGAGGGCATAGAATGGACTTGGGGGGGGGGAAAATGACTTACACGTTGCTTGCAGTGACGCGAGCAAAGAAACACCTGCTATCATGACCCGACTGGAGATTTCGACAGCTACCAGCAGGATGGGGGACATTGTACTGGACGCGAAGAAAGCCGTGCCGAAGGTGGTACACGCCGATTTTCAGGGTCGTGGGAGACGACTCTGAGGCAAGCGTGAGGATTGCTTCATTAGCCTCGCTCACTGATGATGTCGTAGAACGCATTGTTGGTTGGCGCGCGACCGAGCATGGTCCTGTGGTCCTGTGGTCCCTCGATATTGACTGTGCCATGGATGTTGTAGCCTCTCTCTCTCTCTCTCTCTCTTGAGACGAGCGAGGGTTTCCGCTTGGCGAAATGACTTCTTGGGCTAAATGAAGAGTACCGACCGCTCTTGGCATGGAATGGCGTAGAGTTGTCGCTTCCGCTAGAGCGACCTCGTTGGCCCCCAGTACGCGATTTCATGAGACCTTGCGCGAGGTCCGTTGCCGTTTGATGATTGAGGTATGTCCGACTGGTGGTCTTCTCATCACTGAGATTCTCGCGGTGCTGGTTCTCGGATTGCCCAAGGTGCATCCGGCGCAGGTCTCGACTTTATGGGCTCCGAGGGTCACTGTTTGGGGAACGGTACTCCGGCGATATCTTCTCTTTGGCACAGGCAGCGACTTGCTTCGCAAAGAGCTCCGCGTCTTTCATGAATATGTCCGGTCGCGTGGAGTCCATCTTCTTCATCATCATCATCGTCGTGGAGTTGGTCTGGCCTCTCTTATGGTGCTACCATCCCACTGTACGTGAAGTCCCAGGCGACACGTTCGCACCGATTCACATCGGTCGGCGGCGAGATTTCCACCCAAGTACAGAACCATCGAAAGCAGCCCGGCTATGGGCATCAAATTGTACATCACCCAAAGCTGGGTGACAGGAATCCCGATCCGAGCACCAGCAGTAGGAAGAAGCGTGAGCAAGGTCGTGGCACCAGATGTACCGGCCTGGTACGCTGCTTCGAGACTTCCAAGCGCAATAGACAAGGTCCCGACACAGTACTGATAGACCCTCGAACTTCGAATCTGGTCCGCGCGAGATTGGAACGGTAGTTACTCAATAGACCTGACGATGAAGTTCTCGACATCGCCCATGACTTCCTGGCCATCCTTGTCTCTGGTATCAGCAGAACCGGCATGAAAGACGTCGTAGGATGGCATTTCGGTTCCGACCTCGGTGTAGCCGTAACCGTAGTGTACTTGGACTCAGACGGCTTTAGGGAATGAGCAGGAGGAGGGCGACGACGATGTGTTGGACAGCCGCGTGGCTACTGTGTAGACACGAAAACCTGCGTCAAAGGCGATGTAGGGAGAAGAAGCGAGATCTAACGAAGTTCCTTAAATTCTTGCGCTGCTGAATCTTGCACAATGGCGACGACGAAACCTAGGTAGGAAGGAAGACTCCATCGTTGTTGTTACGTCCATTCGTGACAGCCAGGCTGAGAGGGAATCCGAACGCTTCCCGGCTCTTGAGGCCTCTGTCTTTCTCTCTGCATACTTCGCCCCGTCGATGACCGCAAGGCTGCGCTTGATTGACCGCAATGGTCTTGAACCCTCATCATGAGAGCTCTGAGACTCTGGCTTCGTACTGTCCGACTTGCGTCCAGAGTCCGAGCCATAACCCGGGAGCAGCCAGATCTGAAGGCGGCGGATTGGTCCATGTCGCATACGTCCTGCCGTGTTGAGTCTTGAGGGCGCACAGAGTATTGCAGGTGTGACCCCACGTGCACTCGCTTGATCGCTCCAAATGGTTCCAGCTTGGAATCTCCGTTGAAGTTTGAAATGCGTGAGGACATGGTAGAACGGTAATCGGACTACATTCGTGCTTTGTTAGACTGGTTGACTGGCGCATTGGAAGGAGTAAAGGTATATATGATTCCCTTTGTTGCCCGGCGGTAGTGGTGGTGGAGGTAGTGTTCGTGGTTAGGGTTGGTTATTGGTTAGGGTTTTTTGGGGTTAACAACAGTATGTGATTCTGTGTGTTTTCACATGCAACAGGCTTGAATTTCCCAGCGTCGAGATCGAGTGCATTCGTCTCCGCTGGACATGACTGCCACGAACAGTGTTGGAAACAGACGTTGGCCACAGCGGAGAAAACCTGCCTTGTCTACATCTCGACGATGCGAGGAGTTATTGGGAATCGTAGACACTCGGTATGGGCTTCATTAAAGTCGGGACAAATCCAAGATCTGCACTGATTGCACCAGAATCCGACAATACGGCCGGTTGTAGTGTGCCCTTTCCCAGCGATGAAACCGGTCGTTCGCTCCTCTGAACGTCCTGCCGGTAGATGAGGTGGCTATCAATGTACCGCTTGGTGTCGAGTTCACCCGACCCAAAGGCGGACTATGCTTCCTCACAGCTAGCCGGGAGACAACATTGTCTATCGCGATGAGATCTTGCATCCACTGCGCGATTCTTGCACTAGTCTCCGGCGAATTCGACTCGCCAGGGGGGGGGGACCATTGGCTAGATCAGCGGAGTACGGGCTCTCAGCATTTGACAAGCCCTCTTCACAGGCTTTGGTTATGTTCCGCTCATTGTTTCCATTGCCAAGCTGCACAGCATATCTTTCCCCTCGCAAAGCTTTGGGCTATTCTTCCACTCCATCAAGCAATGTTCGCAGCTGTTGATCCGCCCGCTTGGGAGCTAGATGATATGTATTTTCTGGCAATGACTGTCGGCGTAAGTTCGCGCGGTATGGTGTGGCATACTCACGCTGTCACTGTTGACATTACTGCTTGCAGCCCAGCAGTTTGAGATCGTATCTGAATTGCAGCCTGCGCAATGTCTCTGGTGTGCATGTTGAGTTTGACTTGTCGCCACGCCTGGGAAACGAAGGTTGCACGATTTTCTCGAACGCTTTCGAAAGCCCTTCCAATTCATTGAACGTCTTGCTCTCTTCCAGTTGCATCTCGATGCAGGTCCAAAGTTTGCCCCGGTCTGCGGCGGTGCGTCTGAACTCGTGATTGAAGTCTTCCAAATGCTCCGCAGTGTCTCTCCTACCATCGTACATGCTCTGCTCAGCGCACGGATCTCAGCAGCCATGCATCCCACAGTTTCGTCAATCTTCTTTACATCGTTGCGAAATGATCATAGAAGCTCTCCAAAGTTCCACGCGGCCTTGGCAGTCGCTGCTGCGCTTCCAGCGATGGACAATGCAGTCCTGGGATGATACTTCGATTTTGCTTTCTTGGTTTGCAAAGCCTTGTGACGAGAGTCCTCGGCGGACAAGGAGTCAATGGGGAATCGCAGTCATGCGCAAAGGGTTGTGGAACCAGAGGAGGGCTAGTGAGTAATCGAGGTCTCCGTGACATCGATCGCGACGCGCTCTTGAGAGTGTGACAATAAGACAGGAGGGAGGGAGGAAGATGTTGTGCTTCTTATTGAACGAGAGAGATCACAGCCTCGCCATGCCAATTGCAAGCCACATTGGTCGATCCAGGCCGATTGCAAACGCGAAAGGCTGAAGGATTCAACAGCCCTCGAATTGTAGCACTTTCACCCACCCACGCGCGCGATACGGCGATCATTAGGTCTAGGTCGACGCCACTGTAGTAAGTTGCTCTCATCGAGTTCCCGACGTAGCTGTACAGCATGTGTTAGCATCTGAACGTTAGGGTATTTCTTTGCAAGATGCCTTGCTGATTGTCGCCGCTATCTGGGAAGAGGTCCTGATCATCGTTTCCGTGCTTGACTCAAGAGCGCTCAAACAGCCAGGCGTGCTGTTCGCCAGGACGATGTTGCTCAGATGCTTGCATCACTGCTATTCTGGCGGTTGAACGGAAGACAGCATGTGTCTGCCTCCCTTGCGACAGGCATGGTCCGGAGGAAGTCGGGACCTCAGGATCACGCTCTGATGGAACCAAGACGATTTGAGGGTGTCCCAATAGAAGCCAGCAATCGCTAACGGGAATTCTTATCACTATGGTGACAAGCAAGACGCAACCGGGCCGATATAGGTGTCATCCGGAGAGATGCAGGAGTACAAGTCGCCGCCACTGCACGCGTTGGCTGGATGGTATCGTTCCGCGCAACAACAAAGAAGCGAGCTGGTATGGATGCGAGGCCAATGGACCGGCGATGAGGTGTATCGTGGTCGGATGGAATTGGAGAGAATCGGAGTGTTGTCTCACGGTGGAGTGAGGGATGCTAGGTAGTCTCGAATGCCCCGCGCCTCCCGCACACACCCTGGCGCGGCTCAATCTTTGAGCTTATATTTTCCCACGACGCCTACACCTGTTTTCCCTTCGTTTCCGTTTCTCGCCAACTCCCCTTCCGCCTGCCATTGCCAATTGGACGCTTCTAATCCCACAAACACGTCCATCAATTGACACGAGCAGCTACAGATCACCTACAGACCACCGCAGACATGGCGACCAACGGCGAAATCGGTTCCAACTATGCCCTCTCCCAGGGCCACTACGACCTGATGCAGAAGCCTCTCGTCGACCTCGACCCAGAGATCAAGGAGATCATGGACAAGGAGATCAAGCGTCAGCGCGAGTCCATCCTCCTCATCGCCTCCGAGAACGTCACGTCGCGCGCCGTCTTCGATGCCCTCGGCTCACCCATGAGCAACAAGTATAGTGAGGGATACCCAGGCGCGCGTTACTACGGAGGAAACGAGCACATCGACGAGATTGAGCTCACTTGCCAGGCCAGAGCCCTCAAGACTTTCGGTCTCGATGCGGAGAAGTGGGGTGTCAACGTGCAGTGCCTGTCTGGTAGCCCAGCGAATCTGCAGGTCTACCAGGCCATCATGAGGCCACACGAGCGATTGATGGGTCTGGACTTGCCACACGGCGGTCACTTGTCCCACGGATACCAGACACCGACGAGAAAGATCTCTGCTGTTTCGACCTACTTCGAGACCCTCCCCTACCGAGTCAACCTCGAGACTGGCCTGATCGACTACGACCGCCTCGAGGAGAACGCGCTCATGTACAGACCCAAGGTCTTGGTCGCCGGCACATCTGCCTACTGCCGTGAGATCGACTACAAGAGAATGAGAGAGATTGCAGACAAGGTCGGCGCATACCTGCTCATGGACATGGCCCACATTTCCGGTCTAGTCGCTGCTGGTGTGAACAAGTCGCCATTCGAGTACTGCGACATTGTCACCACTACGACACACAAGAGCTTGCGCGGCCCAAGAGGTGCAATGATCTTCTTCCGTAAGGGTGTGAGAAAGACCGACGTGAAGGCTGGCAAGGAAGTGCAGGTCCTCTATGACTTGGAGGGACCCATCAACTTCTCCGTCTTCCCCGGCCACCAGGGTGGCCCACACAACCACACCATCACTGCTCTCGCCGTTGCCCTGAAGCAAGCCAACACCGACGAGTTCAGACAGTACCAACAGCAAGTCATTAAGAACGCCAAGCAGCTCGAGGTCTCCTTCAAGCAGCTCGGCTACAGACTGGTCACTGACGGTACTGACAACCACATGGTTCTTCTTGACCTGAAGCCACTAGGTCTGGATGGCGCCCGTGTGGAGGCCGTCTTGGACCAGATCAACATTGCGTGCAACAAGAACACCACTCCCGGCGACAAGTCGGCGCTCACTCCATGCGGTATCCGCATTGGTGCCCCAGCCATGACTAGCCGAGGAATGGGCGAGAAGGACTTCGACAAGATCGCACAATACATCGACCGCAGCATCAAGCTTGCGCAGAAGATCCAAGGCGAACTGCCAAAGGAGGCCAACAAGCAGAAGGACTTCAAGGCCAAGGTCGCCGAGGGTACTGCCATCCCCGAGATCAAGGCTCTCAAGGAGGAGATTGCTGCCTGGGCCGTCACCTTCCCACTTCCCGTATAAGGGAGGCTGAAAGGGTACTTTTTGCACTCTACAAGGCGTTGATGAGGGAAGGGAGGGCTACAAAAATTTCAACAAGCGTGGTGTTCTTCGGGTCGGGAAATTGATTGTGCATGTGCGCGGCGCTTCAACCTGCTGCGGAAAGGAATCTACGGCGCTTGAAGAACGAGTGAAGTCACGAAGACGAATAGCTTAACGAGATACCTTGCTTATACGAGAATAGCAGTACATGTCTTCCAAATGCGCGTGTGTCGGCGTATGTGCCCAGTGATGAGATGGATGCCTGGATGCCTGATCGCAAAGCCTTTCCCCGAACTCCGTAAGGATTCCGCAAAGCTTTCATCATCGACTTTGGTGCACCAGCCAACGATTCGCGAGCGATTAATTTCTGGTGACCTTTCCACGGAGAGTCATATACTCCCCTCGCTTTTCCATCGCATCATTCTCCTGTTCCCCAGCTCGATGAGATGACCACAAGACTGCCGAGCATCTGCTGCGGCAGCAGCGGTGTCTCGCGCACTTTCGTATTCCCACCCAAGAACCACCGCCGCCATGTCGCAGTCGCGTTGCGGGCACGCGTAGCCTTTCACACCACTACTATCCGCCAGGAAGCAGCTCCGAAACCGTTCAACAAAGCTGGCAATGAGGAAGATACCTCGCCTCCCGAACAAGCAGCGCTCCTCGAAATCTCCGGACGAAACGGCAAGCACATCCACCCCGTGAACCCTCCTCGAAGCACACGCCCCCCGGACCTCGTCCTCCCAGACCGAGCCCAACACCACAACGCCTTCACCTACTACTTGCGCCTCGGACGGAGCTATGGATCATTCTACTGGCGGGGGTTGAAATGCGTGTGGTACAATTGGCAAGCATCCAAAAGCCTTCAAAAGGGAAAACAATGGGAAGACTTACGACGGAGTGAATTCCAATTGCTGGAGAGGAATGGACATGATATTGGCAAGTTACCCTTTTTTGGGTTACTGGTGGCGCTCTTTGGGGAATGGTTGCCGCTTCTGGTGCCTTTCATTCCTTCTGCTGTTCCGGGGACTTGTAGGATTCCGAAGCAGGTCTTGGGGATGAGGGGGAAGGCGGAGGAGAGGAGGAGGGAGAGTTTCCGGAGGGGCATTGCGGAGCCTGCGATGGGAGAATTGGTCGCCGGGAAGGATGGGGAGGCGTGGTCGATGACGAAGAGGGAGATGGCCCGGGAGGTTTTGGGTGGTTTGAAGGCGGAACAGCTTTTCCATTTGAGCTGTACGTTGAATAACCACAATCGTCTCTGGGATCGAGTGCAGTTGCCTCCTCCCACCGCGCTTCTGAGGTCTGGACTTTCGAAGAAGCTATCCTACATCGCCAAGGACGACAAGTTACTTGTTAGAGATGGAGGCGTGCCTCTTCTATCACCGGAAGAGCTGGATATTGCCTGTGAAGAACGCGGGATAGACGTCCTCGGCAAGCAGGAAGAAACTCTGCGTGCTAATCTGGACTGGTGGCTCGCACGGCAGCAGGAAGACCAAGGGCGAGGCAGGGCCGTGATGGTGATGCTGTTCAGGAGGTAAGTCACCATGTCGATTCCGAACTCCCACCTGACCCGAAAACCACAGTCTCGCTATCCGTGACTGGGTGCGCTTGCACCTAATAACAAGCATCAGGAGCTAACCCCTAGACAGGCCGAATGCGTGGGCGACGGAAGTCTCCCCTTCTTCTTCTTCTTCTTCTTCGAGGCAACCATGAAAAATGAACATTTTCCCAGACAGCACATGTCGCAGGCGTTTCAGTGTAACAATAGCATGTAACATACTTTCTCAGCTTCCCAGATTTTCGTCCGAGCCTCTCATGACCATGTGTGCATGGTTTCTTTTATCCACCCAACAATCGGAGCCGTTTCAGACCCCACGCCATCCGGCCCATGCCCAGGACGCCGGATTGGATTCTCGAAACGCAATGGATTTCATCATGGCTTGGGAAAACTGTAGAAATGGATATCTACTGTTTCATTAACCGTGGCTGGCACGTGTTTTCGCGCGTCGAAGGAAGGAGGGAGGAGATTTTGTATGTGGAAAGCACATGGGATTAGACAAAATGAGGGGGTATGTAGGGACTATTTCTTGCTCTGATGGTCCTTCTCTTCGCCATGCCCTGGTACCACTACTGACGTCCTCCTAGGCGCGACAGGATGTACCGGCTCTGCGATCCTACGAAGCATCCTCATGACAAACGCACTACAGCCAAAATTCTTCGAACGGAAACGAAGAAGGACAACTCCACAACCCCGTTCCGAATGTCAACCAGAAGAATGATCTGGTAAACACTTCAGATTTTCGGTCTGCTCGCTTCTCCGATTTTAGGGGGGTGCTTCCTGTGCGAGAGGCGCAGAAGTGTGATTTACTTTACCATCGAAATGGGAACGAATGTATTGGCAAAAGAGAAAAAAAGGAGCACGAGTCATGCCAGGTCGCCAGCTTTGCCAGGGATCCTTTCCAATCGCACGACTTGCAGTGGGGGCTCTTTCGTAAAACTTGTGATTCGTTGGAATTGTGGTGAGTAGATATTCCCTAGATGGTCGGTCATTCAGCCATGAGGCATCAAGAGTCCGTAGTCTAGCATTTCTGGACTCCAGTAAAAGTGCCTCGTCTTGCGCCACCACGTTTCGTGCACGCGATACGTTCGTTCCTTTTTCCTCCTTGCTGTGAGAGAGTCATATTGCACGTGGGGGGGCTCCGACGGGTCTGCCACATCCGGTATTATTCCCGAGAGGGAAATGCGCATCATCCTGGAGAGAGCTGTTAGGCTTGATTGACTGACTCGTCGATCGCCAGCATCTGTCTGATGATGACGACGGAGTGCTCTTGTTTTGACTTTGATACGCATTCCCCAACGGACATGACTGTCATGCCGGCCGGCATTTGGTCACAGTGCGCTACAGTGCGCGACAGCGGGGGATGTGTGAAGGTAGGAAGGTAGCGGGCAATTTTAGAGTGTACAGCGAAAGGCGCTGCTGCCCCTGCGCAGTGCATATACACATATAGGCAATGGCGGCGTCCCTTGCATAGGTACCGTACCTGCTGTAGTGCTGGGCGCTAGCTAGAAAGGAGACGAACGCAGGCAGTGGGCCGCCAGTGTTTCACGTGCCATGGGATGTGTGTGGTTGTAGTGGGTTTGGGTCGGTCGGAGAAAAGATGAGATGAGCGTGTCTCCGGCGTGTCCCAAGCGGCGGTCATCCGCGAGTGGGGACCGATGTGTCCGGCGAGCCGTGATGATGGAGACGGATATAGAAACCACGGATGTTTTTTCAAGAGGGTGGATGAGGTCGGGAATCGGGATCAGATGGAAATGGAGGATGATGATGGATATATTCATATGTATAATGTACTGTGTATGCGGTAGGCGATGACGCTTGCGCCGCTAGCAGAACCTTGCGTGATGAGGGGACGAGAAGAGGGCGTGTGATGGCATTGGCCGGGATGCTTTTGGTGCTGTGTGCGGGTGTTGCACAGCTGGAGGGTGTTGGAACGAGAAACGAGAAACGAGAAACGCTCTTCATCAATTTTCTACGAGGAAAGGCCTCGCTTGGAGGCAGGCTGAGCCAACATTGTCTTCCTCATCATCATCATCAGCTGTCGGAGTCTGCATCTTCGTCTCTCATCATTCTCACCGACCATCTGAAGCTCCCCTTTTCCATCATCATTCATTCTCTGCAATCTACTACCGTCCAGCGTATTATTATTATTATTATCATCGTCGCGCGTGCAGCCACCAGAGCCGAAGCTTTCCACGAGTCAAGTCGATCCTTTCTGCGTTGGACCACAGGACCACAGGTGACAGGACCGCCCCAACGTTGCACGTTGCGCGCCCGGGAGAGGGCAGATCGGTTTCAGGAGAAGGGGTCCGCACCGCCGCATCGCACCGCCGTGTCGCATCGCGCCCCTCCTTCACACTTCTCATCAGCGACGCGCCGGGGTGCCGGGAGCGATTGGAAGGGGCATCACGCATGAGACGTGGTATGAGTCTATGAGAGGAACTGCAGCTCGCACACGGTCACGGTCACGGTCTCGGTCACGGTCACGGACGCGGACACACGCCGCATCCCCCTTCCACACTACCTTACTCTCCACTGCCACTGCTGTCACTGCCACTGCCACTGCCCACTGCCACTGCCACGGCCACGGCCACGGCCACTGGCCCTCACAAATTAGGTTAGCCGACGTACCACGTCTCTGGGCGCTCGACTCCCGCACCGCGAACCTGCGCCTGCAGCTACCGCCGCTGCTCCACCATGTCCTCTGCTGCATACACCACCTCCTCGCGCCTGTATCCATCCGCCACTGCCGGCCCAAGCTCGCCTCCGCGGAGCCCTTCCATCTCTCAAGGCGCCCTGAGTCCCCGGAAGAGCAGCCTGAGGGGCTTGCAGAACGCCCATCCGCGCACTCCCTCTCCCAGACCACGACGACGACAGCGGAGGGGCAAGGGCAAGGGCAAGGGCAAGGGCCCGATGAGGGAGGATCCGAGAGACGACCTCTTCGCCGCCAACACCGCCGCTGCCAGGCACTCTCACGGCCTGTCCTGGAACTCCACCACACGCGACTCGGTCGTCGACAACCTCCTCTTCGGCCTGAACAGCCTCAGCAGATCCGACGTCAACGAGATGGACGGCAGGGCCCAGGATGAGGAAGAAAGACATCGATACCTCTCCTCCCTGACCTCCCAGTTCACCGCAAACAGACCAATGCTACGCAGTCGCGGCCACACGCACTCCTCATCTACCTCGGACTTCGACCGCAACATCATGTCCGACTCTCCATCCAGCAAGTTCTCCATGGGCTCGGCCAAGGGTCGCCGCAGCAATTCCAGCACCAATTTCGGTCAGAACCTGGCTGGTCGGATGAAGGCCAGCGGAAGAGGATTTGGCATGGGCAGGACGAGCTCGGACGTGCAAACAAACAAGCCGAGCGACGGCAGCAGCAGTACGGGCGGTGGATACGGTTCGGGACGGGAGACGAACAGACTGGCTTGGAACGGAAAGACGATGAGCATGGACCACATGCACGCGGAGAATGGTACAGACGCGCCTGCTGTGCTGGATCGTCCCCGACCCGTACCATCAATGCCTAGCAAGTATGAGTCAGCCACGGATCTGGATGCTGCGCCCGAGCCATCCATTGCCGGTGGGCCCCGCAAGATGCAGAATCCAACGGCCACGGGACCAGTATATGTAAACGCGGCGACCTCAAAGAACAAGGCCAGCACTCTGCGCAAGATCACCACCCAGCAGGATTTACGGTCCGCAGGAAACCCACCCCGCTTGAGCCCTCCGATTCCCCAGGACATCCGAAGCCAGGCAGCCGACTTTGTTCGAACCAGCAGCATGCGCGGAACCCTTCCTCCGCCTTCCGCGCACGACATGCGAGCGCCAAGTCCTGCGGTGGCCTCCAGAAGGAGAGAACCATCTCCACCACGCGACAAGCCTGGCTTTTTCAAGCGCGTATTTGGCGGCAGCTCTTCCCGCGCAGTGTCGACACCAGTCGCGGGCTCCAATCAGTCTGCTCAGCAGAATGGCAATGAAAAGCCTCCTGCGGTCGCTCGCTCGGCGTCGCAAGCGTCTGCCGGCTCCCATCCACCACAGAACGAGGTCAAGCAACTCAAAGAAGCTGCATCAGCACCGCCACCGACCTTGAACAAGAAGCCATCGTCATTCTTTCGAAGGAGGAAGAAGTCCACTTCGGAGGCGGTGCAGCCGCCACCACTACCGATCCCTCCCAGTAACACGAATCTGAGGAGCGTAAAAGCTGCAGAGCCGAGTTCTTCTGTTAGCAGTCTCCGCAAAGTGATGGATCCCTTCCTCACCCAGGAGACATCGGCAGCCAATGGCAAGCCAGAACGGCAACAGGGTGGTGGTTTCAGACCCCAAACTGCGGATTCAAAGAACGAACACGACGATTCCGAAGATCCTGACATGTTCCACTCTGGATACACACCGCCTCCTGATGCGTCACTCGGCTCCCGTCACCCTTTCTCTCGCGAGCATTCTGCGCGGCCAAGCTTAGACCGGGATGCCGACGTCAATACTAAGATGAAAGTGAAGAAACGGAAACCAGAGGCGCTCATCACTGCCAGCTCTCAAGGTTTCGACCGACAGCCATCTACCGGCACGCTGAGTGACGAGCTCAATGGCGAGCCCAAAGTCTCTCCGCTGTCAGACCATCATCCACACATCCCCCGATCGCAATCCCCTCCGAGCAGGCCTAGTACTGCCGACAGCCTCATCGCTTCGCGGGACCCCGTTCCTGCCACGGGCTCGAACCAGGATATGCGGAGCTTCAGTGCTAACACTAACGGCAGCTTGGACATGAATGATGAGGGCTGGATCGTTACCCGGGCCAACCAAGATCGCCCAGCTTCGAAGAGTACCGAACGGCTCCGGTTGCAGCCGACCCCATCGGAGGAGCGACTCAATGCCAACGCCGGCAACTTCTCTCCCGTCGAAGGTGCAACGACGACGTCGGCCTCGAACAAAGAGAACCTCGCGCCTATCAGCCCAACAATCGCAGAGACCGAGCGTATTCTGTCCCAAGCGAACTTGCTGCTGCCCACCGTAACGATAGACGGTAGCAATGCATCCCGGACATCAAGAACCTCCAGCGACCCAACCATCATCCAGGTGCCTCCCGAGTTTCATGATGACGGAGCAGAGTACCGCGAACGTGCGCGCAAGATCTTCGAAGGTGACGAAGAAGATGTCCTGAAATGTGACGCAGCTGCTTGGATGGGCGAGAGGAATACGCTAAGCACTCGCACGTTACAAGCTTACATGCAACTTTTCGACTTCTCCGGGCTGAATATCCTCACCTCTCTCAAGATCCTTTGCATGCGACTTGTGCTGAGAGGTGAGACGCAGCAATTCGACCGCATCATCACTGCACTCTCGGCCAGATGGTGCGAATGCAATCCCCGACACGGCTTCAAGGCTCAAGATGTTGTCCACACCATCATCTACTCGCTCATCTTACTCAATACCGATCTGCACCTTGCGGATATTGGAGAGAAGATGTCACGAAGCGCGTACGTCAAGAACACGCTGCCTACAATCACGCGCGTGGTCACCGATGCCGCGCCGGATGCATTCGACGAGACGCTCCGAGTGACTCCGCGACAACATCGCCCGTCTCTTCCATGGACGGACTCGAGCCCATCGATGCCATCGTCACCAATCATGCCTCGCTCTGCCACGCCAGTCGAGAGATCGGAATCAAGTTTCAGCGATTCACTGCAAATCTTTGCGCCCACTTCCAACAAGCGGCTCTCAGTCCGCCCGGGTGTCACTAGAAATGATTCTGATAATGCCGACTCTGGGTCAAACGGCCCGTCTAATACACTGGTCAACTTCCCTTGGATGGGCTCCATGCGCGGATGGGAGATTGAGATTGAGCACATCTTGAAGACGTTCTTCAACTCGATCAAGTCGGACCCGCTGCCACTTCACCGCGCGGCCGCGACAGATGTGCCATCCGCAAACCGCAATCTCTCGGTTGCGGATCTGAACAACACGCTGAAACGGACTGGGTCTGTAGTCAGCAAGGCGCCTTCGGACAACATGTCTTTTCGCTCCAAGCAGGATTTCCGCACGATGACGATGAGGTGGCAGGGCAGGGGTCTAAACCGGTCGCGACCGAAACTCTATCCCGTCAGCACTGTGGGCTCTTCACGCACAAGCCTCGATGATAGTGGGTTCTGGTCGCCAGCGCAGAGCAGCAAGTTCTCATTCAGCAAGACGCTTACGTCGGCGTCTGTGGGCAGCTTCAGCCATTTCTCGCCGACTGACTCGTTCAAGCATTCCATTGGCTTCGCCAACGCTCTGTCGCAGGCCATCATTCGTGAAGAGAACACAGGCGGTGACAGCGAAACGTTCTCGGTCCCAGGCGGGCTACTGGAAGATGAGAGCTTAACGCTCGAAGGAGCGCCGTGGGCCAAGGAAGGCCTGGTTAAGCACAAACATCATCTGGAGACGCAAGATCGGAAAGCCAAGGACCGCAATTGGAACGAGTGCTTTGCGGTCATCAGTAAAGGCAAGCTCACCCTGTTCGCATTCAACACATCTGGCAAGGCTCCATCGTTTGGACGGAAGAATCATTTCATGAAGTCTGGCAAGGCTTCTAGTGTCACCGGCGCCAAAGTTGGCGGAGGAGACTGGATGGGGAATGCCGAACAGCTCGATATCTTTGTCCTGCGCCAGACGATTGCATCGACGCTCCCACCACCCGGCTATAGTAAGGCCAGGCCGCATGTGTGGGCGTTGAGCTTGCCAACCGGTGCAGTCCATCTGTTCCAAGTGGGCACACCGGAAATCGCAGAAGAGTTTATGACCACGGCCAATTATTGGTCCGCTCGTCTGAGCAAGGAGCCACTGTCTGGTGGTGTATCCAACGTCGAGTATGGCTGGTCGGACAACATCATCAACTCTGCACTTCTCGGTCGACCAGACAACTCCCAACGCCCACCGGCGTCGATGCAGAATCGGTCGATGCACGGACACAGTATGTCCACAGACCGGCCTCGAAGATCCAGCCTGCAGTCGTCTGTGCGCAACAGCTTCGACACCGGGTTTGGCAGCGCAAAGCCCAAGTTGTCAGGTGACAAGGTCACCATCATGGACTGGGAGCCACCCAGCCAGTCGATGATGGCAAGCCAGCTGATGGAGGTCGATCAATTGAGACAGCTCACGGCCTACGTCAAGGGTCAAGAGGAAGAGCTGGAGCGGCACAACGAGCTCAAGCACGCGATCGTGGTGGCTGTAAGTAACCCATGTCCTCGAATGTGTGTGAAGGCCGTACTGACATGTTACAGTATTCGTCTCGCCATCCGAACTTCAACAAAGCCATGAACAACTGGCAACGCAAGTCGGATTATCTCCTTCGCGAGATTGTCAAATTCCGGACGTATATCGATAGCCTGACGGCGGCGCAAAAGGCCAAAGACGCCTTCTACGCGAAGAAGGCCGAGGGGCGTCTCTCGCCCGTCGCTAAGGACGACGATCACCCCTACGAGCTTCCTAACATCTCGTCGAGAGATTTCCCGGCTCGCGACATTCACACATCTGGATGATGGATTGATACTGTGCTAGTAGACGACAGCAGGGATTGGGATAATGTTGATTCTCCTGGAGATTGATGATGAGAGAGTGTCCATGGCATCCTGGACAATTTGATGATGACGTTTATGATTGAGTGTTGAGCCAGGCTGCGGACGGACGTATGCACGCTCGACGGACGGATGGGTTTTCTACTCATAAGGCTTTGAGACCTCTGTACTAGTACCAATTTGTAGCAGCGGGCGGGAGATGCTCCAGAGAGGAGTGATTGGACGAGACTTTGATTCTTTGGAGAGAGATTAAGGGCGGAGCGTGTTTTTCCGGCGGGCTGGGTGCAGACTAGCATGAAAAGCTGCTTCTTTAATGTATGATACCTTGTCGTGCTACGGCGGCGTCGAATCCCTCAAGTTGTCTTGTCATCAGAAGTTGTTGTGCGCATTATTATTATTATTGTGCTTGTGTTGCTGCTGTGGCCGTTTTGTCTGTCTGTCTGTTGCCTGGACCCCGCTAGCGCATACAGCTGTCACCTCGCAACCTCACGTGCTTGCCTCTCCCTCTCCTCCTCCTCCCACAAACCCCCCGCCGCCTGCCAACTTTCACCACTTCCAACAAACAACTCAAACAACTCACACACACACACACATACACCATCGACACCCCTCTCGGACTCTCGGACTCCCAAACTCTCTGGCTAATAGGTAACTGGATGCGCTCGACCGAAAAGAAGTCTTGGAGTCCACCCACCATGATCCTCTCGCGCTACACAAACCCACCCTACCGCTCTCCGGTCCATTCGACTTCCCCGCCACCACCACCACCACCACCACCACCACGTCCGAAATCGAAATCGAAATCCAGCCCCTCGTCGTCGCCCAAGAGGAAGCGGTCGGATAGCGCGCTGCTTCCGATCGACACGCGGCAGATTTCCGGGCAGCTGGAGGGCGGCGGCGAGAGTGCCGCTGGAGCGCAGAGTCCGCGGACGAAAGTCGCGGAGCGGTTGAGGGGGTTGGATTTGAGCTGTAGCAGCGGCAGTAGTAGTAGTAGTACGCCGCCGAGAGCGAAGCGCGTGAGGAGGACGTCTCCGAATGGTGGCGGGGCAGGAGGGAATTGGAGCGATGGGATGATGGAAGTCGAGGAGACGCCGCAGGCGCAGGCTGAGGCTGAGGCTGGATCGCTTTCTCCTTGCCCCCTCTTACCTGGTGGATTTCTGCGGGAAGCGAGAGAGGTGGCGAGGCTGGACTGCGAAGCCCCCGACGACCACGCGATGAGCACGCCTGGCGCAGCAAGCCTCGACTGCCCCCCCCCACCACCACGACCACCAGTAGCATCACCCTCTCCAATTTTCAGCGTTGAAAATTCCAGTTTCACCGCCGCCACCACCACGGACTCCCCCTCCGACGACTCGGATGCCCCGCTCCTCCCACCACCACCACCACCCCTCCGGGACTCCCCCACGGCTCTCACGTGGCAGGAAAGCGAAATCACCGGCCAGGAAATCGATCCGTCCCAGCCCGACGACGACGGCGAGGGCATCAACGGGATCGGATTCAAGCCTACGCCGGCTATGGCTCATGCGCGCAGTCTGCGGCGCCGGCAGCAGGTGAATGAATGGAAAGCGCGGGAGGCCAAGGAGGCGAGGCAGAAGCGGTTGGATCGGAGGAGGGGAGGAGCGGGTGGTGGTGGTGGTGGAGGAGGAGGAGGAGGAGGAGGAGGAGGAGGAGGAGGAGGAGGAGATGGCAAGAGGAGTGTGAGGTTTGCGGGGTTTAGTTAGTTGATCTTTTTTTCCTCCCAGGGATAGGAAGAAGTGAGTACGATTGGATGATGTATTGATCTGTGACTTTCTTGATGAAGAACAAGAAGAAGAAGAAGAAGAAGATGATGATTATTATTATTCTTTGCATGTCGTCAGCTGAAAACAGCAGCAGCACGGGGAAAAATCCATAAAGACATGCATGCTCTCGTCAGAAAATCTCGTTGCATCTTATGCTTTCATGCTCCCGACCGGCATCACATCCTCAAATCCACAACCTCAAACTTCAACCCGGGCCCTTCCACCACATGTCCCGGCCTCAGCGCATCCGTATACAAATCCTCTTCCGCATGCGGATGAAAGAGTCCCTTCTGCTCACAACCCAGGATATGCTCCAGCCCGGGCGGCTCCGTCAAGCGGAAAATGCCCCAGTCGGGCAGATACCTCGGCGCGCAGACAATGGCAATGGCTTCCGGGAGCATGACCTGGTACCCGCTACTCGTGTGCAGGTCGCGGGAGCTGAGGAAGCAGGATTGCGAGGGGTGGGTGTGGATCCAGCCGCAGACGAGGAGGTTGTGGGAGTCGCAGAAGTCGAAGAGGGCGTTGTCGCCTTCCTCGGTGGTGTCGCAGGTGTCGGAGGTGGACGTCTGGTCCGGGACGATGAGGTGGGTGATGAAGAGGGCGTTGGAGATGAGGGTCGCGCAGAGGATGCCGCAGGTTTCCAGGTTGCGGAGCGTGTTCTCGTGCGCGAGGTTGAGGAATGCGGTGCGAAGGTCGGGAGGGAGGAGGACTGTTCGGAGGGGAGAGCCGGATTCGGTGAAGGCGGTCGGTTTGAAGGTGTATTTTGCTCCTGAAGGTTGGTGGGATGCTGGAGGGGGCGAGGGGGAAGCTGTTGGTGGCGAGTGAGGCGGCGGGGAGTAGCGCGACTTGGGTGGGAGAGCAGGCGCGTCTCTACTAGGGAGTTCGGTCGCTCGGTAGTCGTAAAGAGACTCCTTGGCTGGGCGAGCTGGCGGAGGCTCCTGACGGGGTCGTGAGGGTGGAGGATGTTGCCAGGTCGACTCGTTCCATTCCATCCGTGCTTCTCTTTGGGGGACAGTAGGGTAGTGGTATGATGAAGAAGGCCGCTGACGGTATTGAGGCTCGTAATCTCTGGAAGATCGATGGGGCTCTCGCTGGAGGTAGCGTCCGGCTTCTCGGACGCCATCACTGGTCCTGCTGTAGTCGTCACCTGGGACGTCGTTGGCAATGAAGCCTTGACGCCGTGAGGCTACAACGGAGGGAGAGATGCCGGCCTGCTTGGTGGATCGTCTGCTTGCATCTCTCCGTCTGATCTCACGCTCCGCCAAGTCGACGGCGAATTCTCTATTTTCGTTGGCGTTCAGCGATTGAGCGCCACCAAGAGATGCAAGTGAACCTCTGCGAGACCCATCGAACGCCTGACTCCCCCTGGCAAATTGGTCACATTCTTCTTGGACCCTCTGCCTCTCGGCATTTCTCCGCTCCATGGCCTTGACATATCGTTGGTACTCCTGGATGATCCGTGGCTTCCAGGCTTCCATTTTCTTGAGGCCGCTCATCACTTCCCTGCGAGCTCGCGCCAATTCGTCCTTGTAGCGCTCATCACGATACTCGGGATGGGCCGGTAGTTTGGTCAAGATCAGCTGACAGTGCCGATAGCGATACAGATAGGCCATTTGATAGTTGCCGTCCTCCTCGCACATGGCAGCCTCGTTCAGGAGCATTTTCGCCGCGCGTAGCCATTGTTGCAGAGATCTGTGGGTGGAGAACTCGAAAGCGTCGCCCTCGCGCGTGATTTCCTCGACGTTGAGCGGACGGGAGACAGCGGCGTGATGGCGAGAGAGGGCCATGCTGGACTAAGATATATCCGGGATTGGGAGATGGAAGGCCGAGCCTCAGTGGTTGTGCACCTCCAGTCCAGTAGTCCAGTCTTGGTGATGGCAGCGAACCGTAACAGTGAAGGAGGTGCGCAGAGGGCGCGAGAATGGAATTCTTGACGGAGATCGGGTGCGAGGCGCAGCGGGGAGGAGGAGGAGGAGGAGGAGGAGGAGGAGGAGAGATGGAAGTCGGGTGTTGGTCCATTGCCGCTGCCTTGAAATGGCTCAAGACATGCACAATGTATCTACCGGGACTGAGCTCTCGGCCCGATCCGGGATAGAGCGCCACAGCATACCGTGGCTCACTGTGTGGCTGGTGCATCTGGGACTTCGACTTCGACTTCGACTTCGACTTCGACTTCATCAATTTCTTCACGTCAACGTAACTTGCACCCGCATCTCCCACCAACTTCCCAGCGAATCTGTTCATGAGCGTGGCGCGGAGGGTCTCCTCACTCATCGATCCAAAGGACCCAATCGTCAGCAAGCTCGGCAGAGTCTTTGGTGGCTATCTGCCGGGTCAGAGGTCTCCGGTCAAAGGCCTGCACGAGGATGAGCGAACGTTTAATCGCAAAGGAGATGCTCCTCGGACGGACATTGTCAGCGGCAAGCTCTGCGGTACGTGCATCCCATCCAATCTCTATCCCCAGGCCAAGTTGCTGACCGGGCAGAGCAGATGATGTGCTCAAATATCTCGCCCCGACGTTGGAGCCGTACAGAGGATGTACCGTCATCGATGTCCATCCAGGCGCTTGCTTGTGGTCACAGAAACTTCACGACTTCTTGAAACCCAAGCGCCATTTGCTGATGGAACCCGAGGAAGCGTACCTGGACACGTTCGTCAAGCCTTTGCTGGAGAAACCGGGTTCCACCTACAGGCACACCAAACTTTCCGGCGCTCATCCTCGGGAGTATTGGTCCCACTATCAAACTGCCATCGATGAGGGACTACTTCCACCGATGCCCAAGGTTTCCCCCGATGACTCTGCGAGTCGCCAGCTAGATACAAGTGTCCTCCTCACGGGGAACCTCGCAAGACTATATCAAGAGCGCTCAAAGGCAAGGACCGCGGACTTCCCGAACGTCATCCTCCAGCAAATGTCTTGGGCAGCACTCAGCAATGATATTTGTCACCGCCAAGGTCGAGTACGCATGCTGTGGTGGCTGCCAGATCGGCACAAGGAGGCTCTGATTCCTCAACGACATTCGCGCGTGAACCCACTCTCGGCGGGTCTATTCCTGGGCACAGACATTACTGAAGTGACGGGTGTTCAGCCGGCGAATACCTTCGTTACAGGCCCCGATGCGAGGGAAAGCAGTGTCGACGCACTGTACAGACATACGTCCATGAGAGAAAAGGCTGCCGATGATGTACAGCGACGCATGCGGGAGAAGGGCATGTCCATACCCCGCGGACGGAAGCCTCTATATCCTGATATTTCTAGCAAGGGCAAGCCTCGCGAATACAAGGATCTGGTATCGCCGGTTGCAATTCGCTATGAGACCGTGAAAGAGTTCGAAGGTGCCTTCAAGGAGTGTGAAGCCCGCGTGAAGGAGGTGACACAAGCTGCCGAGAAGTCACTGAGCTTGCGAACTCCAAAGAGTGCCCAGAAGGTCTTGAAGCCCCTTCACGACTCTTTACGTTACCCTCAATGTATACCCCTCACAACATCTCTCCACAACTTCCGCCCGGGACGCGGCGTCTACGACACAGTTCTCCCCAAGGGCGAATTCACTGTGGCCCAAAGCCGAGTCATGATCATCATGGACTGCAGTCTCCGCATCGTCAACATGGAAGCCCACTACAAACATCTCGAAGACAAAGGCCTCTTCTCCCCGGAACAGCTCCAGTCCTTCAAGACCAACCTCATCAGCATGGAACAGACTTTCCGCGCCGAAATCGACGACAAATACCGCGTCATGGCCCGATACGTCGACCAACTCGTCACGCACCAACTCGTCTTCTTCGCCTCCCCACCCATCATCCCCTTCGACAGAAGATCCTACGAATCCCTCCTCGCCGACACGTCGGATTTCTGGCCCAAACTGCCCCTCGCCCTGCTCGACCTCACCCCCACCACGCGCGATCTCCGCATGCCCCCGGAAATGCAAATCCCCCTGCGCGAAGTCATCAAGACCACCCACGAACTCCTCAAATACCTCTACCTCCGCCGCGGATCGTCTCTCCCGAGCGTGTTGGAGATGATTGCGCCGAATGCGAGTAAGGATCTCCTGCCTGACTGCAAGACGATCGAGGACCCGAGACGCGGAGGCAGGTTGAATGTCGAAGCGTTGAAAGTGAGGATGTTGTCCACGGACATGATTGAGGAATTGGTGCGGGCTTGGTTCGAGTGGCCTTTTAAGCCCAACAGTTGGGAATTGGCGCTTGCTACCGGGGGCAGTGCGCAGAGTCTGGGAGGCGGGGGCAGTGTGGTTGCTTCGACGGAGGAGGATGACGAGGAGGAGGAGGATCTGGATGGGGAGACGGAAGATGGGTGAAGATATGTTTTGAAAAAAGAGGAAGCGAAAGCGTGCATCGTCGGGCTTTGAAAGGCCTTCTTGTTGTTGTTGTTGTTGTTGTTGTTATTGTTGTTGTTGTTGTTGTTGTGCACACTCTTCTCTCTCTCATATCATGGCATAGCAAAGTCAAAACCAAAAGCTATGCGGAATTCAGGGTTTTTGGTATCTCGTCTCGTCTCGCCCGTTCCAATCCGGTTGTCACGTGGAGAGCAAGTTGCAGGAAAGATCCGTGGTGAACGCCCGCAAATATGCCCAAGAAATGCTACTCACAAATTCCCCATTCGCATCCATTTGCTGTGAAATAGCCGCGGCTTTCGACCCCCGCGGTCTTCTCTTCCATTGGACCCAATAACGCCGATCGCTCGCTGCTACTACCAAGTACATACAGCTGTCCAGCAGCCCTTTCAAAAGCACACGCACTTCGCGGAGGAGAAACGCGAGGAGTGGGTTGTGTGGTGGGATCAGGACGGCGATCCCTCCCCACTATTTGCTGTTCTCGAAGCCGAAGCTGCCCAGATCGCGAGCGTTGGTGCCGCGACGCATGCGGTCCTCGGACGTGGTGTTCATGTTCTCCCGCATGATGCGTTCCGCCTGCTCTTGTCCGCTCGGGCTGGCGGTGGAGCGGCGCAGGTCGCTGGTGGTGGTGTCGGCCACGTCTTGGTCGTAGGTCATGCCGTCGATCATGCGCGCGTCGCGCGGCGTGGTGGCGCTCTTGCTCGGGCTGCTGATGGTGCTCTGGCGAGCGGGAGTGCGTGCTCCCTCGCCGAAGCCGACCAGGCTCGGGGTGCCCTCCTCGCTCATGCCCCCGACCGAGGAGGCGTCCATGTCCATGTCTTGCGACTCGCTCATCTTGTCGAAGTTGTTGTCGCCTGCCTCGCTGCCGGCCCACGTGGTGCGGGCGCCTACACTGCCTGTGGCAGAGGCGCTGCCGACGGTGCTGCGCTCGCGGCCGATGGTGGGGTTGCCGGTTGCGTCGAAGTAGGAGACGGCGGCGGGGTGTTGGGGGGGAGCGGCAGCACCGGGAGTGAGGTTGGCGCCTTGCGGGGTCAGAGGGTTGCGGGCGGTCGTAACGCGTTCGAGGCCGGCGAGGCGGGAGATACGGTCGGCGCGCTCGGCGTCGAGCTGGTTGCTGAGGCCCGAGGACGTGTGCTGCGCATGGCCGGCGTGGCCGTGGGGGAGGTGGCCGCGGTGACCGTCCTTGATCGCGACGGTGGACAGCTCCGACATGGAAGTCGTCGTCGAGTTGGGGGTTCCGCTCCGAGATCTGAGCAGTCAGTCTTGCTAGGACTCGGAGAAGGTATCTGCAGAACAGGCTTACGGGACATCAGAAGGGGTGACCGGGTCGGACGGCGGCGGTGGCAGGTTGATCAGAGTATGCGCGTTGGACATGTCGGCGACGTGGTGCGATGATCTGTGAAAGGCGTCTGCTTGTGTGAAGAAACGGTGGTGGAAACGAAACGAAACGCGAGTAAGTGTCGCGCAGTAACGTGGAAGTGGGAGCTGCTGCGCCTAAAAGTTCCGGGCCTGGTTGGACTGGCCTGCGAGACCGCGTGCGTGCCGCAGAGGAATGGAATGGTCACCGGGTTGGAGAGACGATGGATGCGACGATGCTTGCGTAGTAGGGGTTTAGCGGTGCGGCGCGGCGCGGCGAGGGACTGGCAATCGGAAGCTGGCTGACAATGTTCTTGTCGTTCGTTATTATTATTATTATGGACACTGAGAGCAGCAAGCAGTTCCTGATCCGCCTTTGTTAGAGTTCAAGAGCGGGACCTGTGGGACGTCATTTCAAGGGTCTTTGCACGTGTCGAACTCGACAGGGATTAGCGTCGATCCTCGAGATACGGAGCCTGTGGTGGTAGGAGGCAATCCATTCGCGGCGAAATTGCTAGTGGGCTATAGCTACAGCCATACACTCAGACGTCCGCGCCGCATCTGACTCTTGCACACACGCGCATCGTGTGGGATATGGGCTGGCGGAATGGTCGGCCAAGACGATACAATGTCCGCCCCACGATGCGAGCTTGTATTGCTAGTAGACCACGTCTCTTCCTTCAGGGACCAGAGACGCAACATCCTCAGTAGACTGGACACTAACAGTTGTCTTTGTGCAACTCCACGCATAGGGCACCACCGTCTACTTTTCGGCGGGCGGAAGCATAACGACATACTCTCTCTCGCTGTCTCCAAACTTCACCACGTCCTGATCCACCAGCTCGATATAACGACTGGCCTCAATTTTCTTTCCGTTAAGGTGTGTACCGTTTGCTGATTCCAGATCGATGAGATACGGCTTGACCTTATTAGTGACATCGCCAAATTCGTTCTTCGAAGACCGGTGCCGGAATTGGATCACAGCATGCTGTTTGGAGACACTGGGATGGTCGATCGGATAGTCCGTCACCTTCGGGTCTCTACCAATGAGCCAAGCACTGCGACTTGACAGGCTCACCGTGTCCAGCATGTCCTTTCCCTTGAACACGTACAGACGCCAGGCTTCCCGTGGGGGTGGCTTTCGAGCTTCAGGCGGCTCGTGGTATTTCAGTACAGTGGCAGTGCCAGCCACGGTGTTTGCTTCTTTGGCGAGTAGACCTGTTGGTTTGAAGTTTGGTTTCTGCTTTTCAGGAGGCCTCTCTCCGGGCGCTACTTCCGCCTGGTATGACTCATCTTGAGATGGAAGCGGTGCCTTTGACCTCCTGGGAGGGGAACTCGAGGCACTGCGAGGTCTCTGTATCTTTTTAGGCGGTGACCGGGACCTTCGGTATCGGTGAGACCGATCTCGAGATCGCGAACGTTCTCTATAGCTCCCGTCTCTGTCGCGCCTGGATTGCTTCCGCTCGTCGTCACGGTCACTCGTGGATCGGTCTCGCCGATGGTGTCGTCTTTTTTGGTCACTCCGATGATCATCTTCGTCAACATAGACTCCTCGGCGCCCTTTACCGCCACGTCGTCTCCCTCCATCATCAGCCTCTGAAGAGCGTGATATACTCCGTTGTCTCCGTCGAGAGTACTTGCCTCGTGAGTCCACCTCAGACCCATCTTCGCGGCTGTACCGCCCCTTACTTCGGGGCCTCTCAGGGCTGGAAGTCATACTGACAAGAAGTAGACAAGCGATGGGGACCTGTAGTCCAGGTACGCGTCAGAGTTGCAGTCGGCAGCGCAACACTCAGCCGTGACGGTGGGAGGTCTTTCCTCTCGCATGCAAGTTTGTTTTTGTATTCGCCGCTCTCTTGCTGGAACTTCTCTAGCTCTCCATACACAAGGGTCTGGAAGAAGGCTCCAACGGTGGATCAAGACTCAGAGGCTTGGCCCGGGATGAAGCGGAGTACACCTTTCACATGCAGAGAAACGTCTTGCGGGTGTGTTCGCGCGTGCTGTCCCCTTAGTGCCCAAAGATGGATGCCGTCTGGATGCGGGCTCGGCACATTGATATGTTATTGTTATGTGGGTGCGAGAGAGTTGCAAGCGCGTGGCGGGGAGAGAACGATTCTGGGTGATCTGTGCATCGGCACTAGCCGAAAGGACTTCACCTGCCGAATTCCTGCAACTTCAGCGGCTAACACCAACATCGATTGGCCCTCCGTTTCCATCATCCTCGCATATTCTGGCTGTGCCGTCTTCAGAGTCGCCATCGCGTTTCAAACAGCAGGAATGGGCTCTACAGCCCACTCGTTCCCACGATGGCAGCCGCATTCGACATGGACGGCGGCCCGTTGCTGAGGTATGAACTTGCCTGACATCTTTCGCGAGTTCTGGATGCAGATTGCCCGATTGCAGGAAGCCTGGATGTAGCAGACTATCACCCCGGCGCCTAAAATGATAGCCGCATGGTCACGGCCCGGCGGTATAGTTAGATGCAGTGCACCCCGGGAGTGAGTGCCTCGGTGTTGGATTTCTTTCTTGTTTCCGGCGTCTTCTTGCCGCGCACTACACGCAGACTCCTACTCTCCACTACTGATAGCTCCACCTAATTTCTCATTACCTTCTGGACAGCAGAACAGATAATGTAGCTGCGATCATGGCCTCGAGCAAGTTCTGGACATGGACGAAAGGCTCCAACATGTCTCGGCCCTCGGGCGAGTTCGCTCGTGTACGTGCCACCTGCCACCTGTCCAAAGAGTTCTCCGTCTACTTACAACACTGACAGGACTCGCCTAATCTGAAGCGAAAGCCTTTGCCTCTGGACTTCGATGCCGGACCTGACGAGAAGCCGAATCGCAAAACGAGCAGTCGTACAAATGACTCCATCGCCCTGCAAGAAGCAGCTGTTCAATCGGCAACAAGTCTCCTTGCAGTCATGAATGATTGCCTCAACACGCACCTCTTATCAACTTCCCAGCAGCAGCCAAACGGGTTGCAGCCAACGCAAGGCAGGCCGCGGTCACGAACTGCTCCCTCAACTCCGATGGCCGAAGCACCCGCCATGGAGCCTGTCGAGTTGCCGGCTTCACCTTCGCCCACCAGGTACGATTGAACAATGCGCAAGCCTTGCAGTGCCATTCGATGCTCGGCCTACTGACAGGCATCATGCCCTTTTTCTATCACTGTGTATCCGAGGAAAAGCTAACCTTTGAATTGTAGGAAATACCAGAAACACAGGTTCAAGCATTCCGTAGACAGCAAGCTTGCCCGTAATGTGTCCTCTTCCAACACTGAGTATCTTGACCGCGACATCGACAGACCACATAGCAGCCCACAGGAGACTCACCACAAGCTCCCAGTACCTCCAAAGACACCACATGAGAGCTTCTACCGATGCGGTACAAGTTATCCACCCGCATATCTTGCACCTCCGCCACATTTTGGAAGCCCTAGAAACAGAGCTTTCTTACCGAGCAACTCCGCATTCCACCTTAGTGACGAGACATTGGTGAATCCCGAAGCCGAAAGTGCTACAAAGTGTGGCAAGCGCCCTTCTTTAGGTACTTCTCCAAACTGGCAACGCAACACATCATCCGCTCGAGGCACCTCACAAGACCATGGCGCACTAGCAGTTCCGAAGATTTCTACACCCGTGGATTCAGCACGAAACATCTCTATCCCGCGAGAAGTTCCAAGTCCAGCGGACCTGGAGGACGTTCTCATCGCCCAAACAGCCGCCATGAGAGCTTCTCATGAGGCGCATGTTGCCTCTCTGAAAGAAACACACGAGCGTGAAGTAGCCTCGTATCGAGCTTATATCTCACTGCTGGAGAACCAAAGAATGGCAAATACAGCGAGGCCAGATCCTCAGAATGCCACGGCGAGAGAGAGACAGCACCTGACTATAGACACATGTCAGCCCAGGCATAACGGCCTCCTTAGCTCTTGTGTTAGTGCCAGTACATCGCTCCAGTCGTTCGAGCTATCACTCGAGAATCAAAAGCGAAAATCTCTGGAGGCCGCGGCGGAAGTGGAGTCTTTGAAGCGAAAGCTTGAACTATCTCGCAAAGCCCAAGCTGATCTCGGCGACGTCAGACGTGAGCGTGACCAGCTTCGGGAAGCGACAGACAAGAGCGATCGCAGAATTGCGCAGCTCAAAGATCTCGTGCGAAAAGCTAAAGAGAAAGAGAGAGCTGCGAAGAATGCTGCGGCTGCACTAGAGGTACGTCATCCAAGAGCAAAAGCTGTCTCTATTAATCCTCTCACCCCCGAGAGCTCTGCAGATTCCTTTGACGATACCATATCTTAGCACCGGCTGACTTTCATCATCTTTTAAACAGGCTGCTCTTGAGTCCGCGAACAATGAAAGACTGGATGTGCTTGAAGGCTTCCATGAAGCTTGCACTCAGATTCGAAAACTGCGACAGCGTGAGCGAGAGTTGATCAAGGAGCAGAACGAGATCAACAATAGGTATGGCATGACCGAGGCCAACATCAAGCGCGTGAGACCTCTGGGGCGCGAAAGTACGAAGATTGACTACCAAGAGCTCGAACGACGCCGTAACACGCTACGACATGATCCGCTCCTGCAGCAGTTAGACGAGCTCCGACAGATGGTGGCGGAAAAGGCCGCGAAGATTCTGGAGCTGGAAAACGCCAACGAGCTATCCACAGGATCGCAACAAGATCCAAAAGTTCAGCTCGAAAGGACAAGACAGGAGCTCATAGCGACCCAACAAGACCGTGATCGTTATAACTCCTTGCTTCATTCTGAGCTGCGACGGCAGAGCCGGATAGCAGGCCAGAAGCTCAATCTCACGACTCCACAGATCGAAGCCGAGGCATCAAAGGCCCTCTCGCAGCGTCTCAGAGCGGACTCCGCCCACGCTACCGCAAAAGAAGCGACAGACAGAGAAGCCCAGTCGGAGATGACCAAGATCGAAATCCTCGAACAGGAACTCCAGCATTGCATGCAGGAAATCATCCTGTACAAGCTCGACATCAAGGGCTACAAGAAGGACGTCAAGAAAGCCACGGCGGAAGTCGAAGCGTTACGAACGCAGACCCAGAGAAATGCTCCAATTGTTCCTGACAAGGATGCATATGAGGTCTCGATCCCTCCTGGTCTAGGAATCCACTGGCCACCACCGCGGACCCCATGCACGCCGAACCGGCCATTCGCCTCGTCGGCGGCGACTTTGACACCACAGCCTCCACCCACTTCGACGGTCAGCAGCCCACCGCAGCGCAAGACGCCCCTCTCTACGCATAAAAAATTGCCGAAACCGCCGGTGTCTGCCAGTCCTCCGCATCCCTCGGCCACCCAAGCATCGCCTCCTCTTCCGGGTATTCAGCGCCAGGAAACCCTGCGCTCTCTTTCGGAGTCTATTATTTCCTCCTATGCGAAGAGGTCTACACCCGAACAGACGAATGTCTTTCAGACGTCGTCATGGCGAGGTCGCAGTTCGGACCCTCCAAAGCATATTTCTGCTTTTGTGATGGGAGCCCCGGTGCCCATCAGTGTACCGAAGCATGAGGCGGAGATGTTGAGGACGCCTGTGAGAAGTGCTGCTGCTGCTGCTTGTTTTACGTGAACGCTCTGAACAAGTTGAATGCATGACATTTGTGTACTCTGACTGACATATCCGATACTGGATCGCAAGAATAACAACTAGATGATATGTACCATTCGCCCGATTATACCGCATCCCAATACCGCCTCATATTTCGTGACAGGTCATTCTCGACTCATCTCCGGTTAGAGTCATATCTTTGAGCGGTCTCTGGCACCAAGGTGAACACGTGCCTTCCAGTGGACCCTCAAGCAACGCCGTCCAACATCATTCAACGCTCTGCAGTGACTTGCACATCAATCTCGAACTCGCTAGACTCAGCCATCTGCATGACCTCAGAAATAAAGAACGTCTTCATCTCCTTCACGAAAGCGCATCATCGCAGGTTCTGGCAGCGAGACCGCGATAATGCAGCTGGAGTGTCAACTTCTGAAGTCTCAGCAAATTCTTTACGCCAATGAAAGCGTGCAATCCAAGCTTGTGCTCCCCAGGTTTGCACTCGCAGAGACGCAGATGGATTCGAAGGTTGCGAAGGTTTGGAAGTAGCCATGAAACGATGCCCCAGTATCGATCTTGGTATTCGGCTAAGTTCAGACGGGGCAGTGTGCACATTTCGCCGCAATCATGGGAGCCTCTGAGGAGAAGCTGTCTCATGAGTTTCGAGGCATCCCGCGAAACGAGTCCCAGATCATGCCTCAGTCGAGTTAGACGAGACGGATCCAAGTAGTCGAATACCATCGATCCAAGATCAATGCGCAATTCGGAGCCGGAGCAAAGGACGGGCAGCGCCTCTCGGTACACTTGCTTGTTGACTCGCAGGAGTGGAAGCGAGCTGTTGGCGGCAGCGCGGTCGCTTCGTGAAGGATTCGATCGAGGAGAGTCTTCACGGAAATGCCCACTGGGCTCCGGTTCATGGGAGACTGATGGGTCTTTGCCGGCAAATGGATCCAGAGCATACTCATAGATCCGTAGCCGCAGCTCTGGCGGCAGGCCCATGAAAGTTGCATGAGACGACATGGCGATGGGTTGGCCTCGTTGATGGCACTTGGCTGTTGGCGCTTGCCGGCCTGACCGCGATATGTGTCAGTATGTGAAAGAGAAGCTGTGAGTGTTCAGTAGCTACCTCGATACTGCGCTGGCGTGCTCTCAATGTGGAGCGATGGAAGGAAAGGGAAAGGAGGATGTAGAAGAGAGGAAGGGGAGAAGGAGAAGGATAGAAGGGGAGGAAGTGGAAAAGAAGTTGAGAGACTTGCGCACGGGTCGTGCGAGCGAAGGAAGGTACGCTGGGTGTGTGGCAAGGAAGGCAGAAGGCACCGGCTCAAAGCTTGGCTTTCACATGGGGGGCAGTCGCGATCCCGGAAACCTATTCAAAGTCGTTGCTGTTGTTGATCATGCGCTTTGGGGATAGATACTTCACTCAGCCAATTGATGAGTTTTTACGGCTTAGATTCAGCCATTTCATACATTCATGCTACATGCACTGGAAGGGGCAGCGTTTCGCACTGCTCGCGAACCTGGTGGCGTCGCAAGCCCTCTACAATGGCCAACAGCGCGATAGCGTACAACGGACCTCTGTAGTCGATGACAGTTGCCGCTCGACATATTACTCCGCAAGACTAGTTTGGTTGTGAAGGGCTCACACACTCAAGTCACTCATTCCTCGCCACCTTCTCCTCCACCTGGCGGCCCTGACTTGCCCATTTGCCGGGCTTTTAGCATCTCGTCGCAGAGCAGCAGATTGGATGCAATGCCTGTCGCGCTCGCGATACTGTTGCGAAGTACTCTGAAGCTGTCGTATACGCCCTGCTGAACCGGGTCCATGGGCTCGCCAAGCGTCAAATCCAAGCCGGCAACGTGTCCGTCCGCATGTTCGTCTTGAAGGGCTGCGAGAGACTCCTGAATGTCGTGTCCGCTGTTGGCCGCAAGGGTTTTCGGTATGACGAGCAGTGCGTCGGCGAATGCGGAAACACCCCACTTGGCCTTGCCCTTGACTTGCTTCGCAAATTCGTCCGAGTTCAGCCTACGTGCAGCAGCAACCTGGAAGGCACCAGCTCCAGGTACGACGCTTCCATCCACAATCATGTTGTACACTGACCGTAATCCATCTCGTACTGCATCCTTGATCTGGGCAATGGTATGCGCGTTCGGTCCCTTGATGAGGATTGTGACGGACTTTGGGTCTTTGACCTCCTCGATGAAAGTGTATTTCTCCTCTCCCAACTGATGCTCGTAAACGTGGCCAGCCCATCCCAGAACGTCTGGGGTAAGATCATCCACGCTGTTCTGTGCTGTGCCACCGCAGATGAGTTGTAATCGCTCCATGTTCCTCCTCTTCGCTCGTCGCAGCGCGAAGATGCCGTTCTTCACCAGCACATCCAGAGAAAGTGGATCGATACCCTTCTGGTTGATGATCACAAAGCCCTTCTTCGGGTCGTTACCGCACACTTCCTTCTTCAGCTCCACAATCTTTCGCAGCTTGTCATCAACGAATCTTCGCTCGCTCTCGACCAACTTTTCTCTCTGCTCGGCGCTGTTGTAGTAGAATCCGCTGTTGATCTCGCTCTTCTCGTATTCCAGACTGACATTGAGAGTAAGAATGTATGCGTCCTTGACGTCCTTGGGCATGTCAGGGTGTCGCGCGCCGTGATCGAGTGCAAGACCGCGAATAAGCTGCGTATCTGCTGCAGTGCGATGTTGCATGGTCATGATCTCAACCATGTGCAAGTCCGGCTTCGCCGGCGCTTGGTAAATGGCCAAAACAGAATCCACAATATCGGGAGTGAGCTGCTCGGCAAGCGTCGAGTTGATCTTGGTAGAAAGCGATGTTCGGGCAACGGAGAGAAGGAGTTCTCTGTCGACCTCCCTGCCCAGCTTAAACTCGTCCAGGAATCGCAGCGTCTCGTTCTTCGCAACCTCGTAACCGTCTGTGATGACTCTGGGATGCAAGCCCTCGTGAATATAGCGATCTGCCTGCTTCAACAGCTCTCCCACCATCAAGACCACACTCGTTGTCCCGTCTCCACAGATCTCGTCTTGTGCCGTAGCCGCTCTTGCAATCATCACTGCGGTAGGGTTCTGAATTTGCATCTCCTTCAACAATACACTTCCGTCTTTTGTGAGCTTGATTCCGCCTGCGCCGTCGACCAGCATCTTGAGAGTGCCCGTTGGGCCCAAGTTTGACGCCAAAACATCCTGGAGGCCTTCTCCTGCAGAGATGTTCACTCGCAGCGCTTCGCCTCGTCGCCGGGACTCCGCTTTCGGGTTGAGAAGCTGTGCTGCTGACATTTTCGGATCTTTCAGGGAATCAGCAGCACGTGGGAAAGGAGTTGGTAGTAGAAGTGATTGAAGGTCTGTTTCTGCGTGGGAAGTCGCGACTTCCCGCGTCAACTTTTCCAGACCTGGAGCTCGGGACAGAATCCGAAGTTTTACCGAAGGGTCCGAGCTTTCGAGGCTCCAATTTCGACGACTGACTCCGATTCTGGGTTTACTTTCAATCAACAACTTTAGCAAGATGGAGAGCGAAGAACGGCCGAGTAAAATGCGCAAGCTGGATGACGGCAGTCATCATGGCGAGGATGCAAGCCTACGGCGTACAGACCAGAAAGAAATTGACGCTGAGACCGTCATAGTCCAGGAAAATGGAAGTCTGAATCCCCAAAATGGAGAAGACACTTCACACGAGGACGACGAACCTGATTCCGACGGTCACGATGAGAACGAGGAATTGCCTGCTCCGGTCGAGACTGCTCCAGCTGTCGGTGGTATCAATGACATCTCGGCGAACCCAGCACTCTCGAAGAATCAACTGAAGAAGCTTCGCAAGAAAGCCGAATGGGAGGCGAAACGAGAGGATCGCAAAGTCATCCGCAAAGAAAAGCTTCAGGCCAGGCGCGAGCGCAAGAAAGCCGCGAAACAGGAAGCAGAAGCCAATCCTGAAGCAGTCACGGACACGAAGAAGCCGACCTACCGTCAACCCGCTGTTCAACTTCCCGTCACGATCGTGATCGACTGTGATTTTGACAACCTCATGCACGATGGGGAGCGAATGTCACTCGGCTCACAAATCACACGTTGCTACTCTGACAACAAGAATGCTCTTTTCCGCGCACATCTCACCATCTGCTCGTTCGGAGGTAAGCTCAGAGAGCGATTCGATGGCCTGCTGAATGCAACCTACAAGTCCTGGCGCGGCGTACGTACGTTCGACGAAGACTTCGTGGAGACCGCAGAGAAAGCGAAGGAGTGGATGAGATCGGACCAAGGAGGACAACTTGCAGGGTCTTTCTCCAAGTATGCGAACCTTGACGACGATGCCCAAACCAAACTCAAGGAAGAAGGTGAGATCGTCTACCTCACCTCCGAGGCCGATGAGGACTTGACCGAATTGAAGCCCTATTCGACATACATCATTGGTGGACTGGTCGACAAGAACCGCGAGAAAGGAATCTGTTACAAACGTGCCACTCGCCGCAATGTCAAGACCGCTAAGTTGCCCATCGGAGAGTACATGGATATGTCCAGCCGCAAAGTCCTGACGACCAACCACGTGAACGAGATCATGGTCAAGTGGCTTGAATGTGGTGATTGGGGCGACGCTTTCATGAAAGTCATTCCGAAGCGGAAGGGCGGCAAGCTCAAAGCTGCAGGCAGCATGGATGAGAGCGAAGACAAGTTCGAAGGCGACGAAGTAGATGCGACCAGAGACCACAATCATGACAAGGATGTTGAGCCGGATGATAAAGAGCGCGACGAAGCAAATGGGAGGCAGGACAACTCATGAGCCTTAAAATTACTTCTTTTCCAAACAATGAAATCACCTCACCCGGTGAAATCCAGTTCACAGTGTCACCATCAAACGCGCAGCCGACCGTCAGGCCGCTGAGAACTGGAGTCTCTGCAAATGGATCTCTTGACTCCGAGAACAATTACATTGTTTGACACGCTCCAAAACCACAACACTATTGATGCCGTGTTGTATCCGCCACTGCTTGCTACACGATTCCCTCCACAGCAAAAGGACTCCCGCACGCATCGATACCACGATTCAGACCCACAAAGCGGCATTGCATATCCCTCCATTGCTCTGGTGCTGATGTTGCTGCAGATTCGAATGATGGTCTCCTGAGACGGGTCGCGAAGGGTGGAATGTGCATGGGAATGCCGTGAGGTGTTCGTTTGAGGGCAAGAGCTGCGAAAAAGAGGGTCAAAAGAGCGACGACCGCCGTGGAGTCGTCTTCTGGTCTGGGTTCTTCGTTCCGGCATCGTGTTTCTACGAGCAAATTAGCACACCGCTACAATGCATATATGAGCATACGAATGGTTCTGAGGTTTGCTTTCCTCTGAGTCGAGGCCATGAGAAATGCTCAATTGCGTCAGGGGCTCTTCTGCGGTTTTGCCATTGACGTTGCCGATGTGCTCGTAGATCTTCGGAGAAGGAACCCTGCCATTTGTGTGTGTCAGCTTGCCGGATCGATCTTGTGATGTCCCTCGAGATCACTGTACCGCATTGCTCCCCAACGGAGATGCGTCTCGAGACTTCACAAGTATGAACTCCATCGAAACCTTTCGATACTCATTCCCCATCCAAGAATCCTGCCTCCAGACATTTGTCTCTGTTGCCGTGAAAGGTCCCCTCCAGCATAGCGTAGAAGAAAACATTCGTGGCGTGTCTCAGAAAGGCGCGCGCCGAAGACGATACAATCGGAGGACCATGCTACTCCATCGACTGCGCTCCAGCAAACGAGCCTCCGCATCGCCGCACTCGCATTTGCTGATGCATTTGGACGCGGTATGAGCGTCTGACAAGGCCGGCGCTCAAGAATTCGCCCTCGGAGGTGTTGAGAAGTACGCAGCTTGAGTCGTGTGGATTCCGGATTGAAAAAGTTCGTCGAAGGAGGGTACCATAGGATGGAGTGATATTGCCACTCCCAAATTATCCGATGCGAAGCTGAAAGTGTTGCCATGTGTCGCTTGCGCTGAATAGGCGTGGAGGGCATCCAGTTGCCCACGTAGAGCGAGACCGTAGGTAGAGAAAATGCCGTAAGACGAGTTTGCGGCGACTCCCATCGTGATGGACTCAAAGCATGGTCTGCGTGGTGCATCGCTGGAATCATCCGCTATCCCATCAAATCAAACCCACTGCCCTAGGTTGGACGAGATGGACTCATTATCAAGGATAAGCTGTCACGTCGTGTGCTGCGCGTAGTCCTTCAGGTGCCCCAGGGTGATGTATTCTGCATGATGATCGCTGTGCATGCGGCGCTGCCTTCGTCGCTGTGTAGTCTCAATGAGCAGACTCGGACCAAGATTGCCTGGTTGACACAATGCAGGTTCCCGCCGTGATCTGCCGTTTTCGGAGACGCCGTGTTGTGCCAGTCTGTAAAAAGTATCGCACGATTATCCTCATGATGTGCGTTGAATGATGCAAAAGTGCGCATTTCGATCCTCCTCAAATCGTGATTGGATGCATTCTGTGCGTTGGGTATTGCACGGCATTGAAACAGTTGGACTCTCCTCCAAGTCCTGGGTGGATTGACGTTGTGCATGGGACGTTGCACTCGTCCGACTCTTTGGGCGCGCTCTCTCTCTGGTCGAAGGATGGATTGGATGGATCTTCTCAAGTTACAGCTTTGATGCCTTGGATTTTCTCAAGTCGAAGATTGAGTTGGTCAACTCTTCTCAAAAGTCGGAAATCGGATTGGCCGAACCTTCTCAAGGTCGAAGGTTGAGTGTTTGGACTCTCCTCAATGTCGAAATTTGAACAATTGGACTCTCCTCAAAGTCCAGTCTGGATCGGTAGACTTTCCTCTCATTCGAAGATTGGGTCGACCTTGTGCATTGGGTTCTTGCACTAGACTGAGTGGCGGGACTCTCCTCAAGTCCGGATGGCATCTTCCACGATTTGCTGCTTTGGAATGTCACCCAGGCTTGGATCAGTTGGACTTTCCTCAAGTCCGGATGACATCTTCCACGATTTGCTGCTTTGGAATGTCACCAAGGCTTGGATCAATTGGACTCTCCTCAAAGTCCTGACTAGAATGTCATACACGCTTGATCGTTGTTTTTGGTGACTTTGTGCATGCGAATGGTCGATTCGAAGACAAGAATCGCAGTAGTCTTGGGTTGGAAAGAAAGGTTCTAAATTGCAGCAAGTGCCATCTCTGTCGCCCGTTGGGAACGAAAACCGACAAGAATTTGGGTGAATTGAGGGCGCTGGGCCGCATTTGACAAGACGATTGCGTATAGACGAGAAAAGTCGTCGGGCTGGTGTGCGAGAGCAAGTCTGAACCAGCAGCAAAGAGTCTCCTTGGGTCGCTAATCAAGACATTCGAGCGAAGTTGGTGAGCTGATTGAGTAGAAGTGTCGAACCAGCGGCTCTCGATGGGTCGCGAGTAGTGAGCTGATTGAGTAGAAGTGTCGAGCCAGCGGCTCTCGATGGGTCGCGAGTGGTGAACAAGAAGGACGGGCGAGCTGGCTATCGTAAGAGTAGACGAGCCAGCGGCATAGTTCTCGTTGGGTCGCAGCGGCGCTCATTGGAAGAAGCGCTCACGCTGAAGGTGAATTTGTGATCTGCCTCTCTGTGGCGATTGACGTTCCGCCCGAGTGTGGTTGTGATGGTTGTAGTCGTAGCAGATCTGCTCGTATTGGCTTCTCCGATGGAACGTCGACAAGAGTGCGTCGAAGTTGAGTGAAGTTTCATGGATACTGAGCCCCAGACAAGAGAGGTTGTCCCTTGCCTTCCAGATTGGAAACACCGTCGACACTGTGTCGTCAAGGTTCGAGCATGTCGTGGGGTAGCCGAACGGGGTTCACCAAGCCCGCGTCGTTCGGCTGGATTAATGTTTAAAGAGGATCCAAACCCTCCGGATGTCTTTTGCTGAGGGACCCACACCCCGAGCTGAGTTTTGATTTCGGAGGATTCCTAGCCTCCGTCTTGTCTAAAAAGACATTCACACGCCCTGACGGGTCGTGAACGCCCTGCGGCGAATGGTCCCACCGGAGGATGATTCGGCGGCGGGCCGAGAAGAGCGAGGAGAGGGGGGAGGAGAGGGGGGAGCGGAGGGAGGCAGAGGAGTCCACTCGGGCGTACGTGACGCCGCCATCAAGACGAGCGCCAACGTCACCAGCAGTCCCTCCTCTTGCTGCTGCTGTTGCTGCTGCTGTTGCTGCTGTTGCTGCTGCTGCCACTTTCTCACCTCGCGGCCAAAGGCGAGGAGGTTGTTGGCCGAGCTCGCCCACTTCAACAGCAAGCCGCCGACGAGAACAGCCCAGGCTTCGGCAGTTGGGGGCTTCTCCGCACAGACTGCCCCCTTGGCGACCTCCACCGAGAAATCCGCCGCCCAGAGAAGACATTGAAGAAGGGCGATAGCGCCCTTGATGCGCATAGGCCACTTGTGGCCGCAGCTCGCTGGGAGCTTCTCGATCGCAATGACCAGAGTAGCGCCGCCGCCGAAAAGAAAGAGGGATACGGCCTCCCTATATCACGCAGAGTGTTAGCCAGTCTTTACCACATCTCCTCATGCCAATGTAAGACTGTGGTAACAGCAAGCACGACAGTCTAGCATTGCGGCGACTATTGTGGGGAATGGGTGTCTGCTCTTCAGTTGATATCCTACCAGTGGCCGAGGGCTATCTTTGTGGCGTCGCCACAAAGACCGAATTCCGGGGAGTCGAGCGGGGAGAAGGGGCCGGGCAACCAAGCGAGGGGCTTTTTGCCCACTGGGAGGGCGAGGGAGAGGCAGAGGAAGAGGGAGAGGAGCGGGAGGAGGAGAGCCAGCTTCACCGCCGGCAAGGCCATTGTGCGCTAGTGGATCGTTGCAAAAATCGTGTGAAGAAACGTATCACTGCAAACGTATTAGCCAACTTTCACAGCATCAACAGGAAGGGTACCTTATACGAACGCAGTATGGACCTTGGAGCGCGTGAAGAACAAAAGAGAATGAGTTCTATAGACGGGCGTTGAGGTTCTACACCTCATGCAGCACGGGCCCATTGTTTTGACTGCCCTTTCCTCCCTTCTCCAAAGAACAGGAAGCTGTCGTGCTCTCGACAGCGACTTCCATCGCTCAACCCGGGCCGAGATTGGCGGGACATTCCCAAAAGTCCATAGACGCCGGCTTCCTCGAGATGTGAAATGCTCTCCAATCAAGTTGATATTGCCAAGATCTATCAGAATCGCAGGCCCAGCTCATAGGCGTACCAGCTCGATCCAAAACAAAAAAGCCAAGTGAAATGGTCACGATCCACTCGGTTGCATACCCATGATTGTTTCCGTTGCCACATGTGCTTCATGAATGTATCTCATTCTGCTCTTCGTCCCGAGGACGAAGACTTGAGCCGTCTCGTCGGACCCAAGAACCCTAGTCGTTGCTGGATATGTCACAGTACGAATGGTGACTTCGCCGGGCATGATATTTGGCAGCACTGGCGTTGCTACGGTGCAAATTGTTAGTCAGTAAGCAGCAGCATCAATAAGTGACGGAATTTTTGTACTGACGACCTATCTCCGCGGATGGCCCTGGATCTAGATTGTCATTCTCGGAGTACCAGCCGTCTTTTGTACACATCAGCCTGATGCTTCCGATGCGATCTCCGCGGTCTCCTTCCTGGTCTCCAAGACACGTAAAGTGCTTGTACTCCTTGTTGCCCATCTCTCGATTTACCTAATTGTGGCATTAGCAGGGGACAGGAGAAGTCGTAGGATGGGGACGCTTGATATACATGTGTGGCTGCGCCAAAGTACTCTCCATCGCATGCTGAGCCTGACCAGAGTTCCAATTTACAGTCACCTGCAACACAATACGTTAGCGCAATCACTATTAAGAGCTGAGTGCGTCAGTATCTTGCTCACCGTAATCTTCATGATGCTCCCACCAATAGCCTTTCATGTGCCAGCCAAAATCTAGACTGCCGACTGGTGGATCAAAAGCATGGCACTTGCCATGGCGATTTACGTCTTTCACACGGAAGCTTGAGCCAAGCTGCGTGCCATCTTGGCAGTGCGTGCCGCCCCAGCCTTGAATGTTCAAAACCAAGAGATTGTGAGTCCCGTCAATTTCCCGTCCGTAAGTTCTGAGGAGGGTACTTTGGGGTGGGACATTATCGGATGTGTCGTTGATAGGCCGAAGAGGGTCCTTGTGAAATGCCAAGGTTCGATTGTTCCTGCTGTGTACGGCAATGGTGTTGGTCGCTGTTGCGGAGGCCGATTGCGTCGCACTGGCTGTGGCGGTGCTCAGAGCGCTGAGTAGAAAAGTCGCGTGCATCATCTTCTCCCCAGTTTCAAGTTTGGCCTATGGTGTGCTCGTCGACGTTGCTTGGAGGTGGAGACAAGAGAGAGCAGGGGGGAATGGGTAACATATACCCTTTTCGAAATCATCGCTGAGATTTGATGGAGACTAGCAAGATCGAGGGGTTATCTGTCTTACGAACTTGAGATTTGGCGGACAGCTTGTTGCTCCACCGAAACATGAGGAGCTCGGCGTCGAAGATAGATAAGCTGATGTCGAGAAGCTGGAGCTCGTCGATCTCGTCTTCGGGGCGTACAGTAAGTGTCTGGCTCCACAGAATGACTGATTCGCTGCCGACGGCAATAACCGTCTGGGAGGAATTGCTGCCGATTCGATGTAGTCAGTGCAGGACTTGAACGGCTGGGAGTGATGTGGCTGCTGTCCTGCCCATAGAAAGGGTTAGTCTGGGAGGCTTCAGGGAGGCGGGCGGAGAGTCTATCAGAGCGTGTTCATGCTCTATATCGTTGCTAAGCGGCGTGTGGTATTCATCAGTAGAGACGTTCGTGTAGAATAGAGCGTGCAAGAGTCGATATCGATATTGGAACTTGGGACGAATTGCTTAGGTCATCAGCCGGGATCGCCCGCACGGGTAATCCCGAGTCACGATCCGAATGCGAGATATGCTTCACCTCGTTCACACTCGACATTGTACAACTAACGCGTGACCACTCATCCAAAGGACAATCGCCGACAATGAACGAACTGCTAAATTTCAGCGATATCTTCACGTGCCGCTGCGGGGCCGGGACAATGTCCATAGCACACCCGGTCTGCACCATGGAAGAGGTAAGGCGCTTGCACTCCTCGTTCTACATGAGGACCTATCATGGCTTGCATCACCGGACATGTCGCTTACAGACAGCTGTTTCATCCGTCTATCCTGATACATCCAACAATGCAGACCTTCACGGCGGCTGATGACGCTCTCCTGCTGCTGGCTCCCGCAATGGCGCTGAGGTGAGTAGGCAATACGATCCGCCTGCTCTCTTATTACCACTCTACGCACGGAGGGCGGCGCTAGAATGTTGTCAAAGGATGCAGTAAGCCTACCATTGCACGCGTTGGATCCCGACTTTGATGCCGTTGTGCAGCTGCTCCTCGCTGCAGCATCTTCCTTCGTCACTCATTCAGAGTTTTGCCGAACAGTCCATTCTACACACCAAGGGCCGGAACTTCTCCTGCCAGGCAACGATTAAGAATGCCAGTCTTCAAATTGTGGAACATCTTGATGCACTGGTTGATGTACTGTCGAGCTTCGCCTCTTCCGCTTCACTTTGGTCTGGTTCCAGACGAGGATGCTGGAAAGCTTTCGTAACTCCTGCACAGCGCAAAAAGCGCACAGCCTCAATTGAAATCTCTGCCGCCTGCAAATGGATCGTCTCAAGCTCGAGAATCATTGCACCAGTTGAGACGCTGTGCCGCATACTCGCACGAAGCCGCCCTCTATCAGGAACGCTCGGTTGCCAAGCCCCTCTCGCCTGCAGCACTCTCGCGCCATCTGCCTCTGCTTGCCACTCGTTGATCCTAAACCGGTCCCTGACACGCCGAAACTTGTCGTGGCCATGCAGCGATGGTCTGTGAGGAGAGTTGCCTATCTTTGCGCAGCTCTTGCTCTTAGCAGCAATTTGGGGCCATCTGATCAGTTGGCCATGGTGAATGCACAGTAGCAAGGCTCAGCAGCGCCGCTCCAAGAATATCTTTCGTGTTGCGCTGATGTGTGCTTGACGCTTCAAGGCGAGATATGACTGCACGAATTCACTCCTATTAAGAAAGGAAAACTTCAGCTCTGGGATCTCGCCATTCTTTGGAAACGGATTTGCATCGCCTTCTGCAAACAATGACCGCCTAGACCTTAGCCGCTACGGGCAACTTCAACTACCCTTCGACTCTCAAGAGTCTTCTGACTCTGAAGACCTAGAAGACATCATGCATCAGACATACACAGCACCAATTGGTACGACCGGAAGACGACAGCACCAACGAAAAGTCAGTTGATTGATGTATTTGAATCAGCAACCATGAGCGCCACCAATGCAGAGAAACCCTCTGGCCCAGCTTCGGTAGATGGAGAGGAAGCAACAGAGCTTCATTCGGAAGATCTTGCCCAGATCGATCAAGAGGCTGCAAAACGAGACGCGGCAGACAAAAGCTATCCACCTGGTCGTTCCAAGCGGCCATCCGAGAATGTCACCGCCAGTTCCTCGAAGAGGTCGAGACACGACCAGGATGCATCGAGAATAACGAGAATGAGGACGACCCTGAGGCCGCATCTAAACAAGCCGTATTCTGTATGCGACGAGAACGGCAAAGAGCGACGAAGCAAGGTCGTGGCGGAGATCGCTGAGTTCTGGAAGAATGACTACAAGACTTGGCCAATAGTGCTAGCAAGCGGCAACAGAAGCTCCGAAATTTCTGCACCTCGAGATTGGGGATATGAGCTTCTCAAAAAGGTGTTGCTTCTGGCCCAACAGGCACATCAGCTCGGCACAGATGTGGCCAGCTTACAAAGCCGACTGGAACAAGCTTCCAAAGATCGAAAGCAAAGGACAAACGCGAGCTCGGATTGCGTATTGCCTGTTGATGTACAAGAAGTCATCAACCGCTTATCGAGCAACAGCCGACTTCAAGACGAATCAACATTTGACGGCCGCTCCCCGACAATCGCAAGAACAGAGATTGGCCGTGATGGTGATTCGGAAAATGTTTCGAACAGACCTCTCGGTGAGGTTATGATGCATAATGCAGACGCCGGCGACTTAGGTGAGGAAACCGTCCAACCGCTTGAGGAAGAGCTCTACTCGACGACTCCGCAGCCGACTCGGCCCATGGCCCAAGCCATTACGTCTGTTGCTGATCGCGGAACCCTACAAACAGTGCCTTTGACGGACCTCATTCCCTATATGGATGCCAGAGAGATTGAACAGCTTGCAACGCGGCTTTTCAGCCTCGCAGAAGCACGTAAGCGGTATGAAGGTGAAATTGCTAGTCTGGTTAGGGACTAAGCTGGTAGGCCCGTTGGCTTTGTAAATGCGCTCCTCTTGCATCTAAGGTCAATGAAATTCGAGAGCTTAACGTATGCGATCTTTGAAATTGCTTCGGCCGAAGAGAATGATAAGCAAGAAAACACGAAAAACCAAAGCTCAAGCTCACTGACGGAGGGAGCGCTTGAACAAAGTACCGGAGCCCCCCAGAAGTGCCGCAAGAGTTGAGGGGTCTGAAAGGCGTTTGGACCATGGAAGATCACGAGAATGAGACCGAGGACCAACACGATCCAATTGTATTGCACGACGAACCGACAGCAGGCCAAGATCCGGGTATCCGAATCATCGCTAAGAAGGAAGCAGAATCCGAATCAGATTCAATGCCATAGGCGAAGTGCCCAAGAGAACCAGGACCAGATCGCAATCTTGACAGCAGAGCTTCGACGGACCATGGACTTCTGGCAGAGAGGCATAATAAAATCGGATGTTGACTGCTTATCTTGATCCTTGGTCTGCCAGATCATGACTTTCTTTTGTGATTCAAGTTTGCGAACCAGCCGACTACGTGACGACCGATCGGGCCTTACACATGTTCAACAAAGAGGATTTAACAGAAGACGGAGTGTCAGCGTGCTTCCTGGTCTTAGGCAGCAAGTGGCGCTCTACGCAAATCGTGCCTGGGTATACTGTTTGAGTACCCTAGTCAAGTGTGCTACCTGGTCGTAACGCCTATCAAGCCAAGACGAAAGCCCAAGCGAGTTTCCAGCCCTGATAGATAGAGACTTTTGCTCTCCAATCTAACTGCCCAAGTCACACTACATACGACTCCCCTCTGTCCGACTGCTTGGACGTAATGTGGATGTTCTATCGATCTCCTCGCACGCATGACCGCTTCCGGGTGGACTTTGTGGGTACTGGGACATTCGATTTCTCTTCATCTTCCGCAACACCTCTCAGAGGGTCAAGTCAAGTCATCTTCGCTTCGTTGCCTTTGAACGCCTGCCTGTCTGCATTCTTTCCCTTTCCCCCGCCGACATATGACCGCATCTTCTTCGGCATCCTGAATCGAAGAAGTTGAGAATGTTGTTATGAGATGAGGAAGCGGTCAGATTTGCTGCTTTCGGAGTTCTAGTCCTTGTTCACGTTCGCTGCGTACAAATTAGAGCTTTTCCGCTGCCTAGGAAAAAAATCCCCCCCGTGTCTGAGCTGTGATCTTGGCGCCTTTGTGCGTAATTAACAGTGGATTTTTTGGAACTGCAGATGTGAGGCCTGGTACCTCGCCATCTTCGGGTGGTTCACTTGGATCAGGTGACGTTCATGTGAAGTCTGCACTAGCGGATACATCCGCTTGCGTTGGACGGAGGACCAGAAATGTTACTCGACACTTGATGCACGACTCCAGCTCGGAGTCTGAATCAAGTTGGAAATGATTTCTCAATCGAGCGAAGGTCGATATGCGTGAGCAAACATTGCACCGTCCGTCCGTCTAGGCTCGTGGCGCCATCTGATCATCGTCTTCCTTCATTGCGGTATTCTCGAGTGTTCCTCGTCTCCTCGGGAGCTCTGGCCTTGCTGTTCGTCTGTAAGTTAGGAGAATCCTACATTATCCTGAAGCGCCTTTCTTGATCATGTAGATTGTCTCGGGGCTTCTGATGCCATATCCCGCCCTACTCCGGGAGAAGGAGCCCGCGTCTTGAACAGATCGCTTCTCATTTTCCAAAGACGACTCTTTGCAGCAGAAAGACTAAGTCTTGACTTGTCTGAAGTCTTTCTCCGCGAAATCGGTCAGAGCAACCCTAATCAAGACATCGCATCATCTTCGAGCAGATCCCCAGAGGCATGGTTCACAGCATGGCATGCCAAAACACACACTTATGGCGCTTATTGAAACATTCTTGAGCCAGAGGTCTAAAGTTCACCCAAATCTCTCTCTCTCTCTCTCTCTCTCTCTCTCTCTCTCTCTCTCTCTCTCTCTCTCTCTCTCTCTGCACACTCGGCTGTATCCTGGCTTGCTCGCTGATCCGCGAGAAGAATTTCTAGATCTTCGATCTGCCCTAGGATTTCATATTTTCCCTCAAATCGATCGCTTCTCGATTTCTCCGTCGAAGCCATTGAGCCATGGCGGTCGCCATAAGGGTAGACATTAGGAGAGAATGCCCCAACAACCCTGGAGGCACGTCTGTAGGGAAGCGTTAGCGCTAGACTCGGGCGGCGTTCCCGTTCCGGTGACGTGTGGGAGCCTCGCGGTGTTTTGCGGACAATTCAACTGGCCCCGAGCGCCACGACGCTTGATTTCGGGAGTGATAATATCTCTGGAATGCGCAACGCGTATTGGCAACTTCGTCGGAGGTATTGCATGACCGCAAAATCTTGAGCAGGGATGGAGAGGTGCATAGATTGCTGTGGCGATGGAGAGACATTCTTCGAGTTGGCACAGATGGTGTAAAAGGGTCCCTTGGGTATTCATGTCGGCAGCCGTGTGACAATGAAATACTGTGCTGGTCTGGGTGTCCATAAGATTAGTAGCCGGGAAATGTCGCGTAGAATCGCGAATTGCCAATCTTGCGCCTGTTTCTGCCGTCTGGTATTACAGCGCTCTGACAGCGCACCACATCTCATCCCCTACGAGTTCCAAGACGATATAATCCTGCCTGCGATCCTCTTCAGCAACGCAGCCTCCCAGACAGCATTCATGCCAAACAACACCGCCGTACCAGTCCGGCACACGCCACGCTGTCTCTGAAACGCATCCCAAGCGCCAATACCATGATAGTCGGCATACTGCTTGAGGACCCACCCGACAAGTCCAAGCCTACTCGCTCCGAACACCAGCGCGAGGAGAACATCAGCAGTTAACGTGGTCCGTCCAGTGCGTTGCCTCTGTCGCCATCTCCAATGCATCACCGGCGTGGAAGCGTTCATCAGGATAAACGCGACGATGATCCAGACTCCCCTTTCTCGCCCCTTGGCGATGTAGACCTGCAGAAACGCAAGTCCTCCGAGGAGCGCAAAGTGGTGGAATAAGATCAAGGGTTCTCTACGCAAAACGGCCAAGGGCATGCGTTGCAGTGAAACTCTTTGCTCAGCACGTACCGTCTGCCAGTGGGATAGGAGTTTGACGGCGGTGTCGAAGAGGAGATATCCCGTCTCCCAAGATGTGATGGCATTGCCGAGATCAGACTTTCCAACAATGAGCGGATTGTTGCTGTCGTCCAGGTAGCTGGCGGAGTGCTTTTTGGGCTGGACATCGTGAGGCCATCTCTTGGATAATGCGTAGAGTGCAGCTGTACTGGAGATAAGGGAGTGTACGTCTGAGATGCCTTTGAGGTTAGTCTCCGTGTCCGGGGACGCTATGGAGGCCCAGTGGGCGCCGGCGAGGAGCGCCGAGTAGGCAGCGGTAGCCAATGAGACGATAGATACAGGGCGCGGGTCCATGATAGATGGGACGAAGGCTCAGTGGATTTGGCATGCATGCTTGGAAGGACGAATCGATGTAGAGGAGAGTTCGGCCGGTGAAGTGAGGTCAAGGTGCTCCGCAGAAAGCTAATTTGATTGACCTTGGTCAAGATTTGAAGATAGGCAAATCAAAGCAAGTTCAATACTATGGGTACGCTCATCCACAAGCTCGCAATCTTGCATGAAATATCGACGAAGCCAACAAACTCGAATAGCAGGGTATCGTAACAGCCATCAAAAACACTCCACACCCACACCCACCCCTCATCCTCGCTCATTATCGCCCTTTTGCACGTCCCGTCGCCTCAAGCAGCGACAGTCGCCGTGTTCTTATGATGTCCTCCCTTGCCATCCGTGCCGTGCATCCGCCTCGTACCAGCAGCCTTCTTGCCCGTCTGCCCGGTCAGAGATCCCCTCAATTTCATCATGGCGCCAGACATCTTATCGCCCTGCAACAACAACAAACAACATCATCATCATCAGCGATCTCTCTCCCAACATTGCACAGACTGCCTGCCAGCGGTCGAAATCACTCACCATGCTCGGCTTCCTCTTCTGGTGCCGTCCGGTGGTGCCGGAGCCACCCGTGTAATGCGTCTCGGTGTTGGAAGCCATAGGCCCCTCTCCGCCGTGTCCGCGGTGGCCGTAGCCCTTGGGGTGCGTCTTGGTCGTTTGGGTAGTGGTGGTGGTACCGGTGATGGGGTTGGTGGATTGCGAAGTCGTGACCTTTGCCTGGTTCTTGTTCCTCAGACGGTCCAGCAGACGCTTCGGCTTGGATTGATGTGGGTTGGTAGCGACGCGTGTGCGAGCCATGATTGTTTCTATGTTAATGGAGCTTCAAGGATCTCGCGGCGATATGGTAGAGTATGTCAAGAGACGGACGTCATGCTCCATGGCCAACAGCTTATATCTATACCGACAACAGCCCCGCCAGCTCCACTGACGTCGTTCGTTAATGTCGAGGTTACTTACAGACGGACGGACGTTTCTTGTGCCACTTGGACAGCGTTCCGAGCCGGGATCATCACAAGCCAGTGCACACAGTTCGCCTGTCAAATGACGCATCAAAATCCGGGGAAGCGACAGAAACTTGGTTGAGAGTTGACGATCAATTCTCGATCCGGCGAGTACAGAAGCCCGAAGATGACGGAAGGGGACCTCACCTTGATGAGAGGAGCTTCTTCGGGATGCTCAGATGCCGTGCGGTACATGAGTGAAAGTGAAGAGCTTCGGCATTCCCATTGCAGAGCGTCATGTCCACATTATCGTTGCCGCGACAAACACGCCGTCAGCGCCTATCACCTCTTCGGTGTTACGCTTCTGCGCCTCCGCATCTAAGCTAAGGCACCTTGCCTTAGATATCCTCGCGATCGTGGCGTCAGATCCACGAGGCGTAATGGTGAGGTTCCGATTCGTAGGTAGCTTACCTGTCTGCGCCACTATCTGAAGCCACGGGTGCCGGCCATCTTCATCACGTGATGATTACGACCGTAGGCCCAGTCGCAGGCAGTCGTAGGCAGTCGACGCAGAAGAGTTGAAAGGCGATGGGCAATTCAGCGCCACCAGCACAGATCCGTCTTCGCTTCAACGATTCCCCTGAAATCCATCAAACTTCTCTCCGCCTTCATTGTCTCCATGCGTATTCTCTGGAGGCCCATCCACATACTCCTCCGCATATTGCCTCAGCCGGTTCGCCTCCGTCGTCAAAACAGCATTGAAAGATTCCAGCTCTTCCTTGACCTCCCCGAACTCCACCATGTCAATCTTACCCTGCTCAAGCTGTTGTCTGACAAGCTTGGCTTCCTCCAGCACCACTGCCAGCCCCTTCTCAATCGCACTCTCCATGAACTGCGCTCGTTCAAAGTACACCCGTCCTTTATCAAGCATTGTTCTCACATCATCAGCAGCGGTCTTCGCGAGTTTCTTGGAAATAATGCGATCGCTACGTTCGATCATGTCTCTCAGTTCCGCTCGGTCAGCATCGCACATTCCCTCCTCCTTCCGTAGCCGCCGTTCTGCCTGTCGGGCCTCCCGTTTCAACCTACGCAACGCACGAGCGCGGTTGACTTTCCACGTGGTCCTGTCTTCAGGTATACACAAGTAATCCGCAACGTTCATCTTCATAGCCGAGGGCTCGACTTGATCCCTGATCCGAGCATCAATCTCGTGCGTGCGAGTTTCGACCTTCGGCTTTTGCGAGCTGGAAGAGAAGAAGCGTTTGGCCGAGAAGCCTGGCGGGCGGCCACGCGCGAATGTCGAGGACGAGTCTCCGCGACCCTTTCCGCTTATCGCGCGGTACAGCGATCTTGAGGTCTTAGCGGGAGCAGGTCGAGGGGCTTCGTTTTCTGCGAGTCTTTCCGAGTCTTCGCGCGCAACGTCTTTCGCTCCCCACAGCGGTGTGTCTGCAACTTGTGGCATAGACTCAGCTGCATTTGAGTCTGCCACTCCAGGACTCCGAGCTTGCTTTCCTGAGCGGAGCGTATTAGGAGGCTGAGCAGTTCGGTCCCCTCTTGGCTGAGAACCCATCTGAGGCCATCCATGTTGGTATCCAAAGCTGTAGCCTTCCCCTCCTAGTCCATCAGCAGTAATGCCTGAGAGCAAGCTATGTACGTCGAGTTTCTGGCGGGACGGGACCCTCTCACTGGCATCTCTCGTTGCTCGCAGCAGGTCGAAAACAAAATCATACTGAGGCTCGGCATACGAACGATCATGGGAGGCTTCGGGTTGGGAAGGTTCGTCTCTAACCTGGCCACCTGTTGATGAATGCGAATTGGCCTCTGCGGATGGCGGTTCGGGCAATCGGATCTCGTCAGCGCCGCCCCGATACGCCTTCTTGCCATAAGCCAACCCGTAAACTGCCTCGCTGTCCTCACTCGACCGCTCGTCCAGGTAACAGTTACTTACTCTGGCCACCACGATGACATGGTCGCCAACATGGACGCACTTCTCGGGCATTAGGTGCGCTCGGATGTGTGCAATAACAGTATCCGGTCGCGAAATTGATGGGGGAAATGATCCATGAGAGTAGGTGATGTCGACGCCCAGTCGCTCCAGCTGTGAAAAGCCGTCTTCCGGTTCGTCATGGGCCTGCGTAAAGATGTTCGCCGCGGCCGCGCCAGCTGGTGAGGCTGCCATGAGATGAATGCGCAACTCGTTCGACGCAGAGATTGCGTCCCACGTCCGGCTTGGAACTTTGAGATTGAAAGAGACGATAGCTTGCGGCTTGAGTGCGACTGTGTTGAAGGACGAGACCGTTACAGCACGCGCGCCTCGTCCCTGATTATGCTTGCGATCCTCTGCCTCGTTCAATTGAGAAGTGATGACAACGACAGGATGCGTCAATGTTCGAAGGGCAGTACGTACTTCGTCGCTCACTCTGGCAGCTTCTTGAAGGTACTCTGCCATTTGCGAGGCCGTCTTGTTCCCGGAGGTCTGTTCGGTAAAGGCTTTGGACTCTTCAAACTTGACCTCGGGACTCGGAATACCGCTGCTCTGACATACGATTCGCAATCGAGCTTTCAGCATGTCATCGAATCTTACCAGTGACGAGTAATTGCCCATGACCTCGAAGAAGATGTCGCCTCCTATTGCAGATCTCGAGCAGGATGAACAACTCGTCTCCATCGCTATAGCGCGCAATTCTTCGAATTTTACTGTGCGTAGAATCGACTTGTGCGCGAGGCTGATCTCTCCAATGGAATACTTCCGCTTGTAGAGGGCTGAGGAATCTGCCGCTTTACTCTTTACCGTTTCAGCCTCGTCTTCCCACTGCTGTTGTTGTTCGAGTGCGTCTCGTGTTATTGTTGGTGCCGTCTGAGCTTGCGGAGGTGCGACCCGCGTCTCATTATTTCCAGCATCTTGACCTGGCACGCTTTCATCCCCAACTTCTTTCGCAGCTGGCACTTCCGGCATTGTTGCGTTCATATCCACGGGCTGCAGCTCGACTCGCAATTTTGGGTCCTGCTGCCGAACTCGACGTACGAGCGATTTTCGAAGCCTTTGCAGACCTTCAGGTGTACTAACCAGGTACAACTGTCCATGTTGAGCGTAATGATGCATCGGCAAGCGGACAGTTTGAGACAAAGTATCCACGAAGCTATGCAGTTCATGAATATGCTGTTGGCTTGTGCCAGTATTTTCAGCGGTTACCTGAACTTTCACGCGCTGGTACGCTTCCTCTGGGAGAGGCTCTGAGCTCTCTAATTCTGCTGGGACGAGAGAAATTTGCATGTTCCGGACTTCCTGTGCAAGTCGATCCTCGAGCAACAGTCTAGCTTTCATGACCGTTTCTCGAGGTCCTTCAATGAAGATCTTGCCAAGAGATACTGTAAGACCGGGGATCCTCTTGGTGTTCGGTAAGCCTTTTACAAATCTTCGAAGCACCATGTAAATTTTCCGCTGTCTCTTCGCGTTACCAGGTCCAATATGGACCATGAAACGCCGATCTTGCTTGCTTGCACCGGGAGCGCTGTCTCCCTTACCGGCAGAATCGTGGCCAGCACCGCTATCGCGGACCTGGACCTGATTAATGGCGCGGGGCGTACTTGTAAAAGTATCTCGCGAAGAGCCAAATGTGTCAGTTGCGGTCTTATCCTGCTCAGTCCCAGGTTGTCTCTCGCCATCAGATCTTGCTAGAGAAGGTTTCGCAGCCTGAGGAGCCCCCGAATCCGCGTTCTTGCCCTGTTCCGCGGTGTCGGACCGCTCTATTTCCCGAAAAACATCCTTGAGCCAAAAGCATGCATCGCGAACGCCTTGCGGGTGCCCTTGCAGCCGGAATGAGCGGCCTCTTCTTTTTGGAGCAGGGTGATTGTTAGACAGTAGAAGTTCAGGCTTCCCGACCTTGACAAGGACGTCATATCTGGAATGCACCGACGCAAGACTATTGCGGGCCATGAATTGATCGAACTTGTCATCTGGCAGGACAACCTCCACCTCAGCAAAGTCCCTCTTTCGTTTGCGAAGAACGTGCGTGTACAGAGGTAATCTGCGTGCAGGCGCTTCAATCCGCGAGAGATGCCTGAAACCGGCGAGTGGATCATTTTCATCTTCCGCGACAGCCTCAACGTTCAAGTTTTCTGCAGGGGGCGTGACCGACTCCTTAGTACTCGAGGTGGACTCCTCTCCGACAGGCGTAGAATCACACCAGGTAAACTCAGAGAGATGGTCTATCAGGATTTCAGCATCGGCGTGCGTTCCAGATATGAAGACCGAATGGACAAGTCGGTTTCGCGCCTTCATTGGATGCTTCGATGAGGCCATGAGACCGACCTCACCATTGAAAAGCTCCAGCAGCAATTGTAGATCAGGCCCGTACTCCTTTTGGGCGGCCATCAGCGCAGTATTGCTTAGAGCAAATTTTACATCAACATGATCGCCATCGCGATGTTGTACGATGTAGTCTCCAGCTTTTACCTGCGAAGACCCCGCGACCATCCTATCGTGAGGTCTCCCAAGTCTGTGCTTGTCCAGAATCAGGAGTGCCCGTACGACATTGCCCGGGACGTCACTAGAAATGGAGACAAGCCATCGACCCTCAAGATCCTTAATGCCGTCTTCGTCAGGTCTTTGTCCTCTCCCATCCTGTACCTGTGCCTGCACCACGTGTTCATTCCAGAACCACGAAGAGAGATCTCCATACTTGCTCCGCAATTGCTCTACTTGCTGCCCATCCATCACACAGTCTACTCGAACAACGGTCTCAGATCGCTCTCGAATAACCTTCGTTCCAAGTCCCAATGTTGAGAATGGCCTCTCCGATTCAGTGGCGAAAGGTATGCGATTCAGAAGCTTAGATGGCCCGTCGAGCTCTGAGTCGACCTCGGTGTGGTTAGAGAGCTCAGCAGGGCCAACTTCTTCAGTATTGTCGCCATCCTCGAAGTCCGTCCAACGAATATTTATTTTCCTAATTGGAACCCCGTTCACCTCAGCGTATTTCTCCGTGCGAGTCTCATGTTTGACGATCCTAACCCTCGGTTTGGGCGCACCCGCACGTGAACCTTGGAGTGGAGCTGCTCCTTTTCCACGAGCTCTTTTACTGTTATTCACGCTCGATGCCTGGTCTATGCTTGCCCTTTTAAGGTCCTTGTTGAGTCTCCTGCGGATTCTCGAATCGGAATGGGTACTGGCCGAGGGGTGAGCACGGATCGAGAAGGCATCGTCCTCGACAGCTTGCGTCGTGGTCCGTCGGGAGTGCGGCGGTGATGTAAGGAGAGTCCATCTGTAGAAAGCCCGGTAGAAACGCCCTGAGGCTGTTCCCGAGATTTGCATTGGGTGGAACGCTCTCGCAGACGTTGAAGTAGGAGGTGGAGAGAAGCATCGAACGCGCGAGCTTCAAGCTTCAAGCTTCACATGCGAGATGTCTTGGCATCCCCGAACCTCCGCAAAGTCGGTGCACCTCAGTCCCATACTACATGTCCTGTTATGATCTATCTCCAACAGTGCAGCATCAAACATGTCGCTATCAACCTCTCTTCGCCGTCCCATATGCGCGTCCTGTCGCCGTGCCGCCACGAACCAGGTCCGACACGCCACTCTCCTGCGACGGCCGAAGAAACCCTACACCTTCACTCAGATGATCACCCTCAGCGACGGCAGCACGTTCCTTCACCGAACAACGTCCCCGCAACCCATCTATCGAAGCACAAAAGACACCAAAAACAGTCCACTCTGGAACCCATCATCACAGAAACTGCTGAACGTAGAAGAAGACGAGGCTGGAAGATTAAGGAGATTTAGAGCCAGGTTCGGGAGAGGGTTTGATGCAGAGGCCCTGGAAGGGGGAGAGGAGGTGAGTGCACGTGAACTATACAAGTCTACGCAATGAGGAGTGTTCTGGCTGACCGGTGGTTGTTTTGGTAGGCACGAGAGGGTGAAGAAGCACTAAAGCCTGCAGAATCGCAAGAAAGTCTTCTGGATCTAATCAGCAGTGTTGGGAAGAAGGCAGAGAAGAAAGGCGAAGCGGCTGGCGTGAGAGAGCCTGCAAAGAAGAGCGGAAAGGGCAAGGGAGGGGAGAAGTGAAGATGAAATACCAATGCTGAGACAGAGAGTTCATGCGCACTTCCCGAGCAAAGGGGACGAGGTGGAATCGCGGAGTTGTAGTCGAAGTCAGAAAGCAAGAGATCGGGTACGTCGATTCGATAGAATGGACGAGCACGTCAAGAAGAAGGAGAGTCCGCGGAGAGACGTTGTGATTCGAAGGAAGAGGTCCAGACATCACATGGACCAACGATGTACATCTATTCGATACCCCAAGATTTGCTGGCCTACTTTGCTCCTCTCAAAACCTCCCGCGATTCATCCTGCTGCGTCTCCTGTACCGATTCTTCTCGCCCCAAAGGCTTCCCGGCACAATCAACCCCCTCAGGAGCAACGACATTATCAGAAAAGTAATTTCGCCGGCTCCGTCCCATGCACAAGATCCACAATCCCCTCCATCCCCTCAATCACCCACCCTCACACGGACTCGCAGCACTGCCTTACACTGCAACTTCAAAATCACATCACTACTACCCGTGCCCCTCCAATCCCTCAAAACCAAAACTCCCAACACGGAACTCACTCGTATCGCAATTCCCCGTCGTCGCGGCATTATACGACCTTCCCTGCGTCAGGGCAAACATCCCACTCGCGTTCTCCAATCTCAAACATGACCGAGTCCTCGCTCTCCTCAATCATGTGGATATCCGGAAGAGAACTCCCGTCCAAGTTTTGACATATGTCCCCCACCTCATTATTTCCTCATCGATCGTGACATTCTCTCACCGTGACGTTTCCCACAATCTCATCATAGACGCCCTCATCACATTCCGAAAAAGAAGTGATATGATCAAATGAAATCGTATCCGGTCCGTTGGTATTCAGGGAAGAACGATCAAATTCGAGGGCTCTTATTCTCCATTTCCTTCTCACAAGCTATGACGATACTGCAAGACTCACACTCTCTTCCCAACACGCACCATCAGAATGGCGAGGCAAGCGAAGCAAGCAGAGAACGGGGATGTTGATGTTGGGTTGGGGCGTGGTGAAGAACGTGACGATGAAGAATCCAAAAAGAAAAACAGAACATCTTCTAAAACACCTCGTCATGCCCCTGTACCCTCAAAAACTAGAAGTACATTTATACGCATCCCAGTCAAGTTCAGATCCAGCATACCTAGCATCACAAGAGAGCGCCGGGAAGGAAAAAGAAAGACAGCCACATTCATGAAAAAGCCGTCCTTTCTGGTCTTTCCCTCCCAACAGTATCATATCATAACATGCTTTTGATGGCTTTAGAGCTCGTCGTGGTCCGCAACCTCCTCGTCACCACCAACAGCCTGCTTGACCGCTTCCTTGGCAGCATCCGTAGCGTCAGCCGCGGCACCCTTGACCTTGTCCTTGATGACCTTCTGTGCGCCCTCAGTGGCGGCCTTGGCCTGCTCGGGCATGCCATCGGTCTCAACGGCCTCAGTGCTCTCTGCACCCTCGGCCACAGCGTCAATCTTGTGGGAGCCGTTATCGCGGATGAAGTTGGCAAGGTCCTCAACAGTCCGAGAGCCGGAGTAGTCCACCGGAGTGTCCTTCTCGCCAGCCTTGAAGAGCTTGATGGTAGGGAAACCGGCGATCTCGTCTGGGATGTCGTTGGCGGTGGCATCGACCTTGGCGATGACAATCTTGTCGGCGTGGCCCTTGTACATGGTAGCCAGCTCGTCATACTTGGGAGCGAGAGACTTGCAGTGTCCACACCAAGGAGCGTAGAACTCGAGGAGAACATCTTTATCGTCATCCATCACAACATCCTGGTAGTTCTTGGCCACGACAATGGTGACTGGACCCTCCTGCTTCTCTGGAATTGGCTCGCTCTTGATCGATGGCTCAATCTTGCCAGCCACGAAGTCCTTGAGAAACTTGCCGATCTTCTTCTGGCTGAGGTCCTTGGCGTCACCGGCGGAAGAGTAAGGGAACTTCTGGTTCTTGGAGATGTCCTGGATGGCAAAGGCGGGCCACTTACCAACCTCCAGGTTGAGGTTGCTGGCGTGTTGGCCAAAGGAGGAAGCGTCGATGGTAGCGAAGTTGACCTTGCCCTTGTGCTCCTCGGCGACGGGCTTGAGGGCCTCAGCGAGCGAAGTGCGCTCTTCGGGGGTCTCGGCGAAGATGTAGGCGAGAGGAATGCCAGCCTAGAGTCATCAGTCAGTACTCGAATGTCATGTGCTAACGATCGATCATTCACGTACCGCCATGTAGTCAGAGTAGGTGTCAGGACCAACCTCGCCAATCAATGGCGTAGCAGCGGTCTTTGCGAACTCAGTGATATCGTCCTTGGTGAACTTCTTGGTGAACTCGTTCTTGCCCTCATCGAAAGCCTTGTAGAGAACAATCGCGGGTTGCTTGACGCCCGCAGCCTTGGCGAGCGCCTCATCGTTGGTAGCTCCAAAGAGATAAGAGTCCCTGAGCTCCCCAGCGACCTCTGCGAACGTTGCGTTGGACGTCTTGTCGTCCGCGGCAAAGTATCCAACCAGAACAACCTTGTCTGCGGTCTTGAACTCGTCGTGGGCCTCCTCGCTGGCGATGTCGGAGACGGCAGGTAGAGATTGCTTGACCATGTAAGAGACGATGGCATCGGACTTGCGCGGGCCCGAGTATGGCGAGACGTTCTCTTTGCCTCGGAAGATCTTGAGTGTGGGATATCCCTCGACGCCAAAGCTCTGGCAGAGATCTTGCTCGGCTGTGCAGTCGACCTTTGCGAGGGCGATTTCCTTCTCCTTCAATGCTGTCGCCGCCTCCTCGTACTCGGGAGCAAGCGCTTTGCAGTGGCCGCACCATGGCGCGAAGACTGTGCAAGTAGACCGTTAGTGGGGCTCACAGCCGATCGAATCGACATGAAAACTCACATTCGCAGAGGACAAGGCCATTCTCCGCAACGAAGCCGTCGAAAGTGTCCTTAGTGAGGTCGTGAACGTCGCTGGCAAGCGCCAACCCGGCCGCAGCCAGCAGTCCAAAAGAGTATCGCATCCTTCTTAAGAGTCGTCAACAATGCAGCGCTGCGGTATTGTGCTCGGTCGAATGGGTGGTGTTGTTGGGTGATATTTGTACACTGAGTAGTAAGTAAGAAGGATGTGTCTGAGAGGACTACTGGCAAGGTGTCAAGTGCGCTGGAGGATCAATTGGAAACAGCACGAGCAAGGTTCAGGGTCCAGGACAGCTCCGCGCTTAAATGCTTCTACAAGAACGACACCTGTTCACTCGCCCTGTGCAATTCTTATCGAAGAACTATCCGCAGCTAAGATCAATTCACCGGCTAGATAGTGTGCTAAATACATGGCTCTATTCCTCATATCTCGAACAGCACCTATCCTCGTCGCGTATCGTCCACAACGTCCAACTCAAGCCTACCTTAGCAACGGTTAAGGATCTCTGGCTCCCATGAAACGTCTCGGCAGCGTACGGCACTTGAAGACGAGGGTATGTGAATCTGATACCGTATTCATCAAGAGCATTTCCAGATACTGTCGCACTCTATGGTAGATACATGCTACATCAAAAGAACAGATGCGAGCGGCCGCAAAGAAGCAACGGATATTACTCTTTGGGAAAGAAAGTATGGACCCACCATCACGTTCATCTCACACCATTCTCACCATGTGCAAAAGGGGAAAAAGTCACACCGCAAAGTGAAAGACCCAAAAAAATCTTTACACTTCCATCTGCATCATGTAAGCCTTGACATTGCTTCTCGTTCTGTGTTGGTACAGGGATCGTTCAAATCTATCAAGCTACAACGTTGACATGCCGTAGCCCCGCCCATCCGAGATGGCTGACGGTCATCCTATCCGGTACACAAAGAAATGACGTTTCGTGGAGGATACTACACTGCCAGGACGCTTGAGCCGTCTCCCTTTCGACTGAAGAGTTTCCTTATGCTCAGCGTGCGTGACGTTTTGCTCGATTCCATCGTCCTGGGCGAATTGGTGACGGACGAATCGTAGGTTTTGGAGTTGGGACTGGAAAGGTACTCCTTGCTCTGCTGGCTGGCTTGTGAGGGCGTCAACGGCCCAGTAGTCTTTGGAAACAGCCCGAGTCGAGAGCCTGAAAGTGACTTGTCGGCATTGTTGCCTTTGCTGTCGTTCTTCGGGTCAAGATACGCGTCCTGCCGACGCCCACTCGTAAGCTCCCTCTCGCGGTCCTCCGTGTAGTCTGTCGGGGATGAAGTGCTGCGCTTACGCTCCACTGAGTAACCAGAGTCAATTGGTTTTGGTACTACGTCCTGCCTCGGCGTGCTCTTGATGCGCGGCGAAAAAGTCTTGAGCTTCCCCGACAGTCGTCTGGAGAAGCCAGTGTTGATAGATGACAGTCCTTTCCTATCCTCCTCGGTCGATCTTACAGATTTGGGAACGAGTTTGATTTCGGTTTGGGACCGGTCCACCTCCGTGCCTATGCGCTTTCGTGGTATTGAGATGCTGGGGGATTTGGCGATTGCATTGGTCCCTTGGCTCCTAGACCGACTGAAGCGAGACTTGGTGGACGTTTTGGGATGGGCTTTGAGCATGTCACTAGTACTCCGACTGTGCGAATGCGCTGAATTCCGAGTATGTGATCTTGGGGCGCCATCCTCATATCGATCGGGAGGATTACTTCGCAGCGGACCAGATTCGCGCAGATAGCCTGGTCGGTCCCTCGGGTCTTCTCTCGCTGCTTGCATTACGCTGTTCTGTACCGTAGATTTGGTTGGCGTTTTCGTCAGACTGGAAGGATTTTGTGAGCCCGGAACAGGAGCTTGTTCCCGGGGTCTCTCAAAGCGGGTCTCAAAAGGCACAGGATGTGGTTTGGCGATTGCAACGTGGACTGCACCGGTTCTGCTGTCCGGCTCCTTGGGTAGCGGCTTGTCGACCCATGGCCCAGGCTTACGAGGGACCGAGCTCTCCTTTGCGTATTTCGAGCGACGTGCGGTTGAGGCCTTCCCCGATCGGCTTGATTCCGTCGGCGATAGAGTACGGGTTGGCTCCATATTACGTCGACTTGCCTCACCAGCCAGCTTGGAGATTTCACTGCTCACGTTGTTCAATTCCACTAGCTCGTTTTGGAGAGTCTGGCCTTGCACTACAAGTTCTTTGAGGAACTCCATCCAGCCTTGCTCATTTCCTCGCATGGCAGCGAAGACTTTGGCAATCCCAGCGTCGCCAGATGGCCAATGGCGCTCGACGCCGTTGAGGTACTGACGCAACTCTTGTGTGGACCTCAAGCCACATTGAACGTCGTGAAGAGCATCGTTCAGCGCCTTGATGGTTCTGCCGAAAATCTTCTCAATCTTCTCGTTGCCCTTGAGAAGATCTGACCGGAATTGCTTCTCGTCCAGCATCGTCTGGAACACGTCCATGTGTTGCATTGGCAGCCGGAGGTAGCGGATACGCTCCTGAACATCACCAATGGCCAGCTCGAAGTCGTCGGAAGTGCGCTCGAGGAAGGCATCGACCTGGTTGACATGACTCTGCAAGATCTTGGCCACTTCTTCGTTGCTCTTCGCTTGTCTCTGCTGCAACAAGTGCATCCCGAAGACGATCTGAGAAATGAGCTTTTGGTATGGATGGTGATTCCCTCGACGCTGGTTCTGCTTCCATCTTGTAATGCGCTTGGCGTCCTCGTACCGCTTGGCGGCAAGCAACTCGCGTCGTCTCATCTCTGCGTTGTACTGCTGGTCGGAATCGAATTCGTAATCGGCGTCCGCCTCGGCTGCCTCGACGATGGACTCCTCGAAGGCAGCCTGGAGAGAGGGAAAGGGGTGCGTGGGCGGTGTCATGTCCACGAGCGATTCGGCGTCGAAATCGGCATCGTGGAAGGGCATTGCTTCGTCATCGGCGTCAGGCTCGTCGCCTGACACAGACATGGAGTGAAACTCGTCCTCGCTCCCACTCGAATCGTAGAAGGCCATTATTATTGCCAGGCGTCCAGGCAGGAGAGGTGCCGGCAGCGGGGCAATCGATCGGCTGGGCGATGAAACGGATAGTTTTGGATTGACTCGGGGATCGAGGGTGTAAGCTGCAGGTACTGCACACAGAAGCGGACTAGGAGAGGCAGTGGTTATCGGTCGATATGGGCGAGAATGCTGTCGCACATCTCTCCGGGCGTTCCATAAGAAGGGATGTGGGTGACGGGTGCGCGACGAGGCACGGCCTGTCCCCGGGCGATGAGTAGGAGGGAGGGAGAGAGAGTGGTAGGAGTGAGGAGTCTGGCGTACGGCTGTACCACCATTATTGGCCACAGCGCAGCTCTTGTCTTGGGCTCGCGGGCGGTCTCGTGCTGTACACTTTCCTCTCCGCTCTGCTCCGCGCCGCTGTGCGCTCTGCTCTGCGCGCCGTGGGCTGTGAGCTCTTGTTGGCTCTTGCTGCACAGTGAGAAGAGTGCCAGGTGCAGTGCCGTCGCGGGAGCGTCTCACGTCCCGAGCTAAATGAGCTCCGGACAGGGAATGACGTACTGTGACGCTTCCGATTGGCGCGCGAACTGCCCGCGAACCACCCCACCACCAAGCCACGAGAAAGGAACAACCTTTCTCCGTCCTCTTCCCGTCCCGTCCCGCTGCCCCAACATCCACCGGCTAGAGCCATGCCGCAATGCCGTCCTCGCCCGCCTCCACAGCCTAAACCCATCTAGTACCTCACAAATCCTTCCGTGCCGTCCCCCGTCCCCGTGCAGACGCGCGCCAAGCCGAGAGTCAGCACACAGGAGCGGGTCTTCCGAGCTAAACGGGAATTTCAGCCGTCGGGTGACTTCCCGCAGCCATCCACCGACCGCACCGTGCAGCTCCGGCACCGCGTTTCAGGTCGTCGCATCGCACCTACAGTATCTTCCCTGTCTCGGTCCCGTGACTGCTTCTTTACAGACCAACACCCCATCTCCGTGGCAAGCTGCTCTGCGCGCCCGCGTCGCGCGTCATGGCAACTGCTCCGGTCGTGGACCACCACTTCAATGGCGACAGCAGACTATTAAACGCGACATTCGAAAGACGAACCGAACTGCGGACGGCCCTCGCCACTCTCCAACAGGAACTGTCGCGGATCGAGGGCTTCCCGTGTCAAGTCACTGCCGACATCAGATTCAACGTCTTTGGCCCACCTGCTAGGGAGCACGTATATTCAGTCTCCATCACCGACAGCGGCTTTGACTCGGTCGTCTTCGCCCGCACCAAACTCCTTGCCGGCCGTGGGTCTCGCGCTGCTTCCGCGAGCTCTCCGGCCTCAGGTCATGGAGACCGGCGGCCTTCCTCCTCCCGCAGAGGCGCTGAGGATGACGATGTCATGGAGATTCGGCCCTTGAAGAAGCCCAGGACCGAAGGCGAGGATGGCTTACCCACTCCGTCTCGTGCGAGCGTGTCAGAGGACCCCAACACTTCGCAGCGCGTCTACGAGGTCCTCAATTACGTCAAAGACTGGAAGGATGAGTGGATGCGACAAGGCGGCTGGCTCTTTGACACCTTGAATGGGGCTGCCAAAACCACTCAGGATCAACATCAGGCTATGGAGAAGAAGCTGGACTCCGTCCAAGACACTCTGGGCCAGAGTATCAACGCTGCCAGCGCGACGACAATGGCAGAGCTGGCCAACATCACGAAACTGTTACCTTGGCTGGAACACTGCCGAAAGACCAACGCGGACAAAGTGCAAGCTAGAGAGGAGAAATGGCGATCAAGTAGTGCCACGTTCCATGATCAGAATCGCCGGGAGAGGGAGGCTGCGGAGAAGCGTCTGGACGATAAGTTGGAGATGCAGCGACGGCTACTGATCAAGGTCGCGGAAGCAAATGGCGTCGATGTGGACGACGTGAGTGATAAGCCGAGTAGAGAAGCGAGTCTTGGCGCGCAACTCACAGCAGAACTGAACATGGAAGCGTTACGAGCGGAGGGGAACGGAGACTCTCGTCAATCCTCAAGAAACGAGCCAATCAACATTGACGACTGAATGACTGCATGGACTGTTTCTGAATGCGAAATCATCTGACAGTATGATCACCAACCACGCCAGCGCACCCAGACATCCTCGACCCTTTCTGGATCTAGTTTTTCTGAGTCAACGACGAGATACCAGCCGAAGTGCGCCCCAGCTATGCAAGCATGATTTGGCCAGACCAGCAGCTTCTCTCCAATTTGCAGTTGCCGGACATTCTCTTGAGAGCCCTCCCAGGTCAAGTTGCCGTGCTCCTGCGAAACACGGCCAACTATCCAGCCGGTCTTTGAGCCTTCTGGATCATAGAACTCAGTACTGTTCATTGGCCATGGTGATACAACTCCCCATCCCGGATAGCTCTTGCACGGCTCTCGACCCAATACGAGAGATCCAGCGGCGATCAAGGCTTCCGGCTTCTCATTGCGATCTGGATAGACACTTGCTACTTCTGTCAGAATTCGCAGTCCGAGATCTTTGAAGGATAGCAAGCTCTGGTCTGGAGCATTGGCAGCATGCACCGGCCTGGCACGCGTGGCGAGCTGCTGCATGTCCATCACAGGATAGACTCCAGCATGGACTTCCACTGTGAAAGACTTCCTGCATTTGTCGAGCATATCACGGTACTCCTTCCCACTCTCTGTCTCGTGCAGCAAGTTCTGAATCGAAGTGGCGGTCGGCGTAGCACCGAGAGACAGCACCACTTTCTTCGAAGAAGAGCCTCCTGCGCCAGCTGCTTTCAAGAAGTTGACTGCACCCTCTCGTAAACCGCTCAGTTCCTCCGACATAAACTTCACCGCCTCTTCCGGACTAGACACGCCATAGCTATGACCCATATGCGTGTACATGCCTCCGAGCACAGTTTTTCGCGATCCGCTCAGCGCCTCGGCAATCTCCGCCAGCTGACGGGAATCCGATGCAACTCCCTCTCGATGGTATCCAACATCCACTTGCACCCACACAGGAATCCGTCCCGGCCAGACAGTATCATCGATATTCTCCAAGAGCCGAATATGCGTCACATGGTCTACAAAGAGACCCACAGATCCTTGCCCCAGAACGCGAGCAATGGCAGCCAGACGCAGAATCGCAGAAGGAGAAACGGGCAATCCGTAGAGAATGTTTATCCCTTTCCCTTGCGATTTACACTCCAGCAACCAAGGGACCAAATTCTCAATCTCGGATACCGTGGATGCCACCAAGTTCACGGTTTTCGAACCTTTCCCGACTTGTAACTCCGTGAGTTCCGTAGTCTACCAACCAATCAAGTCAGCCATCATTACATATTCTTTCATCCATCCCCTCATCCACTCTGAAACAAACATCTCCCCGATCTCTTCTGCTTTGCTTTGCTTACTTTATGCGTCTTCACATGCGTCCGGAAACCCACTCCCAGTTTCTCGCAGCTCTCCAGCATCAGGCGGCAGTTGCGACGTATGACCGCTACATCCAGAATCGCGGCCGGAGCTTGAATCTCCCGGATCTGTTTTCCAAGGAATTGTAGTTTGAGATTTGCCGCGGAGGGCTGCGGGTAGAGGGATGTTGCCATGTACGCTGCCGCCGTCGCCGCCGCCGCCGCCATTTGTTTTTTTTTTTCTTTGGTTGATGAACTTGGGATTGGAATCGTTGGGGGGTTTGGTTGGTTCGGGAAAAAGTTATGTCTTTTTCGATCGATGTGTTGGTCCAGTGTATCGGATAATTGCCGCTGAGGAGGGTTCCCTTCTAGGCCACTGCAGAAATGCAAACCTTTGAAGGAAGTATATATAGAGATATAGGATCTGGGCAAGTTAGTTATATTTGCTAGAAGATGGGGAGCTTCTCCTCGAGCTAAGCTACCTTACGGCCAAATGTTGGCCGAAGCGGCTGTGCTGGTCCGCCGGTGTAGGTGAGCTTCTTTGTCGTACAGAATCCTGCTAACCCGTGAGATTTTTTCTTGAAACTTATTGCTTCTACGCTGCACACTGGATAGTGAGGGAGTATCTATACGCCGGAGGGTTTTGGCTGAAGGATGATGCGCCGCCCTATAAGGTATATGGGCTGGGGTGGCCTGGGGGGGGGGGGGGGGGGGCTGGGGGGGCAGGTAAAGAGTGGCGGGTTTTGGCTAAAGGATGAAGCGCCCGCCCTGGACATGGGTTGGGTTGGGGTTGCCTGAGGGTAGGTAGGTAGCTAAAGATTGGTACGCAAAGCAAATGGGAAGGGAGGAAGAGTGTACCTATGCTATCGTTTCTAACCACACGTCCGACCGGTATTACTAGTACGTCCCCGAGCGATTCCGGGCGTCGTCCGAGTATAGGGAAGGCTAAATACCTTAGGGAAGTAGCCTAGGGTAGGTAGGCTGAATACTCTAGGGAAGCAGCCCGGCCCACGTATGGTCTGTCGCTACGTACGCCCGCAGTAGGCCTCTACTAGATCCGACTACTAGCGATAGCGAGGCCGCCTTCTAAAATTTAGTAGAGAAGATTTTGTCTTTACCTCTTCGAGACTTTTAGATATAGCCTCTCGCTATTTAAGACCTATTCCTTCATACCTACGAGTATATTCTATTGCAAGTTTATTAGCTAATCAGATCTGCCAGATATACTAGTAATACCGGTCGGACGTGTGGTTAGAAACGATAGCAAAACCGCAGAATGGTCGATTTCGGGACTTGCATCAGCTCGAAAATCGGCAAAGATTTCGTAGTGTAAAAGGAGGGGGCAACAGGAGGAAGCAAGAAATCAGGAACAGTGGGCAATCCCGTTTCTGCGGGACGATAATGCATGACGCCGATGTTCTGGCGTCAATGTTCTCCGTGTGGATCACGTCGCCGGCATGTATGTGAAGAATTGAGGGGCCCCAAGCTCGAAGGGGATAGATGAGAAGTTCTTCTAGGTCACGGCAGGGCAGCTGACCAGAACCACTATGCTAGGAGTACTCAATCGCAGACGGCTCTACCACTACATTCTTATACTCGGTGCAAGCGGCACTCCATACAGACCTGCAATTGGCAGCGATGGCACCTGAGTATGAACTGCCGGTGTTTGGCTGTGCACATCTCGCATCGAAATATTCTGTTCCCATTCCCCTCGACCCTCTCAAACTTGCGCTTACCGCGATGTTCGCACTCGTCGTCGTTCCGTAAGTTATCTTGAAGCTGATTGATACGCCTCTGGCGCTCAGCGGGACGAATGTTTGGAGCGGCTCGATCGACCACTTCTTCAGCCCGGCGCAACAGATTGCCTTCTTCCCACAGAGTACATCTGCATCGACGAGGCCTCGTCCACTCCTCGCCGCAGCCATAGCAGAATTCGGCTGTACAGCGACATCTGAGAAATATCAGCGACTATCTTGCCCGGACTAGGATTGCGGACTTACATCATGTGGTTGCATCCAAAATCGATCGAGACCAGTGCACGACAAGAGAAACATCGTCGCCAATTCAGCTCCCTGCCAAGCTGTAGCGTGTCCTGGAGGTCTATGTCTGCAGGACAGTCGTCCTCATGGAATGTCTGCTTACACAACGCACAACTCTGTGTGCCGCAATGCCGACAGACGGCCTTGCCAGCAGTGATGTCGACTGGTGAGACGAATCTGCCGCATTCTGCATTGCTGCAGTACGTCTTGTCTCTGGTATCGCGCTCCAATTGACCATCCTGAAATGCAACTAGCTCGTCCTCTTCGAGAACACTCTTGATGACTTCAAACGGCACTGTCTCGCCACAGCAGCGAGGTGGTAGGAGATTGAGGTCACGCTCGACGATACCGCGCATGATGAAGGTGTGCAGGCAGTCTTTGCAGTACACATGCTTGCATTCAAGCTTGGTAACGTCGACTGCGCGGAACGAGTCGGCGCAAGCGATACACTGGGTTCCCTGCCGTCCCAGCTTCTGCATTGCGGTGACCTGTCGTCGAACGTATGGCTCTGAAGGTCCGGCTATCGTCGAGTCGCTGTCTTCTCCATCACTGTACAAGCCTAGGCGCTCGATTTCGGCTTCGATTGATGTTTCTTGGGCCGACTCAGTATACGGAGGTGGCGGCTCCACGTCAGTATCTCCAGCGTCCATCAGCAAAGCTACCTGTCTGTCTCGTTGAGCCTGGCTTTCTGCTCGGACAACTTCTTCGATGGCCTCTGCATCTACACTGACCGCGTTGGCGATACTGTGTGCGAGCTTGATATCGTCCAAGATCTGGAGTTGGGCTTTGATCTCATCCAGATAGCTGGCGTATGCCACCTCCAAGTCAGGAATGTCATCGGCTTTATACTTGCCCTTCTTGGTCGCCTCGTATTCGTCAATGTCGGCGAGCTGCAGCATCAGAGCGGCAATCACATCTTCGACGAGCGTCGAAGGTCCCTCAGCTGGCAGCGGAGTGGAGGTTGTTGCGCTCATGTTGATGACAGTACGTGCAAATGAGTATTGACAAGAACTGTTGTTGGAGGAGCGGAGTGAGCGTTGAGAGCGTTGAGGAACAGAAGAGGTGGCGGCGGTCTGTAGTCGCTAGGGGGCCATGAGATGATCGATACGGACCATGAACCTGGCAGAGTCAAAATGATGTTCTGCCAACAACATTCTGAACGGATTCGAGCTGCAATCTATCGGTGGATAGCCAAGAGTCAATTGCTGCCGTCGACCAGTTCTGTCATTGCGCGGGCTCGTTAAGAATACCATGCGCTGCTCGATGGCTCCTGACGGTAAAGTCCATTGCTTTCGCAGCAATAGCCAGCTGAGAGATTCAATAAAGCTAGGCACAAAGGTTGCCTTGTCCTAGTCAGACTCGGCAATCGAGGATACTTTTAGTCGGCGGAGCCGAGTTCTCGCTCGCGAGAGCTGAGAAGCTTTAGCGCGTAATGTAAGGGTTGATGAAAGGATGTCCAAGGCACTCAGAGTAGACACTCGATTGATGGCAAGACTAATCTCTGGGGAAGCGGGTTTGATCCAGCGCGCAATGCAGATGCGCTGCGCTGTCGCTGAGCAGCGTCATTTTCTTGGCATTTACTTCAGCTTCCCCAGCTTCCTAGGCCTAATACGGAATTAATAGGCCCTAGTATTCTAAAGTTTATATGAGAGTAGAATAATTATTTTCTTTAGTTTAATCTAAAGTAGATATAGAATAGTATACTTATAGACTATATTTACTTTTCTATAGCTTATAATAATATTAGACAATCTTATAATAGAGATTAAAGAAAGTAGTAAATAAGTAATATATATCGCTTTAAAAACTCTATTTAATAATATATTCTATAAATCTAAGATAACTATTATAAAGATTATTAAATACTATAAAATCTATCTATCTAGTAGTAAATATCTATAGAAATTATAGGTATATAGAATCTAGAGTAGAATTACTACGTCTTAAAATACTAGTATTCTAGTCGTAGTATAAGTATATACTTAATACTTAGTAGGCTTAGTATTAAGTCTATAACTTAATAATCTTATAATATATAAGGCTTACTTATATAAGGCTTAATCGGTATTAGGCTCGTTAGTAGAGAGGTCTAGTAGAGAAAGAGTAAAGCGATAGAGTAGTATAGTAACTTAAGGGATTATATTCTAAGTAGTAAGATACTATAGTAAGTTAAATATATCGAAAGCTAGAGGTATTCTTAGTATTCCTATATAGATTTCTAGTTCGACTAACTTATTCTACCTACTAGCTAGAAACTAGCTATCCGACTAGAGCTATAGTCGAATAGTCGAACTTATTACGTAGTCTTTCTTATAGAGTTCGACTATCGGTTCCTTCTATTAGTCGAACATATAATATATAACGTATCTCGCTATATATATAGAGTCTCTTTTCTACTTTACTAGCTAGGAGTTCTCGAAATAGTCTCGCTTCTTACTTCGATCTATAATAGTATACTATTATAGTAGTAGATATATCGGAACTACTACCCCCTTTATTCTTCTCGACTTCTTTATAGGCCTATCTTCGTAGATACGTAGATTAATAATACGCTTCTTTATAGACAATACTATACTAGTAATAGTAGATAAGAGATAGTTATATATACGCGTAGATAGGACAGTATTACGAAGACGCGACGACGTAGTCTTAATTACTAAGGAACTATACTAAAAAAGGACTATATAGTAGGCCTAGGTAATTATCTAACTATCTACTTTTAACTCTTAAAACCTCGGTTTTTGTAACAGTAGTAATTACCTGTTACCTGAAAACCTATTACCTACGAAGTGGACGCACCCTAAGTCATAATCTTAATTATTCTTTCTAAAATTATCTAAACGTTGCTTAATTATAGCTTTCCCGTATCCCTCTACTTCTAACTTTTCTCCCACGATTCTCCACTTTCTACTATCTATAACGCGCCGGGGCCCCGCCACGAAGCTACGTAGTAGTAAACACGATGCAGTGGGCGCGTAGAGTAATGATAAGGTGGATTGGGTGGAGTCGGGCCGTGCAACGTTTTGCTGTGGAGACGACCTCAGCTGCGTCGCGCACTGCATCCTTTATTGGGTCCGGACCCTGGCAGATCAAACGCGACAGCCACTTCAATCCTTCGTGTGCCTTCCCCTCACCGGTGCGGCCAAAATGGCTTCTTGGATGCATCCTTCATCGCTACCGCTACGCGTTGGTTTATTCTCGGGTCCATCTCCCAGTCGGCTCCTACGGGTTGAATATTCAGGAAGCCGAGAGCGAGAGTATTGGTCAAGGCGTAGACTGTCCTTGTTTTGCTAATTCTGTGGTCTTCTGAGCTCTTTAGCACGTGAAGGTCTGACGAGACCCGGTCCCTTTCGAGATGGCGCAAGAGAGATATGATATGATCGTGATGGGGGCTGGTATGCTCGACAGATACTGATTTGGGAGATGCCTCGTGGTTCGAAGCTGACTCTCGCACAGGCTGGTTTGGTCTGGCAGCGGCGAAAACACACCTTGAGCTCCATCCTTCTGAGGATCTTCTCGTTCTGGAAGCTGAGAGCAGTTGTGGTGGCACCTGGTCAGAGAATCGTCTATACGCCGACCTCAAATCAAACAACCTCCACGGTAAGATTTCAATCGCACCAAGCAAAGAACCTCTGCTGAATCGTTGCTTTTCTGTCTATAGGCAGCTATGAGTATCCAGACTTCCCAATGGATCCCGCCGCCTATGGCATCACACACGATGACCACATTCCTGGCAAAGTTGTCCACAAGTATCTCACAGACTTCGCTAAGAAGTTCGGCGTCTACGCCAGGACACGATTCAACACCAAAGTCGAAAGCCTGGGGCCAGCGTCGGATGGCGGCTGGATTATCCGTACTGCTTCTGAAGGCGACGAGAAGGAGAAGACGTTGCATTGCAAGAAAGTTATCGTGGCGACTGGACTAACCTCGCAGCCCAACTTTCCTCAGTATGCAGGCGCAGAGACGTTCCACGCTCCCTATTTCCATGCCAAGGATTTCTGCCGACAGGGAGACACTATCAAGACATCGGAACGAGCTGTGATTGTGGGCGGTGGCAAATCAGCCATGGATGTTGCTTTTGCGTACGCGAATAAAGGCGTTCAGGTCGATATGGTCATTCGACCCGGAGGCAATGGTCCGATCTGGATCTCACATCCTTATGTTATGGGCGGCAAGCGGCTAGAGAGTCTTATGCACGTGCGTTGGATGAGCTGGTTCAGTCCATGTCCCTGGGGTGGTCTCGACAGCTGGCTGGGAAATAAGATGCGGAGTTTCCTCCACGGTACCGCCGTGGGCCGTTTCATCGTTGACAAGTTCTGGGCTGGACTAGGAGGCGAGGTCTTAACTGCGAACGCCTATGACACTCACCCGGAAGTCCAAAAGCTCAAACCCTGGAATTCCGCCTTCTGGATCGGCTCCGGCTTTTCCATCCACAACTACGACCGTAACCTCTTCGACATGGTCAAACGCGGCGAGATCAAAGTCCACATCGCCGACATCGACCGCTTGACGAAACACACCGTCCATCTCACCAACGGCACCGACTTACCCGCCGACGTGCTCATCTGCTCCACAGGCTGGCGCAAAGAACCCTCCATCCGCTTCCTCAATTTCGGCACCGCAGGAATCGGCCTCCCCCAGAATCCCTCCGAACAAGCAGCCCTCATCACAGCCTACGACTCCAAACTCCTCAAAATGTACCCCCGCCTCACCAACCAACCCACTCTCAACTTCCAGCCCAAAGCCAACCCCTTCCGTCTCTACCGCTTCATGATACCCCCCGCCAGGATCCAAGACCGCAACATCGCTTTCGCAGGCATGGTCTCCTCGGTCAGCTCATCCATCTGCGCCTCCGTGCAAGCGCTCTGGATTTCCGCCTTTCTGGATGGAAGATTACCCCATCTAGCTTCCCTCACCACAGAAGAAGTCACGGATGAGGTCATGTTACACACGCAGTGGGGCAAATGGCGATATCCGAATGGATACGGGGCGCATCTGCCGGATCTGGTGTTTGAGGCGGTGCCGTATTTTGATCTCATGTTGAGGGATTTGGGGTTGGAGGTGAACCGGAAGGGAAGCGGGTGGAGGGAGGTTACGGAGCCGTATGGGCCGGGGGATTATCGGGGCTTGACTGAGGAGTGGGTGGAACGGGCGTCGGGGTTGGAGGCGTAGGATGTATGTTGTGCTGTGGCTAGAGCGTTTGGGTGCTGTCCTGTGGTGGTGGAGAGATGTTTCTGGCCAGTTTGTATTTTGCCCTTGTCTGATCACGGAGATCTGTCAGACTTTGTCGAAGCAGATTAATGCTTTCTTTCGAGGAGTACCTTTCTATCACATCATGTAGGTTGTTGCTAGCAAAAGAGAGATGTGTTAGGGGTATGGGTACTGGCCATGGACATGGACATGGTTGAGAGAATTTCAGTACATGAAGGATTAACCGACAAGCCATCACGAGCCTCCTCAAGACTTCTACACCTCCCTCGCTTTGAATTGAAACATCTCATTACTCTCCACGGAATTCTTGTCCCTCATCTTCGCCACCGTCGCCGTTCCCGTCGTAGGCAGACTGATCTCAAACTTCCTCACCCCTCCATCACCATCACCATCTCCATTCACATACCCATTCCTCTTCTCCTCGACCACCAACTCAACCTTCTCCGGCAACGCACCAATCTGCTTCAACGCAGTCGCAGAGTCCCAAGTAATATGCTCATGATAAAGCCTATCCCCACGGATATTAACGACGGCCATCATCGGGATCTCGACGTATTTGTACGTCGGGGGAACGCCGGGAAAGAGCCAGTCGATCGTCATGTCGTGGGTGAATTTGTAGATGAACTCGTCCACGACGCGATCGATACCTGTCGTGCGGGAGATGAGTTCGAGTTCGGTGTCTTTGGGATTGCTGAAGACGAAGTGGTCGCGGTAGAAGTTTGTGAGGTTTTCGCGGCCGATGCCGCCTGTGATCTAGAAGGATGGATTGTCAGTATGTTGATTTGGAGATGCTTAGACGGATGAAGATGGCTTACTGTTGGGACGTGGTTGACATAAGGCTCTTGGACCATGGTCATCATGGTGTTTTCGACATCGCGAGCCTCGAATTCGTAATATGTGTGCTCTTCCCAGAGCTTCGACAGATTATCAGCAGCGGCACTGAGATTCCTCACCCAAGAGACTCACCAGTTCTAGATCGAAGTAAGGTCCGCCCATAATGGGCTTGAAGAATGCTAAATTCCGGCTATGCGAGACCGCTTCTGTGGCGTAATGGAAATCCTTGTGGAAGGGCACGGGGAAAGTGCAATTACGAGAGCCGCCGTATTCGTAGACCTTTGAGCCGGGCTGCTTTTGTAATCTGGTTTCTGTTGCTCCAGTAAGATGGTAGATAGTTGGGACGGACACTTGCGCGCTCAGTGCAGAGTGTTGCGAGGCCTCAGCATAGAGCCCAGCGACCACGATACGGTCTTTGAGCATTTCCACTTCTGGGATCGCTTCTTGCCACATGTGGGCATCGTAGCCTGACGGACTAGTCAGCGAAGCGTCTCAGCATACATCACCAGGTTCTCGTACAGATCAGTCCCATCTTCTCTTTCGGCTCGCACTCGGCGCACTCGCTCAACTTGGCCACAGCAGTCTTCAACGCAGAAGATGAAGCGTGAGAACGGATCTCGACCACGCAATAGCCCTCCTCCGCCCATTTCATCCGTAGCGACGGAATGCCGTCTTCGATCTCTACGGGAGTTGCAGAGTCGTCATTCGGTGCAAGGACGATCATTCCAGGCCCTACGCCTTTCCTTGATAATGGTCGAACGAGAGTGATACCTTCGGCCAGTTGTTCCGGTTTCATTGGAGGTACTGGCTTCGGTGGCCCAGAGCCATACGCGAACTCGGGCATCTTTTCTCCTCAATATGCTTGATGTCGCCTCGTACTTCGTAATTTCTAAAGGCCACAACGTTTGAAGGATGTCTGTCCTAGGCGTCTGAGTGGGTTTATCCAATGGAGAATGTCGCGCTTGTACAACTGTTCATCCGGTCCAATTCATCGCGGTCATGAAGCCGAGATAGGCTACGGATTGGCCGTCCAACCAAGGCCCGGAGCGCATACTGAGCTTCCATCTTGGTTGTTGGCCGAGAATCGGCCTCACGCGACGGAAGGAAGGTGTTTTATCCGAGCGTCACGTGAGGTGCATTACCCGAGCATGTCCCGGCTGGCTGTACTTGTCCCGCATCTCTCCTTTCTCCTCCAACATGACCTTGTCACCAATAATATCGACAATCGCGGCACTCAATCCCTGCGCAGTCATGGGCTGATTCGTGGGCGATGCCGACATCTCGGATGACAACTCGAACGATATCTCGGATGACATCTCAGATGGAAGCACTGGCGTATTGGGATAGATGAATGTCGCTCTGCAGACTCCCAGGAACCGGGTAGTGCGACTATACCGTGCCCGAGGCCTTCTGCTCGTGCCTAACTTTCGATATCGTTCGTCGACAGGAGGGACTCATCTCGATTTATGCCTCCTTTTGCATCGTACGATAGGACTATTGGCGGATGCTCCTGCCTACGACTACAAAAAGATGATTCTGCTTCGATGGAGAGGAAGCTGCATACTAATATGGCCGAGTTTGGGACGCCTTGGCTGCCTCAAATGCTTTAACAATGCCTGGCTGAACAGTGTCTAGTCCTACTCCTTGAGTGGGAGCAAGCGATACGAACGATGGAGAGTGGTTTCGCCGGCTAGATTTCATCGACATGCTCTCCTACAGCCAATCTCTTTATCGGTCTTAGTGACCGAATCGAAGCACCTGGACGTCACACCAACCGGCAAGCACTGAACAGCTAACTCAGCATTGTAGGAGCCCGCGAGAGCAGCGAGTGGTACAGGCATTCGTCTTCGCTTTGTCTCTTGGATCTTCAGCTCAAACACTTCCCATTTCTGTACTTCATTCACTCCCTTCACAGTCACTCTTTTCAGGTTTCAAAGCTCCGAGATGAGGCCCAGCTTTTCTATCGCCCTGGCGGTGCTTTCTCCCATTACATACTCTTCCATAAGGCACAAGTGTAGGAACCGGGCCGCGCACTCTCGTCGCTAGGAAGGACCCACAAGTCGCCGCGGCCTGTCGATAGGCGAAAAACAAGTTGCCATGAATGGCCACCGACTGAGCAGGCTGCCGTGTAGGACATCGATGTCGCGTGGTGGTAAGACATCTTCGTGCACAGCTTGAGGCTTGGCGAACATTGTTGAAACAGCCACGGCCATGTCGGTCATCGCAGATCGAACGCTTTTATTCCCTGGTCTAAGAGCTATCGCAATCCATTTCAACCGGCAGTGAAAAGTTATTGTTTACATCTGGGTGATGGTGTGAATGCATATGGCAATGGTCGAATTCTTCCCGCGAGCTGAGCATCATTGAACCAGACTTCATCCTGATGGCTGTCGGTGGTCCCAACGCACGCTATGACTTCCATCTAAATGACAAGGAAGTATCAAGGTCTGCCTGGTAGGCAGTGAAGAAAGCTGCCGCCTCTATAGCAGGCGTGATTCTACCAGCTGAAAAGGGCATGTTACTGAGGGGAATCCAGGACGGCCAGTTCAGGGACACCACTATCGAAAAGGCGACACTTTCTTACTGCCACGGAACGCGTCATATTGCCCAATTCGATTTGCTGGTACAGTCGGGATGGTCATGAAGCGAAAAAGGCCGAAGGGTAGTATAGACCGGGAGAGGTGGGACTGCCCGAAGAGCGAACGTACGGTACCGACGGATACCCATAAGGCTTCGTTTCATTGCACCGATCTGAGTACGCACCTCCAGCCTCTGATTGACGCGTGGTAACAAGACGAGGAGATGCGAAGATGCAGAGTTTGCGGCCAGGTAGAACATCCGAAAAAGCCATTGCGTTCGCCAATGTGTCGGCAGATTGTCACTTTGAAGAGCTGACTATTCTGTATCTGCAATGTTGATGATTGTGCAACTGATGGAACGTGGGCGAAATGCTGGTCAAGAGGAGACAAAGTCTGCTGAGGCAGGAGATCTTTGTTGCCTCAGGCAGGAATTCCTTATCTCACCTTCTTTTCCGCTCACATCTTCACCGACTTCCGTATTCATCGAACAACATGTCCAGATCAGGTCATCTCCCTTTCCTTCACCCAAGCCGCATCGGATTTCTCGAATTCGCTTGAAGCGTTGAAGCGTGTTGCAGTGCCGTCCGGTCGAGATCCACTCCCAAGAAGCACAGGCGCGCGTTCGTCCAGTCTAAAGGCGATCAGATCCAGACATCCTGAGAATGCGGCTACTGGGCCTTGAAGTCGGAGACAGCAGGGCACACCGAAGCTCGAACGCGAGAAAGGAGCCATGGCTGTTCACCGCGTGGCACCTCGGGGATCTGGAATAGGCAGCCATTGTGGTGAAGATGAATGAGGTGTACGAATCTGGGTCTACAACCGGAGGATCCATGACTGCGTTACGTCCAGATGCCATCAACAGGCCTCAGCTCTTGCACAAGTCTCGGGGATAATGTTGTAGAAACTTAAGATCCAGTACATGCTCGGCTTAGGGACGGCAAAGGTAGCCGGCGACCCCACCTTTTGCATGTGGCTACTGGTGTGGCACTTTTCGACTCGAACAACGGAAGACTAAATGCATTCCTCGCTTCAAGACCACTCTTGTCTTGACATACATCCTCAACGATGCCGGAACTAAGATACGACGGACAAGTTTGCGTCATCACCGGGGCAGGTTGTCTAAAGCCCTATCCACGCTCACGCGTGGCGAGATATGGACGAGGAGAGCTGACTATCGTTCACAGGAGCGGGACTTGGACGAGCTTACGCCAGGTTCTTCTCGAGCCGTGGAGCGAAGGTTGTTGTCAACGATCTTGGTGGCACATTCAACGGTAAAGGCAGTGAGCGAAGCGGTGCAGTCGCCGACCAAGTCGTCAAGGAACTAGTCGAGGCTGGAGGCGATGCTGTCGCCGACTACAATCCCGTTCAACGCGGTGATGAGATCATTGAAACCGCCATCAGAGCCTATGGCCGAGTAGACATTCTCATCAACAATGCGGGCATTCTGCGTGACGTTACGCTGCGGAACATGAAGGACGAGGATTGGGATGTCATTATGGACGTGAGTTAGACGGGTCGACCTTTGCAGAGATGCGGCGTGACTTATCGGCTCCTCAGGTGCATCTTCACGGTGCCTACAAGACGACACGAGCCGCATGGCCATACTTTCGAAAGCAGCGTTACGGAAGAGTGATACAAACGACCTCAGCTTCCGGACTCTGGGGCAACTTCGGCCAGTCCAACTATGCTGCAGCGAAGTTTGCTGTTGTAGGTCTTGCCGAGACGCTGGCTAAGGAAGGCACGAAATACAATATCCATACGAATGTTGTCGCCCCCGGTGCAGCAAGTCGACTGACCCAGACCGTGTGGCCGAAGGAAATGATGGACCTCATGGGTCCTGAGTGGTAAGCGCTTCTTGCTCTGGCACGGCACGACCGAATCACTTACGGAGATAACCAAGGGTCGTACCATTAGTCGGATATCTCACCCACTCATCATGCACCGAGTCTGGGAGTATCTTCGAAGCAGCTGCAGGGCACTTCTCTGAAATCCGATGGCAACGAGCGAAAGGATTGCTATTGAAGCCAGATCAGTACCTGCACCCAGAACAAGTCCTTGCTCGTTGGGACAAGATTGTTGACTTCCAGGGTGCGGACTTCCCCAATAATCCAGCAGACCTCATGGGAATGCTTCAAGCGGCATCTGACACTCCCGCGAACAAGCCTGGCTCATCCGATCTTGGAATCCGCGGTAGAGTCGCTCTGGTTACTGGCGCTGGAGCAGGTCTTGGACGAGCCTACGCAATGCTCCTAGCCAAGCTTGGGGCTAAAGTAATGGTGAATGACATTCAACAGGCTGCTGCGGTAGCAGACGAGATCAGAGCACAAGGCGGCGAGGCTGTGTCCTGTGATATCTCTGTAGAACACGGCGATGCTGTTGTTCAAGCCGTCCTAGATGCATTCGGACGACTCGATATCGTGAGTTATTTTGCCGCGTTTCTATTAATGACCAAGTTGCTAATTGATTTAGGCCGTCAACAACGCTGGCATTCTCCGTGACAAGTCATTCAACAATATGACGGATGAGCAATGGCACCAGGTCTGCAATGTCCACCTTCGAGGCACTTACCAAATCACCAGAGCTGCTTTCCCTCATATGGTAAAGCAGAAGTATGGGCGCATTGTGAACATCACGTCCACGTCTGGTATCTACGGGAACTTCGGTCAAGCAAACTATGCTGCCGCTGTATGTCTCCGAAATCCCTTCGTTGGATGTGGACTAACTCTCTCCAGAAAGCGGGCATTCTTGGCTTCACAAAGACAACCGGTCGCGAGGGGGCGAAGTACAACGTCTTTGTGAATGTAGTCGCTCCGTCAGCTGGCACCAACATGACCCGTACGATCTGGCCAGAGAAGGAGGTCCAGTCTCTAAAGCCAGAATATGTTGCACCCTTGGTGGCTGTCCTATGCAGCGAGAAGCCGCCAGCCAACAGCGAGATCTTCGAGGCTGGGGCTGGTTGGTTCGCTAAGACGAGGTTTCAACGGGCCAGAGGCGTTGATTTCGACTTCAAGAAAGGATATGAGAATTTGACTGTGGAGATGATTGCAGAGGTGGGTACAGCAAAGCTAATGCGGTTCTGCAGCTGACACTTTCTAGGCTTTCCCTAAGATCACCCTCTTCGATACGCAGGCAGACTATCCCGAGACACCGTCAGATGGTGGCAAGTATACTTCGGGAAATGCTGTCAACAGTGGATTGGTACCAAACACGCCTTTCTAATCACTCTACCCACGAAGCTGACTGGTCTCCAGATCAAGAACATGTCCCAAGAAGACCGCGCCAACAGAAAGTGGATCTCCAAGATTCAGAATGCCATCGACGCTACGCCCACTGCCGTCGAGTGGAGCTACACCGACCGTGATATCCTCCTCTACAACCTCGGCATCGGCGCCACGAGAAATCAGATCAACCTAGTCTACGAAGGCCACCCGAATTTCACCGTGATACCCACCTTCGGCGTCGTACCAACCTACTTCTCCCAGAAACCTTTTCTGGACTTCAAGCATCTCCTGCCAAACTATGACCAACGACAGCTCCTCCATGGCGAACAGTACCTCGAAGTCCTACAGTGGCCCATTCCCAGTGCAGCAACCCTCAAAACGAACAGCAGACTGATCGAAGTAGTCGACAAAGGCAACGCAGCTCTTGTACGCCGCGCGAACGAAATCACAGATTCGAACGGCAAACCGATCTTCTACAACGAGAGTGTCCTCTTCATCCGCGGCAGCGGCAATTTCGGAGGCCAAAAGAAACCCTCCGATCGCGGCGCCGCTACAGCCGTCAATGACCCTCCCTCTCGTCCCGCGGACCAGATCGTCGAAGAAACCACTTCCGAAGACCTCGCAGCTCTGTATCGTCTCTTGGGGGATCGCAACCCGTTACACATCGATCCGGCTTTCAGCAGAGTCGGAGGGTTCGAAGTTCCCATTCTCCATGGACTGGCGACGTTCGGGATCACGGGGAAACATGTCTTCGAGACGTATGGGCCCGTCAAGTCTTTGAAGGTGCGATTTGCGGGGACTGTGGTTCCGGGGCAGACGATTGTTACGGAGATGTGGCTGGAAGGAGGAGGGAAGGTTGTTGTTTATAGGGCGAAAGTGAAGGAGACGGGGAAGAGTTGTATTTCGAATGCTGCGGCGGAGTTGAGGGGTTGAGAGTCTTGGATGTTTGATGGCTCGGGATTGAGATGCATGGTTATCGTACTATCTCTCTCTTTCAGTACCATATCATGGTTTCTTTACCGTCGCTTATGGTACCAAGGTTCAGGGTTCGTTGGAGGGTTATGTTACACGCAATTTGGCTATAACAGCTGAAGTACGGATATCTATATATACTACAATAAGCGAACCTAGAAGTGGCTCGAAATAGCTCGTAGAACATCTTGCTTAGCCAGATTCGCAATAAGAACATCCTTTACAAGGAGTGTTATGCATTATCCAAGGCCGGTGCGAGCTAACCGTTTCTCCATACAAAATAACCGATAGCAGACTAGCGTGTGATCTCCGCGCCAGCTTTCACACCTCACCTCGACTCGCAACGGAAGCCTGATGGGCCATTGCTCTGTCACCACGATCCCGCTACCTCGCCCGCCATCGCGATATCCCGTTCCATGTATACCTCGAATCGAGTTGAAGCACGTCTGAAGAGAAGGAATGTAGAGGTCACGCACACGATGGACACGCGATCGCTTGAGCTGTGCTTTGTTGGGAGGAAAGGAAGAGAAATCCACCAGTATTCTTCTTTGAAATATCGGTTTAAGGGCCAAGGAGTGATGGAGAAATAGACCGAATGAAGGCAGACGTACTACAGGAGTTGAATCGAGAAATTGGCATGCACATGTGAACACAATACTTGTAGGCTGGTACCTGTCAGTTTTCCAGCGGCGGTTGCTTGGCTCATCCACGGCTTCCTCCCTTTCCAGCTCGCCGAGGCCACCCTTCCAGTCTGGACTGCGATGACCATGAAGGATTTGCGCGCCGTCGCGAATTCTGAATCGCGACTTGATCACTCATGCCCGCGGGGTAGATGGCGCAAAGAACGCTCCGTCGTAATGTGAGATCTTGCCATGCTTCTTGTTGAGACCTGCGGGCACCGTGTCGTCGTACTAGACTACCTCTTGTTTGGCGCGAGAGGGAGCGGTGCTTACCACGAAGTTGGAACTGTCACTGAGCTGTGATGCAATTTGTTTTCTCGAAAAGGGAGTGAAGATGGAGGGCAAAAAAACAGGAAGGAGAGTGAGAAAGCAACATGGACCTGGTCTGGACTTCATATACCGCCACTGCCTACAATAAAGGGGGAAAACGTATTGTCCTCGATGATCCTGGCAACCAGGCTCACACTCACTTGTAACAATAAGCCAAACTACGCCGGCCCGCAGGACTCGGAGCTTGCATGCCTCTGCTTAAGGATCTCTTCTCCAAAGCCCAGCGCAAGCGAGGCGTTTGATGAAAAAAAAAAGTAATAAGCTGCCGAAGCAGTCTGCAGGAGCTCAGGCTCGACTGCGCTCCATGGAGCAATTCAACTACACCTGAGCGGTCAGCGCGAGCGCGAAGCCACGACGGTGGCTCGCGCTCCTCAAAATGGGCTGTGAAGTCGGTACCTTTTCTCTCTTTCGTACGGTCGTGCTCGGTCGGTCGTAGCCTGACAAACCACTGCTCTCTCAGGTTCCCGGCGAACAACTCACATGCCATCGAAAGCCCGATTATAATGACCCCGTGACAGCAAAATGAACGAAAGTCTCGGACGCTGGGCATCCTGCACGTCACCAATATGGCCCACATGCACCGTGCCGTCAATTTGACAGTAGAGCAGAGCAGGGAATGCGGCAAAGTCTGATCGGTCGTGGAAATGCTGGACTCGGTCGGGTCTCGCTTGGCGCCCCTCGCATCCATGCTCTCTCAGGTTTCTGCCGAACAAGCTCACATGCCATCAAAAGCCCGATTATAATGACCCCGTGACAGCAAACTGAACGAAAGTCTCGGACGCTGCGCATCCTGCACGTCACCGAAGGGCCCACGTGCACCGTGCCGTCAATTTGACAGTAGAGCAGAGCAATGGAATGCGAGGAGGTTGGGCGTGATTCAGCGGTTGTTGGGTCGAAGTGTGTGTGGGTGTTGGTGTTGTGGGTGGAAAAAAATGTGCTGAAGAAGTTGTTGGCTTGATGAAAAGAAGGTGGGCGAACTGAGAAGAAATAGTCGGCTGTGCGCTGCGCTGATGACAAAGCTTGTGTCGTCAGAAGTGCGTCAAAACATATGAATTAAGGCATCCAGGCATTCAGGAGTCCAGGCATCAAGGCACCCATTCACCGTTGTGCAGGGCGACGGAGCAAGTCAATGTTCTCCTTGATCCTCGATCGACTTCTCCAATGTCCGCTCCGACTTTACACCACACAACACCGCACGCGACTGTTGTCGGCCCGGACGTACACCAGCCCGCCAGGCAGAAAAAATGGCTCCATTTCCCACAGTAGTTGACTCGGCGGACAGTCTACTTGATCAAGATACTCCGTATGCACATACGCTCCCCAACTTGGAGGATCAAGAGGCAGTCAACACGCACATGGCTCGCGTTATGGATGACATCCTGAGTCTCAAGTTCAACCCCCAGCAATTGATACAGAAGCACAACAACAGAAGGCTGGACAACGTGCCGCGCGAGAACATGGGACTGCAGTTGTCCCAGGCTGTCCACCTACGCACCTTTCTGAAAGACGCACTTGAGCTGCAGCAAGAAGCCGGCCGCTGGGGCATGAAGGGCGCGTACAGACCACAGGATCTGAAGCTGTCCGATCTGCAGAGTGTCCGCGAATCAATGGTACTAGTAAGTGATGCTTCACCTCCTCACGTGTCAGGCAGCTCGCCTCCTTTCCGAGATCACGAGCGAAACACAGAGATGGCGTTGAGCTGGGGAGGGCGACAAGCTCCTCAGTATCTGTTGAAATGACTATACGATGCGGAAACAATGCAGCACCGCATCTCAATTTGCTCAAAGTCTAACACTTGTGCAGGCCAAGAAGCATATGAGAAGTTTCCCACCGGGGTCGTACAAAGGCAAAAGCCTAATGGAATACCTGGCCTTCCTTGAGAGAGCCCAATTATACCTGGTGGAAGCTCAAATTGCACAAGAGAAGGCGACGCAAGAAGGCCGGGACGAGGGCTTTGTCGACGAGGAGCTCACCACAGGAGAGGACTCCGAAAAGGGCGTGGAACCCGAGAAGAACCGCGAATGGCCTGGTTCGTGTGCGGACATCCCTTGTGTCTCCGTTACACATGCTGACGATACATTTTTAGTCAAGTCTTCACCGCCTCCGCCCGAGAGAGAGGGAAAGCGCCAGAGAGCTGACCAGGCTTTGAGATCTGTGGCAAATTCTTCTCTGGCCGATCCTGATCTCACTGAAACCTCTCCCGGTCCTACTTTGACTGCTTCGAAAGCGTCAGCGCAATCCGACAACCAATCCGCTGCTAGCCCATCCGCGTCTGCTGTCGGTGCCACGAGCGCTCCGTCGACGTCGTTCGTTCTGGACCTGAACGAGACCAAGTCCTACAACCGTCCCTTCTCCGCCGGCTCTTTCGAACACAGGAACTACCTATCCAAACTATCCGCTCGTGTACACTCGGACATCTCCCGCCTGAAATCCAGCGAGAAGCACTCCAAAACTCTGCACTCCCAGCATGCTGGCTTCGAATCCTCAGCACTCAAGGAGGCACGGGACCTGCAAGCTTTCCTAGTCAAAGCGCTGCAATACGACTCGCTCCGGCAGACTGAGCTCAGCACTGGTACAATAGCCCCTGAGCTCGAACATTTTTGGAAACTGATGCCCAAGAACTTCGGCTTGATGTTGCACTTTGAGTTGAAGCTGAAGCAGGTTGGCGAACTCATGGAGGCCAACAAGGGAAGCTACGACAAGCAGCAACTCCGGAAGCTTATGGTATTTAAGGGATGGTTGCAGCGCGGACTAAGGCTTCACAAGAAGAGTTTGGAACAGTGACGAGATCACGTGAGAAGACACAACGGATGATGACGGCGAAAGAGTTGAATTTGTTTGCGAAGGCGTTGTTCATCAGGGATGCTTTGAATGAACAGAGAGATACACACCAGAGTCGGTGCGCTACTGTAGGCGACCTTATCTTGACGCGGAAACGGCTGGATATACACCAGGAGTTAGTACGGGAGGATGTCGGGCTTTCATGCTGGCTAGATACCCAATTGCGTTGCTCTTGATTCATTGGGAATTCATTGAAACTATCCCTGTAAAGACTTTCATTTGTCTCTACGGTCTCCCGCAAATGCTGTCAAATACTAGATCTCAATCTATCCACTTTTCGAACCATGAATGATAAGGAAAGAGATCTGACGTAAACATCCCTCGCGCACAACTATAGGCACTAGTGAGCAATACAAGCATGTGGAAACGCTAGCTGGCCACAGGGTCTTTGCATATCGGACGGTTATCTCGAGGGCTGCTATCTCTGATCTATGCTGTCCGCCAGCACTCTAGGGAAGACAATATGACCTTCGGCTGTTCGACGATGCTGTACTTCTCACGGCATATGCGGCACCTCCATCCATAGACTCATCAAAACATCTAGTTAAAACCCATGTCCCAAACTCATCAAAACATCCAACCCACACACGAATGCAGCGCGTATATAGAAATCAAGCAGTCAAAGCACTGCTAATCCCGAGAATAGCCATCCCGCAGAACGCACCCACCATACATAAACCTTTGGAATGCGTCAATTCCAACGCTTCACTGAAGAGCTGCAGCGCCACGCTCGCCATGATACCAGCCGTGATGGCAAACATGATGCCATTGCCAGCCTCGCTGGGGGCCCAACCACCTTGTTTGCCAAAGTGAAACCACAACGCAGCCACGCCGGCGCCGAGAGGCTGACTGAGTCCTCCGAGGGCGAAGGAGATGGTGACGGCTTTGACGCGATTGTTGATGGCGAGGTAGAGGGGGAGGGCCATCGCGAAGCCCTCGGTGATGTTGTGGATGAAGAGGGCGAAGAAGACGCTGAAGCCCAGGTCTGGGTTGGCGTGGTTCGTGGCGTAGGTGATGAAGCCTTCGGGGAGTTTATGTAATGCGATGGCGATGGAAGTTTGGAGGCCGATGGAGAGGAAAGCGTTGGTGGGAACGTGGTGGTGGTGGTGTTGAGAGTCTTCGAGATCATCGTGTTCGTCGTGTTCGTCATCGTCGTCGTCGTCGTCGTGATCGTGATGTTCATGCGATCGTGTCGCTACCGCCGTGGTAGAGCTGTCTTCTGATGGACCTTGTTCGAGGTCGTAGCTTTCTTCCCGTGGCGCGTGGCGTTCTGCCGCACTATGTGTGTGCGGTCTTGTCAGAGAATCATCGTCAATGCGCTGTAATAGAGGCGTTGACTCGGACGCAGTGAGGTTCTTCACAGCCGAGGGTCTTTGGATCCCAGCAGAAGGTTTTGTCATCTTGATCACGCCCCCAGGTGTGACAGTTTTGAAGCACTTGGTTTGGCATATATCGCTGTAGCCGTAGCAAGGGCCATCGCAGCCACAAGATGGATCTTTGCCTGATGTGAGCTTTGATATTGTTCCCGTGATCGATGATTGCAGCGTCGGTCTCGTTGGTGTGATGTGACCGTTCGTCTCGCTGTGCGTATTGGAGCTCATACTTTTGCCGCCAAAGAGTGGAAGCGACGACTTCCGTTGTAATGTCTCATTCCGTGAAGTGGGATCTGGAAGAGCACTTTCAGTGCTTCTTTGTGCGTGCATCCTTGTCTGACCATGCCCATGAGCATGAGGAAGATCATGCCCCGCCGTGTTGTGGTGGTCGTCGCTCTTCTTATGGGCAGCTTCCTCGTCCGGCTCGTGGGAGTGCTCACAATCGACGACGTTATGTGGGATGTATTTGTGGATGACCCTGGATATGATTTGAATGCCCATCACACCTCCAATAAAGCACCCGATGAGTATCCAGGCCGAGTCTCTCGATGAATAGCCGCCTTTCTCAAGTGAGCTTTTCGAAGATGGCAGCATACTATACAGTGCCGAGAAGAGCTGCATTCTTGTTAGCCTTTTTGCCAGATGATTCGCTTCAATCACTTACCATGACACCGAAGCTCAGGCTTAGCGATACCGACATGAATCTGTCGCTGTCCTGTATTCTGAAGCTCCGCTTTCCAGGAAACTGTCGAATGATTATGTCGACGCAAATGACCGAAGCGCCAAACATGCACGCTACAATACATCAAATTAGTCTTTGATCCCTGGCAGACAATCCATTCTCTGCACATACCGACTGCGCTCAAGCCCGTGAGCAGCCATCCTCTGTCGTCGTTGGTCCAGACCATGCTAGATGCGAATTCGTGGATTCCTGTACTTGGTGCCGTGGGACCAGATATTCCGGGTCTCGGTCAACAGATAACAGCTCACGCAGGCCTCGATAATAGTTCTACTGTTCCACCGCGTTCCCTCGTCTCGCTGTCTTAGTCGCTTTCGTAGGCTGATTCAAGATGTCTTCCCACCAAGCCCAATCTTCGGCGCACCGCCACGCGCTTGGCCTTTGTTCTTCTGCGCCACACTGGCAGACAGTCGGCAGATAACCTTAATTAATATGCAGTTGACCTGGATCCCGTGAGAAGTCGAGCTAAAATGAGGTCCGTTTCCGTGTGAGCAGCGGCGGAGGCTGAGATGTAGAAGGACGGGATGGTGTGGATGCTGACGTACGAATGAAGAATGGAAGAAAGAAGAGTGAGTCGGTGGAATGCGTTGTGCACCTTGATGGACTCTCTCTCCCTCGCAGCCAAGCATCGTCCTTCCCGCTGTCATGTGTACGCGCCCACATTGGATGTGTCGGCGATGAGGTAATCGGGTGGGGAGCCCACGGTGAGTCGGTGACGTCCCATTCACTGCACATTTCACATGCCTGCCCTGTGCGCGGATTCACATCGTGACATTCACATGAGTAACGCAGACGAACAGACACCACCATCCGCAACTAAGACTCAACCTCAGCGACCTCACAAGACAATGGCGCAAAACGCGGACAAAATGCAGAACAAGCTCCTGCAGCGGCCTCTGTACATTTTCGACCTCCCCGAAGAGATCCTCTACACGCTTCAACTCAACACTCAGCCCGTCGCCGCGCTCGAGCCCGAGACAATCTCACCTCAACCACCGACTCCACCAGTGAATGGAGAAGACAACCAAGATGGCGGTCCATCACCGGCCACTTCCTGCAACCTCTGTAGACTCACTTTCCCCAGCTTGCTGGAGCAGAGAAGTCATGTGCGATCAGATCTACATGGTTACAACATCAAGCAGAAGATGCGAGGGAAGAAGGCGGTCGATGAGGCCGAGTTTGAAAGACTCGTGGGACAGTTAGATGAGAGCATATCAGGCTCGGATACATCGGAGTCAGACGATGAAGAAGAGGAAGAGAGGTCAAAGGACTCAACGCTAAGTGCACTCTTGAAGAGACAGGCCAAGATCACAGATGGAGATGCAGAAGATGCGCCGATCAAGAAGCGCAAGAGAGGGACGGGAAAGCCACCAATGCTGTGGTTCTCTACATCGAAGCTGCCCAGTAATACATCCCTGGGGGTGTATCGAGCGATATTCTCGCAGGAAGAGCAGGCCAACGAGAACAAGCTGGTGGAGGTCGTACAGCGCAAACAACTGGCTGCCAAGCCTCCTCCAAACCCGCAGCAGCAGAAGAGGCAGGAGAAGGAGCAAGAAGAGGATGGAGGTGTGCCCCTGCCAGCTTCCATGGTTCAGAAGGACACAAGTGCATCAGGGCCACATTATTTCCTCTGCATGATTGGAGGTGGTCACTTCGCGGGGATGCTGGTCTCTCTCACGCCCAAGCTCACCAAGAAGTCTGGTGTGGAGGACAGGGCTGCAACCGTAATTGCACACAAGACCTTCCATCGATACACTACGAGGAGAAAGCAGGGTGGCTCTCAGTCCGCCAATGACAATGCCAAAGGGAACGCACACTCGGCCGGATCGAGTATCAGAAGATACAACGAGACGGCACTAACAGAGGAGGTCCGCGCTCTGCTTAGCGAGTGGAAGGAGCAGATCGACAGTTCTGAACTCCTTTTCATCCGAGCTACCGGGAGTACGAATCGACGCACTCTCTTCGGACCGTATGAAGGACAGGTGCTGAACTCTCGAGATGAGAGGATACGGGGCTTTCCTTTCAGCACGAGGCGAGCTACACAGTCCGAACTCATGCGTGCATTCGTTGAGTTAACGAGAGTAAAGATTACTACTGTAGATGAGGCGGAAGAGGCACGAAAGCGAGTAGAGGCACAAGCTGCTGCTATCGCCAAAGCTGAAGCCGTGGCAAATGGAAAGCCCAGCACTCCAAAGCCTGCCAAGCCTTCGAAGGAAGAAGAAGAGGCTGCGCTACACACAACACAGCTTCAAGCTCTCATCCGGCGATCCAAAGCTCCTAGCATGCTCTCCTATATCCAGTCAAACAATCTCAGCCCCAACTTTCGCTTCGTTCCGGCGGAACAGAACCATCACGCTCCTACGCCGTTGCACCTGGCCGCTGCGTCGAATAGTGCTGCCTGCATCACTTCGCTTCTAGTGAAAGCTGGTGCAGACCCCTCGACACGAAACGGAGACGGCAAGTCGGCCTTTGAAATCGCTGGCGATCGTGCTACACGAGACGCCTTCCGTCTTGCGCGCTCACAAGTCGGGGAGGACAGGTGGGTTTGGGACGAAGCAGGCGTACCTTCTGCTCTCTCGCAAGCCGAAGCAGATGCTCGTACGACGCGCGAGAAAGAGGAGAAAGCGGCGGAGGATGCGGCTGAGCAGCAGAGACGACAGGCCGAAATGGAGCGACTTCGGAGGGCAGATGCTGAGAAAGAAGTTGCGGGTAAGGAGAAGAAATTCGGCAAAGGCCATGTCATGGAGAAGCCGAAGTTGACTGCTGAAGAGAGGAGGATGGAGGAAGCGAAAGGGATGACTGATGAGATGCGCATGAGGCTAGAGAGGGAGAGAAGGGCTAGGGCTGCTGAGGAACGGATGAAGAGACTGCAGGGGAGGTAGAGCTGGACTCCAAGAAGAAATCAACTGCCTGTGAAGAAAATGTGTCAAAGTTTCTCTCTTTCATGTGGTATTTCAGCCTCACGACGACCGGCACTGCACGCTCTTCACAACATGACCGACCTTGCAACTGGCCTCAAGATGCCTAATGGCTTTGGTCGGTTACCTCGGAGATTATGCATAACCTGACGACAAGTCCTGGGTAAAAGAATGTGTGTGCTGCGAGATCTAGGCGACACCGGAACTCGCGTGGCTGAAGAATGCAGCCGCCAGCGTGCAAGCGAGGCTGAGCAGCTTGCGTACATCCCACACTTGGGTAACACAGGGCAGGGAGCTGATAACGTCTTCAGCCTCTCTACTATCTCATCCTCAACTGCTCTGTCTCCAACACCGCATTCGACAAGCAGACATGGCTCAGGAAGTCGACTCTCGTGCGGCCGATGCGGCATGGCAGAACAGCATCTTCGAGCACAACAGCTCTTTCTACGGCGATGATCTTACCACGTACACTGAACAGCGAAAAGTCAGGCTTCTGGAAATCCAGCCCGCTGCCTTTGGAGAGCCTGTTTCTGGCGTCCTGACTACGGAGATACTGGAGCCTGATCTCGAGTACGATGCCCTCTCGTACGCTTGGGGCGTACAATCGTCCGTGTATGAGATCTCGATCAATGACAAGCCAGGCTTCCAAGTCGGTTACAACGTCCACTGTGCCCTCAAAAGGATCCGAGAAAAGGAAAGGCCTGTCAAATTCTGGATCGATTGCATTTGTATCAATCAGTATGACATCCGAGAACGAGGTCATCAAGTCAGCTTCATGCGAGAGATTTTCAGCTCCGCTTGGCAAGTGTGTTGCTGGCTTGGTGTCTGTACAAGCACGACTTTCGGTGTGGATGAGTTGGAAGAGTGTGACGACCACGCCATTACCGACCACTCCTCCTTTGACAAACATTCTTTGTCTTCTGGTGGCGATGAGTACCAAAGATCGTTTGTCTTGCATGTGGACAAGGAATCGTATCACTGGTGGGATCGGATATGGACGGTATGCACGTAGCATCAAGAATGCACTGCTCCGGCTATAGCGTGTTAATTGGTTCCGCAGTTACAAGAACTCTGCGTGGCGAGAAATGTTGTCTTTCTCGTAGGACCTCACCGGTACAATGAGCGGGCTTTTACCGACATCCTTCGTGACCTGGATTTCAACGTTTCGCTCAATGATCTTTTCGGGTTTACACGGAAACCCGAGTGGACACACATTGTAGCCATGCTGCAGTTCCGAATGTCGGCAAGGCAAGATTATTTCTGGCATCGTGACCCAGGCCTCCAAGAAGGAAAGAATACTTTATTGCATCTACTCCTTCGGACCGTGCCTTGTCAAGCTACAGATCCGCGAGACAAGCTTTACGCGCTATTTCCGTTGTGCCATCATGAACCGGCGATACCTCCAGATTACGGGGTATCTTGGAGCGATCTCTGCACGCAAGCAACTTTCTGGCTGCTGAAGGAGTCAGGCCTCGACCAGTTGATAATACGACAGTGGCCTTTGTACAAAAAGAATGCGCCATCATGGACGTTAGACTTCTCAGTGCCCCAATCGAGCCCTGTATACTTGCTTCATGAAGATGAGAGGTATTGGGTATGGGACTGGCAACAGATCAGACCAACGGGTCTTCCTCGAGAATCTGAGCTGGGTCTAGATGGCTCTCGTCTCCGCATCATGGCATCATGTCTGGGCCACGTCGAGATTCTAGCACCGAGCCGTGGCGATCATCCGGAAGGTAATTCACCGCCCCACGGCTCAAGCGCTGCAAGAGATAGCTTGGCTAGGTCGATCTACGCAGACTGGCGTGGCCATGTCACTCATCATTCCACTCTAGAGGAGCTCTTTGCGAGGGTTTGTAGGAGATCGAAGGAAAAAGGTAGTAAAGCAGGTGTCCCAGGGAGTAGTAAACCCCGTCAAGAATTGCTTGACAAATTGGAAGTATGGCTGCGATACTTATTGCAGAAGAAGATATTATTCCGAACCACCTCGGGCCATATTGGTGCGAGCCAAAGCGACGGAATCCGAAAAGGAGACGAAGTACATCTTGTGGACGGACTGAGATTTCCGGTCATATTACGACCGACCGGGGAAAAGGATTGTTATCGTCTGATTGGAGGCGCCTGCGTTCTGGGCGTGATGCACGGCGAGATGAGGGACTGCATCTACGAAGAAAGGCACAAGATGAGACAGATCGCTTTGGTATGAGCTCACTTTCCATCACGCTCCGGGTGAGGTGAGGTGAGGTTTCTCCAGGCCTCCGTTGGGGGCATGTGAAACTGGCCCGTGCGCAAGCGAAGTGAATGCATCTAGAAATCGTCACCTCGCTGCATGTTCCATATTCCATAGAACCTCCTTTACCTTCAGAGACCTCTTTCGACGGCCCCTTACGCCAGCTTTGCTTCTTAGCTAGTGAGAACCAGCCACCAACACGCTGTCGCCATGTCTGCTCGTGAAGCCACCTTGCGACAAGCCATTCTAGGAGAAAGCTCACTCACTTCCAAATTTCTTTTCAAATTCTGCAATTGGCGCTCTTGTGGTCCTCGTTCTCCCCGTGGAGATGGTGTGTCGCAATCGAGGATCCTTTGGACCTCAGAGGTCAAACTTCCTCCCTCCAAAGGAGCCCTCACCAGCTCCTGTGGAAGCTTCGTGGTCAGCAGCGGTGGCCTGCTTCTTGCGAAGAGCAGACTTTGCCTTTCTTGGTAGCAGGACCATCGGACCACACTCCTCCGCACGCTCGCTCGCTGTCGGCCTCCTCGGTGACGCGCTTCTTTAGAGTGAGTGGCCTTTGCCTTGATTCGGGTAGCGGTCGCTGTCGCGAATGTTGACACAATTAATTGTACGAAGGGTCACCGATTTGAGTAAACTCAGTATTGGTGGCCTTGGCGCTCTCGTCAGCCTCTGGGTCTATAGGCTTGTTTGGTCAGGAAGTCGGCCTTCTTTCTAAACCGATCGTAGTTAACGTCCTGTAGGTGAGACTTGAACGACATAAGAGGAGGAGGAGGAGGAGGAGGCTAGGGACTGCTCCATGGGCATGTGAATGGATTGTTGTCGTTAATAGGTGATGGAGGTGTTAGTGTTAAGTGTTATAGATGACGTGGGTAAATCTACCGGGCAAGGCGCAGCTTTAGGCTGGACAGAGGGCGATGGGTATAAGCAGCCTGAGGATAGGTGGTCAGTACTGATGGAGATATTGGTGGTCGTCGTCGTAGCTGATTGCCTTGGTCTTGTACACTGTACAGCTCGTCTGCCAAGTATCGATGGCGAAAATTAGATCAGCAACAAGTATACAACGTCTTTCGACGGCTTGCTGAGACTTTATCGTTGCTAAGCCCCAATCAAGTATTGGCAAACTTGGAAGAGGCGGAACTTGCTTTCCAATAGTCCATGTGGTGGATACGACGGCCTTAAGCATTGTATTTCGGTATACCCGGCTAAGCTGCGACCTACCTACCCTGCTTTACATTGCCTTCGATACCCTTTACAGCGTCTCTCACTTTCGGATCCCAATGCAAGCGCAATAACTCTCCTTCCCAGACCGTGCTCGCGAAAGGATTACTCTGCTCGGCTTCCTGGCTCAGTGGATCGAAAACGCCGTCGCCTTTCCGTTCTTCGGTGTGCCATAGTGCGGCAACTCTGCTACTATGCGTCTTGGTCACTGACCGCAGCAATTCCAGAACAGCGATGGCAGACTTTTGTGGCAGTTGCAGAGCGAGTGTCTCGAGTTGCTTGACGAAGGCCGCGACGCGGACAGGCGGGACGGACTTGGTGTTTGTCGGGGGCAACAGGACACTTTGCAGGGATCGAAGGAGGAGAACAGTCGTTGTGGCGACGTTGACTTTCGTGTCCTTTGACGTGGTGGATGGAACCTGGAGGCCATTTGGATCGTCCAGATGTGTTGTCTTGGCGCTAAGTTCGATATCCTGGTCCATTGAAAGCGGGATCAGCGTGCGATAGAGGTGTCGAATGAAGAACGACAGGTCCAGACTGAGTGCGTTCGCTGATTTGACAACATCAATCTGACCTTGGAGGAGCGCGAAAGCGGTGATGATGCAGAGCAGCGATTCTCTAGTCGCATTCCGCTGCATTGCCTGTTCGACATCTATTTCGTCCTCCGTTTCGTCTTCATCAGGTTGCAAAGCAGCTTCGGCTTCATTGATGAGATCCTTCAGTGCTTCCAGAACATCTCCGAAGAAGTCCTGGTTGATCAGATGGCTGTATTTGGCCAAGCCTTCCAAGACTGCTCCCATAAGGTGCTGTATTCTCTCCTTCAGAATCCGGAAGTACGCGACGAATACCAGCTTCAATGTCTCGGCTTGGTTCTTGTCGCGCTCTTCGTATGACACAGCAGCATCTGCCACCTTCATTTCTTTCTCAACCTCTTTTCGTTCGCGCAGCAACTTGCGCTCCTTCTTCGTCCTGAACTCCCTCTTCTGCTTCTGCTTCTTGGCCCCGTTCGTCTGCTCTGGCTCGTCTTTGTCCACTCGGTTGGGCGCAGCCTTGTGAGCGAACTCACTGAGCAATCTCAGATGCAGAAAGGTGTTCAGAACGCTCTCGTGAATAGCGTACTTCTTCCCTTTCATCATTTTCGTCAACTGGGTCACTACGTCTAGCGAGGCATGTCCTTCTTCGTCGTCCCGGAAAAGCTGCTCGATCGATTCTCTACACTTGACGAAGTCTGCGTCAACGTGTCGACTCGCCAATTTCCGTACCAGAATTCCTATCAAGTCGCCTCGGTTGTTGAAGTGCGGTATATTGATCAACAGCTCGCATGCGCAGAATATAGCAACACTCGCCACAGCCTTCGCAGCTTTCGGATCTTTCGCGTTTGGCTTCAAGACGGCAAGACTGGACAGGTTTGACTGATATGTCTTGTATCCACTCAACAATCCTTGCTCAAAAGTTCGCAGTTTCTTCACGTCTTTGGATACCTTCCCTGTCAAGTCTGCCTCCGAAAGCGGCCTTATCCGATATCCAGGTATGATGTCTTTGAATACCGACAGTTGCGTCTTCAACGCCAATTGCTTGACTGTAGCATTCTGCGAGTTTGCAATATCCGCCAAGGTCCCGAGTTGTCCGATGTGATCCTCCGGATTCTCGCTCAAAGACTGCGCTATCCGCGCCAGGTCTTCCATCGCCTGTCTGATCTGCTCTTTCGCCGGTATCTGGGGCTTCTGCGGTGTCTGGCTGGGATGCAGGTCTGCGACACCGCTGTCGCCATCTTCTCCATCATCGCTGGCCATGAACCTGTCCTCGTCGTCTTCTCCATCCTCTTGCTCTTTCTGCTCCTCTACTCTAGGATTCTCGACAACTCGACCCTCGGCAGTCTTGATCATCAGCTTGTCCTGCTTCTTTTCCTTCTTTTTCTTGCGGGCCTGTCGGTTCTCGTAGTCCTGTTCCAAGTCCCAATTCGCGAAGCCCGGTACGGATGCGCCGCCTTTGCCATTTGGACTCAACCGCCTCTTCTTGGTCGCTGGTTCCGCCATGATTCCCTCTCCACGTTTTTTCCCTGGAAAAAGAATTGTTAGGCTGAGAATTGCAGGAAGAAAAGATATTGCAAGATCGAGTCTCGGGCCAAGATTTCGCGCGGATCCAATTCCGCCCTACTCCAAAATTTCCCTGACCTTCACCTCCACATGCGCTTCCTCCAGCAACAAGAACACAAGAATTCCACCAAAATGCGTCCCTTGACAGACACCGAGACCAAGACACTCTTCGAGAAACTCGCAAACTACACCGGTCGCTCCCTCAACAACCTCCTGACCGACACCGCGCCCTCCAGTGCCAAAAACTCCCAACCCGATCGCTACGTCTTCCGGATCCAAAAAGACAGAGTCTACTATGTGCGAGAATCCCTCGCGAACCTCGCGACGTCCGTAGCGCGCGACAATCTCCTCTCCCTCGGAACGTGTCTCGGAAAGTTCACCAAGACGGGGAAGTTCAGGCTACACATCACGGCACTGGATGTGATTGCGCCGCATGCACGGTATAAAGTGTGGGTCAAGCAGAATGGGGAGATGCCGTTTCTGTACGGCGGACATGTGGTGAAGGCGCATGTCGGCAGGTGGAGCGAGGATGCGCCGGAGCATGCGGGTGTGCTGGTGTTGAGCATGAATGATACGCCGCTGGGCTTCGGAGTGACAGCGAGGGCAACAGCGGAGGCGAGGAAACTGGATCCGACGGGGATTGTTGTCTTCCGACAGGCTGATGTGGGAGAGTATCTGCGCGAGGAGGGCACGCTGTTCACAACATGAGGGACCGTCCGGGAAGATGAGCAACTCGCAGATGCAATAATTGCTGGCTGCAAGACGGATCAATTAGTCCAGAAACCCGAGTGGACTGCCTGTGGGCATTATTTCAGACCTTCAACAAACCTTGGATGGTCAACGGCGACCCGACAATAATGCAATGCTGGTATCGGAAAAACGAGACCTACAGTCCCTACCGGCTCAGTCACGATCTACTTCAAAACTCGAACAGCGGGATTGAAGACTTTTCTACGAGAACGGAAGATGGGAGCTCGTCCGTCAGAGCCCCAGCCCGGTCCCCTCAAGACTCGACCAGCGTCTCATAGCCGACATTGACCAACCGCAGCTGCGCGAACAAAGTATGAAGAGAAATCATACACTTCCAGGAGAACACAGGAGAGCAAGCAAAGCTATACTACATCAATCCACAGCCTTGCCTCCGCCCCAAATTTCTCAACCCCTTCCACCTTCTCATCTACTTCTCCGTCTTCTTCTTTTCCGCCTTTCCCACATCCTTTGCCGTCCTCTCCGCCACATCCCCCAGACTCGAGATCCCCTCCCCAGTCTACCTCGCCCCACTGCCGAGGCTTTGTTGGGGGAGAGACCTTGGGGTATTGTGTTGTTATATATCGTACGATACGGGTACAAAAAGTACTACGAGGAGATAGATGGATTGGCTTGCTCGACAGGAATAGAAATAGGAATAGGGATAGGAAGGAAGGAAAGGAAGGAAAGGTGTTGCTTGGATGGGTTAGGTTAGATGAATGAAAGTAAATGAAATGCGACTTGACTTGACTTGACTTTCTGCAGGCGAAAATCAAGAACAAGAACAAGAACAAGAACAATAAGACTAATCCTTAGCAGAGAGCACTCACTGTATATATCTATGTATTCCACAGACATGTACGAGAGCGAGAATCAGGGTAGGACTTCTCCTGTAGAGCTGTACAATAATGACGACAGCAAGGCAGATCGATATTCCTCCTTGTGATCATTACTGACCATCAGATCTACTTCCTACGATAAGCAAACAAGAAAGGGAGGTAAGGTGAGTGAGAGGATGGGATGAGCAAGAAGGGCAAGGATTCGTATTGCATTGCTGTACGCTTCCTGAACTCCTCTCTATCGTTTTGGTGTGATGAGCTAGCTACATCCACCTGGAAGCTAGGCTAGCAGTGCGCGCAACGCAATTGCCCGAAAATGGAAGCTGCCTGCTTGCTTCGTTTCTCCCTCCTCGTCAAAAGCCTTGTTCTCCTCTACTTTGTGCACGTGTCATGGTGAACACGTTGCTATCGACCGACGGACTTCGTTCGTCATGCTCTAGGTAGCGTGCTTGCTTAGGCGAAGATGGGGACTTGCACGCCGTACTGGGAAGAGAGTCAGCATCATCTCGTGCACGTCGACTTCTGCTGGATATCGTGTGTTCACTCACGTTGAGCGGGTTGTTGAACCGCAGTCCCTTATCCAGGCCGCTGATCTGCTGCACCTCCGAATCCGAGAGGTTGAACGAGCACACGTCCAGATTCTGCGCAAGGCGGCTTTGGTTGTTCGACTTGGGGATCACGGCGATACCTCGCTGAGTGGCCCACCGCAGAAGGACCTGTGCAGGGGTCTTGCTGTGCTTGTCTGCAATGCTCTTCAGGGTGTCATGTTCAAAGAGAAGAGGAGTATCCTTCGCCTTTTGCATGTTCAGCTCCAGGAAGGATTGCGGTCCGAAAGAAGAGTACGCAGTCACGGCGATCTTGCGGCTCGCACAGAGGTCCAACAAGTCCTGCTGCACGAGGTAAGGGTGGTGTTCGATCTGGAGGGCCTGGGGCAGGTGCTTGGCGTAGCGTTCGACGTCCAGGATCAAGGAGCCGGTGTAGTTGGAGATACCGATGGACTTGATGAGACCCTCGTCGTAGAGCTCCTCCATGGCATGGTATGTCTCCTCGAGTGTAGCCTTGCTGAGGGAGAGCTTGTTGTTCTCGTCCATGAAGCCCGGCGGGTAGCGAACGGATGGGTCGACGTACTTGAGGGCGATGGGGAAGTGGATGATGAAGAGGTCAAAGTAGTCAATACCCCAGTCTGCAAGCTGCTTCTTGCAGATGGGCTTGACGCGCTCCTTGTCGTGGAAGGAGTTCCTTGGTTTGGGTTTAGCCAAACTTCCGGCCCTTCACTTGCTCTGGGATGGGGGACTCACCAGAGCTTGCTGACGAGGAACAGGTCCTCGCGCTTGACGATGCCCTCCTTGATGGCGCGGGCAACACCCTCACCGGCCTCCTTCTCATTACCGTAGTCGCAGGCACCGTCAAAGAGGCGGTAGCCAGTCTTGATGGCGTTGTAGACCTGATCGGCGCAGGTGTCGTTGTTGACCTTCCACAGTCCGAAGCCGACGAGTGGCATCTGTAGATTGCAAGTCAGCTCTTGCTCTCTCATCTTCATGTCCACGTCGCTAGCCGAATTTTTGCTCACCTGCTTGCCATTGTTCAAGGCGATCGTAGGAGAAGTCATGACGGCGTATGTCCTCGTGCTAGTGAAGTTGAGGTGTTGATTGCACTGCTGAAGCCTCACGAGTCGTCGAATGGGTGTTGGTGTCGAGGTCGGAAAAGGTGTCGTTCGAGTAGAGGAAGCAAACCGAGCCGTAGCCGATCTTGTTCACGTGTCAGTAAACCAATGTGAAGCGGTAGTTATCGATGGCGGACGGCAGGAAAGAGCTCGGGGACGTACCTTCTTATGATACCCACCACACAGCTCATGTGAGGAAAGAACCCAGCCGGAGTGGAACAAGTGGCAACCTGCGCAAGCTAAGGGAAACAGAAGAGAACAATTTTTTCCTGAAAGTGCTCTCCCAGGAAGTAATCTCTATTTACGCCCCAGTCAACAGCGCATTCCGGCAGAATACAGCCCATCCTCCACGCAGGGCTCTCGCCAGAGCTGCCACTTGCAACTCCGTCATTGGGCCCGTCTGCCCCACCATCCGCAAGGTGCAGTGGAGGACCCTGCCTGCATGTCGCGCCAGAGCTTGACCACCCGGCTAAATTGCCATCAGACGGGAAAATGCAGCAAGAGATGCCACTCGGAGCGCACTATCCAACCAAACTCATTGGCTCTACCCTCCGAACCATGGGCCCGTCCACGCCAGATTACGCCGCAAAACGTGGGTCGATGCCATGCATCAGGAAGCCGCTGCCGGGAGAATCCAGAGGCCTGCATTCACGGCATCACGATAGCGGCACGTGGGAATGATAGTGTGAGAAAGGGCCGAACCTCGTGTCATGTCCTTGGCAGGAGATTGCATGTTTGGTAAGAGTCTGATTATGCAAAGTCGGTAGAATCTGGTTGCTGCGTGGAGACTGTTCTCGTCCAGATACTAATGAGATTGGTTAATCACATACAAGAAAAAACACTCCATCCTCATAGGCGAGGTTGGTTGTTCGAGGGATTTCCCTGCGCCTAGAACGCCATACTTTTCTCCCAATCCCTTTCAATCCGTCCCGAACCTCCACTACGAAGAGAATCGCTTGGTGAATTTGGCAATGACTGCGGACCCGTTAGCAGATTCCTAGCAGGGTCCAAGGTAAAAGGTGTCCCTACTGTGAAGCATCACCACAGAGATGATGAAACCAATCGAAAGCACCATCACGACAAACGGGTCGACCTTGAGACCGGGCGATTCATCCGTGTAAAGCCCTGTTCACAACACACGATATCAGCATCTTAACCAAAGACTCCACTTCTCCCATTCTCGCATTCTCATGATCTTGCCCAGGAGTACGTTTAGAGTACGTTTACGTACTCAACATTGTGCTGCTGCTTCCACCGGCGCCAGCAGAGCGCGTGCTCGTTGGCCGTGCATTTGCGACCTTGTCTGCTCGGTCTGCCGCAGCCTTTCGTCGGATCGCGGTTGCTGGTCCACCGGGTGGCTTCGAAGCTGGGCGCGCAGTCGTCGAGCCGGTCGTAGGGGAGTTGACAGGAGAGGCAGGTCTTGGAGAGGACTTTGGGGCATTGCCATCAGCAAGGCTCAGGAACAATAAGATACTTGAAAGCAAGCGCTCGTGGCATCGCGTCTGGTTCGTGCAGGCACGAGATCGGACATCTCGAAGTGCTCGTCCACCGCCGTGGTTGTGCTGTGCGGGAAGTGTTCTTACCATTTTGAATGATCGTACTGGGTTATCTGTTTCCTGCGATCGTTTTCGGTGAACCAGATGTAGTAGCCGGGTGATGCGTGCAGTCGTGGAGATGTGAAATGGTAAATTCCATATCCAGGAGCTATTGAGGACACGCTGCAATCCTGGAGCTCGGTCTCGGCTTCGACGGAATAAGCCGCTAAGTCACGTGTCGGCAGCACGACTTGCAAGCCTCCATCGGACAAGAACATGAGAGAAAGTAGAGAGGCTGATGTTGCGGACCCGAACACATATTTTCATAATTCCATCAGAAGCCATCCGTCCCATTCAGTGTGGTATTATCTGCGACAAGAACCTGCCCCATAATCCAGATGTTGGTATATTGAAACCCTCACGTATCCACGAAATCAACTCCAACCCAGTGCTGTGCCATCCCCGCCTCCATCAGAACAAGAAGACGGGTGAATATATACCGGTTTCCAAAAACCAAGCAAGACTCCTTCCGCATGAACGCTGGGGGGAATATTGTTGAAACGACTGCTCTCCATCCATCCATCCGTCCGCCCATCCATCCGGCGCAAATGCAGCAAGACAACGCATCGCAACTCCTCCAAAACACGATAAGCAGGGACTGATGAGCACTCCAAATCCTTCTCCCGCCATGATTGCCGTTTGCAGGCGATTTTCTCAGACACCGACTGTGAAAATGCCATCCATGCCCAGCCCCGATAAGTAAATAACAAAACTCCACTCGCTAACCAGGCGTCATAACAATAGCATGATGCCGCACATCGACTCCTTTCCTGTCTTTCTGGGAGACCTGTTCTTAGTAGCGTTTCCTCGTCCCTTTAGATCCCCGTGGGATCCGCATCTCATGGATGATTTCTCCAGGCATTCTAGCCCCAGACAGACGGCTGGGCAACCAAAGTATTCTTGCCAGAGCCCCAGACGCCACTGTTGCTGCCCCAGTTTCCGAGACCTGCGACGCCCTTCTCAGCACCAAGTGCCGGGTTGGAAATCGCAGACATCGATCGTTCGTCCTTGGCCTGGTTCGTGACTTGGCGGTCGCTGGCGTTGAAGCCGAAACTCAGTGACGATGGTGCTAAAGGCGTGATGGAGCGCTTGTTCGACCCAATGGCGGCTCCTCCGGGTGCTTGGGCTGGTCGAGTGCCAATGGGCGCGACGCCGCTCATGCTGCCTTTCGGTCCTCCCGTGAGAGGAGGCGATGCGCCGGGCGAGGAGGTCGAGGTGCGGCTGCTTTGCTGAGCCTCACTCAGTCGCCCGAAAGCCTGCTGAGCTGACGGGTTAGAGACGGGAGACGCGGTGCTTTCAGCGCGGTCGCGCGGTGGCATCTGAACTGCACCTTCTGCACCAGCCTGAGCTTGCACACCAAATGGGTCGTAAGCCAGGGGTGATGGTCCCCTGCCTGCGCTTGAGACTCGCACGTCTTGGCTGGAAGATCGCTGAGAACCGTCGGCATTGTAAAGACTCGAGTTGTCGCCGTAGAGAGCGCGATGCTGACGCGCGATCAGTTCGCGGCGGTCCTCTTCGTTCATCGTCGCTGGGCTCATCGAGCGATCGGACGTGGCACCTGACACAGCTGGTTAATGATTAGCCTCGCGCAATTGCTGCGCATACGACCTCACTTTACTCACTCCGGTTGTACTGCTGCTCCTGGTGGTAGTTTCGCAGCTCGCGTTCCCTCTGAGCAGCCATTCTTCGCTTCGCCTGTAGCATCTGCTCTGCCTCGCTCTGCCGTCCACCGGGGAAACGCTGACCCTGGTAGTAGCCTTGCAGCCCAGCAGAGCCTGGGCGTCCGCCTTCATACTCACTTACGGAAGCGTGTCGTGGGCGAGCACCGCCCATGCGAGGGTCGGAGCTGTAGTCCAGTCCGCGTCCCGCCCCCGGCATGCTCTCTCTTCGCCCTGGCGCACCGGGGGCGCCACTGCCGGCCACGGGGGCCACCTGCCACTTGCCACTCTTCATGAGATTGTCGGTTGCACGCTGAATCTCCTCGAATTGAGATGCGAAGGCATTCGAGTCGGACTGGTGTGAGGCAGCGGATGCGGTCCCAGAGCGCGATGGAGGCGGCTGTTGCTCCCACGAGGGTTGGCGGCCGGCGGCAGACCAGGCGTTGTCGTTGTCGTAGAATGAAGACATGTTGGTTGTAACGGGGGGCAATGGCAAGATATCGGGTCGGATTAGGGTATTCGGACCGGCGCTGGAACGCAAGGAATAGGCAGATATGATATCGAAAGTCGTTGGCTGTAATGGCCGTCAGTCGCAGGATGAATGCGGCAATGCGTGCGGGTCGCGAACAATGCGACGGTTGTGGGAGGATTGGAGTGGTGCGGCGCCTTGTAGTCCGTGTCGGGACTGGGTGCTGGCGCAAAGGGTTTTGCAGACCAGGCAGGCAGGCGTTGGGCGGGCTGGGCTGGGCTGGTATACGTACCTGCTGTGTACACAGGGCCAGGCTCGGGCGACGGAAGGGACGAAGGAGTGACTGGGCCTCAGGACAGAGATGGCGACGGGCCTGGGATGGGCGAGAGGAGGACGAGCGTGGAGGGGAACGAAGGGAGCGAGCGCGCGGTCGAGGAGAGGAGAGGATAGGATGGGATGGGATGGGATGGGATGGGATGCATTTTCGTCTCCGCTTCTGCTCCCTCTGGCGCTCGGCCGTGCATCTCAAATTTCCTAGCCGAGCGTTGGCCCACTGTTGGCCTCCGCTGCGTTCGGAGATTAACCGCATCTTTTTCATTCACTTACATTGGACGACGTCGCGACTTGTTGCCTCGCCCATTATTATTATTATTATTTGCTTCTCTTCATCAGCCCTATGGACGACGTGCGGTCTACAGTACATGTACGGTCTACGGCATGCGCGCAGTGCAACACCACCGATTGTCCGACACGCGAGAAGCCGTGACGATGCTTCGCCCGCCAAGCTTTTACCCTTGCCGGCACCAGAGCGCGTGAAAGGGAGAAATCGCGAGGCTCGCATCCCCCGATTCGCGCCACTCGACTGCCTGCCTCCTCTGACTCGGCCATCTACAACGGAACTCTGAACCACCAATGCACATGATCTCCGCAGCCGCTCGACGACATCACCGTTCATGTGCGCTGCATGCTTTCTTGATAGCTCCTCCCTCCCGACCCCGCGCGACCTCGGGAGATAGCCGTGACAGCACGACATCTCACACACCATGACCAATCCATGCGCCGCGTCTCCAAAAGCAAACTTCCACGGGCAGCGTGCTTCTTCTCGCGACATCGACCTATTACCCCTCTCCATCGAATACACTCGATCCCGCAGATCTTACCGAGACGACAGACTGCCGCTCGGCTTGAGGCGAGAGCACAGAGCACAGAGCACAGAGCACAGAGCACAGAGCACAGAGCAAGATCAAGATCCCCGATGCGGCCCGCGCTCCGCTGTCACCTGACGGGCCGTCCTGCCAAACTCTTCTCCCATGCATGCTCTCTCCTCTGACATCATCAGCCTCACTACATGTACATGTACCTTGGATTTCCTTCCTTGCATGTTCAAACAACATCTGTTCAATCACTCCGAGGACACGCATGTCAGTGCAACGGGGAGCCTGATCAAGCAACTTCTCAACAACCCAGTGCCACCCATTCGTGGCTCTGTGCCTCTGCGGCTCAGTCTGTTGTGCTCGTTGAGCGCACGACACTAACAACCATAGTGTTGGAATCATGCGTTTCAGCTCGCTGCACGATGCGACTTCTCAAGCCCATTCGACCATTCATCTCTTGAGGCCGACGATGGCACTTACCCCACCAAGTGAAAAGATGATCTACTGGGGTAGCCGTCACGCGCTCCGCCCTTGCGCAGTCGCACACCTGTCTTACCTGAGACCGCTGCAGTGGGAAGGAAGGTGACGACTTGTTTTGTTTGTCAAGCGCGCGCGCGCCTACCTCAGTAGATGGGGTCGCGTGTGCCCTTCATACGCAGAACAGCTAAGTTGTCTGTGATGGCAGTTCACCGTATTCCTCGTACCTCATTTCCATTCGTATCTTGAGTACAACCATGGAAAAGCTGCCGAACTTCATATCTCTGCCGCTGGAGATCCTGTTCGAGATCACGGACCACCTGCCGACATCGTCAAAGGTCGCTCTCAAACTCAGCTGTCGAACATTCTTCCTCGCGTTGCCCGATCCGCCTTCCGATTGGCTTCAACACACCACATCGTGCGAATGGCAAGCAGGGCGCCGATATATTGAAGAAAGAAAGGAGCTCGAGTATGGTACGATATACATCTCAATCCCGACATGCAAACGACACCATCGGGGGGGGGGACCGTCCGCTGCCTTGGAGTCGAGGGCTACTTGGGGCCCGAATTGGCTGACTTATCTGTCCGGCAGGCCGACGCAAGTGTGTACTCTGCGGGATCAAGGAAAGACCCCATCGATTCCGTGCCGACGCGCCGATTTGCATGAACCATCAATCACGCTTCCTGAGCTGTGACATTCCGCCGCTCGTTGAGGGAGCTTTGAGGGCGCGGTTAAGGAAGCTCACGCGGACAACCTCAACCACCTTCTGGGTGGCGCTCACCAGGACTTATTGCGTACATGGGAGATCGGCAAGCTTTTCTTTCCCCCATCTACCCATCTTGCAAATCTGATTGACGTCAAGGTTCTCAACTTCGTCACGACATCGCGCTGCTGCGACTGCGATTCCTGCGGTCATTTTCCGGTTCGTTGCTACGTGCGCATCTCGAACCGTCGAGATCCTCTACCCAGTCGGTCGGAAGTAACTCCCGGTGGCCAGTATGTGAACGAGGAGCACGTTCGTTGGAGAGCGCCGTACTTGGGGTTCTCATGCGATGGGACGGATAGATACGGATTCGTGGACGCGCCGCAGTCGTCGAAGTACGAAATGGTGCCTATTTTCGAATTGGAACACGGAGAACTTGGTCGTTGAAACGCTTTCGTGATCGTGGAGATCATATCCCACTTGGAGAAGAGCTATCGTTAGGCATTAATAACATACCAATCCTTCGTCAACTGTCAGAGTCCCTGCATCATGGCCTCCTTCTCGGGATCCGGATGTGGACTTCTCCTCCATTTCTTCGTCTTTCCGTCCCATCTCCTCGTCAACAGCTTCTTCTTCTGCTCCATCTCCATCTCTTTCCCGAACCGCCGCATACTCACGGCCAACGCACCCTGCGCAACCGTCATGGCAATCCAAAGCCCCACCAAGACGAGCTGTACCGCACCCAGCGCCATTTCACATCTCCTCCGGTTCGCACTCTCCTCTTGCATGCCCCAGAGATTCTCCCTGTGCCATTTGACCGATGTCACGATGTCGTGTCTGGAATTCTCGGGGTTCCAGATGATGGGTTGGTGGGAGGCGCTGCTGCTCGGCGTGGGGGCGTAGCAGAGGTGGTTGGCGTCGGTGAAGGCTTCGAGGAGGAAGTGCAGGAGGAGGAAGCGGGAGAGGGTGGAGAGGAGGGTGTCGATGAGGAGGAAGTGGGAGAAGGAGGTGATGAGGGTGGGGCGTTTCTGTGGTGGGGAGGGAGATGTTGTTGTCAGCTGAGAAGAAGGAGAAGGAGGGGGAGAAGGAGAAGAAGAGGTTTGGGATTGGAGCGTACCAATACGATGCCCGCGAGACCACAGACGCTGAGGATGGTTCCTGCCCAGGCGTACAGGGATGTGGATAGGCCGATGTAGAGGGGATCATGGGGGAGGTAGGTTGCGCTTGCGAGGGCGAGGAGGATGTTGTAGAGGAATGTGAGGAGGGTGGTCGTGATGGGGAAGTATGATGAGGTTCGCTTTGGTGGACTACATGGTTGTTAGTTACAGTACCTACACATGCGAGAGGTGTGGTGGTTGTAGTGTGAAGCTCACCTGTCGTCGGGATTTGCAGCTCTCCGCCCCGCCATTTTTATGCCGGCACACCGGCTTGCTCGCAACCCAGTAGTAGTAGCCAGCTTTGGAGCTGGATCCTTGGATTTCCGAATATCGCGTGTCGTGTCGTTAGATGTTTAGAGTCGTCGCCGAATTCCAGCAGCGACGATTGAAGAACGATCGATCCCAAGGAATCAAACCGGAACTGAAGGGACGGGAAAGACGGACGGCGCGTGAGAAGATGGCCTGCGCGTTCTCCCGGACGACGGCGGGCGTGGATGCAGATGAGATGTGACGATGTGTATGTAGTATGCTGACAAAACACTTCCGAATCAATCAATCAATCAATCAACGTTCTTTGATGATAGCAGTCAGTACTGAACAGCAGCAGCAAGCAGAGAAAGAAGAAGTTTCATCAGAGAGCAAGGTAGGTATCTAGATATGATAGGCACATGGCGAGCGCCTACTCTTTTCATCATCAATCAATTTCTCTCTCTCTCGAAATTCCCTCTCCTCGCTTTGTAGGTAGGGACTCGGGAGGTGATGCAATACGTTCGTGCACAAAACGGATCCCGCGTAACTCCGTGGACCGTTGGAAGGCAAAGCGAGCCGGTGCTGTGAGCACACGACTACTGATTCCGAGGCATCCGGTGTACAGGCGCCTGACCACACACCGTCCATTGCTTGCTTCCAACGACGGAACGGGATAGAGGCAAGAATGGAATGGGGCATCACGAAGATGACTCTGCGTCTTGGCTATTGCTATTGCCCCGGCTCTTGGAGCTTGGAGTGGTGATTGGTCCCAGTCACTTTTCGTCGGTCTCGTGGTGTCGTGATGCGCCGGTCGACGAGCAAGAAATCAGGGGAAGCAAGAACGTCCGCGGAGCAAGACGATGAAATCATTCATCATGGTTCGGAATTCAGAGTCTAAAGTGTGTGTTGGCTGATCTTTGACGTTTTCATTCCATGTGAGCGAGTCGCTCTCCACCGACACCGACCCCGAGACGAGACGGGGATTTCTCGCTCTTTTCGCGTCGTGTCGCGTGCCTGGCCTGGCTGGCGAGCAGCGTCATTGTCAGCAGCCCAGCCAGCAGCACAAAACATCCTTCTGCCAAGATGCAGCACTCGGCCGGAACTGCACGCGTGCTTGGATCCGAATGGAGTTCCGTGCTGTGGTGCGACTTTCTTCTCCGCCGCCGATGGTTCGAGGGTATGATCTCGCAGAAAATCTTGTTTGTTTCTCATCATCGCTTCAGATCTGTTCTCCGCATTATTGCCGTGGATCGACCGTCTCTTCTTCTTCGTCGAGATCTGACTGGTCCCTTCACTACTACTTCTTCTTCTTCTTCTTCTTCTTCCTCCGCGGCAACTTCTCCTCCATTCTGGCCAGATGCATCTCTCCGATATGGGAATGGAGCTTGGTGGTAACAAAACTCGCAATTGAGAGCTGCTTGGCCCGCCTCTGCGATACCGCGAGTCTCCAGGTCTTGCTCCATCGATGATTCCGTCATCATTGGTTTGACTCGCGCACGGGCCACTGTCACATGCTCACCTGCAGCATGGTGAGGTGACACCTCACCTCACCTGGTGTTTTTGGATACTATTAACTTATTTGCAAGACTTGAGTGTTTTCTGAACTACCAATGTCCTCTCATGCCACTGACCCCGGACAACTTGCTCCAGATTATCTCAATCAAAGTCTCGGCGCGATATCCTGATACGCAGGCTCATCAATGTACAGCGCCTTTACCTCTCTTGGAATCTTTCCATCCTTGACAAACATCATCCTTTCCTGTTCATTTCCTAGTTTCCCCTCCTCCCACTTTCATGCATCGATCCTGGCTTTCTCTTCAAAACGTACCAGTCTCTCATCGTCCAAAGCTCCGTGATAGGCGATCCGATCTGAATCTTGGGGCCAAGATTGTCACATCGAGCATTTTGTTGCGTTACCTCCTTGCCCTCCGCTCTCTCCACGAGCAAGCGCAAAAGCTTCATAGCGGCAATCGCGTCCCGTTGGGCACGATAGTCCACACATGATGGAAATATTTTAACTTCGAGTCGCCATGCTCACTGATGATCCACATTGGAATGTACAGCATGCGCGCGATGCTCGCCGCTACATCAAGCTCGAACGCCTTGCCGACCAGCCCCTCTCAACGGTCATCCCATAATCCAGAGTGACATTGGGCGCCCCACCTGCATAGGCTCCCCTCACGTCGCAACCTGCCTCGACGAATTCCTCGGTTGGGAACAGCCTCATGAGCATTACGTTCTCTCACTTTTTCACTCGAAGATTAGACACTCGCCGAGGCAGATCTCAACAGCGTCGCCGTATTATCGATTCAGATACCTCCTCGAACCCAGCCGTGTGCAAAGAAACCGCATTCTTCGGCCGCAAACAAGTCGTACGGACAACGTTGACATGGGAAGGAAGCACCCTCTGGAAGGACTAGGCCCAGGAAGAGAAAAATTTCTCTGTCTGCCCTCCTGCAGAGCCTAGGAAATACATGCAATCTCGCCACCTTTTCGCCCTGCTCTGCTCTGCCAGAAATCGGCCGTATAGAAGAGACAAACATTCCGCGTGCCATTATTTACCTCTATAGAATTCAAGCGGTCTATAGAATCAATCGCAGCAACCGTATCGAATGATGTTCCTCTTGGAGCCGCTCGACCCAATACAGTACCGAAATGAAAAATCGCGGGCCTTTAAAGCTCCTTCCTAGCTTCCCTCCTCCTCTTTGTGCACTGTCGTACAGCCTCTTTTTCTGGATCCGTTGTCTGTCGATCGAGTGAGTCCTCGAACACATTCGGAATGGTACGTGTTCATCTTTCATTCTTCTAACGGAGCCCTTGAGGGCCATCATTGGGTATGTCGATCCCAGAACCAATTGATGTCCTGAGTCTGTTCCTCCTCCTCCATGTCGACCTTTCGTCTTGTTTTTTTTTCTTGGCTTTGGGCCGTCTTGGCCTGTCCCTCTTGACGTTCCAGGGCCATGATGTTTCGCGAGACTTCTGGGCCGGTGAACTTGGCTGGGTATGAGCCAATCAAAAGTTGCTTGCACAGCTGCGGATTTATATGTCCTTTAGCTTGGTCCTTGACGATGGCGAAGACGGGTCACAGATAGCTGGGCAGTATCAAGACAGAATGTCGAGACATTCGCAACGACATCGCGAGCGAGAGGCCAATCCTTCTAGCCTGCAGACGTGTCAGCGCTTGAATCTCGATCCACTTGCAAGACACTTCTCAGACATGAGGGAGACTATGCTCGGAGAGAAACGCGACAAGACTTAGGGTGAAATTTGCCATCCATTGCTATTCCTAGCCCATCCGTTCATCAAATGCCATACAGAGAAAACTTGCCACAAGGAGAAAAAGGGACGAAAGCCGCCTCTGCGAAACATGAACATCCCAGCTGGGGTATCAATCATTCAAACGAAAGCCGCATCGCGGCAGCCACACAGAAATCAATTCTTCCCTGTAAAATGTGTCATTCTTCCACCACATGCGATACGCTCAAAGATCAATCAAACTTCCAGATTGACCACCTTGCTGTTGTGGCGGCCTCGAGCCGAACGGGTTATTTCCTCCAAAACCGCTCGCCGGCCCCGTCTGAGCTGGGTATTGTTGCGGCGCTTGGCTAAAGAAGGGATTGTTGCCCGTCTTTGCGGCTTCCAAACGGCCCATTGAGCCGCCTCCTGCGGAATTGACAAAGGTACCAGGTGCGGTATGTTGAGCGGGAATACGCAGATCGCCGACGTTTCCGAATGTATCCTGACCTTCCCCAGACGAGAGCAAAGCATTGAGCTTGGCCTGGTAAGGATCTTGAGGGGGTTGTTGCGGGCGGGGCTGAGGAGCAGTCTGCTGCGGCTGCTGGACTGGGGCTTGAAAGTTTTGAATTGGGTTAGGTCGAGTGTTGAACTGATTCGTTGCTTGTTGCTCAGCCAGCGTGCTGAGCGTGGGCTTGTTACCGAAGGGCGACGCTGTCTGACGCTGCTGAGTGTGAGTCGCGAATGGGTTATTCGAACCAGTTGGCTGTGCGCCGATCAGCGATTGCGTCTGATTAGATGATGCCCATGGGTTGTTCGACCCAGGCTGCGCGGTGGGCTGTTCCTGGATGGGCTGCTGTTGTTGTTGTTGCTGACCAAAGCCATTCATTTGGCTGCCCCAGGGATTGTAGGTGTTCTGGGGTTGCAAGAACTGCTGATGCGGCTGCTGCATTTGCTCGAAACCAGTTTGTTGGGGCTGCTGATATCCAAACCCGCCACCATATCCGTTCTGGAAAGCAGTTTGCTGTGGCTGGATGCCTGTGGGCTGGCTGTATGCATTGTCGTAGTATCCGGTTGGCTGGCCCTGCACTGGATTGCCGAACCAGTCTACCTGCGCTTGTTGCTGATATCCTTGGTTGAATCCGGTGGGCTGCGATGTCTGAGCTGGCGTATCGTCGAAAAGCAGATCGGCCTGTTGTTGGTCCTCCAATTGACGTCTCCTCAACTCTTCCTCTTCCTTGCTCAACTTGATAGCTTTGGCAAGATCGTCGTCGTTATCAGCAGGTTGAGTCTTTGCTCTTCGCGCTGCGTCAGCCTCAGCCTCGTTCTTGGACGCTTCCAGAGCAAGCTTGTACTCGAGATCGTCATCGTCATTGGGCTCACGATTACGTCGATCTCTGTGTCTTCGCTGCTCGTGGGTAGGCTCGCCGCCGAGTCCAAAGTCTTCCAGTCCGGTGACTCGCGACTTCCAAGATCCGCGGTTCTGTCTTTCGGCGCGAAGACGCTCTTCGTCCAGGATCAAAGATGTCAATTCTTTCGCTGAAGCGCGAACTATTCCAGATCAGCATGCGCCATCCAACGTGTTTTCATGAAACTTACTGCTCGCGCCAACGTCTCTGCCGTCCTCATCGATGTGCATGAATTCGCGCAAGGTCTTGATGATGTAAATGTTCTTCCGCGCCCATGTGACCACCAGTTCTGAGCCCTCGTGCAGGCAGTAGTCCAGCACCTTCAAGCTCTTGAGTACGTGTCGCCAGTTCTTGCCCTTGTCGTTCAGTCGCTTGTCGAGCATATCCATCACCTCGTAGAAGTCGGTGGAGCTACCGTTTGTCAGCGCATACTGCAACGCGTGGTCCGGACACAGCATTTTATGTATCCGTATCCCAGCAGCATGGCTGCGATGAGCACATCATACTGAGTCTGCAAATATCGGCGTACCTGTTAAAGGTGATTTTGGCAATATCTGCCATATCGGTCCCGGTGGGACCCCATGGATCGTTACTCGTCGCTGTCCACTATTCAGCTACATGCTCAACATCTTTGGCGTGCGTCGCAAGAACGCATTTCCAACCCAGGTCGTACCATTTCGCACTTTCACTTGTACAGAAGAGTATCCTTTTGTGACGTTCTTGACGCTGCGCAAGACGCTCGACATGCTGGCGGGGGGAGACTACCGCGAGAGATGCGCGGCACAGTGGAATGGCAAGATAAGAGTTCAGAAGCAAATCGAGTCGGCGGATATCTGGAGCGTGTTGTTTCTGTGCGCAGGAGGCAGTAGCTGAGGTCGAGCTTTGGAATCCGCGGTGCTGTCGGTCGGCTGGACGTCAATGCTGCGTGATGATGCACGGCAGCGCTAACAAGAGGGAAATACCGGCAATATCGTAAGTGCGGCGGCGCGAGCAATCCGTCGAAATGCACTGTATGGGTGTGAGGAGGAGTAGTTGCGAGGAGAAAAGTTGCTGCCTCGTTGAGGTTACGAGACTGGGAGCTCGGGCAGAGAGTGAATTGCGCGGCGGAAGCTCTCGGCGCATGACGAACGACCGTGGCGGCTGTGAGGAGTGGCGCGGCAGGAATTATAGACGCACGTGACCTGGCCCATTGCCCTGTCGAGTTCTACCGGACCGCCCAATTGAGATTCGGCACGGTCCGCTAGCGCGCACACGTTCTTTTCGTCTCCCGAATCCTCACCTCCCGCGAGAACTTCATCGTCAGGCTCGTTGCAGCGAACATTGTCGACAATCAACTGACTCTTCCTCCCTTCCCTCACACAGCACCGAGACAAGATGGTAAGCCCGCGATCACCTCCATGATACTCTAGCTGTACGCCTCTGCTCGCTGATCAAACACTTTCTGCTGGTGCTTGGCACCGCAATGGGAACAGACAGCGGGCATGCGACAGCAATGACCCATTCTATTCCACCATCAATGCTCTGAGCAGCGATGAGTGTGACACATGGCTTGAGCTGCTGTGCTGGATGCAAATCCTCACACAGTCTCTCTAGAGAAGCAACAGGCGCTGACCGTTCTTCTCAATGACAGCCTCCAAAGACCGGTGGGAAGAAGGCCGCTCCAGCGCCGTTCCCAGCCACCAAGGCGGGCGTGAGCAAGAAGCAGGCCAAGGTGAGTACACTATTATCCTTGGATTGGGATGTAACTCGATATGCTGACTGATTTCAGAACCCTCTCATCGAGCGCCGCCCACGCAACTATGGCATTGGTCAGGACATCCAGCCCCGACGCAACCTCTCGCGCATGGTGAAGTGGCCCGAGTACGTCCGCCTCCAGCGCCAACGCAAGATCTTGCACATGCGCCTCAAGGTCCCACCGGCGATTGCCCAGTTCTCCAACACCCTCGACCGCAACACTGCCGCTCAGGCCTTCAAGTTCCTCAACAAATACCGCCCAGAGTCCAAGGTTGAGAAGAAGGAGCGTCTGCACAAGGAGGCCACCGCTGTCGCTGAGGGCAAGAAGAAGGAGGACGTCAGCAAGAAGCCATACGCCGCCAAGTACGGTCTCAACCACGTCGTTGGCCTGATCGAGGCCAAGAAGGCCCAGCTCGTCCTCATCCCCAACGATGTCGACCCCATCGAGCTCGTCATCTTCCTTCCAGCTCTCTGCCGTAAGATGGGCATCCCATACGCTATCGTCAAGGGCAAGGCCCGCCTCGGCACGGTCGTCCACAAGAAGGTACATCACACCACCACAAGACCTCACTGTGCAACACTGACTAATACTTCATCTAGACCGCCGCTGTGCTCGCCATCACCGAGGTCCGCAGCGAGGACAAGAGCGAGCTCTCCAAGCTCGTCCAGGCCATCAAGGAGGGCTACCTCGACAAGAACGAGGAGGCCAAGCGTCACTGGGGTGGTGGTATCATGGGCGCCAAGGCCCAGGCCCGCGACCGCAAGAAGAAGGAGCGCGCCGAGCGTGAAATCAAGATCTAAGTCACGAACATCTTGCATACGAATGAAAAGGTGTCTGGCGTACGATCGACGCAGTCGGCGAACTGCTTGCTGGGATTTAGGGGCTAGTCGGGAATGATACCAACAGTACGATTCAAATGGTTTCAACCATGGCTGCTCTCCGGCAGCAGAAAAGTCACATTTCGCTGCATCTCTCGTTGCTACATCTCATCATGCCGCCGCATCCCTGTGCCTTGTCGAATCATTATCTCAATATCCTGTGAAAGGACCAACTGCCAACCAGCGCCTCACCAACGATTTCCAAGACTCTTTTGTCCCATTACTTCCCCCAAATCAGCCTCTTCCTTCTCAAGATTCCAATGTCTCCTATAGTCTCCCTAGCTTGTCCATTCACATCATCGGCCCCAGCATCATCGCGGCAACATCCGTCGCCCGCATCGACCCGACCACGCTCGCCCACTCATCCACACCCACCTTCACCACATACTCGGATCCCTGATCGCTCTGAAGATGAGCTCGTGATCGATTTCCGCCTGCGAAGGCACTCTCTCCTTCCTCCTCCCTTGCCTCGGCCTCGGTCTTTTCGTCTTGGTCTTCGAATTGCCCCCCGTGATGTGTGGAGAAATGATGTGGACTCTGAGACTCGCCGCCGCCGAGCGGCTTTGGATGGCTTGTAGTTCGACGTCTTCGGTCGACGACCAAGGGAGATGATGGTGGGGGCGCGTCAGTATTCTGGAGGAGAGGTTTCCCATTCTGCGCGCCCATGGTCTGTGTTGAGGTGATCGTTTTCCTCCACCGGTGTGATGGTGAATGGTGAATGGTGAATGGTGAAGGGTGATCGCGACGGTGCTAGCAATTGAGGAAGAAATGTAATCCAAGCGGGTTCGTAAATGTAGTATCAGGCGGCGAAGAAATTCGAATTCGAGATTCTCAAGTGCGATGTAAGAGGGGAGAAAGGAAGAAACATGCCCCTCGAATCACGACTTCCTTGATTATTTCTATCCTCACCGTCACCATCATCACCACCATTATTATCATATCTAAACTGTTCAGATCGATAGTCTTGGGGGAAATCTCCCGCGATATGCGGAACAGCTTCGACATGGTCTGTCCCGGCCCCTGCCTGAGCGGAGCTTACACAAGGATTTGGGGATCTCCGGATCACAAGATCTCAAAAAAAAAAAAAAAAAAAAAAAAAAAAAAAAAAAAAAAAAAACCAATCCTGTGTGTGACACGACACATTGCATGGGTCTGAGTGCGGAGATAATAGAAAGAGGTATCATATGATTAGGGTTTCTTGGTGCATCATACGAGGTTGGAGAGAAATTGGAGTTAATAAGATTTCGAAAATATACTGTTCTTCACTATTGGAGTTCGGGAAAGGCTTGATGCATGGGATTTCTGGAGAGAGAGAAAGAGGGAGAGGGGGGGATGAAGTAATGAGAAGATTTCTTTTCTTAGTTCAAGTTGCGTTGCTATGGTTGCGTTGCTTGCTCGTGATTAATATCGATCCAGAGATTCCATGTGCCATGGCTCTAATAAAGATCCGAGCACAGTCTTCCAGATTCGATCGAATTAAACGACCCCCTTTTATCTATCTATATCTAGCCTTTTTCTTCCCTTCTCCTTAAATTATCTACCCTTCCTTCCATCTTCCTTGTCAGAACCGCCCGGCCACTTGTCTTTTCAATTGAAACTGTCAAAACCCGAATATGATATGGCTTCAGAGTCTCTTGAATAATATGCGGAAGCCCCATACCATACCATACCATACCTTAGCGCTCTCGCTCTCGGTCGGTCCGGCCGAAAAGTGAGATTTTCCATGTCCACATCCACATCCACATTACTTGTTCGTTCAACGTGTAAGGTAGGGACTGGATCATCCGATGGTGCGAGTGCGAGTCCAGTCCAGTACCTTATTCTCTGGGTAGTAATTGGGACTGGACTGGACAAAAAAACCGTCCGACGAACGATGTTCTGTCTGTTCTGTCTGTCTGTCTTGTCCCCATCACCTAATCACCATCCATCTGTCTGTAGATTCTGGTTCTGGTTCTGGTTCTGGTTCTGGTTCTGGTTCTGGTTCTGGTTTGTCCTCACGCGACTGTTGAGGAAACCCAACACACACACGGCAGCTTCCCCATTCCATTCCATTCCATTCATCCAGGTGAGGACAGGACTCCGTAAGGTAGGTCGTGAGGACAAGCCAGAATTCGAGCTGGTAGGATATGTATATAATGAACGAGTATTCTCTCCCTCTTTTCCTTTGTTGTCAGAGAGTATACCTCAAGCCAAGCTGCACCTCAAGCATCAGACTCTACTCTCATCGCCGTCCTTCGAGAATTCCCAGCGTGGGTTGTCAAACTCCAACGCGCCATCCTCTAACACAACTTAACAACCAAGCATACCAACTTCCCACGCCCTCCTCCCCACCGCCCCGGACCCGATCAAAGACCCAACAATGTCGCGCGGTGAATCAGATCCGCCTCGTGGTGGTGGCTCCACCATGCCCTCCAACGGTACCACGGCATCATCATCTTCTTCTAACCCGGAGAACCCTCCCCCTGCCACCCAGAATCCACACTCCTCCCCCTCTGCCTCCTCCTTCTCCTTCTTCTTCTCCACCACCACATCCCCCTTCGAACCCACTTCCTATCTCGCATGGAAGAACCGCAGCATCCGCCCCATGGCCGGCGGCGGCGGCGGCGGCGGCGCAGGAGGAGACGAAGCAGTCGTCTTTGCCTCTTCGTCCCGAGCTCAACAGCAAGCAGCCACTACCGCCATGGCCAGGAATCGCTATCCCGTGCCCCCGCCGCCGGACCGCAAGGGTAAGGGGAGAGCGAGGGATACGGGGGAGAGGAGTCTGGAAGACAGAGGCTCGCCTCCTCCTCCTCCTCCTCCTTCTCCACGACGACCGATGCTATTTCCGACTTCCCATGTGGAGGGGGCGAAGGGCGATGAATCTTGTGGTGTTCAGCAGGAAGCGATAACTGCCGGAAAATCGGAAGTGAGCCGTCGTGCCGGGGAGAGATTGACATCAAGTGAGCAAGAGTTCATGGGTGGATTCGCCGAGCAGCTCCCGGGACAGGCATTGGAAGGGGTCGAAAGGGAACAGGAAGAAGCAGCAGCAGCAGCAGCATCGGCTCTGGAAGACGCCGCTCGGGATCCAGTCGAACGAGCGGAACAGGAAGGTGCTCCAGGTCCAGCACCACCCGCTGATGAGGTCGAGAAAGGTGTCGAAGAGGAGACAGCCGCCTTCGCCTACGGGGGATATACACCTCAGGGATTCGAGAATGCAGTCGAAGAAGATCCAGCAGCATCTCACTCGGGAGATGCAACGCAGCAGCCAGCGCAAGATCCAGTCTTCAAGGAAGAGAATTCCGCAACGTATTGCTTGGAAGATGCAACGCAGCGGCCAGCCCAAGATCCAGTCCTCATCCAAGAGCAAGAAGAAGACGCAGCAACCCATCCAGCCGGACACAATCCCCATTCAGCGTCCTCCCTAAACGCCGACTCCAAGCTCTTCATCCCAGCAGCAGCAACAAACACCACCACCACCACCACCACCACCCTCACCACCGCCATCGAGCCAACCGCCCCGCCAGTCCCCCTGAACGCCAACTCGGAAATCTTCATCCCGGCGGAAACTCAAGCCACCGCAACCGCAACCGCAACCGTCGCAGCCCCAGCCCCAGGAGGGGAACCAGCAGCACTCCCACCAAAAACTCCCCAACGACAGACCTCAGAAGAAGGCCCCGCGGGACGCATCAACCGCCTGCTCGCCGGCAGGAAAGACGACGATGAGTTCCTCGAAGCGTTCTGGGAGAGGCTGAACGGCAACGAGAATGTCGTCTTCCCGGCCGATCCAGAGCCGGTGCCTGTCCTACTACCTCTGGGTACGCTGAATGCGAAGAGCACCACTCCTCTTCGGGTGCCTGCCCAGAGAGAGACCATCTTTCCTCCGCTCTGGTGCTATGATTACCTCCGCCCTACCATCTCGATTCGTCCCTTCCGACCGGTACAAGGCCCGACTCAAGCTCAGCGTCCGTATCATCCCATTCATGATCTCCAGAGGGGCTCTACAGCTCTTCCGCCCCTCGCGCCGCCATGGCGAAGCTGGCAGTGAGTGGGCATTGCGGCCGGCAGATGCTGAAATGTGCCGGGGCTAGCTGAAGTCGATCTGACCGACAGTTGATGTGCCAGCAGTAGATGTTTCCGGTGCCCAGCTCAGTCTACCGGGGATGCGATTAAGCTGCACACTGACAGCGGCGGAATGATGATGCGATACGATGCGAGAGGAAGAAAATATGTGCTGACTTGGAACATTTTTGTCATCTTTTCGGCCCCGGTGCCCTGTAATGTTGAACATGTACTTTTTGTTGTTGTGTTTGATTGTGATTTCGCCATTGTGCAGATAGATGTCTTGATAGATGAGAAAATAGAATGGTAAAAAGGAGCAAATCAGTACTTCACTGTCATAACTCTTCGAATTGACTGATGTTGAACATAGCGCACTTGCCCTTCCAGCTCATGCGATGAAGTGTCGCCCGGAGATACCACGGAAATGGTCAAATTTTGATAGGGAAACTTGACCCGTCACCGGAGGACGTGAGTGACTACCTGACATTTCGTCACGTGAACGGGCTCTCTCTCTCTCTCTCTCTCTCTCTCTCACGGATCCTGCAGTGGAATTGCACCGGGACGCCATAGACGCCCTCACATAATTTCCGACCGCGACGGCTTTTGAAAACGCAAGCAAGTCCGGCATTGACCTGGTTGTGGGACAGGAGGTCCGGAAAGATCAGGGGGGCGATTCGTAGGACCGGATTCACGTGCAGGACACAGGCGGTACGTAAGATAAGAGGGTTACGCAGCCAGCGCATAGGATCGGGCTTGCCTGTGGCAGGGCAGGGCAGGTACCTTAGCACAGTGTTAGGCTACGGACGAGCGAACCTGCTTCTGGTTGTTCCCGGTTCGCAGTAGGTGTAAGTCAAGTCACGTGCACGGTGGAGGGGAAGTCTGCGTCGATGCACATGCAAAGTACTTCCCAAGTACCAGGCGCATCCCAACCAGGTTGGAATTGGGATTGGCTGAGAGTTTCTTGAGATGACGCCGGGTGCTATCATCATGCATGCATGCATGGACAAGGAGGATCGAGAGATGGCGAGAGGGGAGTGTGCAATTAGGCGTCGAATTGGGCGTCCAGACGTCGATGGCGCTACTCACAATGCAAGCACGCGCAATGATACCTCTCTCTCTCGTTTCAGGCGAGGCAGAGTCGGACATTTCCTGATGCAAGTCGTGCATGGCATCGTCCTGGGTGTGTTGTACGGCAGAGAGGCAGAGGCGTTTCTCACGTCACTCTCTGGACGTATGGCACAACAACCAGATGGGCGTTCTTCCATGGCAGTGGACGAGCAGGCAGAGAGCGGTAATGGTGCCAAGGCACGGGGTATCAAGCCGAGGCGGAGCGGCGTCGTTCACATGCATCACGTGGGAGGTAGTGGAGGACTTGGCCTTGGAGTGCGTGTCTGTTTCAGAAGTTCGGGCTTGGGTTTGTTGGAGTATCTGCACGGCGGGTGCATTTGTGGGTGCATTTGGCATCGTGGAAGTCCTTGCGTGCTCGCGCGAGTCTGTGCGATGGGATGGGATGTGGATGGGGATTGAAATGTCGCACGTGTTCGGATTGGAGGGTGCATGCTGCATGTCGAGGGTTTGCAATCATGGAGCGTGGGCGTGGTACTGTAGGCGTGTGGAAGGGGTAAGGTAGCCGAGCAGCAGCGGTGCGGACAGCCGCGTATCGAGTGCTGTTAACCGCCAGAGCACAGAGGGGGGGTGGTTGTGGTGAGGGAGAGGGACGCGGGATGAGAGGGCTCTCACCGCTTCCGACGTACATACAGTACATGGAGCTGCAGACGGGAGCAGAGATCAAGTTGAGCGGGAAGGGTTCAGTTTTGCATTCGAAGTTGACTCTGACGGGCCCCACCGCCCTCATCACTGCAGCTTAGCTTCCGATCCGCTTTCAGCTTCCCGTCACGTTCCCGCCAAGCCCGCAGCCGGTCCCCGCCATCTTGCCGGCACACACACCACACATGCCTGTGCCCCACATTGCACGATCCCCCGGCTGGCTGTTGCGCCGAGGGGTCGGGGGAAAACGCGACGCGATCGGATCGGACGTTTCAACGCCGAGCCTCGCCACGCCACGCCGCACCGCGACCTCACCTGTCCCTCCACCCACCTCTCCCGCCGCGCCGTCGTCGATGGGACGAGGGACAACAACAAGACCGGTGTCGTGTGGAGGGGTACGGCGGGCGGACAGCGACGATGATGCGCAGCGGGCCAGGCCGGGCATGCGCATGACGAGCCCAGGCTATCGTGGCACCAGGTCCCGATCGCTGCTGGCAGTGAGGCTCGGCAGCCAATGAGAGGCGATAGCGGCTGGGTCGGTCCACACGGTGCAGTGGTGTGGTGCAGGTGTGTGTATGCACCCCTTCACCGCTCCTCTGCACTGCACTGCGACTCGCCTCCGCCGGCCGTAGGAGGCAGTCGCTACGGTAGTAGTAGTCGCCAGCGGCGGCAGCGTGGGCGGCGCCTCCTCTCACGCCCACGGCCACGGCCACGCTGCTCCGATCCTCTGTCTTCTGCCTCTTGCCTCCGCCTCACGCTGGACATCGACCGCGGTTCGTCCTGCGTACAGTAGTAGTCCTGCTCCTGCGTGCTCCTGCCTAGCGCGACTGGCCTGGGCTGCGGTCCTTCTTTCCCGGAAAGTCCAGCACCCTTCCATCTCACCTTCCCATTTTCATCTGCTGCGGCGGTGAAGGAAAGCTCGACCGCGCAGAACACCACCGCGACCAAGAGAGAGAGCGAGACAGCTCAGCAGCTCCAGCGCCAACGCCAGCGCCAGCGCCAGCCAGAACCAGAGTCCGAGCCCAGAGCCAGAGCCAGAGTTAGAGCCAGCATCCACTCCTCACCGCGATTGTGTCCGGCTCACCTCCGCTCATCATGGACGACTTCCACCACTTCACCAGCCCGGATGCTCTCTTCGACTTCGGCGCTGCCCAGTTCCCTCACGACCCACGCTCAGACGCCTACCCGCCATTCATCCACCAACCCAATCCCAATCCTCCACCACACGCCTCACAGCACGCCTCACAGCACGCTGCACAGCACGCTTGGGGCACACACATACCGCTCGACGCCATGGACCACCACCACCACCACCACCATCATCAACAACAACAACAACAACAACAACAACAATACCCAAATCACCAACAACATCACCAACAACATCACCAACAACCTCACCCACATCCCCAGCCCGCGCATTCATACCCCGCCTCGTCGAATCAACACGACGCTCAATACGCCGCCGATGCCTCGCAACAGCAGCCCAGCCGGCCGAATAGCAATCAGAGCAACCAGCCCTTCACCACCACCACCACCACGCTCGATGTCGACTACGCGTCCATGTTCCCCAACACCTGGCAATATCAGCTGCAGCAACACGCCGCTCAGCAGCAGCAGCAGCATGTCGCTCAGCAGCAACCGCACCAGCACCAGCAACCGCAGACTCAACAACAGCAGTATGCTGCTCGGGCCGCTGGTGGCTTGGCCATGAACGCCTACCACCCGCCTTCTTTTGGCGGGCAACTCCAGGCCTCGCCGGTCGATTTCATGCCCGCGACGACTGCTGACAGCTACGCGGTGACCGCAGGAATGGACTCTGCAAACTTCATGGCCATGGCCGGTCCCATGGAGTCCATGAACGCCCTCGTCTACCCTCTGAACGATTATCAAAATGATCTCATGTTCCCCCTGGGCCTCAACACCGCCTTCACTCAACAGGCCGCCGAATCAGTCAACTCCAGTATGCCTGGCAGCTCACCTACCGGCACCGTTCTGGAGGTCCAGTCTCTGTCGGATAACGAGAGCTGGTCCATGATCAACTTCCATCCCAACCGCCAGTCGATCGATTCCGTCGGCACCGTCTCCAACCCGAGCCAAAACCTCCACATTCGCACAAACTCTGACTCGTCTTCATCCGATGGCCCTAGCTCAGCCGACCTGTCGGGAAGCTACGAGGAGATCCCTCCATGGCCGCTCAGCTCGCCACACGATCTCCACGGCCAAGACTATCTCGATGCACACTACTTCCAACAGACAAATGGTCTGCCCATTCAATCACAACACCAGCAGGCCTCCCCGTCGTCATCGTCATTAGCCGTCAGCCCATCCGGTACCAGCAACGCGGTCTCATACCGATCGTCGGGCTCATCCACGACGTCGCCGACATCATCCGGTCCAACGTCGCCGCCACTCAGGCGTCGCAAGTCGCCGTTGGAGGGCAAGACTACCAAGGCTGTCATCAAGAAGTCGTCGCCGCACAGCACCCGGAAGGATAGCACCGCCGAGAAGAAGGTGGGCCGAAGACGAGGTCCTCTCCGACCCGAGCAGCGCCAGCAAGCCCATGAGATCCGCAAGCTGCGCGCATGCCTGCGATGCAAGTTCTTGAAGAAGACTTGCGACAAGGGAGAGCCATGCGGTGGCTGCCGTCCCAGTCACGCACGCTTGTGGCAGGTCCCGTGCACGCGCATGGACATCAAGGACATCGCCTACTTCATGAAGGACTGGAAGGCCGACTACGAGCGACACGTCAGCCTCGGGTTTAGCGTCGGTAACATCAAGGGCTTCAGTACCCTCGAGCGCACCCTCTACATCACACACGGTTACGGCCACTACCTACCCATCAACGCGCGCGAGATCTTTGTTCGCGATGACGGCTGCTTCAACGTCGACTGGATCGAGACGACACGCAGTGAGAACCCAGAGGAGTTTGAGACTCCCACCGCCAAGCTATCCGCTGGTATGGAGGGCGTCAGCACTACCCTGCTCTCCGAATACCTCGATCGCCACTTGGACCAAGGCTTTGAATACTTCGTGGACGAGTACTTTGAGGGAACCAAGTTCTTGACCGAGATCCTGAAGACCGCCTACCGTTACTACCAGAAGGAGAAGACCCCATCAATACGAAAGGCACTCAAGCTCGTACTGGCGTACAACCTCACACTGCACGTGACCATGGTGGAAGGTCTTTCGGAAGAGGAGCAGTACTCTGGCAGAGTGTTCGACGAGAAGTCCAAGTTCAACGGCAAGACCGTCGCGCCGGTCATGATCAACTTTCAAGTCAAGTGCGCCCTCGCCGACATGTGGCGTGAACTGCAGAAGGACATCCTCGAGGAGCTGTCTGCGCTCTACTCCTCCGTCTATTCCGGTGACAAGCTCAAGAACTGGCCGACGATCTTCATGCTCGCTGCCATCCTGCTTGCCATCTGGGAGGAGATGCAGTTCGACTGCCACTACCGCGTGCCAGACGAGAGGGCCGTCAACAAGTTCTGCGATGAGATGGAGACCACTCCGGTCGGCGTCATCGTCGGCCTCTTCCAAGCCATCTCGACCAAGCTCCCCGGCCTCCAAGAGTGGGACACCAAGAAGCATCACCAGCTGCTGGGGTCGAACCCTGCCGTCTGTGACGCCCTGACCGAGGTCAGAGGCCACATCAATAAATACGGTCAGTACCGTGAACACCTCACCGTCACCCCTATACTGATGTCTACCACAGAGAAATATCTCAAGGAGCGGCAGAGCAATGCCAGCTTCGACCGCGATGACTTTGACTGCCTCAGCAACAAATTCCTGAGCAAGCTCGTCATTCGCGCCAACTAGACGTCTTCGCAACATCACGACTCGCTTTTACTACATAATGATGTCGTCGACGAATACGCACGTACACACACACACGGACTCTGCCGGCGGAGAGCGACCAGACGACGTCATGCCCGCCCAGTCCAGAGCATTACACGGCCGACCGAAACAAACGAACGAACGAACGAAAAGCGGTTCCCTTGGGTTCACTTCGCTTCTCGTCGGAAGATTACGATATACGGCCGCGAGCTACGACATGATCACTCTTGTGCTATTTTTTGCATCTTATCCAGTGTTGACATGTGACGGGATGAATCTACCCTTTTTGGGGGAGAGAGATGCCTCACAGCGATCTGGTCTAACGGCGTACTGGAGGCGCTGGATCGGGACCATGACACATGTCTCACGACGACGACATACGGAGCTACGAATGCATCATCTTGTGCATGCATACCAAATAGGCGTTGCTCAGGCGCCTTTGGTAGGATTTGTGGATAGCTCCTTGTGGGTCTATCCGGATGAGATTTTAGCCAGGGATTTACGGCAGTGAGATTTTTTTTTCTTACTTTTTTCTTCTTTCTCGGCAGACGAGAGAGAAGCGAGCGGAGACGATTTTGGAAATGAGATGAGACGCATCGCATTGAATGAGAATGCAGACATGATCTCTAAAGACCACGCGTAGTATGCAGTCATGACATGGCAATGAAGAGAGGACGTTATTACTTTACTCCCTGAACAACTTATGACGGTTTTGATTATAAATCCTTCCAAAGCACATTTCTTGCCAATCCCGACTTTTATCAAGGGCGTAGTTGGCTACTTTCATCCTATTGTCCCGTTTTGTCTCGCGGCTCGTTTTCGTTTTCGTTTGCGTGCGCGGTCTTCCGCCGCCGCTATCGGTGAATATATGTTATTCACGTTGAGTGGGAAATTCACGATAGTGACAAAGGCCCGGGGAATCCGTAGCCTGCCTGGGTTGCTTTTTCATAACTTTGTGCTTGGGTTTTGGGGGTCTGGACGTGGATTGATCTGCACGCACGCGCGTATACGTCTTTGCTGCTGGTTCTTTCTCGAAGCGCAGAGAGAGAGATACACAGAGAGAGATACACACACAGAGAGAGAGAGAGAGAGAGAGAGAGAGAGAGAGAGAGAGAGAGAGAGAGAGAGAGAGAGAGAGAGAGAGAGAGAGAGAGAGAGCTGGATGGACGAACGAACGTATCAAGCGATTTTTTTAAAGTTTTTAAAGGATGTTAGATAAAAGATAATAAACAAAGCGACTGAATATGATTGGCTGGACTGGTTTGATTTTTATTTAATTCAGTGACGCTGCGAAATGTGAAGGACTAAAGCGTAAAGGTTTACGATTCGTAAACGTCGCGGGCGGATTGAGTCATGATGATGGGATGAGGGGGGTTGCTAAGGAGTGGTTGTTAGGTTAGAGGAGGAGCTAGCTTGGGATGTGAGTTGTCTCCTTGAAGGGTCGGAGCCTGGAGTGTTGTTCATTTTCATTCCAAGGAATAAAAGATGCGTTTCCTGCGTTGTTCCTATTTCATTCTTGGGTTTCTTAGACGATGCTTGAGAAGACGAATGAAGAGTAAGAGAGCGTTAGGTGAAAGCGAAAATTTGCAAGGTAAGCAATATCACGCCATCCATCGTTCATCGCTGCGTAGGGACAGAAGTCTACAACGTATATCTGAACGTCGGCGCTCTATCGCCCTGCTCGCTCAGCTCCTGCACAGAAGCAGCGTCCGCCTCAAATCCATCAGCGACTCTCTCCGCGCGCTTCGCGTTGATCCGCTTGTAAGTGAAGATCATGATCGTCGCGGCGACGATGCCCATGGTGATGAAGCCAATCTCCAGACCGTGGCCTAGGTAGTAGCGGGGTGCGTCCGATTGTCGGTAGAAATTGCTCGCCATGGCGCCGGACAGGTTGCCAATGGAGATTTGCAGCGCGACGCCGACGGCCCGCTTGTAGGATCCGGACAGGTTGTTGGAGAGCCAGGTTAGATTTGCCGGGTGGGTGGGATAGATGGCGCATGCGGCGATGAAGACGCCGGCGTAGGTGATGCCAAATTTGCCATTGCCGGCGATGCAGATGAGGAAGCCGAGGAGTTGGAAGGCGAAGCAGGTCAGGATGAAGGGCGTGCGGATGCGGTGCTTGTCCGCGGCGTAGGCGACGAGGATCGTGAGGAGGGAGGCGACGATGTAGGGCGGGACGGTGAGGAGTTGCGAGGCGGTGGTGGAGAAGCCGAGTTCTTTGATGATGGTGGGTAGGAAGAGTGAGACTCCGTATAAGGGCGTGGCGTAGCCTGTTGGAGTTAGTAGAGGACCTCATGGCATGTGTGTCCGGCAGTGGATCGAGTCATAGATAGGGCTTATACCAAGATAGACCAGTACACTCATCCAGATCTGCCAGTCTAGAAACGCCTTCTTCGCCTCAGTCCAGGTCTGGGCTTCGTTCTGCGGGACCAGTTTCTCGGAACCGGTGGTCGTCGTGTCGTACTTCAGCCTGTACGCGACGAAGGCTCGCTCTTCAGCCGTCAGGAAAGATGCCGTCTCTGGGAAGTCGTGGACCGTGAAGAAGGCGACTACAGCCACGACGACGGTAAACATTCCCTCGAGGATGAAGATCCATCTCCAGCCCCTCAAGCCCGCGACACCGTCCATGAAACTGATGCCGTACGCTAGAAGGCCGGAGAAGGCGCCTGCGATACTGGCGGCGGAGAAGAAATATGCCTGACGGACTTGGACCTCGTAGCGGGTGTACCACATCGTGTTGTAGTAGATTACGCCAGGAAACAGGCCGGCCTCAGCTACTCCAAGAAAGATGCGCGCGATCAAGAGGCCGGTATAGGATTGGGTGATGCCTTGGAGGGTCACGACGATGCCCCAGGCGACCATGATGCCTGCGTGTTGTCAGTCGGCTACGTTCCTGCAAGTGGTAGGGACTGAGCCTACTCGGCAGCCAGATGGAGGGCCTCAATTTCTTCAGGAGCATATTGCTGGGCACTTCGAATGCCGAGTAGGTGAAGAAGAAGACTGTCAGGCAGAGGTTGTACTGCGTGGGCGTGAGGCCCAGGTCTTCCGGCAGGCCTTCAATCTTGGCATTGCCGATCTGGAAAGGAAGATTGTCAGCGGTAGATGATGCCTCTCGCTAGAATGTCGACGATGGGCCTACATTTCCACGGTCCAGAAATGACAGGAGATATAGCAAGGTCAGGACCGGGACAGTACGGAGGTCCATCTTCCTGAGAATCTTCTTGATATCCAGATGTGAGAACGACTCTAACGTGACATCTTCGCGAGTAATGGTCGCGTTGACCTGTTCAATCTTTTCTTGCTCGGACATCTTCTCGTCGCCGCCGAAATTCTCAATGTGGAGTGGCGAACTGCCTTTCTCCTGAGAGGCGTCGCTGCTCTGGTCGATGGGAGACGCCATTTTGACGCTCGTTCTCGCGAATGGGGCGGAGAGACGTTGAATGTTCTAGGGGGAATGGAAGAAGAATGTCGCTGGAAGCGGCGGACCTACCGTATGGTAACCGTGTCGATCCATCTCCAAGATCATGCACTGGAGCCGTACCACTCGCTTGCCGATCCCCCGCCTGCTGCCCGTGGAGACGCCCCGCATGTGAATGATCACCAAGGAGGCGACGACATGCGATGGATTTAGACGAGAAAACGATACGCGGCCGGGCAATGAACGACTCATCCCGGAACTGCAGCTGCATGAATGAGGTCTCATTCAACCCAACGTTTTCCCAATAAACACTCCTAAACATCGCTGACAGCGTTCCCTCTGACCTCCAGCAAGCTGAAATACCTGCTCCAAAGCGGCTCTCTGGAGAAGGGGTCCACCTCATCCTTCACCAGACCGACATACACATTGCAAGCCTGACCACCATCGATCTTGGGCCCAACAAAGTGAGCTCGTTGGAAGTCAGGGCCAAAGGCGCCGATTTTCGTAGAAGTGAAATGCTTCACCTTGCCAAGAGCAGGACCAAAGTCGTACCCTACGATCTCGGAATGGTACATGGAGGTCAGTGCGACGATGTGTGGCTTGTCTGCCATCCCGATCGGCCACCATGCCAAGCTGTAAGGGTCTCGCTTTCTGAGTGTCATCAGTCCCTCCACGCGCTCGCGGTTGGTCCTGTTGAGCTCGGTGCGGATCTTGGCGGCCAGCATGGGGAGGCTGTCTTCCTGGATGATGTCCGAAACCTTTGCATCACAGCTGATGAAGTATACGCAGTTGCCGACCCAGTCCTTATCGAGGCCGACATGCTGACGAGCGTTGTGGGGAACCGTGAAGGTGCTCACGGTGTCTTCTTTCAATTGGCCCGTCTTGAACCTCGCTACAGTGAGTGTACGCCATATTGCTGCAGTGATTGCATCGTGGGTCGAGATGCGCATGTCGCGACCTCCATAGTCCTTCAGAGCTTGTGCGTTGTCGTTCGTGATGTTGAAATACGCAGGAACGAATTCTGGAGGTGGAGGGGCTGGCTCGCCGTTTGCCTCGGGAGGGGCATGATCATGATGGATGCCTGGTATGAATACGCCGTGCTTGATTGAGTATGCGGGATGTTCTTTGAGATCTGTAAGGCCACCGTTCAAGGAGGCCATGATGCTTCGGTCGTGATTGAGCTTCCGGGGTGGCAGTTGGCCTTTTGTGTCCGCAGCCCTCCTACACTCATCTCCCAAAGCTCGTGTAACAGTGTTGATTCCATTGCCATCGTGGAGATGATGATAGAGGCAGACGCTCAAAAGCACACCGCCCTCGATCAGGCTCAACTGGAACTTGGACTGTGGTTGCGGCTCTGGCATGATAGCCCCGGCGATCGGCATAAAGTCCGCATCTTTGAAAGCTGCCAGGGGAAAGCCAGCAGCCTCTAGCTCCTTGTAGCTTTGAAAGGTCTTGGTCATGTCTTTGATGCTCAGCTGAATGCCATCTCCTGGCGCGAGGGCTCTCCATGGCTGACTTGGATCATGCAGAGCGGCATTTGGCACCACGACGGAAGATGAGCCAAGCTCGGGAGTTCCTTGCACCAGCGCCTTCATTGCCCTCTCCATTGCGTCAATGACCTTTTCGTGAGTCGAGCCTTGGGGTAGCTCGAAACACAGAATGCGGCGGGAGTACAGACCCGGCAGCCAGACATCGCTGTACAACAATTCCAGCGAAGGATCGGGACCTGTGATGAAGATTGTTCTGTCCATTTTGAATGCCGATACTGTATGTGAAGCGCCAACGTGTTCTGTTCAACAGTTGCCAGCGTCCGTCCTCGATTCAGTAGGATGAGACTGTCGGAATGCGCAATGCCCGAGGTGGGACAGACTGGTTATTCGAAGCTGACAGCAGAAGGCCAACACGGCTCACTCATATGTGCGGCTGAGCGTGCATCCTGCGGATTCCAGTAAGCAAGACTAGAAAGGGCTCACGCTCGAACTCTCTTCATCCTTCACGAGCTGAGCATGGAGCTCATCGTGTCTCCTGCAGTATTGACACGGCGAACTTCCCATACACTCCGCCGATTTCCACCTGCTTTTGCTCGTGCTTTTCAACCCGCTTTTGATCGGGCAGAATTCTGATCGTGCTTTTGCTGCAACGGAGTGTTGTTGATGGCCGCCGATATGTGCTGGCGTGGGGAGGTCCCTGCGAGTCCAGTGAAAGAGCATGACCTTTGGACTGCCGCCGAATACGATATGGAAGAAAGATGGTGCATCGCAATGGAAGGACTCGCCTCACACTCGTCGCGTCGGTCATGGGAAGACGGTGGACCACGTGACAGCAGCCCTGGATTCACCGCCGACATTCCTTCCGACACGGCAGATGTGGACGGAGCGGTCGCCCTCAGTACTCAGTGCCTTAACAGCCCGGATGGTGAGGTTCAAACACCGAATTTGCTCACGACGGACCATGTTACACCGAGGCCCCAGTTCTCGGCAGAAGATCGGCCCCAGATCTTGCGTCTGCGGAGTCTGGAGGCGGGGAGTTGGAGAGGTGGGTCCAGCGGGGTGCCACGCGAGCAAGAGGAGACTCGGGAGTTCCATTCCGAAGGTGCAGTCCTGGCTATCTCATCACATGGGCCCGCAAAGCTGGACGGATCTATACCTAAGAATGCCTCGAGCGTCATGTGGTCTGCGTCAGAACTACTAAATACCACACCGTCCGGGCAGTGGACATTAGCCGCGTCAATGCTGATGGCCTCAATGCTGAGCAGCGGACGGCGTGTCGACCTCTGTTGCACCTATCTCCTTCAAGACTGTCACATGTCACCACCCGATGCACCCGACAGGATGGAGCTGGCGGTCCACCTTTCCCACGCCCGTACAGCAAGCTAGATCCACCCGCTCGTCAAGACCACGCTCACGCAGGTCACGATAATGTCCTCAATGATGCAGCGTGCCATCGCCAAGTCGCCACTGGGGAGCCGCTTGCCTCATAACGTACCAAGGCCCGACAATGTTCCTTGCTGATGAGGAGTGCACGTCGCTCTAGCTCCCCACCGGTTGGAGAGAGATTCGACCAAATCGCTGCTTCGGAAAGCCCAGCCGCCGTCATGAAGTGCCATAGTGCCATCCGAATTCGCTTGCCTGCACCGTGTGATCAGACGTGAACAATACTCGCAAGTCACATTGGCCATTCGTCTGGAGCAGAGACCCGCGGGATCCGTCATGGCCTACAAAATGCAACAGTCCGCCCCATCATCGAGCTCGGCGCTTGTTGTAATCACTTCGAGCACCGTGCAATCCAACCTGCGATCATGGTGTCCGCCGTGGAGAAGCTGGCCATTGCTGCCTCTTTGCTGACCTCTTTTTCTCTCGTCAACGGCCAGAGCAACTCGACTTCCGCCTGGAACCATGCGGATTTCGAGACCAGTCCAGAGGTCTTTCCTTCACGTACGTACGACTACGCGCGCTCTTTGGCGTCGCGCTGACATGTGTTAGCGAATATTACGGGGACCGGAGGCTGGGATGCCGCCCTCGAGAAGGCCAAAGATTGGGTCTCTCAGCTTACGATTGAAGAGAAGGCCATACTCGTTACAGGCACCGAAGGCCCTTGTGTTGGGAACATAGGGCCAATCCCGCGCTTGAACTTCACGGGTCTCTGCCTTCAAGATGGTCCGCTAGCCATTCGCCAGGCGACATACGCTTCAGTCTTTCCGGCTGGCCTGACCGTTGCGGCTTCTTGGGATAGGAATCTTGCTCGCGTTCGTGGACGACAGATTGCGTCCGAGTACAGAGCGAAGGGCTCGCATGTCATCCTCGGTCCTGTTGCTGGGCCGCTCGGCCGCAGCGGCTATGGTGGTCGTAACTGGGAGGTCGGTTTCGGATTCTTTCACACGTCTTCCTACTCGAGCTCTGCTGATCCTGAATAGGGCTTTTCTCCAGAACCGTATCTGACGGGTGTCATGATGGAGGAGACCATCGGAGGCCACCACGAGATGTAAGTGTTGGAGGTGGCAGAACCCATGCATGCCCAGCCATGCTCCATCCCAGTACGCCCTGTGTGCTCACCATGCCGCAATCTGCAGGGGCGTCCAAGCTTGCGCCAAGCACTTCATTGGCAACGAACAAGAGACCCAGCGCAACCCAGACCTCAGCCCGACCAACAAGACGATCGAGGCAGTCTCCGCCAACATCGATGACCGCACCATCCACGAGCTTTACCTATGGCCGTTCGCCAATGCCGTGCGCAGTGGCGTGTCATCGGTCATGTGCTCCTACAACCGTGTGAATGGAACGTATAGTTGCGAAAACAGCAAGACGTTGAACGGCCTCCTCAAAGATGAGCTCGGGTTCCAGGGCTACGTGGTTTCGGATTGGATGGCAACCCACTCCGGCTTCCCGGCGATCAACGCTGGTCTGGATATGAATATGCCCGGCGGATACATCTTCACCAACTCAACCCCATCGTTCTTCGGTGCCAACATCACCGTCATGATCAACAACGGAAGTCTGGAAGAGAGCCGTCTGGACGACATGGCACACCGTATCCTGACGCCCTACTTCTACCTCGGACAGGACAGTGGCTTTCCAGCTATCGACGGCGATACGCCCTCGACGCAGACGACTTGGCCCCAGAGCACATACCGCTACAACTTCACCTACGGGCCTTCGTCCGTCGATGTGAGGGACAACCATGCGGAGCTCATTCGCGAGCTTGGCGCTGCGGGAACTGTGTTGCTCAAGAACGTCAACAACGCTTTGCCCCTCAAGTCCCCGAAGAACATTGCAGTCTTCGGCAACGATGCGGCGGATCTGACCAACGGGGAGTACTTTGCCAATCTCAATTCGGAAGGCTTCGAGTATGGAGCCCTCCCAGTTGCTGGAGGATCTGGCACCGGAAGGCTCACCTATGTCGTCTCTCCTCTCGAAGCAGTCAAGGCCAAGGCTGGAAAGGACGCACTGGTGCAGTACATTACAAACAACACCCAGATCATCGAAGACAACGGATGGGACAGCATCCTTCCGAAGCCGGAGGTCTGCCTGATCTTCCTCAACACGTGGGCCTCGGAAGGGTTTGACCGCACCAGTCTGTTGCTCAACTGGAACGGCACGGAAGTGGTCGAGACCATTGCCGCGAACTGCTCCAACACCGTGGTCGTGACACACTCCTCCGGCTTGAACGTCCTGCCGTTCGCGGATCACCCCAACGTCACTGCCATTGTTGCTGCACATCTCTCCGGCCAGGAGGTGGGCAACAGCGTCGTCGACATCCTCTTGGGCGCAGTGAACCCGTCGGGCAAGCTTCCATACACGATTGCGAAGGAGGAAGACGACTACGCTTTCGTTCCCATTGTCAACTCGACCGAGTTGCTGCTGACTGAGGATGCGAATGCTTGGCAAGATGACTTCGAGGAGAGACTGTTGATCGACTACCGTATGTATATCCCGCGGATGCCTTGATCTGCACATGGCGGAGCTAATTTTGGCTAGGCCACTTTGATTACTACAACCTTTCCGTCCAATACGAATTCGGATTCGGTAAGCTGGAGAATCCGACTTTCACGAGGCGAAATCACTCATCGTAGCCTTTCATAGGTCTCTCTTACACCACCTTCTCCCTTGGCAACGCCAGCGTAAGCAAGGTCGCATCGGGCAGCATTTCCGCCACCCCGGCCAACCTGACCGTTGCCCCTGGCGGTAACCCGGCTCTGTGGGAGACCTTGTACAATGTGACGACCACCGTCACCAACATCGGGTCATTGTCCGGTGCCACTGTGCCCCAACTCTACATTGGCATGCCCAGCATCGACTCGCAAGAGGAGGACACCACACCCCTTCGGGTCCTCCGGGGCTTCGACAAGGTCTCCCTCCAGCCCGGCGAGAGCAAGACCGTCACATTCGAACTCACCCGTCGTGATATCTCTTACTGGGACACGTAAGTTCCTCCTCTTTCCCCCCTGACAACAACGACAACAACAACAGCGCAGACCGCAACTACGGGTCCGCATCTCGATTGCGAAACATTCATCAAGCTAATGGTTTTCTTTCTCCTGCTGCAGTGCCTCCCAACAGTGGACCATCCCCTCGGGCAGCATCAGTGCCCAAGTCGGCTTCTCCAGCAGGGATATCCATTCCACGACTTCTTTCACTCCCATTGTTTCTGGAGGCACCTCCTACAGGCCTCGTCGTCGGACATGATGAGAGCCCTATCTATCTGTCTTTCTATCTATGGAGCGGGTTGCATGATTGTCATTGGCTGGGAGTAGTGATTTGGTCCCGGTCTAGGTCAACGACGATACGTACGTCCTCTTAGATCGTTACGGAGGGATGTGTATATTTCTCTCCCGGGGTCTTCAAGAGGTGCAATGGCATCATATGAAACAGAATCAAAAACAGAACGCAATAGTTTTAAAATTCCAGGAATTTGGTTTTCAATTGCCTTGCCTTGATGATGATGATCATGATGAGTGGTATCGTACGTATCTACCGCCCCAACAAGACTATAAAAGTTGGGAATGGATGATTGGATGAATGGATGGATGAACGGATGGATGTATCAAGGTAGATAGGTAATGATGATTGATCTTCGAGCGTTGAAAAAACCCCCCCCCAAAGCCGGTCATGATGATGAGTGAGTTGTTTGACTGACTGACATATCTGTACATCAATTCTTCCTCCTTCCCCCTTCCTCCTTCCTCCTCGTGACCTCTCTCTCTCTCTCTCTCTCTCCGCCGAATATCTAAACTAAATCAACAACAATCGATCAAGGCTTTCCCCCCCTCCCCCCCTTCTTCCCCCAACTCCGACTCCGACTCCGGTTTTCCCTTTGTTGATCTTCCATCCAAGCCGTACCGTGGCTTCCAGCTTCCAGCTTCCAGCAATAGACAGACGGAACAATACAACAACAACAACAACAACAACAACAACAACAACAACAACAACAACAACAACAACAACAACAACAACAACAACAACAACAACAAAAAACGCCACAAAATGTAAATGAGTTTTTGGGGTTTGGTGATCAACCATGACGATGATGATGAATGTGTAGCCGGCCGTTTCAGTCATGTAACTCGTCTGTCCGTCCGTCCGTCCGTTTCCGCAAAGAAAAAAATTTCCCGTCAAAATATGCCTCGCGGCACCCTCTCCGACAATGATGGATAGGTAGGTAGCAAAGAAGGATCCCGGGATGAAGAGAAGAGAAAAAATGATAAAAATGAAGAAGCAGAACCCCCATGCGTGTGTGTGTGCGCCATTTGAATCGTGTTTCGTCGTCCGTCCTCATATCGTCGTCGTCGTCGTCCGTCTCGCCCGGGGTGGCGGGAGGAAGAAGAAGAAGAAGAAGAAGGAGAAGAGAAGATTGGCGTCGTCGTCGTCGGTCCCTCCCTCTCTCTCTCTTCCTCTCTCTCTCTCAAGTCCACCCGCTCTCGCGGAGACACCACCCGCAGCGTCCGTATGCTCTTACGGCTCCTCGTCGGCAGTAGCACATGTACCCATCCCCGCCCCCGCCCCCGCCCCCACCACCACCGCGTTTCTGCTGTGGCGTGGGCTTCGGCTGTGTCCTCACCGCCGCAACGTCATCGAAGCCACTACTGTCCGGTATACTCCTCGGACTACTGCCCCCGGAACTCGTGGAGCTGCCCTCGGAGAAGGCCGAATTCCTTTTCCGCCCCGTGCCAATGGCGACTGGGAGTCCCTGGACGTTGCGCCCTCCCGGTCTCTGACCGGGGAACATGCCGTCGTTGACGGAGAAATTGCGGCAGATCATGTAGGCTTTCTGGGCGGCGCCGTCGCGCGCGAGGGCTTCCGAGGCGTAGGGCACTTCGGTGCTGTACTCGCGGTTGTTGACGCGGACCTTGCAGTAGTAGCCCGTACGGGTACGGACAGGTTCGTAGTGTGGCTCGGGCCATTGGCGACGTTGGCAGACGCCTGTGGTGCAAACATGTCGTCAGTCGAGTGCAGAGATGGACTGGGATGAAGTTGATTTATGATGCGTCACGTTTGTTCGAACAGGTCGTGCTCGATCGTCAATGCCACGTGGAAGCCACGCCAAAGTACACGTTCTGGCGAAGCACACGTTCTGGCAAAGTACACGTTGTATGCATTGGTGGACGAAAGCAGTCATTGCTAGGGCATGAGGATGTGGTCGACTTACTGGACAAGTACATTGTGTAGAACATGTTGGCTCCAATCAGGACAGATGGGGCTTCGAGGTGGCGGTTGGGGAGGTGTCTAGTGGGAACTGCTTCCAGCGGACGGCAGCGGCAATGTGCTTAAAGCGTCCACGGGGGTCGTGGGCGCGCTGGCCTTGGAATGTCGCACGACAGAGGTCGATGGGCGAAGTGGTCAGTGCCCGGCGGACGGAAGGCTCGGGGGGAGGCGGTGTAGTTGTTGACAGGAATGGTGGTGTCGGGTGGTTTGTCGCTGTTGCCCTGGGGTCGTCAATGGGGTGGGTGACGGGCGACGAGAAGAAGTTTTGGCTCCTATATGTGGGTGGGCCAAAGCACGAACTGGGGACGAGAATGTTCATGCACAGGCAAGGCAGGTGGGGAGAGATTACTCTTGAACGACCATGGAGCGAGCATATGAGGACAACCCACACCCGAGGGGATACCGGTGAAGGGGAGAGATGGGCACAGAGCAGACCCAGTAGAGTGGGCGGGCATAGCCAGCACTGGGTGCAGTGCAGTGCAGGAGGTGGACGGGCAGGCGAGGAGAGGAGAGGAGAGGAGAGGAGAGGAGAGGAGAGGCGAGGCGAGGAGAGAGGAGAGCAGAGGATGGCGGCGAGATTGAGAAGAGCTGCAATACTGGCGTCGAAGGTGTGAAGGTGTGAAGCTGTGAAGGCTACCCGGACGCCAGGCCCCATACTTGATGTGTTGGCGCGCGTTTCGGCCAGAGGATGTTTGATGATCGAGAGGTGGAGAGCATGAGCTCGGCCGGTATCTAACCAGCACAGCACAGTGCAAGAATCTCGAGACGCAGATCGAGATGCCCTGGCTACCTTACCGTATGCCTGGCCCGGCCTGGCCTTGCCTTGCCTGGTTCGCACAGCCCATGGCATGGCAGCAGCCCAGCGCAGCGCAGCGCAGCCCGCACGAAGCTTCGTCGGCGAATCATCATGACATGCGCCTGTCAAAGCGTCAGGTACGGAGGTGCAAGTGATTCCATGCTCCAAGGTGAATAGCTCTGGTAGCGTTCGGGGGTGGATGGCGTTCAGCGGAATAGCGTTGGGTGCAGAGCAGTGCAGGAGCGAGCGCTAGGGGCATCGCGGCAGGCGGGAAAGGGAAAGGCCAGTGCGGTGGGTGCAGACAGTGCAGACAGTGCAGACAGTACGGAGAGAGTGCTGTGCGTGCTGCAGACAGTATGTGGTGGTAGTATACAGTACACAGTACGGAGACTGCTGTACTGCTGTGCTGCGTGTGCTGCAGGGTTGGAGCATCAACAGGATCATGCCGTGCACGGCGCACTGCACTCTTCGACCGATGGTGCACTACCGTGACGGCACGTTTCGACCGATGGTGAGATCTCCCGTTCCACACGCTGCCGCTGGATGACAGAGGCACGCTCGAGTGCAGGCGATGTGTTGTCAATAATGGAAGAGCTGGCCTGCTGCAGCCACTCCAGGGTCCAGCAAGGATGACCGAGGGCAGTGTGCAGCTCTCCTGTTGACGCTGGGAACACTCTGTGCTCCGTCCGTCTTGTACGAGATCGGAGGCCTTCTCCGGCACCAGTGCGATGTTGAAGACTCGCCTGCCGATACTCTAAATCGGCGCCCGATATCGTAAGACGTCGGAGGAGGATTCAATGCCTGATGTTGAAGCTGATGTTCGAGCCATGTCGCACCGAGAGCGCCACGACGAGAAGGGCGCTCCAGACACACAGTATGAGATAGATGCAATGCATTGCTGCGCTCGCATTCGACGGGAAATGCCATGCCTGGCCTACTCTACAGTAGCATTCGACGGGAAGATGGGCCAGCATTGGACGGGAGGATGAGTTGTGGCAGTCGCTGATTTGCTGAGGAAGCGGACGCATCTGCACATGCCATGCAATGCACGAGGCAAGGCGAGACGGTTGTAGTTAAGCGGTCAACAAACTAAGCTTTTCCCGCGCAGCGGATCGTGCATAAGCCATTACTATGTGAAATTAGTATGCCGATCCCGACTTTTCGGGCAAAACGTTATTACCTATTAATCGCGCCAACCCCTACTAATTCGCTACTACTCTCGCTATCGCTACTCTTACTATCGCTATTACTTACTATTACTTACTATAGGCGCCGCTTCTTTAAGTTATTAATAATAACCGGTATACTAGTATATAGGTCGTCGTCTTCTATTAATTTAGTTAAATCTATAGGCTACTATTACTACTACTACTACTATAGTATTAACTATATAAAATCCTTTATTTACTACTCTATAAAGGTAGCGGTATTATTAATAGGTAATAGAGTAAGGCCTAGCTAATACTACGCTAGTACTAGCTTCTCTCTATTACCTACTTTAGCTCCTTTATTATATAGAGTCGGAATAGCTTCGCTACTATTTATAGGTAGTAAAGACTCTTCTTAAGTAGAAGAAGATAGTTCGAATAGGTTAGATAGAGATTATATAAGTAGTAATATACTACCTAGTTAGCTAGGCTAAGGTACTAGATAGAAGCCGAGTACTAGAGACTCTAGGTAAGGCTCTACGAGAGCTACTTCTAGAGATACTAGAGACTACTATACTACTACTTTATATAGATATTCTACTATAGCTATCTCTTTCGAAGGCCCTATAAGAGTCTTATTTAGAGCCTATTAGATAAGTAGTTATTAACGCTCTACGAGAGCGGTTATTAATAGTAGTATAGTAACTAAGGCCTATCTAATAAGTAGTTATTAACGCTCTACGAGAGTATTTATTAATAGCTATATAATAGCTATTTATAGATACTCTACGAGAGCGATTATATACTATATAATAGCCGGAGGTACTAAATTATAGCCTATCTATATATACCCGCTAAGACTCGTAGTTACTAGTTAATTTACGTACGTAGTAGTAGAGATATAGAATAGAATAGGTCTATTATTAACCTACTTCTTCCTCTTTACTATAGGTATTAAATTAACGACTAGTAAACCGGCTACTATCTATACTATAACCGAGGCTATTTTTATAAGGCTACTATATATAAGCTTAGCGTTCTTAAGCTACTAATTTATAGTTAATTCGTATACTTTACGTAAGATAGTACTATCGTTACGAAGCTAGTAAAAGGTGTTTCTAAAGTTCTCTATAATTAACCTATAATATAAGCGAATTTAGCCTACGAATATAGCTAATACTAGCTTCTCTAAGGATACTAAAGACTCGTTCTTAACGTATAGTATCTAATTATACTAATTAGTAGTAATAGTTATTATATTAATATAACTATACTAATTTAGATATACCTACTATTAGTAAGTACTTATCTAATAATTTATATAGAGATAATACTTCTAGATATACTTATAAGGTAATTAGAAGCGGAACTAGAAGCGGTAGTTATATTTAGAAGGCGTTATTAAATCTATAGACTCTAGCTAATCGATTAAGGCCTTATAAATAGGTAATACTTCGTCCTTATTATAATAGGCTCGCTCTACTTCTTCTTTAAGTACTACTTACGTTATAGATAGTAGAGATCGAAAAGTAGGTACCTATAGTATACTCTAGTAGGTAGTAGTAGTAAAGATATTATTTTTATATCTCTCTATACGGATTTACGGCTTTTCGTCGTATTTAAGCGTATTAAGGGTAGTACCTATAATTAACTAGTAGACTATACGTTATTTATTACTAGAAGCCTTAATTACCGAATAGTAGCCTTTAAGAGAGCTCGTAGTTAAGTACTATAAGTATAGTTAGTAACTAGTTAAAATTTAGCCTACTAAAAGCTTAGCTCTTAGTAATAGCTAAAGTCGCTAAAGCTATAGTAAAACGCGAAAATTACGTACTAAATCGTAGGCTATTAATAGTCCGTCGATAGCTTTACCGAAAATAGACGTTACCTAATAGCTAGATTACTAGTTTACTATTACTAAATCGCTTCTAATCTACTATATAATTAAAAAACGACTAACTTACCTATAATAATAACGGATTATCTAGTCGTAGCTACGTAGCCTAGGCGCGCGAGCTCTTCTTCTAGTTTTCGACGAGATATCTAGTATTTTCGTACTACTTATACCTTCTTAGAACGGCTACTACCTTATCTACGAGGCCTTCGTATTCTACCTAATTACGTACTTAGTATATAGCCTTTATTATTAATTATAGCGACTTAGCGTAGTAGCTAACTAGTAATCGCGCTATAAGAGCTTCTTTCGTATACTACTAATATAAAAAGCTCTCTATCTATCTACCGAATACTAGTACTATTACTAATCGCTCTATAGGTAAGTTATCGGTTACTACCTACTAAGAGTTCTAGTCGTTAGCCTAAGCGTATAGCTATAATAGCGTAATCGACTAAGTATCTTTTAACTACTATTCTAGTATAAAGTACCTATATAGTAACTAGTACCTATACGAGTTATAGAGGTAGATTATAAATAAATACTAGTCTAGTTCGGTAGTTTTATAGCTACTATCTATTAAAAAAAGAGAGTTAGTAAGGGAGCTATTTAGTACTACTATCTACTACTCTATAGCGTAGATAATACTACGTACTAGCTAGCTATCGATAACGTACTAAATTACTACTATTTTAAGCTACTAGCTCTTATAACTTACTAACTTAGATTTAGCCTCTAACCGAGTAGTAAACTCCTTAATTTTAAGCCTCTATATTACTACGGCTCTCGAAATTAGTATACTATTTATCTAAGTTATTACTAACTATCTATTTATTATAGTTAGTAATACGTCTATAATCTATCTTATTAGTACCTATAGTAATAAGGAGTAGATCCAACTAGATCTAAGCTAGAATATTAGCTAGTTATAGATTAATACTAAGTATACCTTTACTACTATAGATAGACTATCCGAGATATCGAAATAGTCGTATATAGTTACTTCGTAATTCTACTCGTAATTCTAGCTATTTTTAATAGTTCTAGTAGGCTAGATTTCGATAGAGTAGTAGGTACTAGCGCTAGCGTAGTATCGATATACTAGGGCTACTAATATCTTATAATCTAGCTAAGAGATTAGTACTAGTATTAAAGGGCTACTATAATACGTAATTTACTTATCTAATAGATTCTTTAGAGCCGTTCGCTATTACTACTAGTAGGTTCTAGTCGATAAGCGTACCTACTATATACGTAAAATAGCTATATATAGAGCGTAGTACCCCTATTATACTATTACTTATTAGTCTTTACTTTACGCTATATATTACTTATAAATAGCTAGTATAATACGAATTAATCTAGCGTCTATTTAATACTACTTTTAATAGTATAGACGGCCTATTATACTAATTTTAGGTCTATAGGTACGCTATAATCTATAGAGCTAGTAGTTACTATAATAGTAGTTAGTAATAGTACGTAAACGATAGATAGTAAGAATAATACCTATAATCGATAATAAAGTAGTAAATTAAGAGAAATAGGTTAAAGATAGGATTTAGGCTTATTATAACTAATTTATATAGTAAATACCGCTTACTAGATCGGGTTATACCCGGTATAGATCTTAATTAAGCTAACTCGCTAGTAACTGTTAATACTATAGTAGTACGTGTAGTAGTGCTTACTAGCTATAGGGACGAGAGTTTAGGTTATTAACTTGTTATCTATAACTCATCTCCCCAATCGATAATGTGCAGTGGAGCCGTGTGCCTTGCCAATCCGCTCGGCAGCCGGAGTCTACCTTACCTACTGTCAACTTGAATGCCAGGTCCACGTCCTCTCCCACATGCTCTCCCACGACCTCTCCTCTCCCAGCTCGGGTGCCCCTCCGAACGGCGTTTTACCCTCACGCTCGCGCCTGGAGCGCTTATTATTGTCGACGGGCAGTGCTGCAGGTCGAAGCGGCGGTGAGACCCGCTCACATCGGTGCAGTGAGGTGCAGCGACGATGGCGATGGGTCTCATGTCATGGTCATGGTGGCGGGAAGGTCCGTCTCGGCAATGTCACTAAGCGAAGGCCCCCGGAACATCTCGGCCCGAGATCACGTGTCGGAGCTGTCTCTCCAGAGTGATATCACTCCAGGCTTCAGCTACATTGCCCCGGTGGAACGAAGTGTGAAGCTTGGAAACGGTACAACGACGCGGTCCCGAGACACGATCCTCCCGTCGCGTCGCGTACCAACCATGCGCGACTTGCTTTCAGTACTGAGCACAACACGGCTTCCGAAACGAAACGATTTTGCCTGCCGAGGGAAGGCATTGGATGCTCTGCTCTCGGGAAGGGTCCAGCACTCGCCCACCGTGACCCCTCCAGCGCTGCCGCCCAGCACAACCTGGACTGTGCCGTTGACCATGCCTTCATCCATGACGGCTTCACCCATGACTTCTTCCAGTAGCGATAGCAAGGCGAAATCCGCTGCCGGGCTCCCAAAGCTATGCAGCATTCTGGCCGAATCACTAAGCCAAATGTGAAAGCGGGAGTGGATCATCGAGAACCCAAAATGCCCACGCGAGCCACTACGCCTACGCCGGCCAAGGGACTGAGATAGGAGTATCAGTGCTTCCTCCTCGTTCATCAACACCTGCCACCGTAACTTTCACAGCACGACAACTGCCAACATGCCCATCCAACGCATCACCTCATTCAAATTCACCAACGAATCGGACGTCCCGGGCTTCCTGGAGCAGTACAAGGTTCTGGAGAAGGAGAACCAAAAGGTATGTCACATGGAACCCGGCTCGCCGCCTCTCAGAGCTCATATCTTGTGGCCTCGCAGGATGGGAAGCCCTACGTGCTCTCCGTGAACGCCTACCCCCTCGTCTCCGATCCACGCAATCAGGGCTACAACGTCAGCGCCGTGACCATCTTCAAAGACATGGAAGACGTCAAGTATTACGACGATCAGTGCGAGGCGCACAAGAATCTGAAGGCCTGGGCGGGTGGGAAGGTCCAGACTGCACCTTTGACCTTGTTGATGGAGGTCCCTGCGTGATGGGAATCACAGAAGAAGAGTTGGACTAGTCGTTTGGAAGGTGGGAGAACGCCGCAAGGCAGGACACAAAGAAAATCTTGTACAACGGAATCGAGAGTCAGATTGACATGATGTAGACGCAGGATATGGCTGGATTGCCGAGAATTACACGAGATCTCTGTCTCTCTCTCTCTCTCTCTCTCTCTCTCTCTCTCTCTCTCTCTCTCTCTCTCTCTCTCTCTCTCTCTCTCTCTCTCTCCATGTTCGCTTCTAGAAAACACACCTTCCAACAACTGCACGGCTTCCCGCCACAGGCTGACACTGCCGACAAGCACAAGAGCGAGCCCTCCGATATGGCTTGCAGGTACCGGTGCTCTGCGCGGCGGGAGTGTGATCAATCAAGCAAGCTTCCGGAGAGCACAAGATCTGCGGACAGCAGCTAGCACCTCTGCCTGTCCCTGACTGACTCTTCAGAAGCCTCTTCATCAGGGAGGGAAAAACCGCCCGCCCGCCTGCCTCATCATCCTGCAAGCCAACCTCGCTTCTTCGCGCAAGCCATCATCTGCACCACAGCGACATACACGACATGTACCTCCTTGCCTCCCCATCGCGCGAGCAAGCATCTCTTATCGGGGAGATCGAAAAGCCTCGTTATCGCCAAGACCAAGATCAAGATCAAGATCTGCTGCTGCTCCTGCTGCTGCTCCTGCTGCTGTTGTGGAAGCAATAATAATGCCACTTCACACACACACCTTTATCTCCTGCCCATGCCATGCTATGCTATGCTATGCTATGCTATGCTATGCTATGCTGTCTCGCACGTCGTGTCAAAGACGGGCGGGAATCTCTTGCATCCATCCTCCAACGCACGCACGCACCGAACACGTCTCCCGTAGCACCACGATCGGGAAATCTCCCTCGCTCGTGTCTCTGGAGTCTTTTCTTGTCTCATCAATCGGGTGAAATCAAGCGAGCGGAAATGATTGGTTCATGCATGGCCCACGATGTGATGAATATGAATGTTGAGAGTTGAGTGAATGAATGAATGAATGAATGAATGAAGATTGTCCATGGAACCCAAAACTCCAATAAAGGCAGTAGGTAGTAGTAGTACTTCTGGGTATCTTGGAACGCTGACGACTTGATGCCCCTCAAACGAAAGAATAGAAAAAGAAAAGACACCGTACCGAATTGCGCCTGCCTGCCATCCAACTCACTTCTTCTTCCCCTTTCCCTTCTTCTTCCCAGCAGTAGGCGGCGGGTCTGGCAAGCTCACACTCCCATCAATCACTTCCTCCCCCTGAGCCTGCAATTCCTTGACCTTTTCTTGGCTGGATATGAACATGGTCAAGTCATGGTTCATCTCCTCGAGTTCCCTCTTCTCCTCCTTCGCCTTATCGGCTTCCTTCTTCGCCTCTTCCGCTTGCGCCTCGGCAGCTTGGATCCGCTTCATCAGACCTTCGTTCATCGTCTTCTCCTCGCGAAGCTGCGACGTCACCTGTCTAGCCATCTGCTCGAATTTGGCCCGACTCTTTTCGCTCTTTTCGACTCTGCTTTCCAATCGTGACACGGCTTCCGACATGCTTTGGCGTTCGGCGCGCGCTTCTTCGAGCTCCGCATTTGCTTTGCTGGCGGCTATCCCAGCTTCTTCAGCTCTTGCCGACGCTTGCGAAGCTTTGTCGACAGCACGTTCGACCTGTTCCTCAAAGTAGCGGCGTTGGCCTTCCAATTGAGATGTCAAGAGATAGGTGTATTCCGCTGCCATGCTTTCCATCTTCTCTCGTGGCACGCTATCGCCGCCCTCCGCCCGGAAAGCTTCATTCTCATGTCGTGTGCGAGATGAAAGGTCGATCGTGCCTCTGCTGCTGCTGCTGGAATCGGGCGCGGGTTTGCTCTGGATCAGGCGATGTACGTAGCCATCACCAGCATAGTCCCAGACGTGCTGCGTGTTGATGTCCATGGCGTAGCAATGACTCGTCGCCTCGTAGTGTGCGTAGGCGTGAGCATCATCGTAACGTCCGCAGCCGATGTTGCCGCAGATGAGGCAGACCCACAGATTTGAAGTCCTGGCGCAGATGGAGCATAGAGGCTCGGCGTCTTCGTCTTGGACGCTACCGTCTGGGCGCGGATAGGGAAATGTGTAGGACGGAGAATGAGTATATCGGCAGACCGGACATCCTGAGCCTCGCCACTTTTCCAGGCAAGCGCAGTGGAATACATGTTGGCATAGGATCGTGAGTAGCCCAGTCGTCTCGTCCATCCGCTCCAGACACACCGGGCACGTTGGTAACTCCATGAGATTCGGTGGCGGCGGCGCAAGAGGCTTGCTCAGCAGACTCTTGCCGGTGCTATTTGCATGTGACATGGCCGTGAAAGGATCGTTGGTATTGTGAGGGAAGTTGCTGATGGTAGCGCCATTCTCCTCATCCGGAGAGAGGAACTCGACGCTCTTGATGAAGACAACATGGCAGTTCTCGGGCTCCGCTGCACTGAACAGTCTGCCGTTGTGTGCCTTCTGCCAGTCGCGCGCCTTCTTCGCCGATCGAAACTTCATCAAGACCATGTATTTATTCGCTCTGCCCGTTCTTATCAAGCGAAAATGGGAGACGTCCTCTCGCGCCTGATCGCCTACAAAGCCAAGCAGGTCCGAAGGCATCATCCACGAGGGCACGGCAAGTATACACAAGGTCGTGCAGTCCTCTGGATTGAAGCCATCCTCGCCATCCTTCAAGCCCTTCCGCGATGTGTCATCTCCTCCCAGCATGGAACTCTCCTCCGTATCTCGATATAGATGCACCACGCCCCATCCTACCTCGGTGGTCTTTGGGTCGGAGGGCCAGTAAACGGCCTTTGTATGTAGTCCACCATTCGCCGTGCCACGCTTGCTCTTGCTCTTGCTGCTTTCCATATCGATGCTCTCAATCTCCACCGCGTCGTATCGCCAGTCCCTCGCCGCAGCCTCGTTCGAGTGCTTGATCTTGGCCGATGTCCAAGACGGCGCTTTGACTTCCGTCTTCAGCCTCAAGCTACGCTCTGGCAGCAACAGTGCATCACCATGCGACTCGGTGTGCCCACTCGGCGGCGACAGTGCTCTCTGAGCAGGTGATTGCGACCTCTCGAAAGAGCCTGACTGATATCCGTTTCGCGATGTCGTGTCCTCGAGGCTGACGGTTGTCTTTGCAAATTTATAGCTCTTCCACTTGCTAGTCTTATGGGCAGGCAGAGGTGCCTTGAAGATGTCGGAGCTCGGAGGAGGTACAAATGTGTCGTGGTCGTTGGTCGAGTGCAGTAATTCTCGTTGTTTGCTGGAGCTCGTGGTACCTGGTGTTGAGTAGAGCTCGAACTTCAGGTGGAAGAAATACGAAGGCATTAGAGGAAATCCAAAGACTGGCCGTTACCTACGCTCCTGGTGGGTATGGTGGGCATCTTGTTGTATTGATGCGGTTCTTGCCTTTGACGAAGCGAGATTCGGCCACTCCCGGCGATGGCACATTGATCACTCCGACGGCGAGGTGTAGACGTTGCTGGAATAGTTCTCTCCCACGAAGCGGATCGCACAGTGTTCACAGTCGATCACAAGAAACGCCGATATCGGAGCAGAGCGGCGCTTCATTAATAGCGACTCCAGCGACATCAGCAATACATCCATACCATAGCGACAAAGAGACTGAAATGTGAAATGGTTGAAAATGCGAGGTCTACACAGCTTCACAAGGCACGAAGGCCGCTGCATTCAAATTCTGTATGCTAAACCGCATATCTTGTGTCAATCCGTGTGGCTACCGCGCTCAGGCTGGTGCCATGCTCATAAACTCGTGCCTAAACCGCCCCAAAACTCCCTTGATGCAACGAGACCCTTTATTGGCCTCCACGAAGACGCAGCACCAAGTGCAGCGTGCTCTCCTTCTGGATGTTGTAGTCTGAGAGTGTGCGACCGTCCTCCAGCTGCTTACCAGCAAAGATGAGTCGCTGCTGGTCCGGTGGGATACCCTCCTTATCCTGAATCTTCGACTTTACGTTGTCGATTGTGTCTGACGATTCAACTTCCAGTGTGATGGTCTTGCCTGTGAGAGTCTTGACGAAGATCTGCATACCACCGCGGAGACGGAGAACCAGGTGCAGTGTCGATTCCTTCTGAATGTTGTAGTCGGAAAGAGTGCGGCCGTCCTCAAGCTGCTTACCGGCGAAGATCAAACGCTGCTGGTCGGGAGGAATGCCCTCCTTGTCTTGGATCTTCGACTTGACGTTGTCAATGGTATCCGATGACTCCACCTCGAGGGTGATCGTCTTGCCGGTGAGGGTCTTGACAAAGATTTGCATACCACCACGCAGGCGGAGGACGAGGTGGAGGGTGGACTCTTTCTGGATGTTGTAGTCCGACAGGGTACGGCCATCTTCAAGCTGCTTTCCGGCGAAAATCAGGCGCTGCTGATCTGGAGGAATGCCCTCCTTGTCCTGGATCTTGCTCTTGACGTTGTCGATCGTGTCAGAGCTCTCGACCTCGAGAGTGATGGTCTTGCCGGTCACTGCAGTCAAAGTCAGTACGCTGCTGATGAAGTTTGTGTTGCCACCTGTCGGCAGGCAGCTGCTGATGGCGGGGTATCACTTACGGGTCTTGACGAAGATCTGCATGATGGCGATCTGATGTGTGTGACTTGATGGATGTGGGTTTTGTCTGCTGCCAATGGATGTGCTGCTGGTGTGTCGGCGGACGTACGTGCGTGAGAAGGGTTGGTGAGATTTGGGTGGGTGTAGGAGGAAGAGATTGAGTCGCGGAGGGAAGTGCTTAAGAAGGGCAGAGGGGCGGCAACTCAGCCACAAGGTGCACGTGCCAGAAGTCGCGCGTCACTTCCCCAGAAGGTTCCACAAGGTTTGTCAGGCACGCCCGGGCGCATCCAGCCACCTCTGCCCAATCAGCAGCTATCCTTCGCTCGCATTCACCTCACTTCAGAACGGCAGTCAGCGGGTATTTGCCACCACCTCACCACCTCGACCTTGATGTCTCATGCCTCATGGATCATTCGCGCGAGAATTCACCTTGATGTCGTGGTGAGTTGATCACATGCCGATGCACGCCATGACAACGATGAGAGTTGCATTCAGCTTATCAGCGCGCCATACCACTCCAAGCAGCTACTATCGGAGGTACGGTCGGTAAACCACGGAAGTCTCGCGGCTAGCACGATGCACGACTTCTACTGGCAGCTGGATGCGATACGCAGGAATTCCATTCGCCCTACCGCCGCAATCCATATGGCGTGCCGTCTGCAGCAACTGGCGAGACCGCAAGCACCCGTCCTATGAATGATTCTGGCTTACCGTGCCGCGCGCTTCAATTAATAACACATCAAACTCGATCGCAGGCAAAGGCAACACCACGACGGAATCCAGAGCGAAAACTTGTTCACGGAACATGATGATTCGGCCATGATACGCCCTTTGAAACCGATGTTACCCTTCTTGCCAACATGGAGTGATGTAGTATGTTGCTTGAGTACGCAAAAGCCAAACTTTTCCGACGCTCTCGTCTGCGCATTATCTCTGCCATCTCTGTGGTGTATACAAGGGTGCCGCCAACTCCTCTGGTCAGGTATCTGTGCGGAAACTTCCCACCCGCTCATTCAAGGCACCGAAGCCCTGTGCGCATCTCTTCGCCTCAGTCATACTTCTCAAGACTGGAAAGCAACCTCCCCACGAAACGGCTTCCTCCCGAACGTCACCGGCATTGGGAAGTACGCGTGGATCTTCTTATTCCTGAGATCCGCTGCGATCTTGGCAACAAACACGTCCACTTCTTCCTTACTCCAACCCAGGCCTCTCGTTAATAGCGCCATGCAGAACCCCTCCAAGCCCTCGATGATGTTGACTTGATTCCACCTTCCGAGTTCCTTCATGAAAGGGTCCTTGGGCCATGAATTGGAAGGCCACATGAACATCTTCTGTTGAATATCGACAAATCCCGCATCACGCATCCATTCCTCGTATTTTGTACTGACGTCGGAGCCCATAGGTCTGCCGAGCTTGCGAGCTGCTTCACAAAGCAGTTCGCCCCATCGAAGCAGGTCAGTTCCTATGTGGCTCTGGTCGAATGACTTTACAGGCAGACCATAGTCCTGGAGTTCGAGCCAGCCGCCTTCTTCAAGGTTATCGAATGCCTTCTGCAGGAGTGATGGCCAGTCTGCGAAGCAACCTGCCATGAGTCGCGCATGAATGAAGTCAAACTTCTCCTCATACAGCCAGTCATCCTCGGCGTCATCAATGACAAACTTCACGTTTGGTGGTACCATGGTGGGCTGTCCAGGACTGAGGTCGATTCCCGTGACTTGGCAGTCTGGAAAGTCATCGGCCAAATCGACCGCCCAGATTCCAGTTCCAGTGCCTACGTCCAGACATCGTCTCGGATTCTGCAGTGGCGCAAAGAACAGCTTGTAGGCGTAAGTTATCCGAAATAGGTGGTGTTGTAGGTCGAGACGATCGGCCTCACGCTAGGCTTGGTCAGTTCCCATTGAGATCTAAGGCAGCAGACAGTCCGACGCTTGGCATACTTCATCATTGGGGAAGATATACTTGCCATCTTTGTATGCTGGTTCAATTGTCAGCCGCATGGAGATTTAGCGTAGCTTACGAATACCGACCATGGTACGTTCGACCGTGTTCTTTGCGATGATTGTATATGGATTCACTCAAGCTGGTCGTTCGGCTTGATCTGCGGGTACCGGTCAGCATGATGACGGCCAAGGTCGGACAGGGCATGGGCGCATACGCATCGCTACCAAGAGCTGAGTCGCTGTCAAGCTCCTACAGAATCGCAATCAGACAAGCCCCCGTGACGCCTCCATCAGCGCCTCCCCTGGGTGAGGTGAAACGCACATCTGGTTCCAGGTGCTGCTCATTTGCCATCTGGCCATTCCGAGTTACTGGTTGAGGCATGCCTCCTGTCGCTGTCGGTTGAGATGCCGAAGATGGGACCTCGTCCTGCGGCGCTGAATCTTCAGGCCGGACTGCCGTGTTGCGGGCATTATTGTGGACCGATTTGGAAGCGGGATCGGATAGAGCGGTACCAGCCTGAGCGCTACTCTGGCTCTGCCGCGCGTTTGGCTGTTGGCCTTGAAGGGAAGCCACGTAGTCTTGATGTCCTCGTAGCTTGTCTTCCAGCTCTCGTTGAATTGCCAGTCGCTGAGCGTCCGCATCGTCTTCCACGCGTTGATGATGATGGGGTGTTGTAGTGCTGCCAGCGGTAGACGCCTGGCCCGAATCCGAATCCATCTTAGCCGAGCGGCCGGGCCGTTTGAGCCGGAAGGCAAACAACCGCCTTGGTGAACAATGGAAGCTTGGAGCCTGACCTTTTCCGTCCGCAGTGCGCAGACACGACTTTCACCTGGGTGGCGATTTCTCTCCGATGGTGACGGGGGCGACAGTCCTGAGTTCTATTCGCCCGTCCGAAAGCCCAGGCTGCGAGATGTCGACGAAGGGTGTCACCGCGAGGCCGCCGTCCAAGTTTTGCGGCCACACCCCCGTGGGCGAAGCGTTGACGAAGCTGCGTGTCGTGCCGCACCACCAGAGAGCATTAGCATGGATACACCTACGAACGCCTGCACGCCTGAGCTTAGCCTGAACCACGGGACAGAGCGAAGGCTGGCGGACAATGCAAGCGGCTCCACGAGCGAGTCTCGGCCGTCCACAAACCCTACGGGCAGCTCCCCAAATACGCGCAGCTCCCCAGCATAACGCTTAATAACGTTATATAGTCTCCACACTTTACCCTAATCAGTATATTATCCCCCCCCCCTACCCTTCGCTATACCGAGGTCCTCCTACGAGATCCTCCCTCCCTTCGGGGGGCCCCTCCTACCGCGGGCCTCTTCTAGGTTTACTTCGATATAGAAAAGAAAGATACTAGTAGCTCTCGCTAGGTAGGTAGCTTGATTCTGCATTCTAGGGGTAGCATAGGTTGGATTCCTTGGTAGTATAGAAATTAGCTAAATATATACGTAGGTGTAGAGAGTAACGTTACTAACGTTATGCTGGGGTGGTCTCGGATCCGACCGGTGCTCCTTGCCATCATCTCCATCGGAGTATTTGAGGTGCACGACGGATGGTGGCCTTGGGCGTCTGTCCGCCTCCTCCCAAGTCTCAGGTGTTCCATACTGCAGTACATCTCGCACGGCAGCGCCAGCCAGCGGCAGGCCAAAGGTCGCACAATCCTGGTGCTTGGGTGGTGGTGAGGTCGACTCGCTACGGCGTTGCTGCGGGCATGCAGCATGCCGGACAGGCCTCCAACAATAGAGCCAAGGCCAGTCATCCGGTGGGGTTTTGATGAAGGCGGCCCGTGATTCTTCTACCCTTTCCAGCAGCCCTCGCCATGGCTCATTGGCGGCACCTCACCGTTCGGGAGCTACTATTTACATGCCTACTGACAGCTACCTCCCGCCGTACGCGATGGAGCACAATTGCATAGCATCATCGCTTGGACTCTGTGCATAGTCTCGCCGGAAAGAACGACGGCCGCCCGCTGGATCACTGATTCAGCGAGTGCAGGATGCATCCACATCGTTGTCAGGAGGGGAGGAGTCCTGATTCTGCCCCAATTCAACCGTCCTTCCCCGCCATACTAAACTTAAGTTATCACTGAATCTTCTCTCATTGCAGTGTTCGTTCCTTCCACATCTCAATGGCATCTGGCACGCCGCGTATACCCGCCAGGTCCACGTGCTACGCCTCCTGATGCACGTTTGCGCAGCGGAAAGCAACACGAGGCAACACACAAACCATTCGAGCAATCAGAGCGGACGGCCTCGTCCCAGCGAACTGGAAAGCTGACCGCAGTCTCTCAACACACCCCCTGCACGACGCTCGAAACCGCCGCAACGCCCAACCAGCCCGCCAGCATGGTCGCCGTGGCACCCACTGTTCTCATATTTGCATTGATTGTCGTCTTGCTCGTTCGAAGCGTGCGACAACACCAAGCTCTCAAAGATTTCGGCGGCCACTGGCTAGCAGGATGGTCTCGACTATGGCTTTTGAAAACGCAAGGCAGCGGTGAGATGAACAGGCGGTTCACTGAAATCAACAACAAGTATGGTACGTACATGTGCTTATCCAAGCCACCTCCAACCCACGTTTTGTTCGGCCCGAGTCTACGGAACGCTCGTCAAGGATCTGACTTGAGGCTTCTGGTTACACCAACGGCCTGATCCCGATCTGATCGGCTGGGTAGTCACATGCCATGATACCTCTGGTCGAGGCCTTTCCGTGGACCCTGTTTCGGATGTCATTGCACCTTGACTGTACCACCTGGAATGGCGGCTCACACGCTTGATAGGTTCGACGGCGCGAATCGCACCTGGAATGCTCATCACCTCTGACCCAGAGCTGTTCCGTCGCATGAACGCTGTACGGTCGCCGTTCACACGCGGTCCCTGGTATGCAGCATTGAAACTCCACCCGGAGCGGGACAACATCACATCTTACGTGGACGAGCGCAAACATGCCGATATTCGGAGTCGTATGGCCCCGGGCTATTCGGGAAAGGAGAACTTGACCCTCGAGGAGGATGTGGATGTCACTCTGCTCCAAATGCTGGAGCTCGTAAAGGAAAAGTACTTGAATCGACCAGACCAGGGTGTCTTTCGCAAGGTCGACCTCAGCCGGGTGACCTCTTACTTCACTCTAGATGTCATCTCCAAGGTCGCATTTGGTCAGCCGTTCGGCTTTCTCGACAACGATGACGATCCGTTCGGCTACATTGAGAATCTCAAGTCGTTCCTCCCAGCCGTTATCGTATTCGGCGTGTACACGGAGCTCACTAACGTGCTTAAGATACCGTTGCTGAAGTCTGCGTTGCCAAAGTCGACTGATAAACGCGGACTGGGGCGAGTGATGGGATTCGCTGCGGATCGCGTGAGAGAGCGGTTCGGCAATAAGCCTGTCTCGAGACCTGATATGCTTCAAGCCTTCATCAACAAGGGCCTCACTCAGGCTGAACTGGAGAGCGAGACTCTCACTCAAATCACGGCAGGGTCAGACAGCACGGCGTCCTCTCTCCGCCTAATTCTGCACTTCGTATCAACCAACCCACCGGTCTTAGAGCGTCTCCTGGCTGAAGCGAAGGCCGGCATCGAAGGTGGACGCATCCACCGGCCCGTGATCAGAGACGCCGAAGCGAGAAAGCTACCATACTTGCAGGCGTGCATCAAGGAGGGACTTCGAGTCTATCCGCCCGTCACGGGTCTTCTTGCGAAGCGCGTGCCGGAGGGTGGCGCCAAGATCGAAGTCGATGGCGTGGAGAAATTCGCTCCGGGCGGTACGCAGATCGGCTGGAACAGTTGGGGCATGATGCGACAGGAGGGCATTTTTGGGCCGGACGTTGAAATCTACCGACCGGAGCGCTGGCTGCCACGGGACACCAGCGAGAAGGAACGGGACCGCATCAGACGAATGACGGATACCGTTTCGTTGGCATTCGGCTACGGCAGATTTGGTTGCCTTGGGCGTGGCGTCGCGACAATGGAGCTGAACAAGGCTATCATCGAGGTGAGTAGTGCTATCTACAATGGCAGAACTTTGAACTAACGCACGAAATAGACCTTGCTACGCTTCGACCTGCAGCCTTGTAGCCTCGCCAAGCCATTCGACGAAAGTGTTGTCGGTTTCTACATTCACGACAACATGAATTTCGTTGTCAGTGAGCGCAGAGAAGATGCCGCCCGAGGCTTCGAGACCGACACGGCCTTTGATGCTGGCGCCATTGCTGGCGCCTATGAATCTTGAGCGCCCTGCTTCGACTAGGTCATCAGCTCCACGACGTTCTTCACATTCCTAGTCGAATACTTCCGACTCGTTTGCAGGCATGGCATTGTCGGCAAGCGTTTGCGTGTGGCGTCAAACGACCACCAGATTGCAAATACCCCAATGCGCGGACCTGATTAGGCAGATTGATAATTCATCTCATAGTTCTAGCTCTATTGAAACCTGCCAGGACTCTATAGCTATATTTCTATGACACGCCGTTCGATATCTTCACATTGAGTGGCCTCCACACCGTCACAACTACAGCCGTGCTCGGACCTGGTTCTGTTTCTTCAGTGGCTCGGCCTCGCCATATCGATCAACCTCCCCGTCTCTTCCAGGCGCATCACTCTTCTTCGGCGCACTGACATATCCTCCCTTGACGTTATCCGTATTCACAATGTTGCCCCTCTCATCCCTCTTAATCCCGAGCTCCACCAACTTTGCGAATACTTTTGCGAAATCCTCAAAGAATCGGTCTGCATCCTTGGCATACAGCTCTACCCAAGGTCGAAAACTCTCGTCTCCCACCAACGCCAGGTCGGTCGGCAACATCATCAACTCTTCTTCTGCATCTTCATCGTAATAGACGTATTGTCTCACGCCATTATCGAGCACCTTTTCTCTCCACTCACGCGAGAGCATGAGTTTGAAATATGTATTACTGAACCTCGTGGGATTGTTCACCCACGCGCCTTCGAATCCACTGCGATCGGAATGGCATCTCCCGAGGTTATGCGCTCCGCTCAACGCCACGATTTCCTGATCGGTGAATCCCATGCGACCGAAGATGTGTCGGAGATGGTCACCTCCCAAGGCTCCGTCGGGTAATCTGCCCCTGGGAGGGAGTTTGGAATCATCTACAAAGTCGGTTCGGCCTGGTTTCCAGGTGATTTCGGGACCGCCCATCTGTTTGATTGCCTCGACGCCTGCGAGGGTCCAGAGGTCGGAGTAGGTGATCCAGGGGTGTTGCGCTTTCACGGGTTCGAGGAAGACGCGAGCGTGCTGTAGGCCGGCGTTTGCGGGATCGCCTCCCTCTGCTTCGTAGCGCATTCCGGCGCCGTTGGAGCCGCCTGTGTCGCTTTCCGCGCAGTAGGTCCCCGCGGAGTGCCAGGCGAGACGGACGAGGACGGGACCCGCGGAGCCGTCATCGTATTCGGGCTGGTTGAGGAGGGAGGCGATTGATGCGCGGACGGAGGCGTAGTCGCCTGGTTTGCTGGAGGCCATTCTGTGGGGTTTTGAGGACTGGGGACTGGGGATGGTGGAGGTGCACGAAAGGTAGAGAAAAGAGAGAGAGGGTAACTTGTCTGTTGCTTACATGCGAGCAGAGTCCTCCATAGAGTCCATGCTCGTCGTTGTCGCCATCAATTGTCCACGCCGTCATGCAGCCGAAAGCAGCATCCAAATACCGAGCACGCGAAACGGGAAGAACCCATGCCTCGGCTTATTGCCTCCGTTATCTCGTGCACGTTCCTTGATCGCTGGTCAAAGCAGCCGCTGATAAGGCGTGGATGAGAGAAATTTGAACATCCCGAGAATGAAGCGGAACGTATGAAGTCGACGACGTCAAGGCTGACCACCGGCTAAAATTTAGTGTAGAGCACCATATCCACCGATCTCTCGTGGATACACGTGAGGTCCTGTGGATGTGACGCAAGTCAGCCTTGGAGACGGCCGTGGACATTGTGGATACCGATCCGAGTTCGGCCAGATCCGGGTGTGAGACATGCTGAGGCCATCCGTGGACGGCCTCGATCGGAATCTCTCGTCTGACATGTGAAAGCCTACCGAGGCAACTGTTTCCGCACTAGAATTAGTGATATTGATATCAGCTTTGCCAAACCTCGGCCAGGCCGCATGGTCCGTTGACGATATCTGCTTGCTCCCGGACAGTGGAAACTTGTCCTTCACCAATCATCAAGATCATATTAGTGGGACATTCAACTGGAAAGTGGTGAAGGCTGCGAGCCATCCCCAGCCCCTGGATCTATCTCTTGGCACATCCGTCACCCATTCATTCGCCTCACAATCATTTCCGACCCAGTCCTACCATCATCTCCTCACACTCCCTCATAACTCTCCGTCTCCAGTAACTGAAGAACCCCTCCATGCATTCCCACGAGTCCCACTGCCTAGTCACCAGTCTCATCGTATACTGGTATGACATACCACCAGAATAACTCCTATCCCACCTTGCCAACTTCCAAAGCGCCTTCTCCATCTTCTCCAAATTCTCATGGCGGATATCGATACTTTTGAGCGAGCACTTCCTGGCGCGGAAGACGTTTCTCCTGAAGTCGCCAAGGAAGGCGGCTTTGTTCTCCCATAGCTGGTTAACCTCCACATTGATGAGAAATTCGATGCACTCCAGCTGGCCTTGCTCGTTGATGACTCGCACGAATCTGAGATCATCCTTCTGCTTCCAGCGCACACAAATCCTTCGGAGACAGAATCCTGCCTTGTGTGGAAGAATCGTGGGTGGAGGGTCTGATCGAGGGACGAGGACCCAGTATTTCCATAAGATCATTGGAAGGATCTCATTGCGAACTCTTCTGCTGACGAGGAGCAGATTCAAAAAGGGAAATTCATTGCGTGTCATGCTTCGCAAAAATTCCGGAGTGGTGGTGGAGATCACGGTTACGCATCCACGCGATCCAGGTACGGCCAGGAGGAACAGAGCATACATCTCGTTGCGTAGCTCGGATGGCAGGGAGAAGAAATGCCGTCTCCCCGAACACCGCTGCCGTTCTGCCAGTGCACTCCGAAGGCTGTCACCCTGCCTTGAGCGCATTTTTGCCTCTGGAGTTCTCGACACTCTTGAGTCTCAGTGGGATTTGCCCATGTGAGCGGAACGCAAATGTATGAGTCTGGTTGCAGCTCATATGCTCAAGGGCAATATCCCGAAATTAGTGTCAGTGCTATTCTGTCCTCCTTAGCGTGAGACTGCTTAGTATTCTCGGCCAATCGAGTCAATCCGATAGAACATGCTGCCTATGTAAATATTCTCATGGGTCATGGAGTATGGGACTTGCTGCTTAGCGTACCAGTACTGTCGCTTCCTCGATGCTAACCTCACCTCTTCGCTATGCACACAGACACTCGTTCTCTTTCCGTTCCAACGCCGCGCTAATCGAATCAAAGTTTCCAATGCGCTTCAAATCATCTACCAGTCATCTCGTCTTTTTCTTCTTTAACTCAGATCAAATCCAGCCCCGCTGTTGACAGCAGCGAGGAGTTTCTCCCGTAATGTCTTTTCGCTCCTGTAGATCGGTAGCTTCAACAGGTTCACGCACGTGCTCGTCGTCGGATACCGGTTCTCGTCGCCCCCAGAATCTCGAATGCTGAATTTCGGATTGAGGTGGGAGAACCCCAACAGCGGTCCACGCGGCGTCGAGGTGACGAACTTCAGGACCTTCCGGCGTTCTTCGTCCGGCAACTTCGACATGACTTGCCAAAAGAGCTGTACAGAAGGATGTTCCTGACCATCATTGCCAATGACATATACGCCGCCGTACTGTGTATTCTTTCTGAGATCGTTCACATCTATCCCCGCCGAAGCACCTCCGATGAGTGTCTGCAGTTCCGATTGATTGAACATCGACAACCACGAAGGTTGGATGATATCACCAAGGCCTCGCAGAAATGCAGTCGTCTGTCTCTTGCTCTGTAGCTGTAGCCTGTATGCCGCTACGCGGTTGATGTAAGAGAGTCGATTTTCATTCGTCACAGGCGTGTTAGCACCGTTCGGAGCAAGATCGACTTCAACAATGCGCCTCTCGCCGGGAGGTCCGACCTCATCGTTGATAGTGAACGACAAGGCGATATCTTCGGCATTCTCGGCGTTCTTGAGATCCAGTAGACCTTTGTACAGACGAGGATCCAATTCTCGGAGATCATTGATATTCGGTCGATAGTGTGACTCATTCGGAGCGCTACCAGTGCCACCAGTGAGGGCCCATTTCTTGAGGAAGAATCCGGCAAATGACACGTCGACTAGGATGCCTTCATACAAACATTTTCCGATGATGCGGCCCAGGAACTCATATTGCTTGTGTAGGTCCCGCAGATACTCGCGCATTTCTGAAGAGCCGTCCTCGACGCCGGCCTTTTCTACGTCGATCTTAAGATCCTCGAAGGCTGTAGGACTGGGATAGAGTAGGTGTTGGTCATTCTCGACGAAGAACCTCTGGCGGTAATCAGCTGCTTGATCGAATGCCTGGCCGATCACACTGTTGAGAAATTCCTAACATGGTCAGCTGGCGCGGCATCGATCACCGGACAGTATATTACATACCTTTGTGACACCACCGCCGTCGATACCAGCCTCCGGTTGATCCCACCTATCGATGAAGGTGATTTGAATGGGCTCCTTGAGATCAGCACCTAGGTCATAGAATTGCTGGTAGGCGTCCGAGAACTCCTGCGTGCGCTTTATCTTGGCATGGTGCCGTTCCAGAGGGTCTCGATGCATGCTCTGCGGCTGAAACATCATATTCTGTCTCCAGAGGTCAGGGTCTACGGTACCGTTTCGGCGTTTGGTCTGATCGAGGTAGACGAATTGTCGGAAGATCTCCACTCGTGTATGGAAGGGAATGAAGAAGGGCATGTTCTGCAGAATCTCCAACCTGGGGGCAACGGACGCGAGATACCTTTTCCTGCTGGCTTTCCGCTGCGCCCGAGCGCGAGCTTCTTGCGCCCGAAGTACACGAGCATAGCCAGACGGACTGGATCGAGCCATTCCGTTCACAGTGCCGATATCTTCATCTTCGGACTCCTCATCCTTGTCCTCGTCGTCTTGCTGCTGCACCTGGTGGCGCGACTCCTCTTCAGCGACCACACCGGGAATAAATGCTTGCATATCGAATCGATCCGTCATGAGCCAGTGGTTCTTGGGCAGGAAATTTCGACGAGAGTCTCGCTCGTAGATCGCGCGAAGAAGTCCAGTGACGACCCCTTTAAGATAATCGAACGTCAATCCGGGTAGACCAGCAACGGTCAAAGGCTTTATCTCGGTGGGCGCGAAAGCATTGCTGGAGGAACCAAATCGACGACCAATTGAGCCTTCGTCCCGCGCGGGCGTTGGGGCTGCATCGTTCAACTCAGCAGCATCAAAGTACATTGTGAAACCAAGATTCTTCAGGAACGTTACCAGCTGAGCGACATCTGCGAGCGGGACTGCGCTGTTTCTCTTGCCGCGGGGATTGCTGCCGATGAACTCTTCGTCGTCCATTATTTTCAAATCAAATGAGAACATTTCCAAGAACACCAGCAAGATGGCCCAATCGTCGCGCTGCTGGGCACTAGGCTTGGGTGTCTTTAAGAGCGAGACGACACCTCTTGATGAAGACTTTACTTCACTGAAAACGTTAGACACCTTGGCAGCATTCCACAAGTAGCTTATTGGTGAAGCTCCTCCCGTTGTCGGTCCCAAATGAAGCCACATTCGGATTTCATCTGCTCTTCGCGGAAAGCAGCGCAGGAGCGTCAGAGCGTAACCCGCTAGAATTCGCGCATTGTGGCTGCCGGTGAACTCGCCTGATAACAGGTTGCGAATGGCGTTCTGATCAAGAAGACTGACAAACTGCCGATGGAGGAAAGCATTGAGCGGGAAGCCTGACGGTACCTTGGACAAAACGTCCCGATCGAAGGTCTCGTTGTCCAGTTCCAGAGGCTGCGTTTCGAATTCGACGTCGTCCGCTAGTGATCCTAGGAGTCGTGCAACGGCGGCCGTGGATGTCATATCTTTCGTCCCTCCGAGCAGGGAGATCAAATTTCCCAGCAACCACAGTCTCTCCCGACTGCTGTTCGAGGTATCCTCCAAGCTGGCAGCTGTTTCGGCAAGTATCTTCGAGTCTACTGCGGCATGCAACAAGGTAAGCAGCGCAGGGTCGAGAGGTCTGGCCAGCAAAACGACCAGGCCGGAATACGCCTCCCTCGATGACTGCAGAGGTGCAAGCAGCGCAATTTGGAGAGGCTCCGCAGGCAAATCTCGAGCGATCGTAAGGACCTCATAGTATGAGATAGCTTCCGGGGTGCTGAACTGGATGTGCCTGGCGGCGAAAGCTAGTATCCCAAGCAATAACCTATCATTGTTCTCGGCTTTTCGGGTCTCGCTCTGCCCACGCACTTTCAGCGCCGCCAAACAAGCTCTTGCCAATTTCGAGTATGCACCTGGCCATTCTCCTCCAGAGCACTTGACCGACTCGGTGGTGGTGATCTGCTTGGTTCCGTACCAACATAGTCTCTTCGTGTCTTCGGGCTCGGTACGTGGCGAGAAGAAGAGCATCAACCTCCATAGCTGCCGCAAGGAGTCCTCTGCTGACTGATAGGCACCCGGTCTCTCCTCTGCCTTATCCCAAATCTCTCTCCATAGCTTGAAGGTGCGTCGCCTGGTACGATGTCCTCTCCACACCTTCTGTATCCGAGACGAGGCTTGCAGACGGTCGCGCTGAATCTGTCGGTTCAATCTGTCCTGCTGTGCGGAAGCGATGGCTTGCTGAGCTCCGGAGGCGCCACCGGTAGTACCATTTGACTTGGCAAAGGGGTTGGTGTTGCGGCCGGATAGGTTGACGTTGCGAGGGCGGCGGGAGGTGCCCGTAAATGACTGGTGCATCGCGGGGGCTTCGAGGCGGTTACGAGGATGGGGAGGTGGTGGGAGGGATGAGCGTCGTGGATATCATGGGTACGTCGTGGGATGGAGATGAGAGATTTCGTGGTCGTTGTCGTCGCCACGTGAGTGAGCGTGCTGCAACTCTGGGCTATGTGGGGGACTCGGGATAGATGTTCCTGGAGTGGCACATGTAATCGCGGCGTAGCTGCCTCTGCAGTTCCGACTGCCGGAGTTTAGCCGCAAAGTGAATTGCCTCGATCCCGAGGCTGGGCCGGCTTCACTTCAACTCCCTTACATCTTACATGCGCCGCTTGGCGAAGGCGACGAGAACAGTACGCGTACGGAGGCGTGTCCCCTAGGGCTGCACAGTTCTTCTCTCCTTCCCGCCCGCGACAATGAACATGACATGACATGACCGACGTCGACAGCAATTGCATCCGTACATACCGCACCGTCTCTCAGCCTTTCCCGATCCGCGCGCAGCAGCACAGCACAGCACAGCACAAGTACGGCTGAGATGTCCGCGCACGCCACCAGCTCACGAGCAAACGCGTTCCCGCCTCTGTCCAACGCCGATTCGGCGCAGTCCGGTCACAAAGGCGACGTCCACAAAGGCGGCGGGCATGTCCTGGTAGAGCGTACCACCAGTAGCACTGACGTCGAAAATCCTAATTCTAATGCCCATCTGCCGGATCGCCTCCAACAACGCGAATACCGCGTCTACAAACGCCGCTTCTGGGGCCTGGCTCAGCTGGTCCTGCTGAACATTGTCATCTCCTGGGACTGGCTGACTTTCGCTGCCGTCTCGGACACTTCCTCGCAGTTCTTTCGCGTCAGTGAGAGCGCTGTCAACTGGTTGAGCATTGCCTTCCTGTTCGCCTTTGTCGCAGCTGCGCCCTTCACGATCTGGCTGCTGAACCATCATGGGCCTAAAGCATCCATTCTGCTGGCTAGCATCCTCACGCTCGCGGGCAACTGGATCCGATATGCAGGTACACGAGCTGGACACGGCTACTTTGGCGTGGTCATGTTCGGACAAATCCTCATAGGTCTGGCTCAGCCCTTCGTCTTGGCCTCGCCTACCAGATACAGTCAGATGTGGTTCAGCGATGCGGGACGTGTTTCTGCCACCGCGGTCGCTTCCTTGGCGAATCCGTTGGGTGGCGCGCTTGGCCAATTGATTGGGCCACTTTGGGCTACAAATCTGTCTGGAGTACCTGACATGGTGCTCTATACATCGATAATCTCTACACTTGCCGCCCTGCCAGCTCCTTTCATACCGGCCAAACCACCAACTCCTCCCTCCGCCACTGCAGCGTTGGAAAAACTTGACCTTCGTCGAGCAGCGAGCGAACTCCCACGAAATGGCTCCTTCTACCTGCTCCTCATACCCTTCTCGGTTTACGTCGGGTGCTTCAACTCCGTGTCTTCCCTTATCAATCAGATCTTCGAACCTTATGGATTTTCAGAGACAGACGCTGGTATCGCTGGTGGATTGCTCATCATCGTCGGTTTGATCGCCTCTGCAATCGTCTCTCCCATCATCGACAGAACGAAGGCCTATCTGATCACTATCAAAACACTGGTGCCTCTAATCGCCATCTGCTACATTCTTCTAATCTTCATGCCGGGCACACGCAACGTGGCAGGACCATTCGTTGTCAGCTCAATACTTGGCGCTACCTCCTTTGCTCTACTGCCTGTTGCGTTAGAGCTGCTATCTGTCACCACTCTGCCCGTATCACCGGAAGTATCAAGCGTCATCGCATGGACCGGAGGACAAATACTCGGAGCTATCTTCATCATTGTCATGGATGCGTTGATAGCGCCGAATGGGTGGCATGGCGAGCCTCCAGACACGGCAACCCGAGCTTTGATATTTCAAGCTGTCATGGCTTGTATCGCTGTACCATTTCCCATGCTTCTGGGGTTATGGAACTTCAGAAAAGTCCAAGTGAGTGCGGGTGAGGTGCGAGCAGGGGAGGGATTTTAGCAGCGCTTACTCATGTCTTCAGGCGAAAACAGCAGCCAGGGACAGTCAGATTAGTCTGCTGGACAGACATGAGTGATGATCACTTTTTCGGACTAATCAACATCGACAGACACCATGTGATATACAGTGTCACATAATGGAGCATTCGACGCATCAAAGGTTGCCATTGCCGTATCCGGCTTCGATCAGTGCGCGGTCAGGACAGCCTTTGTTGTCGTGCAACAAAGAAATGCACTCCATATCTATGTATTGGAAGCTTGCCCTCGGTTTTCGAATCTGCCCAGGCCAATTTCAAACTTGACAAGATCTCAGCACTGCGCTCTCACGAATAATGGCTACACCACCACGGCGTCGGGGACAAACGCACTCTCCTCATACTCCGCCTACCCCACCCCGGAAGCCAACGAGCAAGGGTAGACTCGCCGCTTCGAAAGCGTCTGAAAGATCTCCCACTCGCGCTACTGGCTCCCACGGTCCCATTGCTCTCCCCAAAAGTCTCAAGAAAAGGAAGAGGCGAACGATCAAGAACGGGAGGCCGTACCCATTCAAAGACTCCAAGCGCGGGAAAACCGCAGGCACCGGACCCAAGACTGGCATCACGAATGAACCCAGGAAGCCGTATACGCACCATCAGCTTCCCAATCTCACGGCTGGAGATTTGAATCGAGCGAGGGTTACAAGGCAGTCTATTGGAGGGAGGAGATTGTTTCAGGGACTTCCGTAGCCTCACCGTAGCATCGTGGCGCATGTGATGGTCAGGGAATAGTGTATTGAGACTTTTGACTTTGTGAGGAAAGACGAACATGGCGTGTAGGGACAACAAGAGACGCTGTACGAAGAGAGCCGTCGACAGCTCTTCGACCGTGCTTGTCGAGGTGGATATCATGGACATGGGGAGCAACCTAAGGGCAGAGACCCGATCGGGCTTGGATCAGGAACGCTCGCGCTAGTGGACGCCAGAATGTGGGGAATAGCCGCGCGTACCTAGTAATAATCGAACTGTGAACCCTTCCACAGCTTCAACGACTGCACCCCGGACCTCAGTCCGCCTCGCAGCCTTCCTTACTTGCGCCTTGCGCCTGCCTTCTTCATGTCGCTCTTTACCCGTATACAAGTTCTGGCGTTTCCGATCGCGCGAGTAAGCGATCGCTGAGATCGGGAACACAGGAACGAGCATTGGCGGGAGCGTCACGTGGGGAGGTATCAGACGAGATGAACGTGAGTCTCCCCGGCCACCAATGGAACCTCAACATCACATGGCGCTGTAGACAGACGTGCCCCCAGATCACACGGCACCGTAGACATGCCACCAGATCAGACGGCACTTTGTCAACGGCGACACGATCGGCAATGACTGACGATGCTCCAGCTGTTCCACCTTCCACCCTCGCTTTTGGCCTTCATCGCCGCCATCCCGCTCGTCAGCGCCCAGTATCCCCCACCAGCGTCGTATCAGAACATCCTCACCTCACCGGTCGACCCAAATGTCACCGTCGCATACAAACGGCCCACCGCGGGCACATGTACAACGGCTTTCACCACTCAGAAACAGTACACTGGATACATCGGGTTACCGCCCAACACACTCGCTCCCATACAGCAGAATTACTCCATCAATACCTTTTTCTGGTTCATAGAGGCCCGCCAGACTCCCGAGTCAGCCCCTCTCACAATATGGCTCAATGGGGGCCCGGGCTCGAGCAGCATGTTTGGTCTGTTCAATGAGGTTGGACCTTGTGAGGTCGTTCAGATGGCGGATGGTGGCTATGGCACACAGATGCGCACCTTTGGCTGGGACCGAGCTTCGAATGTCCTCTTTATCGACCAGCCCAACCAGGTCGGCTTCTCTTACGACGCTGTGACCAATGCCTCACGCGACTTGTTCATGGACGAGCTGTTTGAGCCTCCGACTTCGCCGAGCTCCAATCTGCCAAGCTTCATGTATCTCAACGGGACTTTCGGCACAGCCAACGAGAATGCTCCAAGACAGACGGCCGCAACCGCGAACACGACTGAGATCGCTGCGGTGGCGACTTGGCACTTCTTACAGACCTGGCTTTCCACTTTCACCCAATACAATCCGGCTACGCGACCTAATGTGACGACACCTAACTCCAATGAGCCTGCAGGCGTCAATCTATTCACCGAGTCTTACGGTGGTAAGTTCGGTCCGGTCTTTGCCTCCTACTTTGATCAGCAAAACGATGCCATCACGAGTGGCCAGCTTTCGAGCAACAGCACGCTTCAGATCAAGCTGCAGTCCGTCGGGATCTTGAATGGATTGGTCGATGATCTTATTCAAGATCGTTACTACGCCGACTTTGGCTACAACAACACCTACGGTGTTGACATTCTCAGTCAGACCGACGAGTTGAATGCGCTCACGAACTTCACCAACCAATGCACACCCGCAATCCAGGCGTGTCGTGCGGCCAGCACTGATCCGTACGGGGATAACGAGCAGGCAAACAGTCTCTGCGAGACCGCTCAGTACTCTTGCAATAGCCTACCAGCACTTGCCGGAGCACGTGGGTACTATCCCTACGACATTCGCCAGAAAATACCAAGCCCAGACCCGTCTGCTGCGTATCAAGAGTACCTGAACCAGGCATCGGTACTGTCCTCGATTGGCGCGAAAGTAAACTACACGGAGAGTAGCCCTTACGTGTTGGAGTCTTTCGTTTCCACGGGAGACACGATACGCGGCGGCACGATCCAGGATCTAGCCGACCTCTTGAAGAAAGGTATCCGCGTCGCTCTCATCTACGGCGATGCGGACTTTCTGTGCAATTGGCTTGGAGGGCAGGCAGTTTCGTTCGCAATCGCCAACGCACTGCCCAACTACCCGGTCGCTACCGGTGTCTCTTCAGCGGGCGCTGGTGCTCCATCAAGCTATGCGAGCGGGTTTGCGGGTGCTGGCTATGCGCAAATCGTGGTGAACGACTCATACGTAGGCGGCTTGGTTCGGCAGTATGGGAATCTCAGCTTTAGTAGGGTGTACGACGCCGGTCACTTCGTCCCGTACTACCAACCGGAAACCGTCTTCCAGATCTTCGCCAGGGTGATACTCGGAACAGATCTGTCAACGGCCGCAGATATCGACTTGGCAGATTTCAGATCGAACGGTACGGCCAACGCCACACACACGAACAGTGTTCCAGAGCAGCCGAAAGCCACCTGCTGGGTACGCAATTGGAACGAGTCCTGTTCCAGCTCAGACACGAGTGCGATGAAACAGGGCAAGGGGCTTGTCCAATACGGAATCTACTATCAGGACTCCAAATCGATTGTTCTGCCAAGTAGCAGCATCGCAGCGGGTGTACCTGGGCTGCCAATGACGACGGCCTCCACGAATAGCGAAACGGGTACATCTGGCACCTCTACGATGGCTCTAACTGGCGTCTACACGGCGACTGGTACGCCAGTAATGTCTTCGAGCCAAGGTGCTGCACAGACTGCAATGCCCTCCCTGGACGCTCACTTTGGGCACCTAGGCGTTGGCATCTTCGGCGTAGCGCTCGGAGCAGCTGTCATGATCTGATTTTGAAGCGATGCGCGTGATCTTGGGAGGAGCTTCTCGCTGTCTCATGACTGCAATACCGGAAAGGCAAAAGTCAGCTATTTTTGTCTTGGAGAGGAGGGGAGGGGATACCCGCATTCGCAGAGTGCCTACTTATATGACCATGACAGCAATGATAATGTCTTTTATGATGAAGCCCTCTTCGGCACGTTCCTTGACACCAGGTACGTCCGCCACACAGTCAGCTTACCATCTATATGCAGTGAGCCCACGGCAGCAGCAGCGTACACTTTCGGATGCGAACGCGTGTAACTTGAGGCTTTGAACATCCTTGAATGAAGCAGCAATCCTGTCGCCACTGCGTCTTCGGCGTTCGCAACCAATTTTCCGAACTGAGTACGAGCTATATCCCAGCAATTCCGGCATGGTCACACGTGCATGCCGAAACACAAGAGCAACATCCGTCGGGGAGCCGATATGCTTAAAGCTGGTGGCCGGGGTTCATGCGCACTCCAAAGTAACATTGTACAGGATCTGGTTGGATGTCGAAATAGTCGAGGGCTGTTAATGTCTGTAGCTTAACTGCGCCGCTGCCAAGGTCAACGACTGCGTGCCGACTTGTTGCACACATTCCAGGCGTCTGTAGCCTACGTTACCTGCATTTCTAGCCACTGGAATGACCTGGCTTTTCCGGACGCAATCACGGCAGCATTCGCACTGCTCTGGATGGGCCACGTACGCTGGCAGCTGGGTGGTGCGACTGCTTACGCAGAGAGCGTCCTTTGACAATGTCGAAACTTAGGCCGTGTTTCATGCACGACTGACGTTCTGAGCAGGAGCGAATATTCTCCCACAGCAAGAGCACCAGCTGTGCTACAAGTATGCATGGTTCCCCTTTGTCTTTGAGCTGCGCCGACGTCTCCTTGCTACATCAAGCGCTCCTCCGCCCACTACAAGGTCTGGGGCTGCTCCTCTTTACAGCAGATAGTTCGTCAAGCCCGTTGACCATCACAGCGGTCTGGACAAGACTTGATCTAACCGAAGGACCTTTTCTTGATCACCATCGTCAAAGACCGAAGACCTGATCTCTGACGCTACCGCTCCGCTCCGCTCGACCATTAGCCCTCATCGGCGAGATGTACACGGAGACACCTTTCTCCCTTTGGCGAAAGACATTCATTCGATCCCACGAGCCACCAGCGCTTGCCGGAGATCCACCTTCACAGCAACATTCGAGTACCAGAGACGGCAGCAACCATCAGCGCAATAGACATAGCAAAGGCATGATCCGCAGTGACTCACCCGAGGTGGTCGAGCAGCTGTTCAAAACTACCAGCAATGGCATCAAACTGGAACCTCAGCCGACTGATGATCCTTCGGATCCCTTGAACTGGCATCTCGACAAGAAGTTAGCGACGCTGGCCGTCATCTCTCTTGCTGCGCTCGCCGGTGGCGCCGTTGGTCTTTGCAATCAATTCAGTACGAATGTCCAGGCGAAGATTTATCACAAAACACCCTTTGAGCTATCGTACTCTCTCAGCGCTGCTGTGGCTGGTCTTGCCACTGGACCCATCGTTTGGCTACCATTGGCGAATTACATTGGGAAAACCTCTGTCCTCTTCTGGACGCAGCTTGCTTCTTTGGCTTGTGTAGCTTGGTCTTCCGCTATGACTGGCCCTCACAACTATATACCTTTCGTTCTCAGCAAATGGCTTGGCGCTACTTTTGCCTCGGCGAGCTTTTGTCTTGGCGGAGGCATTGTCATTGAGATCTTCTACCTTCATCAGAGGGGAAGAGCTTTTGCTACCTATACTGCCTGCTTTATTCTGGGTGCTGCTTCTGGAGGTACGCTCAGTGGGTTTATTGTGGAGACGCAACCTTGGCCGGTGGAGTTTTACTGGATCATTCCCTTGTTGGGGATTTCCGCGATTCTGATTTTCCTGTTTCTGGACGATAGCACCTACGACCGGACCGGCGTTGTCGGGATCGTCACAAGAAGAACTCCTGGCTTGATTGCAAAGGAGAGAGTTGCTACTCTTTTGCCCGGACATAGGATTCTATCCGAGGGGTATAAACGACAGCGAAATCGATTCTATGATTCGGCTCTTATTGCAATTCAACCCATCACCTTATTCGCGGGAGCCTTTGTCTGTATTACTTTCGGCTGGTCCGTGCCGGTGCAGAACCTGATTGGCATCTTCTTGCAGATGCCCAAGGAGCATGGAGGCTACGGATTCTCTCCCTTGCAAGTCTCTTGTTTCAGCTTCATCTCCTGGATCAGTGTCATTTCAGCTGAGGTCTATGGGATTCTGTTGAATGATCGGGTCCCGTTGGCTGTTGCTAAGAGGAGAGGGATCTGGAGACCGGAATTCCGACTCTACCCACTTCTTCTGGTTCCTTTGGCAATTGTTCCGTGTTCTTTGGGATTATTTGGTGCTGCTCTGCAGGAAGGCCTGAGTTATTGGGCTGTTGCTTTTTCTTTCTTCGGCATCAATTTCGCCGACGCGGTATTGCTACCCGTGGTATTGAATTATTTGTCGGAAGGGTTTGGAAGGAAATTCGCAGGGGAGGTGTTTGTGGTGGTGAACCTTTACCGGTTTCTACTTGGGGCTCTGGTGCCTTTCTTCTTTACCGGATGGACTAACGCGATTGGTATCTCTTGGACATTTGGGACTATGGCCTTTTTGTCGCTGGTCGGGTTTGCGTGTACGGGTGTTCTCTGGGTTTATGGGGATCGGCTGAGAGGGATGACGGCGGAGAGGCTGAAAGGGGAGCAGGGAGAGGACGGGGATAGGGTCGTAGTAGGCAGGAGGAGCAATGACGATGAGGAGGAGGTGAAAGGGATCGATGTTCATGTGGGCAAGAAGTGAAGTCAGTCGGAATTTCGACCTCGTCGGGATATGTCCTAGACGTAAGAAGTTTTGTCATTGAAGTCAGGCATTGAAAGACCGCTCAATGCATTAGAATATAAGCCAAGTGAAGACAGGCAGGAAAGACGGCCATGATGAGAATGCACGAATTCATTTGAAACTGATGTCGGCGCTGAATACCGTATGACACCCAATAGACGTATCTGAATCTGACCGGTCTCTGGCACTTTGTCTCTCTCTCAAAAGCTTCACCTTCTGCGGCCTCTTCCTCTGCATTCTCCAATTTGTTATCTTCCCGCTGGAATGGGGTGAAGAGGTAGAGTCGGTAACCTTGTGCAGCGAGCTCGACACCATGCCAGACGCTGCTTGAATCCGCCTCATCGGAGTCGTTGATTGCAGGTAGAAGGCGCCAGACGGAGAAGGCTCGCTCTTCTTGGCTGAGCCAACGAGTCGTTGGATGAAATCCTCATTAGCCTTCGCACGAGACCACCTGCATTGCAACAGCCGTTGTCCGAGGATGTGAAGTGGGTCCCGAGTTGGATGGAAAGTCAGGCGGCTTGCCGGTCGCATTTGCCCTTCAGACGCCGAACGGCTAAAGAGACAATGGATCGGTCCAATGCTCGCCGAGCCTTGACTGGCCGCGAGCTCCCCACGGTCACGTTGCAGGTCAGTCTTTGGGGGGTGCGACTATTCAATTACAACATTGCCTTGGGGAGAATCCTGTATATCTGCGCTGCAAAGACTGTGATCCGTTAGAAAACGCGAACCAGCTCCCGTCGCGTCCAGAGGCGACATATCCAAGTCGGAAACAGCGTCACCATGAAGGTCCTGATCACCGGAGCAGGAGGCTTTGTTGGCCAACTCCTCGCCGAGACCCTCCTGAACGAAGGCCACACCGTCGTTCTCACAGACATCTTCGAGCCACCTGTTCCCCAAGGCGCCTCCCAGAACGCAAGCAACGCCACCTGCATCAAAGCAGATCTCTACGATTCGCCTGAAGCCGTGCTCTCCAAGGACCTTGACGCCATGTACGTCTTTCATGGCATCATGTCTGCTGGAAGCGAGGAGAACTTGGAACTCGGATATCGGGTGAATCTCTTCAGCACCATCAATCTGCTTGAAGCAGTTCGAAAGACGATCCCGGGAGTCAAGTTCATCTACTCGTCTAGCACGGCTATTTTCGGACAACCGCTTCCTTCGTTGCCGAGCGAGGAGACTGTGCCCACGCCACAGGGAAGCTATGGCACTCAGAAGGCAATGATCGAATACATCGTCAACGACTATAATCGTCGTGGCTTCATTGATGGCTATATACTCCGTTTCCCCACCATCTCGGTTCGCCCTGGGAAGCCGACTCAGGCTGCCTCGAGCTGGATGAGTGGTATCATTCGGGAGCCTCTGCAAGGGAAGGGAAGCACTCTGCCTTGCGATGATGATTTCCAGGCATGGCTGTGCTCGCCCAAGACTCTGATCAAGAACCTGGTCCACACTTTGAGTCTGAAGAATGATTGTATGCCGGCTCATATCAGACAAGTGCTGTTGCCGGGCATTACATCGACTGTGAAAGACATGATGGATGCGTTGAGAGACGTGGGAGGTGAAGAGGCCGTGAAGTTGGTCAAAAGGGAGCGGCCTAGTCCGGAGATTCAGGCGATGCTGGATAGCTGGCCAGTGACGTTTGATGTAAGCAAGGCATTGGGGCTAGGGTATGTGAGGGACAACAGCTTCAAGGATGCCGTGGTGGATTTCAAGAAGGGCCTGGAAGCGCAGACGAACGGTTCCGCATGAGGTAGAAGATAGGCCTTCTTCGTCTACTACTTGATCATCTGAAATCTCATGCTCTCCTGCTCTCATGCTTTTCCAGAGCTTCCAATGTTGTCCATCCATTCTTCCATCTGTTGCTGCATTATGCTTGTGCCCTTCTCCATCAACTGCGTCAGAGGGACCTTGCCCGTGTTCGTTGCGACGTATTCGTTGTAATTCGATAACACGAGCTTGTTGACGTTCACCCGCGTGACACCCCGCTTGATGCAGTCTGCCATGATGTTCGATGGGAATTCATTCGTACCGTGCAGCACAATCTGGACACGACCGCCGGCTTTCTTCTGGATCTTCTCTAGCCTGGGTCGCCGCGTCAGTAGCCATATCCACGTCTCTCGCTTCCAATCTACCTACCTGTCGAAGTCCAGGTGGATATTCTCCGCTCCGTGGTAATCCCCGTGCACATTGCCAAACGCGGGAGCCAGGAAGTCGATTCCCGTGGCAATGAAGTCGTCCACTTCCTCTTCTGTAGTCATCATTCCTTCTAATTCGGCGGTGTCTTTCACTCCATCCTCCCCGCCTTCTATTCGTCCCGGCTCCGCCTCTGTAGCAATACCCCTCGAATGGCACAGTGTAACCAGCTCTTTCGTTTTTGATAGGTTCTCCTCTTTCTCGTAATGGCTCATGTCCACCATGATCGAATCGAACGACGGCGTGCCATCCTCGGCTTTCATGGTCGAAGCAAGCTTTATGATCTCCGGATCCTGCGCGTGGTCCATGTGCACGGTAACCGGTACCTTGGCTTTTCGAGCGGCATGGGCGGCCAGGTCGACGAAGAGCGGAGAGTATTGTAGTGCCCATGGGAAGAGCAAGATTTGTACAGGAGATCGCTTCGCTTCGGCCGCTCGGATGACTGCAATGATTGTTTCGAGATTGTATGAGACGACTCCGAGGACTCCATATCTGCCCTCTGCCGCCTTGTTCAGCATCTGGACGGCGCGGTTGTTGGTGAGCTTGTCCAAAGTCATGATGGCGGCTTTGTCGGGTGTAGGTGTAGTCTCGTTCGATGGGATAGGAAGGGCAACGAGGAAGAACTACCAACGCATTACTCATGTCCTCCACGTACACTGTGCACCTTCAGGCCATGTCAATGGATGGCTCCATTGAAAGCCACCCCACTGGACGGCGGGGCACAGCGGCATCGGTCTCCCCCATCCTGGCAATCAAATGCCGTCGGGACCCGCCGTCTCGTTCTTGAACCCGCTTTTGATACATGCCCTGTAGGTACTTGCGAGAGCATCCACCATCCAAGACTGTTGCTGGCGTTGGGGAAAGAGCTCATGGCGCGATGCATCGGCCTTCACACCAGGCAGTCCCCGGGCATCGCAGAGATGTCTGCTCTTCCAGGTATGTGCGAGCGCTCGCTCTGATGATGCTGGATCGAGAGGCGGCGGCAGAAGTGTCTTGACTGGTCGGTGGACGTCGCTGGTTGCAAGCAGGCCGCGAGAAGAAGGCGGGAATCGAAGACATCGGCGTAGTTACCCCGTCAATAACTACTTTGGGACATTTTACATAATGATCCGGTGAAGTCCTGGAACTCCGTATCAGGTTAGCACTCTCCCGCTGCGCTTCATCATCGACCAAGAACTGAACATCTACCAAGAAGAGCTTTATTGGCTTTGTCACACAGCAATCTACATCTCATCTCGTAAAATGTTCAATACCCTCAGCTCACGGTGAACAGGGAATCTATGGAGAAGCACTATCAGTGCACATACGAAGCCCGCGAACGTTACAGATGGTCCTTATGGCAATTGACTGCAACCATCATCCACAACGCATCGCTTGCAATCTCAACTTCAGCAGCCCATAGAAGCCCCAGGCCAATATCTCGTCGAAGCACCGACGGAGCAAGAAGTACACCTAGCGGGTAGTAGGGATGTTCAGAAGAGTGCGTGAGAAATTTCGGGACCTTATAATACGATGCGTCTGGGAGATCGTAGAAGGGGCGGCTTCCCCTCTTTGAATTATGCGATCAACATACAGGTAGGCTATGAACCTCAGCAGACTGCATCACGATCGGGATCGGTCTCGGATTAGACATGAACTCTTTTCATATCCCGACTACCCGAGTAAACCGGTATCGGCAATGGGAGTGAACAGGACGACTTTGCTTGAAGTTCTGGCGCGGCTCATCGGTCGTCCAGCCCAGTTTATCGTCGAGAGCCTGACCTAACAGATAGAGAGTCCACTAAATTTATCCGAGCGGAGAACGTGGACCCTCCATGTTCAATCGAAGCTGTTGACAGTTCAACCTCGATATGACGATCTCGAGCTCGCTGCAGTGACGTGGACACCGGCAGATCATCTCACGGCTTGCGGCTGCAGCGGAAGAATGACGGACTACTGCTGGAATGACATACAGCAGTGGGCGGAGTGCAACGAGCTCGCGAGGGACGGACAAAAAGTGATCGTCAAACTCCGGCCGCACGTAGATCTAGGTGACAACTCGAAGAGAAGATCTGATATGTCCCGGTCCAGATCCTGCGGGAGCTCTGATGTTAGGGAATAATGGACCCTCCAAAGAATGCTCGCACTATGTAAGGCTCATCTACCCTCACTTCTTCCCCACTCCGCATCTTATCCTCAAACCATCAACCGGTTATCAACATGACGACAAAACATACTCCAGCGGTATCATTCGACGACATTCCGGGCGAACTTACAACGGGAAAGATCCCCGAGGGCGCAGACTACGAACAGATCACCCGCGCAACTGTGCAATGGCTGAACAACCTCCAAAAGGATCATCTAGCTCCTAATGCAATCTGGCGGGACTTTTTGTCACTAACGGACAATTTCCGTACATTCTACTCGTCCGATGTTGTCTACGACACCTTTCAAAAACTCGGCAACGTCAAGAAGCGTTCCATCTTCGAGACAGGTAGCATCCCGACTCGGCTGGTTTCAAGTGGCGAAGCCAGTTGGCTGAACGTCAATCTCGCTTTCACAATTGAAGATCAGAATCTGGTTGGGAATTGTAATGCTTTCGCCTCCGTCACACAAGATGCAGATGGCAAATGGAAGATCTGGATGCTCAGAACCTGGCTCGAGAATTACGAAGATCATGGCCATCCGGACCTTCTCGAGCCTGTGCCTAGCAGCAGATATATCAATCGTCAGGCTAATAGCGGGGCGCAAGACCCGAGACATGTCTACGATGTGATCATTGTTGGGGGCGGTCAGAGTGGTCTCGGCGCGGCAGGACGTTGCAAAGCACTGGGCATCGACTACATTCTGTTCGACGACAGGCCTGCTATTGGAGATTCTTGGGCTAATCGATACGACTCGTTGAAATGGCACACAACCAAAGACTACGGGAACCTACCGTTCGGACGCACTTTCAAAGAGGAAGATCCGCTCTTGTTGCCTATCGAGAGGATCGCATCGGGGTATAGAACGTGGGCCGAGCGATTCGATCTCAATGTTCGCAATTCGGAGCCCGTGGATCATGCAGACTGGGACGATGCCTCGTCTCTATGGACGGCGTACACCGGTGCCCTTGGCGATCAAGCCGAATACAAAGCTCGAAATCTGGTTCTATGCATGGGACCAGGACACAAGCGTGAGATCGTACCTACTTGGGCAGAACGAGGGAACGTCAAATCCAGCGGCTTCAAGGGCACGGTTCAACATTCTGTCGGCTACAAGAACTGCAAAGGCTTCGAGGGCAAGCGAGGCGTTGTTGTTGGCACCGCAAACTCTGCCCATGATGTGGCTGAGGACATGGCTAGAGCTGAGATGGATGTCACCATGTTGCAACGCAGCCCGACCTTTATAGAGCCTGGAAAGTGGCTCGAAAAGGCCAACACGGCCAATTATCATCTGGGCAAGCCAACAGAAGAGGCGGACCGGGAACAGCTTACCGCACCGCAAAAGATCTCGCGAGAGCTTATCAATCGTGGAACCTGGAAGGCCATCGATCAGGATCCGACACTTTGGGATGACCTCGAGAAGGCAGGTTTCAAGTGCGACCGCTACGGGGACTTGTTCACTCATCTTTACGTGCGCTTTGGAGGACACTACGTTGACGTTGGCAATTGTAAGAGGATCATAGAAGGCCAGGTGAAGATAAAAGGTGTCGCGGTCAAATGCTTAACGGAGCATGGTATTTTATTCGAAGACGGGAGCCATCTATCCGCCGACCTAGTCGTCTGCTGCACCGGCTTCAACCATGATTTCCGCAAAGATGCAGCAGAGATTGTGGGCAACGAGATTGCGGAACAGATGGATGACTACTGGGGCGTTAATAAAGAGGGCGAACTTAGAGGGTTCTGCCGATTGGCTGGGCGTAAGTTCAGAAGTCAGAAGATATATAACCGTGTATTTGCTGACACCTCTACAGATCCTCACCTATTCTATCACGGCGGAGAAGCACGCCTGGCTCGATTCTATTCGCGGTTCCTCGCTTTGCAGTTACAGAAGCTAAAGCTAGGTAGAGCACTTATACCTTACTAGAAAGGCAGATACGAATGCTTTGAATAATGTAGTCCGACTATCTGTAGACATATTTCTTAGCTCTTACTTATCGTCCAACTAACTATCTTATTCTTTAGCGATACTTCTTTAGTAACTAATTCTATACTACTTACCCGTTAATATTCTCTTAAATGTTTAAAACTATAGATAGACTTAGTGTCTCTATTTAATAGATAGTTTAGTTTCTAATTCTTTTCTTTAATACTAGTAGTTACTAACAGCCTAATAATATACTTCTTACCTTATACTACTACTTACAAAACTAAAATTTTCTTTCTAAATTTAGTTTCTCTATCTTATAAGTTTTTTAATTTCTTATCTATTTTAGCTAAGCTAATACTTACTTCTAAGCTAATATAATACTACTTACCCTAAACTATTATAAAAAAAATTAAGATTTTAATTAAGTCTTAAGAGGCCTAAATAAGATTTAATTCTCTACCTTTTTACTTCTAAGCTATTTAACCTTATATATATAGCTAGTACCTAGAAACAAGTTAATCTAATACTACTTATTTTAAGGACTACCTTAGAATCTAGGATAATAAAATTTTAAAACTTCTAGTTAGACCTAGTCTCTCTATTTTAGACTTATAAAATCTATTCTAATAATATATTAGTCCTTATACTATTTATATAAGCCTTAAAGTATATAATAAGATAGAAAAGTTCTACTTAGCTAGTATTATTACTTATAGAATGGACCTTCTCCCAATATCCTAAACACTCTATATTAGCCTAATCTTATCTATTCTAATACTTTGTTAGTTCTTCTAACTATTATCTAGGCCTAAAGTATAAAATAAGATACTAAAATACTATATATCTAGTAGTCTTGTATTAATAATAGTCCTTTCTCTAATATCTTAAAACTTTTTAGATTAGACTTATCTTCTCTGTTTTGTTTATTAGTCTTTATACTATCTACTAAGGCCTTTTAGTATACGATTAAATTAAGAGATACTACTTACTTCGTAGTATTACGTAATAAAGAGCCCCTTTTCTAATATTCTAGAAACTCTAATATAGACTAATCTTCCCTACTTTATTAGTATATTAGTCTTTCTACTGTTTATTTAGGTCTTAAACCAAGCGATAAGATAGGAAAATACTACTTACCTAGTAGTAGTACTTAGAAAATAGATCTTTCTCTAATATCTCTAAAACCCTAGATTAGACTAGTCCTCTCTATTTTATTAGTTTTTTTGTTATTATATCTTTGATATATGCCTTAAGGGATATATCTAGATAGATAAATACTTCTTACCTAGTAGTATTACTTAATAAACAGCCTCTTTACTAATCTCTTTAAAATCTCTAATTTAGACTAGTTTCCTTAATTCTATTCGTATATTAGTCTCTCTACCTTTAATCCAGATCTCAAACTAAGTAATAAGATAGGAAAATACTACTTACCTAGTAGTATTACTTAATAAAGAGGCCTGTCTTTAATATCTAAATCCCCTAAATTAGACTAGTCCTCTCTATTCTACTAGTTTTATAGTTATTATATCCTTAATATAGGCCTCAAAGTATATAGTTAGACAGTAAACTACTCCTTACCTAGTAGTATTACCTAATAGATAGTTCTTTTTCTAATATCTTTAAAATCTCTAATCTCGACTAATGCTCTCTATTCTATTAGTATATTAGTCTTTCTATCTTTAATCTAGGTCTAAGAGTAAGCGATAGGATAGAAAAATACTACTTACCTAGTAGTAGTACTTAAGAAATAGATTTTTCTATAGAATCTTTAAGCCCTAATTAGACTAGTCCTCTCTATTTGACTAGTTTTATAGTCGTTATATCTTTTATATAGGCCTAAAAGTATAATATTTAGGTAGAAAACTACTACTTACCTATTAGTATTACTTAAGGAATAGATATTCTCCTAATATCTTAAGAACTCTAAATTAGACTTATTCTCTCTATAAATTTAGTTTTTAGGTTTCCTAACTATTAATTAGGCTCCTAAGTAGAGAATAGGATAATCTAATACTACCTACTTAGTAGTATTACTAAATGAATAGCCGCTCTTCTAATATCTTTAAAAACTCTATATTAGACTAATATTTACTATTTTATTAGCTTATTAGTCTTTCTAAACTATTAACTAGTCCTTGAAGTAAACGATTAGAGAATATAATACTACTTATATAGTAGTATTATGAAATTTATAGTCTCTTTCCTAATATCTTAAGAATACTATATTAGGATAAGCTTATCTATTTTGTTAGTTCTTTAGTCTTTCTAACTACTATTTAGGCCTATAAATAAATAAAGGACTAGAGACTAAAATACTATATACTTAAGTAGTATTACTTAGAGAATACTCTATTTCTAATATCTAATAAGCTCTAAATTCGACTGATCTTTCATATCTTACTAGTAGATTAGTCTTTATACCTTTTCTTTAGACTCTAAGGTATATTAATAGATAGTAAGATACTACTTATGTAGTAGTATTATTACCTAAGGAATAATCCCTTTTCTAATATCCTAGAAACTCTAAATTTAACTATCCTTTCTAATTTTATTAGTTTATTAGTCTTTATACCTATTATTTAGACCTTAAGGTATACTAGTAGATAGAAAGATACTATATACCTAGCAGTACTACTAAAGAAATAGACCTTTCCTTAATGTCTTAAAAATCTCTAAATTAGACTAATCCTCTCTATTCTAATAGTACCTTAGTCTATATACCTTCGATATAGAGCTCTTAGCTTAGATCTAAGAAGAAAAATACTAGTTAGCTAGTAGTACTACTTATAGACTAGATCTTCTACTAATATCTTAGGAAGTCTAGATTAGACTGATCTTATCTATTCTGGTAGTCTATTAGTCTTCCTACTATCTACTTAGGTCTTTTAGAATAAAACTAGATAAGGAAATACTACTTACTAAGTAATATTACTTTGAGAATCGTACCTTTTTTAATATTATCTAAAATTCTAAAAACTCTCTATTAGACTAATCTTCTCTATTTTACTAGTTTTTTAGTTTTAATACTTTCTCTATCGGCCTTTATATGAACAATTTTATAGAATAATACTACTTGGTTAGTAGTAATACTTAGTAGGTAGTCCCTTCCCTAGTACCTAAAAAATCTCTAAATTAGACTAATCTTTACTATATTATTAGTTTATTAGTCTTGAAATATATTACTTATGCCTTTAAGTATAGACTTAGATACTAAAGTACTAAAGACCTAGTAGTATTACTTAAGAAATAGTCCTTCTTCTAATAGTTTAAGAGATACAAAATTAGACTAATCTTCTCTAATTTATTAGTATATTAGTCTTTCTACTTTTTATTTAGACCTTAAAGTATATAATTAGATAGAGAAATACTACTTACCTAATAATATTAAATACTAGAGAAATAGTCTCTTTCCTAATATTTAAAAGAATCTATTTTAGACTAAGCTTTCCTATTTTATAAGTTTATTAGTCTTTATACTATTTACTTAGGTCGTCTAGTACATAGTTTAACCAAAAAATACTACTTACCTAGCAGTAGTATCTAAGAATTAGTTTCTTTCCTAATATCTTAAAAATTCTAAACTAGACTAATCTTCTCTATTTTATTAGTCTATTAGTCTTTCTACTATCTAATAAGGCCTTAAGGTATACTATTAGATAGTAAGATACTACTTATATACTAGAACTACTTAAGGTATAGGTCTTTCTCTAATACCTTAAAAACTCTAGATTAGACCAATTCTCTCTATTTTATTAGTTAATTAGTCTTTATATCTATTAGATACACTTTAAGGTAGAAGGTAAGATAATATAATACTATATAGCTAGTAGTATTACTTGAAGATTAGTCATTTATCTAGTATCTAAGAAATCCCTAAATTAGGCTAATCTTCCCTATTTAACTAGTATATTAGTCTTTCTACCTTCTGTCTAGACCTTAGAGTATATAATAGAATAGAAAAATACTTGTTACCTAGTAGTATTACTTTAGGGATAGTCCTCTTTCTAATATCTTTAAGACTCTATTTTAGACCGATTTCTCCTATTTTATTAGTTTTTTAGCCTCTTTACTACTAACTAAGGCCTTTTAGTAGATACTTAGATAAAGAAATACTACTTCTATAGTAGTCGTATTTAAAGAATAGTCGTTTTCCTAATATCTAATCATCTAAATATTAGACTAACTTTTCCTAGTTTATTAGTCTTTTAATATTTTATTTAGGTCTTAAAGTAAGTAATAGGATAAAAAAATACTACTTACCTAGTAGTATTACTAAGGGATAAGGTCTTCTTAAAATATCTTAAAAACTCTAAATTAGACTAATTATCCCTATTTAATTAGTTTATTAGTTTTCCTACCTCTTACTTAGGCTTCTAAGTAGAGTATTTAATAATATAGTACTACTTACGTAATAGTACTACTTTAAAAATCGTAACTTTTATAATATCTTTTAAAACTCCTAAAACTCTATATAAGACTAATATTCTCTTCTTTATTAGTCCTTATACCTTTTAATAGACTTTTAGATAGAGGATAAGATATTAAATTACTATATAGCTAGTAATATTACTTAGAGAATAGTCCTTTTTCTAATATCTAGTAAACTCTATACTAGACTATCGTCTCTATTTAAATAGTTTATTAGTATATATACCTTTCTGTTAGGCTCTCTAGTCTAGAAGTAGATGTAATAATACTAGTTACCTTATAGTAGAACTTGGAGAGTAGATCTATCTTCTATTAATATTTTAAATAACTCTAAATTAGACTAATTTTACCTACTCTATTAGTATATTAGTATTGCTATACTTTTCTTAGACCTTATAGCATATAATAGGATATAAAAAGTACCTAGTAGTAATAAAAACTAAATAGCCGCTTTTATATTATCTTTTAAATCCTAAATTAGACTAAGCTTATCTATTCTATTAGTATATTAGTCTTTCTAACTACTACCTAGGCCTATAAGTAAGCGATTCGATAATATATTACTA